ATAATTAAAAAAATTAAAAACTTTAAGCTCTTAAATATTTCGTATAAACAAAGGAAAAAAGTCTTCCTTTTATTTATTTTTTTGAAATAAAATGAAAGTGAAAGGATTAGCATAAAGAAGTAAGCAAAAAAAAGGAAAAAGGAAAAAAGGATAAATTTATGTGTAATCGGCCAGAAAAAGACACTGAAAAAAAAAAGTAATATACTCATAACACCCCATTTGAGTAAATTTTCATTATAATATACCCTGAAGAAATTTTTCTATTAGATTAAAATATAAAATTATTAAAGCATTAAAAAAATATATACAAAATTAATATATATATATATATATATATAATTATTAAAACTTCAAATGAAAATTTTAATTAATTTTTGTAAGTTAATTAATTAATATAAGGAAACGAAAAAAATGAAAAAAAAAATGAAAACAAGAGATTTATAACAGTTATTTGTTTACTCCAATTTTTTTTTTCTGTTGCACTTTTTTGCACGAAATATTTATTTCAACTTCTTAACGATTTACACAAATTTATTATATGACTTTTTATTTAACTAATTTGTTAAAATAATTTTACTTAATATTTAAGTAAAAATTAGTCCTAAAGTTCGTGATAAAACTTAATTTTAAAACCAACATTATTTGTCATTTATTGATCACTGTTTGTTGATTTAAAAAAAGAAATTTTGCTGATTTAAAACGATAATTAATAGTCAAATAAATACGTTAAAAATGTCAATCAGTGATGTTTGGTGTGTACCTCAGCCGATTTCTGATGTAAACGATTATTTATTATTTTTGCATATCGTCATCACTATTATAATATACATACATATATTTAACTATTTATTTGTTTATTTATTCGTTTAGCTATTTGTTTGTTTATTTGCTTATTTGTTTACTTTTTTTATTTAATTAATTGTTTATTTATTCATTTAATTACGTTTTTTTATTCTGTTCGAGAGTATATATCACTGAGAATTTTAAAATTCCATATTTTTTCAATACTTTTGTCTTCCTCCCTTTTCTCCTTACCTTAATGAAATATAACACTTATGACATCAATAAGCTATCCGAATCAGTTCTTGAAGGACGCAGCGAACTAATCAGAAAGTTACCCATTTTTGTTTATCTGCAAACAAACATTAATCAATTAATAAATGATAAAAATTTCAAGAAACTGAAACAAAGAACAAAAAAAAAAAAACTATGGTTTGAATTAAATTACCGATTGTGATGCCTACGATGAACGAAATATTATAAAATATTTCAAAGCAATCCTTACAAATGATGCTTTTTTTAACTTGTAAGTAGTTATAATAATGAACAAATATCTTTCATGACCATTGTTGGTATTAAATTATTTAATCACTGAAATAATTTAACAAAATTTTCACTTCATCGTTCGTCTTTTGTCAAAAGAAAAAAAAAAATAAATTTAAGAAAAAACAAACACGCAATACAAATAATTTCAGCTTATCGGCAAATATAACAAAGCGAAATGAAAAAGAAAGGTGCCAATGTTTAAATTTTATTTGAAACAAAAAAAAATCCTATCAAGAAAAAAAAGGAAAATAGAAAGTTTTCTGCAAATTATATTTTTACATGATCGATGACTGTTCTAATAAAAGAAAGGAGAAATAAATAATTTTTAAAGTGCAAAATAGAAAGATCAACAAATAATGCAGCAAAAATTAGTTTCAAAATGAAAACTGATTGCGTCATCGTCACTATTATCATTATCATCTGTGTGGGATTATAATAGCAATAATGATAGTGATAATGACAATAATAATAATAGTAAAAATAACAGTAATAAAAATAATGATAATAATAATAACAGTAACGATAATGATAATAACAATAATAATAATACCAATAATAATAATAAATAACAATAAAAATGCGATATAACATGATGAATTGGTAAAATGAAAAATACTGCTCCATCGACTGATAAGTGTTACACATTGGATTAAGATTCAATGAGGAAAAAAACAAAACCCTAAGCCTGGAACGTCAGGTGTGCTATGCAGTAATGGTAGTAATAATCCCTTCATCTTTTTTTCCTTTTGCTTTCTTTCTTTTTCTTTTCGTTATATTCTACCATTTGCATTGTTTATTAAAAAGAATTGCTTTCTCCAAACACTTTGCAAATTTCCAAAACTATCAATTTCAAAACATCAAATAAATCATGGAAACATAGTTTTGATATTCATTATAATTTAATTCTTTTTTTTTTTTTGATCACTATGATAAAAATAAATAAAAATCACTTCGTTCTTTTCTTTTTTTATCTCTCTTTTTAGTTTTCTTTTTTTTCCTAAATAATTTTATATACAAATGATTGATTATATATATGTTGACGTAGCACATGGTTGATTTGATAGCATATTACATCCTTAAAAGCCAACTATAACCTTGGTTATTTTACATATATATATCCAACTAGGCTAAGTATATCAACCATCATTTCACTTTAGCATCCTTCTGCATAATGTTAATTTTCAGCCCATAAGCAATCTCTAACATATCTTTCCCAAACATCTTTTTTCCTCATCTTTCTCTCCTTTCATTTCCCGAAATAAATACGAATTTATAAATCTTGAAATGATTGACTTATGTATGTTTTTTTTTCCCTTTCTTTTTTAATTGAAATTTGCATATCTACGTTTGTATGAGTGTATGAAATATTTATATATGGTTTTACAAAAAAAAAATGATATATGAAAAAATGTTTTATAAATTTTATATTATCTGTAAATTTTTCTAAATAACTGATGAGTAAAGGATGAAAGCACAATGAAGAAAAAGAAGAAAAATTATGAATTATGAAAAAAATCAAAAAAAAAAAGAAAATGTGACCTGATTTAGTGGATACTTTAGACAAGATACATTATAAATTCACCAAAACAGAAAAAATCTAACCCATAAAACGAACTGTATTTAAGTTTTAACATTAAAATAAAACGAAAAAAAAAGAAAAAAAAAGAGGAAAATGTCACCAAAATATTCAAGAATCATCAATAGGAAAAAAGATTTGTCAAGATAATAAAGTATGAATAAGAGAGGAAGTGCGATCCCAAATTTTTATCTTCTCATTTTCTACTTCCATTTCATCCTATCTTTCATCTCTCAAGTAGAATAAATAATAATTGTACCAAAAACTTAAATGTTAAATTTTTTTAACTTATTCGTAAATTACAAGCAAAAGAAGTTGGTACTACATAAAATTAACAACATATCAACCTAATATTCTAAAGAATGACATAATATTCTACAATTAGTAACCTTGTACAGTACACTATAAAAGTAAAATAGTAATATTGCAAAATAGACGATCAGTACATATGATATTATTAGTGTACTACCGATTATTACACTATCATTAAATCACCGGTATAATATTACCATTAACTTATTATTAGTGTTATTGCCATCAATAAAATTAAGTATTACTAAGATTAAATACTACTTGAAGCAAACTGTTAGCGTTCAATGTTAACAAATACTTTAATATCAAACAATATTTCAGTATTAACCAATTATTTCAGTATCGTTTAGATTTGTTTAAATTTCATGGTTTAGAATTCGTTCAAAAAAATCACTAATTAATATTCTGAAAAGAAAAGGAAAGGAAAAGAAACCGAAAAACCAAAAATGAATATAAAATAGCATGAATACGAGTAAATTGTTATTTCTTGCCTAACCAGTCATTCATTCCTTTTTTTAAAAAAAAATTTTGTTTTCTCATTATTCTTACCCGATATTACTTCTTTTCTTTCTTTTTTCTTTCCTTAACTTCTTTAATATGTGAATACATATCTATATATTTTATAAGTACTTAAAAAGAAAACAGAAAGAAAAAAAAAAAAAGAAAGAGAAAAAGATGTTAGAATATAGGAATAGGAGGGAAACAGAAAGAGAGAGAAAGAGAGGCAAATAATTTAATCAAAAATAGGTTAAATTAAGTCTTCTTTTATCTTTTATTCTATTAGTTAATTAAATTAAAGAAAATATTCGTCTGTTTCATACATCCCACTGGATGTATCGATAAATGAAGCACGAAATTTAGGAACAAAGTACAAGATGGATAACAAACATCTGTCTCAATTAGTGAAAATAACATAAAACATTGCATTGATGGTATCTCAACCGATCAGAGCTGTTAAGCTGGTGGAATGTGTAAAGTTTTGCTTTGTTTTGTTTTGTTTTTGTTTTTCCTTTCTTTTTTCAATATATATATATATATATATATATATATGAGACATTATGTAATTAAGTATAATGTATGAAGATGATCTGCTATGATAGTAATATTTTGATAAGTTGCAAAAAATGTGTGACGTCAACAAATTATTATCATTAGTAGTAATAGTAATAGCAGCAGCAGCAGCAGCAATAATAATAATAATAATAATAATAATAGCAGTAATTGTTATTATTATTATTTTACTATTGTTGTTGTTGTAGCAATACAATTTTAGTAATGTTTATTTCAATTCTTCAACCGATATTATCCAATTGATAAGAAAAAAAGTTACAAAATAACTCTTCATTAATTATATTATTAATTATATTATTAGTTAAATATGTTATGAGTAAATTATGAAATAAATGATGACAAATTGTTTACATATGAATATAGTCTATTTGAAGAATAACATTTAAATTGAGGATAACAAAATGATAAATAGTTGCTGATGAATAAATGCATCATGAAAATGATGCTAAAATATAAATGGATATAGGAAGTGCCAATAATTGGATGAACTTGAAATAGAATATTAGAATGGGAAGGGAGAATTTATTCAAATCAGTTGCACTTTATCAGATTACTTCGAAATAACTCCTTTTAAGGAACGATTTGTTGTGATAATATTGATGATAATGATGAGAAGGAGGAGGTGGAGAGATGAGGAAATGAATAACGGGTAGTAATGTATATATAAACATATATAAGGGGTTAAATTTTTAAATGTGGGGAGGGGAATAAGGAGGAAAGCTAGGAGGAGTAAGAGGAGGAAGGAAGAAAAGGAGGAAAAGGGGAGGTAATTCATAGAATTCGTTTTCTTCCTTTCCACCTTTTTATCACAACTCTTATTTCTTCCTTCCTTCTTCATCCTTAACCCCTGCACCATCACCATCATCACATCACTTTCCTCTTCTTAGTATCCTTTCGTAAGATTCATCCGAACTATCGATTAATATTTTCTTCTAGTATACAAAGTATCTTAGATATATGTTCCAACAACGACCCTAGGCTTACTTAGCTTAGCCTTTAAAAATTTTCAGCCTTTCGCCTCTTTGTATCCCTCTACTTTTAGTGTCCATTGAAAATTGACTAAATACTATTATACTGCTTATTACTGCTACTGTTATCACTACTTTCTTTATTATGACTCTTATTATTACTTCAACCTAACACTTTGCTGAATTTCCTTAAATTTCATTTCATTTTAATCAAATCTCAACTACATCGATCTAATCTAATTTAATCTAATCTCTCTCTCTCTCTCTCTCTCTCTATATATATATATATATATATATATATATATATATATATGATTAAAAACTTATGATTATACTAACTTATATGACTTCATTATCATCTTTGTAATAATTCTCATAGTGTTGCGACTTTTTTTTTTCATAGTAAACATTTACAAATAAAGATGTCATTTAATTAATTCGAATTACATACTTATAGTTTATACTTATTTTTTAAATTAAATTCCAGATAGAAATGGTTATACTGTGAAAAAAAATTCGAAACAAAAAAAAAAGACAAAGAAAGGAAAGAAAAAATAATTCATAAACAAATGAAATATTATAATGGCTGAAAAGAAAAAGAGGCGATTCATTATCTATGCTGATTATTTGAAAATTTTATATTTTCAGCAGATTATACTCTGGATAAATTGGATAGATGGTGTTTCCTAACATGTTGAATACTCACATCCGTATTCTATTGAAATATAATACAAGCTTTTGCATGGAAAAGAAATAAATACACTGCGAAAGTTAATTATAAACGCAATGCCTGGGTATAATCTAGCCTTATAATCATTGCAATTACTAAATCAGTCCATAATTAATGTTTTCAACGAAGAGGAAATTCAAGTTACTAGCATAAAATGATAAAATTGTTGCATATAAATTAATATTTCACTTAAACTAGATTAAAAAAAAACCAATTATCAAATAAATTATGAAAATAAAGGATACATATGCTTAAAACCTCTATTTTAACATGCCTGATTAATAGCAAATTTGAGTTTTCATGACATCCAGAAGAAAAAGAAAGATGTAGGTCACAATAACCGTTTGATAATTTCCTTAAATTGTTCATGGAATCTCAATAGCACTGTGCTGAACATAAGATCTTCAAGATTATTTCCTATTATTAATCTATGATAAATCATCAATACTTAATGTTGATGTTTAGTTATGAAATCATATTTCCACAACTTCTCAAACAAATGAAACAATTAAGTCACAGCAATACCATCAAAATTTTCATTTGGTTACAACACTTGAATGAAACAAGGATTTCATTTTCACATACAAATCACGTAAACAAGATTCTATTTAGTACAACAGTTTAAAAAAATTAACTTTAGAGAATTTTTGCAATCAGAGAAAATCATATAAATTCTTTTAAGCTCTATAATTTTTTAAAAATACATATGGATTAATTTTACTCAAATAAACTGTATATTTCTTCCAACAACAAAAATTCATATTTTCTAGTGAATTAAGTCTGTAGTTAACAATGTACAATATTGTACATATAGCGACAAATTTTGGAAAAATACCTCCTGTGATTATTGTCTTTCGAACAATTCTCTGAAATCATCATCATATTAATAGAGACAACCAAAACTTATTCTAAATATAAAAGAAATACGGAGATTTAATCATCAATAGTTGTTGTACGGTAATCATCGCTTAAATCTCAAGGCAACCTCTTCGTAGAAGGATTTTTTTTATAGCATTATCTTTCGAAAAGTATGTTCAAATGTCAACAAAATTTGAGGAATCAAATTAACGATGCTTTCTGGATGCATATATTAAACCTATATGAAAAAACAAGCAGTACAGAATAAATTGATTAGTATAAATATAAAAGACACAAAGTTTGTTGACATTTTCATCTTGTACAGTGACTAACTAGAAAGCTCGAAACAGTTCTCACCGATTAAGGTAGAAATAGATATATCCAGTGCCGTCTCTGTTGAGTATTTTCTTTACTAACAGGTTCGATTTCGTCGTCATTACAGAATAACCAACATTTTGATGCATTACACCAAGCATCACATACATAGTGGCCTAAATGGAAATGTGATTCTCCTTTAAATTTCCTTTTTTTTTTGCTCTTGGCTTTTCTGTCTTGTCAAGTGTGAAGTCAAATTAGTTTGCAAAACTGAAGAAAATCAGAAATATAAGTCGAAACCAAATCCTTATATCAGTTTAACTTAAATAGGGAAAGATACTTTAAATATGTGTTTAAAGCTCTCAAAGATTCAAAATACCACTGTTTGTTTCTTTTCCCAAATAACTGATAACAGATACAAGTCGATATGACATCCGCGTGTTATCTTCCTTAAAACAATCTTATCATTTGTGCACATCATATAATGCATCTTTTGTGATTACACAGTACACATTTGTCAGTAGGAGAAAAAAACTCATTTATAAAACTTACATGAGAGCTGTATCAAAAAGACCCTCATCGCTATCGTCATGAACTTTTTCATCATAAATTAAAATATCCGGACTAAGAAAATACAGAGAGATTGCGATAGTGACATGATAAATTCCCATAAATTTTTTTTCTGATATGGAATCCTACTATAAAAATATAGTAAACTTCAGGACAATAAATCGTAATATTTTCATCACAAAAATTTATGGCTACTATTTTACTCGAAAAACCACTTGAAAAGCGTTGATTTTATAAACAAAGGAATTTACCTTTGGCTGAAAATATTCCTGCATAAAACTGGTATCACTGATATCAATTGAGCGGTTGAATATAACTTTGCTAAGGAAGATTTTATTCTAAATTTAACTTTTCATCATGATATGCCATGAAGCCTCACAAACTACTTAGTGTTGCTAAAAACTTCGTAAACAATTTGTAATTTTTCTCCTAAAAAATCAAGTAATATTAAAATTATAACACAGAAATTTTGGTTTGCACCGAAGGCACAAACACTGGAGAAAACAGACATTCTTCGGACTTCAGATAGACACCCTCCTTTTCACCAAAGCGATAATCTCAAATACTTATCTCTAAAAAATTTTAATACAAATCAACTGAAGAAATCCAAAAAAAGACTGATGAAGAAAAACATGAAAAATTATACCCTGCATCCAGAAAACTTGAAACCTAAACAAAAATCGGAAGAAATTTAAACTTCGTCATATTTCCTTATATCTATTATCATCACATCCTGAACGCTTAATCGAACATTTTCTTTCGGTTCGGAAATTTGTGAAGAAAGAATCTGGATTTAGTTTTCGTATTAAGGCAAATATATATATATATAATTTTTGAACTTCCAGAGCGCAAAATAAGCATAAACGGGTTTACAGTAGCTTACTTTCGTTATTATTAGCCGAGAACTTCGATCTGTAACAAAGCCATTGTTTCTTGTGAAAAACCCAAACATCAATAGAAAACATCGCTGCGAAAAGCATGAAGTTCCAATTCAGCTCCTATGCCAGTTTCTGCTAATATACTTATATGACAAGTCCAGCTGTCATTTGTCCAATTTTTTATAGCGATGAATTCATCTAGATGCTCCAACTCAAAGCTAATAACCTGCAACAAAAGAAATTATTAACTACTTCCAATTATCGGCCAATCTTCGAAACTAAAAATAAAGAACAAAAATATCATTTATTTTTTTTTCAGATCAAAACTAAAATTACAAAATCCTGCAGCACACAATAATCATTCTCAGCACCGGCAACTTAATATGCCAGTGACTAGAACAAGGAATTTCAGCTTCCTTTCATGTCTATCAAATGGAAAAGCTCATCTGCAACATCGATTTCGAGAACTGGAGACTGAGTCCTGAAATTTATTGCTAATCCAGCGCATTCAAATCGGTGAACCCATAAACCAGTCTGAATAGCCGTAGTGATATGGAAGCGATAGTAATAAGTGGTACATTAATTATGACATTAAGAAGCATAACCGTGCAATCATCGCACCAAGTATTGGTGTTAGGAAAATAGATTCCCTACTAAAGTTCAAAAACAGTGCTCAAAATTGAAACAGAAACTTACAACAAGTCGTTGGCAAATATTAAGCCAATATATTCATAAATCGTCCTTCACAATTCAGCGGCTTATAGGAATCGTTTGCCCTCCAAACTCGTTGAAAACTTCGTTCTTGAAAAACATTATCGAATGAGAAATAATTTTCCAGGTAATAATTTTGTAAACTTATCACTAATGAGTCTTTAACTGTTCACGGCTTGATTCACCGTTTACACTTGCTAAAATCAAAAGTATGAAAGATATTATCATTTTGAAATTTGGGTTTCAAACTCTACTTCACCACAGAAATTTTCAAACTCATTGCTTAGTGCGATAAGAGCCAACTGATTTCGCTTCAGTTCTCGCTATATTTGTGATTATCGTCTAGGAGATGGCATATCAAACTCACAAATTATCCGACATTCAATGTTGCTCAGATTTTCTCATAATTCTACCACATATTTAATTTGAATTCAAACTTACTCCATTTATACCTTGAAGATCGTCACTGATACTGTTCCCTTCCGATGATTCTTCGTCCGAGTTTCCAGTTACTTTTACATCAAAATCCATATTCGCAGCTGGCAGTGGTCTGACTAGCACTTTCGAATCCTTGTCATCATTTGGAGATTTAATTGATAAAGCATAACTAGTCTGCTGCGGTCGTGGAACATTTGTCTTCTTGAATCAAATTCGGACAAATATTAATTAATAAAGATTTAGGTGACATTATGGGATGCTCGGATTCTATTAAAAGAGAGGTGATGAGTGTTGTAACTGTCGTTTTGTAGAGTCTAGAGTCGAGTCCATTATCTGTTTTATAAGCAAAAAAAAAAAAAAATTTATTATTTAAAAATTTATAAAAAACTTTATAAAAAATTTATAAAAAACTTATAACATTTATGCAGGAACGACTCACATACCGAATTAAAGGATTATCAACTTGCAAGGAACCATGTGTAATACCAATCAATGGATTAGATAACTTGGATCGCTTTGCTATAGATTCCAACACAGAATCTAATGTGAGTTGGTCAAAGATTTCCTTAACTAAACAAAGATTTACAAGTAATTAGCAGGTGTTGCACGATTCCATATGGATTTCAGTTTTCTTTTTTGGCAAATTTTAAGGTCTGAATGTAAATTATAAGCATGCTAAAGTAAAAACTTGATTTATTCATAAATAAAAGAATAATGTAGAAAACGAACTACTTTCAACATCTGCTGAGTCAGCTTCTTGTTGATTTCTAACGATACTGAAAATTTAGGAAAAAAAATATTTCACCCTTTTTTAATAAGAGCCGATTATCTGTTTATATAACTGTTTCCTACTTTAACTTATCTTCTTACAAAGTTTATTATCGTCGTTCACGTTATGCTATCAGTAGAACTGGTCGAATTGATTTTTACTGTTTTCCCTCTTCACTTTTCTTCTTAATCCTTGAATTGTCATTGAGTGTTGTAACTGTCGTTTTGATTGTACGTCGTCGTTTTACCAGAATATTGTTTTTATCGTTGTCTTTCTCCACCTGTTGAATTTCTCTTCGTCGAAATTCACGTAGTTTAATACTCAACTTGGGTAATAAAACCTCAGTTGTTGTCGTCGATTGTTTTCCGCACTTCAAACTTGGGTAATTAAACCTGTTACTCGTTTGTCACCGTTAGTCACGAAAGATTATCCATCTATCAGTTAAAATGTCCTATGAACGTGTCGTCCTATTGGTGTCCTAAGAGCCAATCCCTCTTACTTATGCTCAATTATTTGAAACTTGATTCAAGATTTCATGTTTTCTGTCGGCAAATAGGTGCCTGGAAATTTTTAAACGCAAAAAAAAAATTCATTTCTTTTTCTTAAATCAATTTCGACAAGCTGACACGGTCTTTTTTACACTTCCATTTTAACCAAGATATCAGTCTATCATATGCTATCTGATTATTCAAGAATTGAAAACAAACTCTACATAATTTTAGAAAAAGTGAAACCACATTAGAGTGCTGAAATTAAACAGTGCAATGATCACAGCATATTTGCGGGTAATTTGAGCGAAACGGTTTAACTGATAACTTCTAAGTGATTTGATGACATACATATGAACATATCGAATATAAATTCTCGTCTGCGTGTTCCTCCACGTGAAACAAATAGTGATAATTTCCTCTAAATATTGGTGTAAAAGAAAGTTCAACGTTAAACCTTATTGATACATACTTTATATATTCATTACTACGTTTGCATCCAACTTTTAATTCTTGTGGCCACTTATTGTATGTTGTCTTTTATCAACTTTTTTTTTAACTCCTGTGCCACTGTGGTGACCAATATACACTTTCGCATATTGCCATCCACTCTTACGCAGCGGTTGCAATTACGCATTACTGTAATTGCATCTCTGTTTTAATTCTTGTGGATACTAATGCATCCACTGCCTATTAATATCCTCCACTTTATTTGCTGTACCTCTTTTTGAGAAAGTCTTACATTTGACAAATTTGGTTTCCATTCGTTTTTGCCGTTTCTAGCGTACGCAAAGATTGAGCAAGCGTTCCATCCAAATCATTGCTATGTTATTAATCATGCCTATAACATAATTTGGCTGAATCTGTAAATGAAAGAAAAAAAGGTGATATATAATTGTAGCATAGAAATTGTTTGAAATAATTCAACAAAAGTATATTCCAATTGAACAATTACCTGTAGCCTGTAGTAGCTATAGTAGCCCTTCGACTTCACCTTGAGTGTAGTAGTAACACTTATTAAGTATCTTGTTCTGGTCGTTATAATTCAACCTGCCTTATTACTTATTTTTCTCTAAATATCTCCTCTCTATTATTTATCATTTTAATCATCTGAGTTTTTATTATAATCGAACAATTTTACCTTCTCCATTGCACTTTTTTATCACCTTCACCTTGTACTGTATGATCTGCTGAGACGTTTATACGTTTCTTATCTTCAGCAAATCGTCCACTTAGCTGAGTCGATGATATATTTTTACAATGCGTACATTAAAAGAATTTCATTATCATAGTTATAAGTCAGAAGAAAAAGCGTGAAATATGTCTAGGTAACTGTCTATTTTCTTCAGGCGCTTTTTTCCAAAGTGTTTTTCTTCTTCAAGCGCTATTTTCCGAAATGTCTTGGAACTTTCCAGAATAGTGTAGCACAGTAGCTTAATCTACTTATGAAAACAAAATCATACCTCTATTATTCGTCCCAGGATTCTAGATTTAGGATGATTGCAGCGCAAATGTTACCAAATTACCGTAGGGAGAGGGAAGCAACAGTTCAAGAAACGCTAGCATTTTGCGCTGGATTTAGGGATAAGAGACGTGCGACTCGTAAGACTGCTAGAAAAATAGGCCCGTTTGTATCTAGTCCTGCAATCTCCCATAAAAGGCACGGAATTTTTAGGTAAAGCGCGAAATTTGAACCGTTGCCAGCAGCAACATTAACGTTTCCTCACAATGGCTACTGGCAGACCAGCTGCTGTTTTGTTGGCGAGGAGGTGGGGCAGTTTCGTGAGGGAAGTTCTTGCGGTAACTTTACTATCACTGATGTTATCTTTGAATGATTAACCTGACCTTTTCAGCTTGCTTACTCCAGATTTAAGTAGATAACGCCAAATGGCGCTAAAGGATTTTCTGACGAGGTAATTGGCTGGGAAACCTTATTTTATCATCCTCGATTTACTTACAATTATTTGCTAGCTTATGATAAAAAATTATCATTGAAAAGCAAAGTTTTTCAGGATATGTATCATGAAAAGAATGATGATTTTGAAGCTTAGTCAATTCAAAATTCAGGTTATCTTATCGTATTTTTTTCGAATTTCTTGATTCCTTTTTTGAATGTTAAATTAGATAATTTTGTCTTTTTTTTTTTTAACGTTCTTTCTTTACTTTCCAGCAGTGTTACAGCATGAAACAATTGCAATCATTATTATCTTTTGAGTTTCACTATAATAAAAAGAGTTATGATACTTGTACTGTAATAATGTTGCGGTCAAATTTTCACCAAGTTGTTATGCATAGATTTATTAGTAATATCAGCGGTATTCATGATTTTTCATCCCGATTTTATTTAAGCTGGCTAATTGCATATGAATTTTGAGGTACTCTATGGGTCGGCGGACACGTTTCTCTTCCGAAGGACAGGTATTTAGACAGTGAATGAAAAGCGACGAAAAATTGTTTTTGCAGTTGGCGCTTAGTAAGTCTTACGAATAGAATCAACACTACCAAGATTTTAAGAGTATTCTGGAATTCATTTCATTCTATAGATTCACCAAATGTACCCATACATTGCAGGTTACATCTTTTAAAACCATCTCAAACTTCCCTTGCATGGCACCTTCAGAGAATTGCATGATATCCTGTGTTAATGATCTCAATAAAACAACGTTTTTCATTGAATTTTAAGATTCAGAACGCATGATGAAAATGCATAAACTATTAGAAACTATATTATGCTTCGGTAAAGTTTCTGTTCCTTTTTTCTATTTCTGTTCCAAAAATTTTCATTTGTTAACATTGTAGGACATGATATGTGTATCTTCTTTATACCGGGCGTTAAAAATATCCAAATTATTCAGGGATATAATATGGCAATAGTTTGCAGATTATTTTCACTTCGTTCAAATATTTCTGATTAACACACAATTTATTTAATAATTTGCCTGTACAAATTTATCCGAATGATTTTTTTAACCAGATTACAATCAGTTCTCGATAGAAAACTTACCGGAATGTGGTCGAGATTTTTGGGACGAATTTGTGCAATAATGCTTTTCGTGATTTATTCTAGATTTTAGTAAAAAAATCTGCTAATCGAATTATACTTTTTCAAATATATTCGTTTATTATCAGTAATGTTAATTAAACAGTGTTGTGAATCTCTTCAATGCATCCCATGTATAGCTGTTTTTCTGGATGCATTTGCAGAACATATGCTAGATAATGACAATCAATTATTTGAAACTTGTTTCAAGATTTCATGTTTTCTGTCGGCAAATAGGCCGAACATACTATTACAGCAACTAAAAAATAAAAAGAGGGATTGTATATAGTGGATATAAGATCTTATTATTAACAAAGGATAAAGGGAAGGAGCTAACAAAGGAGTCAACCTAATAAACAACGTAGCGATGGGAAAAGCGTAATGGGATAATAAGCATACAAAAAAAGAAAAAAAAAAAATGGATATTTGATCTTAACAAAGAAGAATTCTCAGCGATATAAGCAGAGCAATTTCTCATTACAGAATTTACATTGGGTCGACGAGTTGAGGTATGGTGGTATTAGAGCGAGCTTAGGTCGTGTTAGAGGAAAACGGTTAGGAGCATGAGTAAGAGGGATTGGACCCAAGTTGAGTATTAAACTACGTGAATTTCGACGAAGAGAAATTCAACAGGTGGAGAAAGACAACGATAAAAACAATATTCTGGTAAAACGACGACGTACAATCAAAACGACAGTTACAACACTCAATGACAATTCAAGGATTAAGAAGAAAAGTGAAGAGGGAAAACAGTAAAAATCAATTCGACCAGTTCTACTGATAGCATAACGTGAACGACGATAATAAACTTTGTAAGAAGATAAGTTAAAGTAGGAAACAGTTATATAAACAGATAATCGGCTCTTATTAAAAAAGGGTGAAATATTTTTTTTCCTAAATTTTCAGTATCGTTAGAAATCAACAAGAAGCTGACTCAGCAGATGTTGAAAGTAGTTCGTTTTCTACATTATTCTTTTATTTATGAATAAATCAAGTTTTTACTTTAGCATGCTTATAATTTACATTCAGACCTTAAAATTTGCCAAAAAAGAAAACTGAAATCCATATGGAATCGTGCAACACCTGCTAATTACTTGTAAATCTTTGTTTAGTTAAGGAAATCTTTGACCAACTCACATTAGATTCTGTGTTGGAATCTATAGCAAAGCGATCCAAGTTATCTAATCCATTGATTGGTATTACACGTGGTTCCTTGCAAGTTGATAATCCTTTAATTCGGTATGTGAGTCGTTCCTGCATAAATTTTTCCTTTTTAATCTAATTTTAGATTCGTTGATTTTTTATTCTTTCCAGATCAACAAATTTCACCACGACGCGTGGAATAAATTTAGTAAGCCCTTATGAAGAAATATCAAAGTTTGAAGAGAAAGAAAACTTTCTAGTGATGTTTCCATGATCTGTAATGCAGTATGCCTTCATCATTGCTTTTTTGTTTTTTGAAACTTCTAAATGGACTATTTGATGCTTAAAACCAATGTAGGTGAAATTTCAAGAATACGTTATTGAGGTTATTTTGGGACAATCATTGAATAACTTGTGTTTTGATCTCTTGTAAATGCTTTATTATAGGATCGTCGTGGCAATGACCACATTAAAGCTTTGACAACTGATAATGTGGAGACATCTGGATATGTAAATGATAGTTTTATTCTTCTGCTTTTGTGTTCTTTTTTATCATTTTCTGGTAATTTAAAACATCAGTTGAATATTTTTGTTTTGCTATAGATTCGCGAATTTTGGTAGCACGTGTTATATGCTTTTCAAATGTTATTTTTGCAAAAGATCTTTTCAAAGTTTGTAAAATGGTCGAAGAACTTGGCTTGGATTTGGATGAAGAAATGCCGTTATGCTTGTTTGTATGCATTGCTTTCGTCTTTGATAACAATCTTGCAGTCACAAAGAGTTTGCTAGCAAATAGCTTTAACTGTTCTAATTTCTTTTTCTTCTCTTTATTTCTTACTTTTTGTTTCGTAAAAGAAACAAAAGAGCGGTTTCCATTGTAAGATCATTTGATTTGACGAATCGGAGTAAACAAAATATTCAGATTCAATACTTCTGTACTGAATTTCTGAAGCGAATATTTCCTATATAACATATATATATATATGGTATTAAGATTCTCTTTTGGATTAATGTAAACAATCCAAAAAGCACTGATAACAATTTCTTTTTTTACGTCTTTGCATCATTACTGCAGCAAATGTTAAAAAGCACGTAAATTCTAATTTACGGAATATCTTCTTTTTTTCTGTTCTCGTGAGTATAATAAATTGTTCAGAGCAGTTGCCAATCTTGCAAGCCAGCGTCACTGTACATCAAACAGTTTGAAGATGGCTTTTTTAGAAATGATCAAAGATATGTCAAATTTAGATTTCTGGAATGGTGAGCAACAGGTTATCCTTTAATTTGCACAAATTATTTTGAAATGATTATATTTGGATATTTTTATTTTCAGTTTCAAATCGTTTTGTTTAAATTTTTAATAACTGTTTGGTGGTTTTTCTACTTATTCTTATAAACAGAAGGGAAGATTTCCTAGTGTTATGTATATGCAGGCACGAAATGAATTGTTTTTTTACATGACAACATTTTTTATCTTGTACAGCTTGAGTTTGTCGACCAATTAAATGTAAATTTTTGTGGGAAATTTTCTTAATTGCAGGATGCACAAGAATTCCTTACAAACATTTTGAATATGATGCAAGAAGGATGTGACAAAATATTGCGTGAACAGCACAATATTGATTATCAGCAGGAAAGAAATAAATGAAATCCAATTACAGCAAATTTTGCATTTGTTATAGAATCTATGATAAGATGCAGGAGGTTCTTTTGATTTCTTTAATAGATCAGTGAGTTGTCATCTATGCCTTCAATATCCATCATCAGTTATAGTTGGCAATAAGCAAAATAAATATCTATTAAATATTGTTGATTCGGATCAATTATTCAAATGAGAAAATCAATTCAGATGTGAAGCAGTTACGAATAACAAAGAAGAAAGCATTATTTTACCGATTTCTATCCAAATGATGGACCAAAATGATTCCTGGTAAGTAAGTGTTTATTTCTCAAACATTTCTCCTCGATAAGATTAAAGTGAGAACGTCTTGTGGTAGTGTTTAAAAAAAGATTCACTCTTCAGGCAGATTTAAAAAAAAAAAAAAAAAAACATAAATTTTTTATCTTTAGATTATCAATTACAGTACAAGATTTGTTAAATGACAATTTATGATCTGAAGTAGTTGACAAGAAATGTGATTTATGCGGATGTAATAGTGCGAATAAAAGCCAGCAATTTACACGAATTCCGAGATAACTTTTTCACTTTCCTTAGTTAATGATAATAGTATTTAAATTTTGTCTTGTGCTTTCTTGCTAATTTTTACCAATTGTTTTCTGTATTAATTATTTTTACTAATGTTCTAAATGTACTAATTGTTAATTGTTTCAGATGTTTGAACATGTTTGTCAAACGTTATTCTTTCAACACAAGTGCAGCTGTAAAGCGCGACGATGAAATTGGAATTCTGCTTAAATCAAGATCTGGTCAGTGAATTAGAATCGTTTCCACCTTTGTCTTCTACTGCCAGGTAAGTATGCTATTTCTAGAAGCGTTTTTTTCTGAAGTGTTTCCAAGGTGATGAAAAATTGTTTAGAACTACAAGTTTCCGTTTAAGGAACGTCGATTTCGAGACTTCCAAGATGCTCAAAATAAGTCTTTTAAATTATGATAATAGAAATCGGGCAGAAGTTTTGTGTTGGATGTTATCAGAATAATGCAACTTAAAGGTGAGAAAAAAAAAACTGGAAGAGGAAAATTAGAAGCTCATGTTGAGTTTTAAAATGCTCGTTCTAAATGCATAAAATTTTCTCCGGTAATTTTTGGATTGTTTTTTCTATGTGATGAAATCTAACAAAATATATTATAATGATGCCATCAGTTGATTTTGGAAGGAAAAATAGGTTTAAAGGAGTTTTAAAAATGATTAGAGATAATTCCTGTAATATTTTACATTAAGAAAAAAGAAGTGCTACTTATTTTTGATCTTTTCTTTGCTTTAAAAAAGTGCAACTTTTATAACGTATCAGCGTTAGTATCGTAATCGTTCATCCATATTTTGATGATTAAGAAAATAGGTTAAATAGAATATCCGATGGATTTTCTCTTTTTGCAGGTTTACAAATAGTCGCTTAATGGATTTTGTTGTTGTAAGTTGTCCTTATTATCTCCTAAAATTTTTTTCAGTAACATTTGCAAGAATCTAAATTTCAATTAGCAATTATTTCACTGAAAATTGAACTGAATTTTATCACTTGAATGCTTGCCGGCTAATGTTATCATTTGCAACCATATTTGAAAGTGTATAAAATGTTCGCTTTATTTTTGTCATCATTATTTTCTTATTTATAATTGGTCATCATTATTTTTTCTTATTTATAATTTTTTTGCTTATTTTTGTCATCATTATTTTCTTATTTATAATTTTTTTTTTGCTGGAAGTTGTACGTCATCTTTTTTCTACAGACTGTCAAATTTTGACATGAACAACTACGTAGTATTAATATGATAGTTATCAGGACCAAACGTTTATTCTGTGTCGGCAAAATTTTATGTGCGCTCTTTCATTATGTTAACTTCGAACTAAGTGGTTATCAATGAAATTTTTTATTTTTAATTATATTAGCAATTTTTGCATTTATTAGACTAAAAGTATTCAATTTAGTCTCTCCTGTGTTTCAAACAAAACTGTCAAAGAAATTAAAAGTTGAAGAAAGGTTTTTTATGAAATTTTAAAACATTTTGTTATTCAACAGCATTTTTTTTTTAATTAGAATTGTCAAAAATATAGTCAGTTTCGTTTTGATGTGATAACTTATCGTATTTGTTTTATATTACATAAAATATCCATTGATAATCCATTTTTGATATAATGAAGCAAATACCATAAATTTACCATCGTTGCATTTTCTTTCTACGGACCGACAATAAGCATCATCTGGTATTGCTTTACATCTATTTGATTGCTGGACTATTCGTTTTGGTCATCATGATCATTCTCGATCACTATATCGTTCAATTAATATTTTAAGCATTTTTATGAATCATGATGTTGTGTATGGCTTATATCAAGTACAGCAAAATATTCGAGTTAATTAACTAATTAAAGTGTTAAATTTTTTTTCGTTTAGATTATCAAGAACTTTGTAAATCATTTTTAGGTTGTTAATTATAAGAGGATGTAATGCTTGCATAAATGAAAGCTGATGAATAGTTCAACCACTGATATTTAATGTCAGTGGTTGAAGAAATATTTAATTTAATTTATGCAGTAACATCTTTCTTTTAAGTTTATTTCATTCATTCATCATTCACTTCACTTGTTTAGACTTTTTTTCCTTTTTCGCTAAAGTAAGAAATTTTTTTTCCCATCCGAATACATGAAAAAAGCATTTAACATGCTTCTGCTAAGTTATTAAGTTTAAAAAGTTTGTTCGCACTATTCATCTAATAAAACCAAATTAGAATTTAGGTAGAAAAAAAGAACAAATTCAGAAGTGTCCCATTCACATTATGTGCTTGCTGAAAAAATATCTTTTTTAATGACATTTTTTCGATCAGTTCACTTATACTGAAATCAAAAATAAAAGTAATACAAGTTGGTAAATTTTGCATAAACTATATATAACGAATAACATGCATTAAAGTATGCATACATCAGTTAATTGAAAATTCCCGGTTTACCGATATTTTTCCTAACTTTCTAAGTTTACGTAACATTACGTTAATAGCAATAATGAAAATTGCAATAAGTAGAGTATTATCAACAATGATATTAATCTAAACGACATACGTGCCTTCAGTGATATTTATTCCTTATTATTTGTAAGAAATATCTTAAATGATATTCGTTCCCGATTATTCGTGCGAGATAAGCGTTACTTTTGTGATCATCTGATTGAACTAATAAGTTACTTTCGTGCATTATTTAGTTATATTACACAATTTTCTTCCAAATAAACAAATGGACACGTATACAAATATATATTTATATATTTTTTTCATCTCATTCAACGGAATTATAAACAGGTGTAACATTCCTGAAAGCTACTCCAATACAGCGCGTTTACTGAAAAAAAAAAAGTAAATGCATACGTTATTCCAAGGAAGTAAGCTGTAAACAGCAATTCTATTTCATTTATACCGGTTTTGTAAATACGGAAAAGGTCTTTTTTTTTTTTTTTTTTTTTTTTGTAAATAGGGAAAAAGATCTAGTTGATTAGTCACATGTTATTTTCCAAGATTTCTAGGTAAATATTTATCAATTGTGTAAGATTTTGAAGAATCACACTTGATCATACTTAATTATACAAATGTCCGTACAATAATTTTTCATTTTTAGTCTTCGTTTAAAAGAAAAAAGCTGATAAAATCTTTAGAAAATTTGATAAACCTGTCAACACTTAACTAATTGCAATTAGCTACTTTAATTACAAATTAATTAACCATTTTAATTAACTACGGAAAAAAAATCAGCTGCAAAATATTATCTTAAGTAATTTCATGCAATTTTTTGAATTATTTCATTTTATTTCAATAATTGTATGTTCTATTTGCACCAAACTTTTATCATTTCTAGAAGTACACTTGTCAAATTTTCAAATTTTCACGATTTATCTATTTCAATATTCATTTATTCTCTTTTCTTTCATTATTATTAATTATTTCCCACTAAATCTATGTTTAATCCTTTAAAAAAAAAAAAAGAAAAAAAGAACATATACTTTATTTTCCTAACGTATTTTTTGCTGGTATATACCGGGAATAATAATATAAATGATTCAGTGCTAGATATTGTTAGTTCATAGTTAAATAGTAATAGCACATTTAATATTTTATAATTTAAAACATGTTATGGTATAGTTTTAAGAGTTTATTTTATCACCAATATATTTTGCATTTCTCTTTCTTCTCGTAATGATGGATAAGGAAAATTTGTCTCGTTTCTAAAATAATAAAAAAAAAAGATTCTTTTCCAAAAAAAGTTTTTTTTGTAATTCCGATAAAAACGGATAAAGAAATTTTTCAAATTGAAAGAATTAAGAAGCAGAGAGTAGTAATATTTACATACATAGTATAATTAAGATAACAAAAATGAAGGAAATAATTAAATAAAATAAACAAGTAAGTAAACAAATTACAAATAATTCAATAAATGTTTAATTTGATTTTTTTTTTTTTCTATTAACAAAATTCATAATTTACAATTTCTAACTTTTTTTTCTTTCACCATCATATTAGTTAAAGCAAATATGAAGTGCATTTCAATGCATGCATGTGTGTGTGCATGTATGTGTGTGTGTGCATGTGTATGTGTGTTTACAGTTGCTTGTAATCCTATACAAATTGGAAAGATGATAGTTATTCAATATATAATGACAAAAAAAAATTTTTCTTGTGTATAGACACAGACAGACACACACACACACAGGTATTTATATATATTTGTTTATATACAATGTGATGGTTATTCGGTCGCAGATTCCCTTCTTTTTTTAAACTTTCTCTATTGTCCCTCTCTCTTCTTTTACCCTCTCTGCTTCTCTCTTTCTCGAAAGAAATAGAAAAAAAATTTTTAAACCATTGAATTTAATATTGTAATTTGATGATTGATACATAATATATAAATATGTAGTAGCAGACAGAGAATGAGAGGAAGGAAGGGAGAGCAAAGAGAGGAGGAAAGATGAAAAGGGAGATGAAATAAGGGAGAGAGAGAGAGAAAGAGGGAGTTATCACAATAAAATGCTATAATCCATCTCATCAAAAACTTTGGTTTCAATATATATCAGTTGTATCGTTATGCGCTCCTGGAAATTATAATTGTTACCTTTAGGATATGAACAAAAGTTTTTTTTAAAAATATTTTTTTTCCTTCCCTTTTTAAATTTAGTTATAATAGAGATAGTAATAGTAGTAGTAGTGTGAGAAGGATAGCATCATTAATTCGTCATGGTTATGTCAAAGAATAGTGCTTCCCCTTCTGTTGTCATTGGAATTTTCGTACCCACTCATTTCCCAATCATACGACACAGATGTTTCACAGATGGTATTACCATTTGTTGTAACTGTTGTTACTTTCAACTATTTCTCTTTTCATTTGTGGTAATTTTCTCTCCAAAGTTTAATGATTTATTATGTTATCCGAATGAAAAAAAAAAGGGATGAAAAAAAAGAACAAGAAAAAAAACAAAAGAGACGCATGAATTATGTACAGATTCAATGATATAATTAAAACAAATATTGTAATCTTTTTCGTCTTGTTCCAAGGTTAAATTAATTAAAATTGAGTTAATTATAATGATTCAGTATGATTGTTTCTTTCTACTTTTTTTTTAATCCTTTTTTTTTTTCATCTTGAAATTTCTAGTTTTTTTTGTTAATTAGTTTATTTTAATTAGTTTGTTGTTTTTTTTTTGTCTATCACATTAAATAACGTGTAAGGTAATTGCTGTAATTTTTTTTTCTTTGTTTCCTTTTGCTACATGTAATTAACTTAGATTTTACTTTTAGAAAAAATTTTCGAACCTATTTCGCAAATATTTCATTTTATATTTGTAACCTGTAGAATTATTGCTGATTATGACTCAGTTCTGATATTTAAATTTATTTTTGTTATTTTAGAGGGTTTTCATTTGATCATTTTGGTATGCGCCCTTCTCATTCTGTAGCACAATGCGCATTGGTGCTCTGTTTCCTTTTTCCATCATCAGTTGAGCATGGTATGTTCGTTTTAGTTCTTTTTTTTTCTCCTACTTTTTCTCTTCTTTTTGCTTTTCCTTTCATTAAAATGAGCATATTTCGAAATGTAAAATTTCAAATGATGAATACAACTTTAAAAATTCTTCTAGATCATAAGTTTTTATATATTTACATATGTGAATTATCAAATGACTAAATGGTTTCGTTTAACTTAAAAAATCGAGTTTATGAATAGAAATGGTATACATAATAATGAAAACGAAAATTTATTTTTATTTCAAAAAATTACAATCGTTTTATTTCATGATCTTACCGATGATAATAAAAAAAAATTTTTTTTTTGAGAACCACCAGAAGAAGATGTATGTAATGAACGGTCATGTTATCCTGCAACTGGCAATCTTCTAATTGGACGGAAGAAAAGTCTCAGTGCAACGTCAACATGTGGTTTACATGGTCGACAACGTTATTGTATTGTATCACACTTAGAAGAGCAAACAAAATGTTTTTATTGTGACAGTAGAACAGAGTGGAAACCAAATCGGGAGCCATATAAATTGAGTCATAGGTATGTATGCATCTTTTAGAGTAATACATTAAAATGATTTTATCAATTTATTGCTTATTTACATATCTTAAGATGTAAACAGTTTTGCGATATTATTGGTATACTTTCAGTATCGTCAGAGTATGATACTTTTATGTGTATTTAGCGCTGTTAATATTCTACTACCTCTTCATGTTTTAAAAATGCTCCAATGCTTACATCAGTGTCTGATTTAATCAATATATTTATATTTGTTGATGCACTTATTTATACTTGTTATTTGAGGATTGAAAATGTAGTTTCGGAGTCATATGAAGATCGTAATAGGAATTGGTGGCAGTCAGAAAATGGCGTACAAAATGTTTCAATACGGCTGGATCTCGAAGCTGAATTTCATTTTACTCATTTGATCATAACATTCAAATCTTTTCGTCCCGCTGCTATGATTATTGAACGTTCAGCTGATTATGCAAAGACATGGTTAAGATTTTTTTCGTTAATTCACTTTGACGTACGAATTATTTTACTGCATTTGTCGGAAAGCATTTTTTAATACAAAGGGTAATTAAACGAGTGAGAAGAAACAATAAATGGGTTTTAAACTTTCCCGAGAGTCTCAGTTTTCTCTACATGGGCGTTAAGGGACAGTGAGTGTGAACAATTGATATAGGGCACGAATTTCAGGACTCCATATAGATATTTTGCATACGATTGTCAAAATACCTTCCCAAACATTCCTGAAAGACCCCCGAAAAAACATACAGATGTCATTTGCACAAGACGGTACAGCGATGTTGCTCCTTCTACGGGTGGCGAAGTTCGTTTAGTATTTTTTTCTTCCAAATTTCTTAGTTTCTGGAAATATTCTTAGTTCTATGACATTTGAATCCATTGAAATCTGTTTTTAACGAATATGTTGTTATCATGATATTGGAAATTTCAGTTAGTCTACAAAGTAATCTCACCACATATTCCGACGGAAAATCCATATGCTGATGAGATTGCAAATTTATTGAAAGTGACGAATATTCGAATCAATTTCACTAAGCTTCATACACTTGGTGATGATTTGTTGGATTACAGGTAGTTTTCATTTTTTCAACAATTTTGATTAACATAAATTCGGACATCTCTCGATGGATTTTTTTTTTTTCCAAAATGAAAGAGAATGCGGTAAGGTGACGGTAGTACTGTTTGATTATTTAATATGTGAGTCTTTAACATGGAAAAGGCTTTTGATACTTGCATGTGCTAATATCAGGTTCAAGATATTATTTGAATTTGTCTGATTGATCATTATCAGTTTTCTTTCTACTGATTTTAAAATGTAAGGCAAATGTTGAAAAAGTACATTAGAAATAAATGCTTCGTTGACCTTCCTTGAAAAATTATTTCTCGTATGAATCTGAATCCATGCACAAGTTATCTTAATTTTAGACCAGAAATAGATGAGAAATATTATTACGCCATCTATGAATTGGTCGTTCGTGGGTCATGCTCTTGCTATGGTCATGCTCAGCGTTGCATACCAATGGATAATGCTGCCCGAGTTTCTGTTCCTTATAGGGCTGATATGGTACTATTTTGTTCAGTTGATAGTTTTTTTTTTTTTTATATATTTTGAAACTAACTATATTTCCTTAGGAAGGCATAAATATGGTAACCCTGTTATTTTAAAAAAACCTGCTTAATATCGTTAATGTTATTCAGAAAATTTATTTTAAGTGAAGTTTCGACCCTTTCAGGTACATGGACGATGTGAGTGCACTCACAACACAAAGGGATTAAATTGTGAACAGTGCATGGATTTCTTCAATGATTTACCGTGGCGTCCAGCGATTGGTGATGACTCAAACGAATGCAAACGATGCGAATGCAACGGTCATGCAGCAAGGTGTCATTTCGATCGTGCAGTCTATCAAGCTTCTGGTAAATTTTCATTTTCATTAAACCAAAACTTGAGAAATTTCTTAGGTTTCAGTAGTTTTATTTTAATTTTATTCTATGAAAATCCAAGAATTTTTTATCAGCCGAACTAGTGGAAAAAATAGAATATGGAGTATCCGTAAGTAATTTCATGATAGCTATTTAGATTTCATTCTCTAGGACCTCTTTTTCCCAAATTCCTTCTTTTTCCATTGCTTTGTATCCTTTTATCTGCTTACCAATCTTTGATCTTTAATAATTTGAGATTTTTTGCAGGATTCGTATCAGGCGGAGTGTGTGACGAATGCTTGCACAATACTCAAGGCAAAAACTGTGAGCAGTGCAAGCCATATTTCTATCGGAATCCGGATCGACCAATTACTGATCCATACGTTTGTTTACCCTGCAAATGTGACAAGGTTTGGCTCGTTTACTTTATTTGTTCGTTTAGTCTGTTTAATCTTGTTTAGTCGGTTCTTGCTGAAATGTGGTTCTTTTACAGACTGGTTCCTTAAATGATGGAATCTGTGAAGGTGAAGAAGATTCAGAGCGGGGCCTTGTTGCTGGCAAGTGCTACTGTAAATCGAATGTTGAAGGGCCATGGCAAGTTTCTAATTTTGGGGCTATTCCGGATAGTAACTTTCGGTTAGGATCATAGTTCAGACATTTATCTAAAGTTATCGATAATTTTGCTATCATTATTTCAGGTGTGACCATTGTAAAAATGGATTTTGGAAATTGACAGCTGACGATCCAAATGGTTGTCGTCCATGTAGTTGCGATTTATTAGGCTCATTCAACAATGAGGGATGTAATAAGCAAACTGGCGAATGCCTTTGCAAACAGCTTGTTACTGGTGATGCCTGTGACAAATGCTTGGTTGGTTTTTTTTTTTATTTGTGAATTAGTTCCAGAGGTTAAAATATCAAGTAGACATTAAGTTCATTCGTTTTTATGTAATCGGAATGACATGTTTTTAGCCGGAGCATTACGGACTAAGTGATGATCTATACGGCTGTAAACCTTGTGATTGTGATTTGGGTGGATCAGTTGATAATCACTGTGATGTTATTACCGGACAATGCAAATGTAGGAGAAACTTTAGCGGTCGACGTTGTGACACTGCCGAAAGTGCTTATTATTGTCCATCTATTAATCATTATACATTGGAAGCAGAGGAGGCAGAAATTACTGATGTAAGTATCGCAATAAATTTTGGAATGATTCTGTTGCGTACGTTGGTAAAGTACTGATAATGATAACATCCACTCAAAAATTTCTATTCACTAACTTACAGGGACAAATCGAATTCAGAGAGCTTCCAGTATTTGTAAGAGATCATACATGGACAGGCGATGGCTTTGTTAGAGCCAGTGAACATACTCAATTAGTATTCAAAATTGACAACCTTGCTCAAAGCATGCATTACAATATCATTATCAAATATGAACCAATGCAAGTACGAATTCAAGGATTTATTGGATATGTTTACTATTATATTATTTAATTGTGACTTTTTCGGAAAGAAATATTTGTGACAAAATTTATTTTCAGGATGATATTGGGTGGGAAAATATACAATTAACAGTTGTACGGCCTACAGATCCATCAGTCGATGGAGTCTGTAAGAATCTTTCACCTTCGGATGATTTCTTAACTGCAAAATTTCATCCTAATTCAGGGTACGTTGAGGTAAGAATCTTCCTTGCAGTTTTTTATTTCAGTATATTTTCTTTTTTTATTATTATGATAGACAAGCAAGTTTGACTTTTGTCATTTCCACTTGATCATTATTTGATATATATTATATTGTTTTTTTCTCCTTAAATCGTACAGTTTTTCTTAAGCATTATGTATTAATCTGAAAAATTTTAGGTTGTGCCGGATGTTTGTTTAGAAGCTGACGTTCCATACGAAATTCTTGTGCAAATGGGAGAAAAGCGAACTAAAGTAAGCGACAGAACAGCTACTGTACTCATTGATTCAATAGTTCTTGTCCCACCTACCGAAGAACTTTTCATTTCACAAGGAATTTCTGCTGACAATCATCACAGGTAATTATCTCTTAAGTGCGTGTCATAGATATATTCTGAGGCAATCTTTAGTTCTTTATAAAAAATCTAACGATAACATATATTTATAATTTTAGAGTGGAGTACGAGCGCTCTCAGTGCAGAACACAACAGTTATCTTTAACGCCGATATCAGATTTGCCAGACGTATGCGTTCGCTATATTTGTCCAGTCGCAGCAATGTTATTAAATCGTAGTTTGGAATGTGAATGTGATGCTACAGGTTCACGTTCCGGAATATGCTCCGGCAAGGGTGGGCAATGCGATTGTAAACCGAATGTTATTGGAAGAAGGTTGAACTGTTTATTGAGTCTGTTTATAGTTTATTGTTTTTAATTTGTGCTTGAAGTTGAAATTTTACTTCCTCCTAGATTGGGAAACTGGGCTCGTTTTGAGGTGTTTTTTCGGGATATTTGTCATTATTACTGTTATAATTACTATTTAATGAAAATATATTTTTTTTTTTTTTGTGTGGAGAAATAATATTTAATTTAGTCGACAGGGATAAATTATCTTCATCTCACCTATCTGTTACATTATCTCCGTAAATATACATCAGAATAAAATTTGATTTAAACTTAATCTTATTTGAGGTGCGATCGGTGTGCAGTTGGAACATATGGTTTTGGTCCTTCCGGTTGTACATCATGTGAATGTGATAGTGTTGGCTCATTAAATAATAACTGTAACCGCCAAAGCGGCCAATGTAGTTGCAGGGAACGTGGAATTACCGGAAGGTACCGCTACTTTTTTTCGTATATTTTCTTCCCCACTTATTAAAAAAATATATATATATATATCCAAGTGTCAGTTTTATTCTTTGTAGAATTTTCTTTTATATATATATAGATCCAATTTTATATATATATATATCCATCCAAGTGTCAGTTTTATTCTTTGTAGAATTTTCTTTTATATATATATATATATCCAAGTGTCAGTTTTATTCTTTGTAGAAGTGTCAGTTTTATTCTTTGTAGAATTTGTAGAATTTATTCTTTGTAGAATTATTAGTTTTCTTTATATAATCAGGAAAAATTTTAGTGTTCACAGTTCTAAAACATCCTTGTAATGCCTGTGAAATAATGGTAGGTATTAAGGATATTTTATTATTTTAGCTTTCCACATTTATGTATAATCCTCAGAACAAAGTTATCATTTCCGTCTATTTTTAGGCAATGTAATCAGTGTCAGCCAGGATTTTGGTCATTTCCAGATTGCCGTGTCTGCCAGTGCAATGATCATGCTTCCATATGTGATCAGAAAACTGGAGCTTGTATTGATTGTCTTGACCTTACTGATGGTTATTATTGCGATCATTGCAAGGTAGCGGAATTATAATATAAATTCAGTAGAGTGTAAAATTCATTTAATATTCTTGAAATATAGTAGTTTCACGCTTACAGAGATAATTTTTCACTCATTTATAATATGCACACTGTGTTTCAACTTTCCGAACAAGTCATTTGCTTAACTGCTACACATTTACTTTTAGCCAAGTATTGTGTAAATTTTTGTGCATATGTTGTATAGTCTTGTTCTCATTCATAAACAGATTACATGAAAATGCAAAGTATTGATTTTTTTTTTAAAGGATGGTTATTATGGTGACCCACGACTTGGTATCAATTTGTCATGTAAGCCATGTCCTTGTCCTGGTGGTCTGGATAGTGGTTTCCAACATGCAGATACATGCTATCTTCGTCCTAGTGAACATTCGGAAGCTCCTGATGTAGTTTGTAACTGCAGGTATAGTTGAGCTAATTTTACAAATTACGTGCAAATTTACCACTAACTGTGATTCATATCATAATTAAATTTGAAATATCAGCATCTTTATTGCAGAATAGGATATACTGGTGAACGCTGTTCTTCATGTGCGGTAAATCATTGGGGAAATCCGAATGAATTAGGTGGGACTTGTGAACCATGTGAATGCAATGGTAACATTGATGTGAATGTCGAAGGAAGTTGTGATCCAGTGACTGGCGATTGTATTAAATGTCTTCATAACACGGAAGGTGCACAATGTGAGGATTGCATGGAGGGTTATTATGGTGATGCGAAGATACGAAGCTGTCAAAAGTAAGTAGTTAAAATTAATCATTTAAGTTCATGTGGTTCAACGTTTAGTTTAAATTTTTCTCCAATTTTATATTTGTAGTTGCGTAACTTTAGTTCTAAAAAAAAAAAAAAATGAAATTTGTGAACTTTCATAAAATTAGTGTAAATTTACTGGCTCCTAAGCAGTATAAAAATAAATTTGATGTAGATAGATTACAGGGACTTTACTAAACCTATTTGATTCATCTCTAACGGTATCTGTAGCTTTGGGTTTTTTCAAGGCTGTTCAGTCATCCCGTTCACTGTTTTTTTATTTCGTTATCCTGATTTGGTTTACTGATGAATTGACCATTGTTTATGTTTACACAGATGTGTTTGTAACGATCTGGGAACAAATAGAACAGCTGGAGCATGTGATCGTGTTACCGGCCAATGTCCATGTTTACCAAATGTTATAGGGATAGCGTGTGATTTATGTGCCGTTCATCATTTCGATTTGGCTAGTGGTAGTGCATTTGTTTAAATAATATTATTTTATTACTATGTTCATTTGTTTTTTCTATGATTGCGTGCTGGAAGGGAGGTTTATTCACTGAATGACGTTAGCATGTCATGTAATAAAACTTCGAAATGATTTGTATCGTAAATTACTTTTTTTAAGGAAAAGGTTGCGAACCATGCAAATGTGATCCAACTGGTGTTATTCTTAGTGATGATGGTATGTCTCAATTGCAATGTAATGAATTGGATGGACGATGTTACTGTAAGCCAGGAAGAGGAGGACGTACATGGTAATTAATGCTCCTTTTTTTTTTTTTTTTTTTTTTTTTTTTTAAGTTTATTTCTTGAATTTGCGAGACTTTCTATATTTTTTGTAGTTCGGATTGTGAGGATTATCACTGGGGTGATCCAGCAACTGGTGAATGTCGTAAATGTGAGTGTGACCGAATTGGTTCAGCTACCCAACAGTGTGATCGTAACAATGGTTCATGTATTTGTTTACCTGGCTCAGGAGGTAAGCTAGTTTTTTTCTATTTTCAAAATGCTGATTAAATTTTTATTTTAATTATACCGATAACTATTTCAGGGCCATTATGTAATATGTGTGCTCGTGGTTATACCGGTCAATGGCCACGATGTCAAGCTTGTGGTGAATGTTTCCAAAATTGGGATGAAATCATTCAAGATTTGAGAAATCAAGTTGAAGCTCTGATTGGTAAATTCTTGTTTATTTTAATTAATGAAGACCATAATGATGATTGGTGCATTATGGAGAGCAAAAAAAAGTGAAAATTTCCTTTTTTTGGTAAAAATGAACTTTTTGAAGTAAGAACTAAAAATTGTTCTGGATGAAGTAAGTTTTAACACCATAACTGTATTTTGGAATTTATTTTCAAGTTTCATTTTTTTATTTGAAATAATTTTTCAGAAACAGCTAAAAACGTTGAAGATACAGGCGTTGCCTCTGTTTATGATAATGAATTTGAAAAAATGGAAAACAGTCTGTTGGATTTAAAGACACAGCTGGAATCAGCAAATATAACACGAAGGAATGTGATTGGGTTGCAAAATGAAATTGATAAACTTCGACAAAATGTATCTATCTAACATATTTGCGTGTTTGTTGTATCATGATCTTTTTTTTTTTACGCGTAAATTCTTCAATTGTTAAGAAAGTTTAACGCATTTTTTTTTTTTTTGTTTTGTTTTGTTTTGTTTTCGTATTTTAATTACTTTTCGTTTTATTGCAGATCAATTTGAAAAAAGAATTGTTGAATTCTGTTGGAGGACGTATAACTGAAATTTCAAGCAATGTCGATGGAGCTGATTTAGAATTGAAATCATTAGTCGAAGAAGCTGACAGACTTACGGAAAAGTCACAGGCATTTCAAGAAAATGCAACATTATTACGAGTTACTGACGTACAGGTGATAGTCATTATTTTACTTTTGCTTGAAAATGAAAAATAATATTTGCTGCATGTTTTCTTTTTATATTTCAATAACTTCTTGATCTGTTCTTCAGAAAACATAAGAGATTTCTCTTGTTCTCAGAATAATGAATTAAGGCACTGTTGTCTACCTTTGGTAGAGGTACTGTTGTCAGTTACTTTTTATTTCATGTATAACTCTCATAGTTTTTTGGTTTTACTTAGGAGAGTAAGAAGTATTAGGGTTAAATAAATTGATTTTATTAAAAATTGTTTATATTTAATCAGTTTTTTTATACTATCAGGGCGCATACAATATCACTCGGGAATCAGCTGAAAAATCATCTGCTGCAAAGCTGCGCACTGACCAAGCAGATTTAAAAATTACCAGTGCTGAAAGCAGTAGACAGGAAGCAATACAACTGTTGGATAACAATCAACTTGATTTTGAGAAACAGTTCAGTGAAAATGAAATGGCTTTGGTACGAATTGATAAGCAGGTATATTTTTTACAAATCATGTAGAGGAATTAGTTTACACTTCTTTTCATCTTGCGAAATATTTACTAAGCGCTCTTTAGCTGGCAAATTTCGAAACTGTATTGCCGATGCTGAATAGAGACGTTTGCGGTGCAGAATCAGCTCCTTGTGATCAACTATGTGGTGGACCGGGATCTTGTGGTCATTGTGGTGGACGGTCATGTCTTTCCGGTTCTGTGAGCAAAGCCGAAATGGCGAAAAAGTTTGCTGATGAAGCAGATCAAAAGTTAAATGAGAAGCAGAAAGAAGCAGAAGAGGTTTGTGACTAATCAGTTTTCTTCTTTCTTTTAGTGTATGATGATAATTTGGGAATGAATAAATTAATCGGAATATTTGCACTATTGGAATTGTTTTTTCCAAAAAGTTTTATCTGTATATACATCAATGAGTGATTATTCTTATAAGTTATGATAATGAAGAACGATTTTTTTTTTTTTGAAGATTTTTAATACATTAGTACTAATAATAGTGGTCAGTGGCTCTAAACATTTCTTAATTTTACTACTTTTCGAATAATTCTGGTATTTGAATTCATTCTTTGCAGGTTCTTGGTCGTATACGAGAAATATTACAACAAACTTTCATTACAAAAAACAAAGCTAAAGATGGCCATGATATTGCTGAAGCGGCAGCTAGACAGGTTGCTTACCTCGTTCTCTACCAAGGACAGTTTTTTTTTTTTTTTTTTTTTTTTTTTAAGCTGAAATAAATTACTGACTTTAACATTTAATCAAAATATTTTGTTTTCTGGCAAATCAAACTCGAGCATCTCTGGAAGAAATTTTGGATCAAATGAAGGAATTCATTGATAATAACCAACGTTCTAGTCCAGAACAAATACGAGCATTAGCTGAAGAGATAAAAATGGCAAAAATATCTCTTACATCTGATCAAATTGAGGAACTGGCAGATCAGGTTAGTTTTCGTTATATTAACATAATTTTAAGTTAAATCATAATTATGAAATTTCGTTTTTTATTCCAGGGAAAAAATATGGAAATCTTTTTCTTACTAATAGAATATTCTCTTCCTCTTTCTTTAGGTTCGCGAGAGACTGCTTAATATCAATAATATTGATATTATATTGAATGAAACACGAGGTAATAAGACAATTGCTGAAGCTTTACAAAAATCTGCAGAATTGGCAAGTATGCGTGCAGCTGAAATCAGGTATGTGCTTGTTGTGAGTGTGAAATATAGTGAAATTATATTTATTGGACTAAATAAAAACTTTGCAATTCAGTTAACTGTCCTTGAAATTTAAAACGTTAAATTTTTTTTTTCTGGTTCATAAGTGATTTTAAAATCATATTATTACTTATATAGAAAAATTTTATTATAGAAACACTACAACAGTGGTACGCCAAGCCTTACAAAGAGCTGGTACAGCACAGGAAGTAGCTAAAGGTGCGATAAAGAATGCAACGGAGCAAGTTATGGATGCTCGGTTGGTTCTTTTTCAGAAAAAGATCAATTTTTTTGTGTCCTGTTACTACGTAGGAGGTAGAAGTACATATTTTTTTTTTTATTAATAACACAATGTGTGCTTTTAAATGCGCAATTTTTCAATTTTGAATGAAGCTTTATAATTTAGGAATGACTTGAATAGTGCAACCGATGAGTTACGACTTGTGGAAATATCGACAGCAAAAACAAATGAAACATTAGTAAAATTGGAAAGTGCAATGAAAGATATTAATGTGCAGTATTTATCGATATCTGAAGATACGAAATATGCATACGAAGCTGCTGATAAAGCCATACGTCAGGCAGAATTTGCTGAAGTAGCCAGTGAGCAACTCGAGGTAATTTTTTGTTTTAGGAAACAAAAAAAAAAAAAAATAGCAGTGATACATTTTTTTTTTTCAGTAATTAAATTGCACATGATTTAACATAAAAGATCCTTATCATTACTTAGAAAAAAAAAAGATAAGATTACTAAAGATATAATTCAGATTAGAAGGTTGCAATAAATGATCATTTGCTATTTTCTGCTTGTTAATGGTTACGAAAATGTATGTGAATTCATATAAATATGACATGAACTATGTCATACTGTATGTTTAACTTGCTCATTTTATATATTAATCATTTTCAGGTTTCGTTTGAAAAAGCTAAAGAACTTTTGTCGTCGCAAAATATTGGTAATGAATTACCTCAAGCAAGAGCTGAAGAATTGCGTAAACGAGCAACACAGCTTTTGCATAAGACACAGCGACACCGTAGCGATATCTCACGTATGTTACACTGACTAATTTTTTTCTGTTTATTTTAAACCTTATGTTGAAATGAAATATCACTTATCTGTTGTAAGTTTGAGTCATGCAAAAATTTCTTATGTTATTTATACAAGATAAACTTTAAAATATTCTTTATTTTACAGAACTTTCCGCTAACATGGATGCATTTGATGTGCGCTTAGCGGATTATAATCGTGAACTGAGTGAACTTCATTCAAGGATCGATACAGTTACCACTCAGGTACATAAACAAATCGAATACTACTCAACATGCGATATTTAGATACACCAAGTTGTAGCCATATTTTCCTCTTATCGTTATGTTTTGTTTTGATCTTCATATTGAAATGAAATGGCTATTTGTCGATGGAAACAAAAAAAAAAGAAAACCAGAAATTTTAAAATTCATTGAAAAATTTTTAGTCAGTTAATCTTCCCTTAACTTCATGCTAATACTAATTATCATTTGATGTAATGCACAAGTTACAGCTAATCTACCGATTGATTTAAGCGACTGTATAGAACTAAATATATCAAACTTCTATTTCGTTTTTGCACTCATAAATAAGCGAAATAAAAAGGAAATTCAAATTTGAGCGGTATTTTGGTAATTAATTCAATATAGTCGCTGACATATATTTGTCTCTTTGTGCTCTCTAAAAATCTCACTATTTCTCGAAGAAATTTCTCATCTTTTTCATTGTTGTCTTTCTATATCAACTCAGCTAATTATTTCCACTATCACTGTCATTATCATCATTTGTAAAGCATACTTTTTTTCTCTTATTTTAACTATCAGTTAATTGGATCATCATCGTATGGTAGAACTGCCAAAAAATGCAACAATGGTGCTTTGCTATTGTTAACATTTGGTCTATTTATTTCTATTTCTTAGATGTCACTTATATAATGATCCATTTTTCATTCATTATACAAATTTATTGTGCCTTAAAATGTCTGAAATTTTCAAATTTTAATATTTTTCTGTGCATTTTTGAATTTAACAGAACTTAATTCAATCCCTTTTTTTTTTTTTTTCGTTTTCTTATTCCTCCTCATTTTAGTTTTCGATTTCAAAAATTTGCTTAACATTTCTTTCTCATATCGTTTTTCGCTTTTTGTTTTTATTTCATCGTTGTTGTTTTTTATCGTTTTTTAATGATTATTTGCCAACCAATTCTACCTGCCATTTCGCTTCTCAATGTTTTTCTTTTCGCTTATCTACTTTATTATTGATTAACTGATTGTTAAAAATATTTTCGAAAGAAAAATAATAATAAGCCTATAATTTTTTTTTGTCATTTCTCATATTGCGAGAAGAGGGAAAATTAGTTTTCTTTTTCTTGTATCTTGGTTTTGATCTTGCTCTACTGGAGTTTTTACAGGTGAAAGCAGAAATAAAGCAAACTTTTTTCCCGATTTATTCCATAGTTGTGCATATTGACTTTATCACTACCTTTTTCCTGATACGATCATTTTATAGCTAAATTGTATAGAATTTGGTAAATTTGGAATTTTATTTTATAATTTTTAGAAAATTTCTATTTTAAAACAAATCGAACAAAATTTCAACTAATGATGCATCTTTTATAATTCGCTGTTGCTTCATATCCATATCATTAGCGCTGAATATAATTCATAATTACCTCAACATGCAAATCTCCTAATTGTTAAATAAATCCCGTATATTTCATGTGAATGAATATTTGTGAAATTAAGTTAATTTATAATCAAGTTAATTTAGCGATTCTTTTGTTTTTTTTATGTGCATGAAATGGGTATTTCTTCATTCCAAATAAGTTTAAACTTGTAGTAGCAAAGTTTATTTTGATCTTTTAACTAGTAAAACAAAGGATAGTTGTATAATTAATTTCAACAAATGGAAATATTTTATGGAATTTTGTCACAAAATTTATTTCAATTTTTGAAATAAATTTTTTTCATCAAAAATTAAAAATCTTATATACCTGATAATTATGGTAAAATATTGAAATATTGATATAAGACATAAAATATTTTGCTTTGATATATGAATTCTTGATAAAAAGGAAGCATGAAGATATAAGTATAAATAAATAAATTAAATAAAGATATATATTACATAGTAGTACTAGCAAATAACAAGCAAATAACAAATAACATGATAAATGAATATCATTAATTATTGGTAAAATAATAGTAGGATGAATAATAAAAGAAAAGGAGGGAAAAAAATTAGTGCTTAAGTAATCAACGAAAGAATCACGCATGAATAATTCCCGTGTCAACACATTAACGAATAGATATAAATGGCCATTGTATGTACATTCGTGAATTCACGCATATATGCAATATATTTCTATAGAATGCTTATAACATATGCTAATTCTTATATATTAAAGCGTAAAAGATTGATTCGTATTTGTTCATTTTAAAAGTCTCACTTTTTCTTATTAATCTTATTTTATTGATTATCAACAAATTGAAATGTCAAGTATGATACTACAAAATTGTTAAAAAAGAAAAGAGTAAGAGCTAATTAGATTATTAATATATTAATAAGTGATAAGTAACCATAATAATTAGTAGTAATAATAACTAGTAATAATAATAATAATAATAAATATTAATAATAACAACAATAATAGTAATATGCTATGTCGGCTATTGCTATTTCATTATTGATTACAGCTGCTATTCATTTTTCTCATCGTTATCAACGTTAATTATCAATAAATGCTGTTGTGATTTATTATTAGCTCAGTTTCTCTAACATAAACGGTAACCACATGTGGCACAAGGTTAAAGGTTACATTTGATCATCAACATCTTCAAATCACTTACTGTTTCATTGATGTGATGATGTGGTATAGAGTCAAAATCTAGATTTGAATAGTAATTTTCTCAATCAAAACAATCTAAATTTTGTATTTCATTAATTTAATAATAAAATTGTTCAATATAAAATTAGTCAGCTAGTTATGACTTATCGTTTAGAATGATTAATAATAAATATTAATCAGAAAACCATAATGTAGCAAATCATTTTAGGATTTAATAAGTTGTTGGAACAAAAAAAAAAGAAATCGGTGAGAAAGAAGGAAAAATAAAAATTGAATAAAAAGGACAAATGAAATAACTCTGAGGTATATAACTAATCGGGGCGGAAAGCATACATTAATTTCCTGGCGCCTCCTTTACCCCATTACACCCGTATTCTCGAAGAAATGTGTTAAAATTCCTCTTCTTAACTAATTTCTTCCTTAAGTTTATTGTTTATTTATGCATCTTTAAGTTTATTGTTCATTTCAATTGTTTATTTATTCCACATAAACAATATGATAATATCAAGTGATATAGTTATTTCTTTAAATTTCTGAAAGTACTACTGTTTAATATTCTTATTATTAGCAGCAGCCAGTAGTAGTAGTAGTAGTAGTAGTAGTAGTAGTAGTAGTAGTAGTAGTAGTAGTAGTAGTAGTAGTAGTAGTAGTAGTAGTAGTAGTAGTAGTAGTAGTAGTAGTAGTAGTAGTAGTAGTAGTAGTAGTAGTAGTAGTAGTAGTAGTAGTAGTAGTAGTAGTAGTAGTAGTAGTAGTATAGTAGTAGTAGTAGTAGTAGTAGTAGTAGTAGTAGTAGTAGTAGTAGTAGTAGTAGTAGTAGTAGTAGTAGTAGTAGTAGTAGTAGTAGTAGTAGTAGTAGTAGTAGTAGTAGTAGTAGTAGTAGTAGTAGTAGTAGTAGTAGTAGTAGTAGTAGTAGTAGTAGTAGTAGTAGTAGTAGTAGTAGTAGTAGTAGTAGTAGTAGTAGTAGTAGTAGTAGTAGTAGTAGTAGTAGTAGTAGTAGTAGTAGTAGTAGTAGTAGTAGTAGTAGTAGTAGTAGTAGTAGTAGTAGTAGTAGTAGTAGTAGTAGTAGTAGTAGTAGTAGTAGTAGTAGTAGTAGTAGTAGTAGTAGTAGTAGTAGTAGTAGTAGTAGTAGTAGTAGTAGTAGTAGTAGTAGTAGTAGTAGTAGTAGTAGTAGTAGTAGTAGTAGTAGTAGTAGTAGTAGTAGTAGTAGTAGTAGTAGTACCAGGCCCTTACAGCTTAATACTTTTGCTTTTGGACGATCTCTGACTTCACACAGACAAAAACGGATCACGGATCAACAGACAGCTACATACATACATACACACATACATACACTCAACATCGTTCATTTCAATAAAGTGTTTGCTTATTTGCCTCTTCAGCTCATTCAAATCGAAATTTAATATATTTCTATTTAGCTATAATGTCTGATTAGAATGAATTCTACATGTGTTAATTTAATTATACATTTTGCTACTATTATTAATTTTATAGTTTTAGATGATGTTTGCTTTATCGTTCCCTTTTAACAATTAATTAAGCAAAATGCATCTTTTATTTATTATTAATGTATTAATAATTACCATATTTTCACGCATATTTCACTGTTCAAACATAATTGATAAATGTAAATAACTATGGTAACAATATTATATAATACATTAATATGTGTTATAAAAAAAGAATTTTTTCCATATATAATTAATTACCTAATTCCTTTCTTTTCTTTTTTTTAAAGTTTTTACTTTTTTATTAATATGTTACGTAAATAAATTAGGTAATGCAATTATTGTTATCCTTCTTTTTTTTGATTCTGTCTAAAAAAAATATTAATGTAGAAGAATAAAGTAAATGAATGGTTCATTTGTACTTTTTGCTTTCTAAATTCAATGTAATAATATATGTTACCATATATTATTATATTCATATACATACATATTTTCATCATTATTGTTTTGTTATTCTCACTATTATCTAATCGTTCGAATACTTTTTATCATTCAATCAATTATCAACTTTCTTATCAATTAATTTACAACTCGAATGATCTGAATAATTCTGATGAAAATTTTGGACGAATCATTAATTTTTATTTATAATCACTAATATATTTAATATATATGTTATATAACATTGATAAGGCAAATATTTCCACTTTTTCCTTTTCATCACTTTACACGAGTGGTTAAAATGATTAGCATATAACAAATAATTTGAAGAATTTAATAATTTCTATGCTAGAAGATAGGGAATTATTTTTGTTAAGAAAAAAACTATAAAATAAATTGATAAAATGTTGAAAAGGAAAAGTTTATAATTATTTGTTTCATAATTATCTCTAAAACTGATAATTCTGAAATATAATAAACAACAGACATAAAAAGAAAAAAGTGAACAAAAAGAAAGATTTAATTCGTATTATTTACCCCTCCTTAGTTTTGGAAAAAACCTGGGCAACTTTTATTATTTTGTTATTTTCTTCTTTCCTCTCTATATCTTTTTTTTTTTTTGTTAAAAAAAAACCTTTAACTTAAGTGTTGAAATATTTTTTGCAAAATTCAACAACTTTTTTTTCATTGTGCAATTATTTTCCGGCTTTCCTTTCGTAAAAATATTGCGAAAATGATGAAACTATTTATTTGTTCCATTTAATTAGCCTGAAAAAATATTCGTTTTTGACTAATTTAAAAATATATGAGATTTTTGTGTATTTTAAAAGGAAATTTTTTCTTTTAATTCAATATTACTAAAAAAAAGGAAACAGGGGAAAAATAATGGACGAATGATTTAAAAAAGTGATTTGGAATGTATTTCTTTATGAATTTGAAGTGAAAAACGAATCGATCAGATTCTTTTTGAGACTAACTAATGGAACAGTTTTTTTATTATTTTGAATCAAAGAAAAAGGCTAAATGTTTTTTTTTTCTGCTTTTTTCACATTCCATTCTTATTTGCTAACTATTCTGAAATTACAAATTAAAAGTTAAAAGTAAATTCAAATTTAAATGCAAACTTTTGCTTTTTGGTAATCATTATCCTAATTTCATATTGTATTTCTTTTTACGATTAAAAAGGAAAACAAGGAAGAAAAGAAAAGGAAAAAAAAAAAACTTTTTCTTAAAAAACATTAAAAATATCATTTTTTATTTTCTTCTTTTTCCTATTTCCTTTTTATTTCAAACATACAATTCAAGGCGCAAAAATAACTTTTCATTAATAACGTAAAAAACACCTATTTGTCAACTTTTTTTTGTACAAACAATATCTGTGTTTATCAGTCATTATTAATATTTCACAACTTTATTGATAATTTTCCTTTTTTTCTTTCTATCATTTAACTTGAACATAAGTTATTGTTATTTATTAATATTAAGTGTTAAAATTTTTTTGAAAATTATCCATCTCAACAAAGTTTAAATTGTAATTTATCTTTGTTCTTTTCTGTATTCACTCCATATTTAATCTTCTAAAAACACTATTTTAGAATTTTATATCAGACTAAAATTTTTAATGATATTTAATCATACTATTTATTATTCATTTTGTTACAAATTGTAATTTTAAATGAATTTTTTTGAATATATTCATATTACAATATTATTTATTAATTAGATAATTAATATATAAGAATATATTGTTGAGAATGATATTTTATAAATTTATCATTCATTTTATGTTATCTCTATACATATGTTTTTTTTTTTTTTTTTTCTTTTTTTTAATATATATAAATGTTTTACGATAATTGATTTCATCACGTAGTTAAACGTAATTTACTATGCTAAATTTAGCTGGATGTCAATATGCAAATTGTAAACGATAGTTATTTCAAAGATGAACGATGTCGTATGACGTTACTTTCAAGTTCATCATCAATAGCAACCAATTTCTATATACCAATAACAACCGTAAATATGCAGCCGAATCGCGCTATTCATAATTCACATATTCATTATCAAAATAAAAATGATAATGATAGTGATGATAGCACTAATAACAGTTGGAATAATAATAATAGCAGTAATAATAATAATGGCGATGATGATGATAATGTTGATGATCGTGATAGTGATGATGGCAGTGATGATAATAATGATAATAGCAAGGATAATGGAAATGGAAAATTGAAACAAAATGATAATAGATCATTTTTTGATTCAAATTATCATTATTTACAAATTGATCGAAATTCGATTAATATTTTATTAAAAGTTGCTGCTGCTTTTGTATTATTATCTATTGCGGGTTGTTTGGTGCTTCAACATTTAAGAATCAATCGATTGGATTATCGAATTCGAAGAATTGAACTCAATTCTGCATATTCCATACAGGTAGGATTATTATAATCATTCATTTCTTTCTCTTTTTTTTTTTTTTGTTAATATTTTTTTTTTTTTTTTTGGTTACAAAATTATAAATTAAAATTAGCAAAGATTTAATACGAATAAATATATGTACAATTCTTTTGATTACTTTTGTGAGTGCTTAACTGAACATAGAATATGTAGCACTTTAATCAAATTGGAATTTATAGAAGTAATTGTTACTGGGAAATACAACTAATAATAGTATTGGATCGAACTTGGCCAATCAAATTATTTAAAAAAAGCGAAAAAAAAAAACATATTAATATAATTGCATACTAAATTGCTTAATGTGTTTTATTCTGAAGCACTAAAAATTTTCCATCTTTTCCTATTTCAATCAAATCGATTTAATTTTTAATTGATTGAGATTTTTCAATGAAAAGAAAAAAGTCAAATTTGTATGAATTGATAAAATTTTGACAAAACTGCATTTAAAAAAAAGAATATTCTGCTAGAATAGAAATATTTGTCTTTTCAAAATACAAATTTTTAGAACTTATTTAAAAAAGTTTTCTTATTTTTGAATAAAGTAATCTATAGTATATGAAGATTTAAATTTCCATTTTCAAATGGAACAATTTTACATTACTTATTTCCTTTTTTTTGTTTTCTATTTTTGCTTATTTTACTTTTACTTGCTGGTACTACTTTAGTTGCATTTCATTCTTGTCTTTGCTATTCAAGCTTAATTTTACCAAATTAAAACTAGAAAATTCTAAATTTAAATACCATATTAAATTTTGAAAAAAAAGTGTTTTAAAAATCATTTTTAATACCCAACTGTATTCAATGTGTCATTTTATTTATTGCATAATTTATTTTTAATGTATAAATAATGTAAATAATTAATTATTTCCTTCTTCTTTTTTTGTTTTTACACTTCTCTAAATGAAAGGTTTTCAAACTTTACACAGTTGGAAATGAGAATGAATGAACATAATACTTATTCGTAATGATTATGAAATCATATTTTTTTTATAATTTCATTTTATATAATCCCGTTAATTAATTTTTAAATTTAACAAATTCAGTGAGATATATTTATAAAGAAAGCAACGAAAAAAAGAAAGAAAAATTATTTTTTCTATCAATTTGAAAAAATTTTGCTAAACTCATGTCACAATTGTTTGTCGATATCTTATTTTTCTTTTCAGTTTTTTTTTCCTTTTTGTTTCTTAAAGAGATTTCAAATTTTATTCAGGGATTAAAGGAAAAAAGAAAAAAAATAAACTCAAAACTGTAAAAACAGTTTTCTCCATATTTGGTTGCCATATAAAAAATCACTTTCAATGAGTGGTGAAGCAAATTGATGAAAAATGAGAATGAATAAAATTTAGCAAATAATTTGTTCCATTTTTAAAAACTTATGAGAATTATATCAAATTTATTGCATTTAATGATGCAGTAATTTCAATTTTACTACACTGGGAAAGTTTTAAAAATTTAAAACGAATCCAAAACTGGGTGATATTTCGAAGTCGATGATAATATTGTTAAAAATTCAATTAATTAAGTATTTGTTTGTACTTTCTCTTTTTTTAAAAAAAACATTTTAAATAAATGGACAGTTGTATAGGCAGTAAATTTGTTTAATAATTTTAAAAGAATGAATAAATATAGCTATGCAATGAAATTGTTAGAACCAAAAAATAAAAATAAATCTTTTTTGTTTTGAAAAAAAGAAATTATATTGATAATGAAACTTCATATTTCTTGTCGATTATATTATAAAATTTTAATCATCTTCCTTATATGCATTGGGATGAAAATATAAATAGTTAAAATGAAATTTGAAATTTTTAAAATTCATAATAAACGTAACCAATTAATTGAGCTAAATTATATGAATTATAATATCGATAACATCCTTATGTATAAATTGGTAAAAATAAAAATGTAAAATTATTTGTCAAATATGATTATTCCTTATCCATAAAGTATAAAATTTATTACATTTTGTAAGATGAATAAATGAGTGACTTCTCTTTTTTTTTTTCTTAAATTTCATTAAATATAAACATACAGCAATAATATAATTAATTGAAAGGTTTACATTAAAAAAAATGAAACTAAAAAATTTTGAATTGTCTTAAATCAGTTGTTTCATATGAATAAAAATGTTTTCTTGTTTTTTTCTCTCGTTTCATCTCTTATTAGCAAACTTTGTTGCTTAATTAATTGTTTCCGGAGATCATTTTGATTATTTCATCATTTTCTTTCCTTCGTTTTTTCTCATCCTCTTTTTATGAAAGATAAATTTTATACAAAAAGGTAATCTACATATTTCTCATCCGTGATGAGAAATTAAAACTTTAAGAGTGTAAGAAAAGAACGAAAGAAATTTGGAACTAATTAATTAGCTCAAATCATTATTGAGAAACTTATATAACATTGTGTACATTTCGTTTTTTCTCTTTTTTTGAACCAATTTATTATAATGAAGAAAAAAGAACAACTATTTGTTATATTACTTTTTTTCTTTCTAAATAAATCAATTTAAAAAATAAATAAACTAAAAACTATCAAAGTGTATACTGACTTAATATATTTTTTTAAATGAAATATGCTTGCTTTTTTCCGTCCTTTCTTTTTGATGAATTGAATGAATTTAAATTTGAACTTAAATAGACTTAAATTTGAGAAAAAATCTTTTTTAGTATTAAATGGATGGTAGGAAAGAACAAGATTACCATCATCGTATGAATATGCATTGGATAGTATGAATGAAATGAAATGAACAAGAACGAATGATTGACAAGAAAGAAGATGATGATACAATGATCATTCATTGCGAATAAAAAAAGAGAAAAATTTGTGGATGAAATATTGATAAAAAGGAAAGATAAAGAATAATTTGAAAGAAAGAATTATTTGGAGATAAGAGATCGGAAAGAAAGGCGAAAGAGAAAGGGAAAAAAGAAGAGAAGAATCAAAAGATTTGAAATTGAAAAGAAAAAAAGGGGTCAGTCAATCAATGAATATATTAAAAAGGGAAAAGAGACAAAAAAGAAAAAGGAAAAAAATCCTTTTTAGACGATAATGATAATATGATGTAAGATATTCTTCTCAGTGTAATTGTATATGATGGATTAATTAATTCTTTTGATCTCCTTATCGGATCAACATCATTGATCATCGGCATAAATCTCCCTCCCTCTCTCTTTCCCTCTCTCCCCCTCTTTCTATATGGGTTTATTGGCGCCTCTCATTTTTCCCCATTTATTTTCATCAATTATTCATGATGAGAAAAAGTATTTATGATTTACAACCAATCTTTCTCATTTCATCTCTTCTTTTTTCTTCATTTCTAATTTCCATCATTTTTCCCCTCTCGCCTGGTCTTCTATACCATTTCTCTCTCTCTTTCTCTATTCACTACTGTTTTCTCCCCCTTCACGCTTTTTTCCCCCTGTTGTGCATCGTTTTTCTCTTTCCTCTTTTATTTACTATTATTTTCTCTACTCATTCATCTATTTCAACAATAATAATAACCAAAAAATAAAAATGAAAAGGAGAGAGAAGAACCAAAAAAAGAAGAAATGAAACGAAATAAGAAGGAAAATTAAAAAAGAAAAAAAAAACGCAAAACTCACTTTTTATTTTAAAACAATATAGCTTTCCACTAAAAAATTTGTTAAACTATTTTTTTTGAAGAAATATTTTTTGATTTTTTTTTTTATTAAATAGTTGGAAGCGATAAAGTAGAAGAAAATGATCAATAGTAAGAAAAAAAAAATAGAAGAGAAAGGAAAAGATGGAATATTATCTGTGATAATATAAAATCAATGCTATCATATTTGATATAATATTGTTGCAATCATTCTATAATTTAATTAATTGATATAATTAAATCAAAGTAGTAAGAGAGAAAAAAAAATAAGGGAAAAAACAGCAAACCGACTAAAAGAAAGAAAATTGACGGAAACAAAAACGAAGAACAAGAAGAGGAAAAAAAGGAAAAATAGTGAAAATTTCATTTCCATTTTCTTCCTCTCATTAATACATTTTTTCCATTTTCATAATAAAAAAATTTTTTGTAGTCCTTTGCTTCTTTTTTAAATAATTTTTCTTATAAAAATTTTCAAGAAAATATGAAAAGAACACTAGAAAAGATGTATTAAAAGTAGGAAAAAGTGTAAGAGAATTGTTTTAATAATTAATCGTTTGTTTATTTAATAATTTTATTGATTTGGAAAGAAAAAAAGCTAAATAAAATAATAAAATAAATTATTGATGGTGTAATTGATATAGTTGAAATTTGAATGATTCTTAGACATTTTTTTTTTTTTGATCATACATGAAATGAAATATGCCAGATGTAACCTTTCATTCATTCTTTAATATCCATTCATTTGCATAATCTCAGATTACCTCCATAACCGTCACTCGTTTTCACATTTTCGTTAGCCATCTTATTAAATAATACATTATACATACAATACTTATATCACCTATATTTTACTTATAGGTAGTGTATTATTAATTTACATGTTTTATTACTTATTAAGTAATTTATACACTTTTTTTATTACATTATCTATGTATCACTTGTATTACCTGTACTTATAAGTTGAAAACCAAAAAAAAACACGTATATATATATACATATATTTTTTTTTCTTCATTATTTATATTACCTATGCTTATAGATTAATAATCATGACTATTTTACTTATAAGTAATTTATATAAATATTTTTTATTACTTATATTCTTTATGTATTAATTATATTACCTGTATTATTATGATTACTTATGAGTAATTTATATCTATATTTTTATTACTTATATTATTTATGCATTATGCATGTGTTCTACTTGTAGGTAGGTAACCAAGTTAATTATTATTTATAAGTAAACTTTTATATATTTTACTACTTACATATAAATTATTCATAAATAATTTCTGTTACTATTTATAAATTATTTATTTATATTACGTTACCATACAAATAATTTGTACAGATTACTTATACAACTAAATATGCTTTGCTTTGTTGTTTCTTTGCTTTTTTTTCTAGCGGCTCAGAATTTTGAAATAAATGGTGGAAAAAAAATAAACTTTTTTTGGAAAAACAATTTTTTGAAGGAATAGAAATTGAATAGAAAGCGCAAAAGCGAAAAGACTTTTCATTAGTTATTCTTTTCCTCAGTTGTGAAAAAAAAAAAAAAAAAAAACGAAAAATAAAATAAAATTGAGCCATTCATGTGAAATAGCATTAAATTGTGGAAATGTTGAATGAAAATGAAAAAGAAAAAAAATGGAACAAATAACTCTACTTATGAACATTAATTATATGTATTATAATTTTGAAATCCTTAAAATGATTTGAAAATTTCAAAAAGCAATTATTTTAGTCCTTTCAGTTTTAACAAAATTCATTTATTTCTTTTACATTACTAACTTCATTGTAATATCATTTTTACTCAAGAATCTTTGAATTTTTTTTTCAAAAACAAAAAAGAGAGAAATCAGAATGTAATTGTTTGATAAAAAATAACAAAAAAAAAAAAAAAGAAATTAAAATTGGAATGATGATATTAAATACTGATAAATGATTGTTGCATGTAAAGGTTATGATAGGAAATGAAATAATCAAAATTGATAATAATGATTTCTTAAAAAATTTTCTCAACTAATGTCAAATTAGTAATTGCACTTAAAAATTTCTTTTCTGCATCCTATCATTAGCTTATTTCAGTTTAATCAAAATGAGTACTTTGACCGATATAAATCAAAAAAAAAAGTTGAAAAGTTTTATGTGGAAGAAAAAAAAATTGACGAAAAATAAAACGGAATGAAAGTAAAACGAAATGAAAAATTTTTGAATTATCGTTTTTGCACCATTATATATTGCCTTTGTATATTTAATGATAATAAATCATTTGCTCATCAATTTACAATTTGCTAAATATCATCAAAAATATTGACAATAATAATAATAATAATGACCATTTATAATAAAGTAATAAATATATCATTTGCATTGTAGAAAGCTTAATGCTAATTTTGCTTTAAAACAGTAATTTTTTCACAGCAATTTTTTCAAAAATTTAAATATTGGGAAAAATCATGGAGTGGACGATGAAATAGGGAAATTAGAGGTGAAAAAAAAAAACAAAAAACGATAGCAATATCTCTTTTTTTCTTCCTATAAAGCTATTTTTTTCCCAACTTTTAAAATAATATTTTAAGGTTTAATGAAAGAAAAAGGGAAAAAAGAAAAAAATGCAGCATAAGAACAAATAACATTCGTTTTACGATTAGTATTTTTTTTTTTTTTTTTTTTTTTTAAAAAAAAAAAAAAAAAAAAAAAAAAAAAAAAAAAAAAAAAAAAAAAAAAAAAAAAAAAAACAAAAGAGAAAAATTTGGCTGTCAAAAGATTATTTCAAAGCTTATAACATTTGTAAAACACATTCAGATAATTATTTTAGCGTTAGAAAAAAAAAATGAAAATGAAATTTAAGCTAACCGAATATTGTTTCACTATAAAGTCAATTTTTATAATTTGATACAGTGAGTGAAAAAATAAAGAATTTTAAATTTACACTTCATTTTCTAATGGAACAGTTTTCATAATAATAATATTATTATTATTTTGACAATGATATATTAATTAATTGATAAAAAATCTAAAAAAAAATTGATAATAGTAATTTTGATAATAATAATAATAATTTTTTTTTAGTTATCAAATGAACTGCGGAAGCAAATGTTTTGTTAAAATAAAAAAAAAAAAAAAAAGATGAATTGGGAGAAAAAAAACAAGCAAGCAAAAATAAAAACAAATGTAAAAAAAGTATTTAAATCACTGTAAAAAAAAGAAAAAAATTCATTTTCACACAAATATGAATAATGTAAAAAATTTCACTATAAATAATATAAAATTTTCTTTTTCAGTTAATTAGGCATCGAAGGTCAAAAATTAGCGATCCTAGCCGAAACATTCGGGAAGCTTTTAATAATAATCACAAATGTCGTTGTCCACCAGGTATATCCTCCTTTCATTTTTTTTTTAAAATAGATTTCTTGATATTCTATTATCAAATAATAATAATAGTAAGTTCTTAATATTAATAGTTTTGTAAAATAATAAAAAAATAACATTCTTTCTTTTAAATATTTTATTTTCATTTTTTATTGCTTTTATTTTTTTAAATAAAACATTTGTGAAAAATGTGATTGCTTCCGCATTACAAAACTTTATTTTTACTTAAAATAATATAGATTGTTTCCAAAAATTTAATTTAACTGTTACAAAAAAAAAAGGAAGGAAGAAAATGAGTTCCCTTTTTTCTTTTCTTTCACAATTTTCCCCCACTTTTTCTAACTTTTTTTCTCCCAAAATTCATCATATATTATCAGTAAATGAAGAGCAATTGATGTTTCTTAGAGAGGAATTTAATGATGTGAAAATTTTGAAGTGCTTTTTAAAAAAATTTTTTTTTTTCACTTTCTTTCTCTCTTCCATTCTTTCCCTTTCACTTTTCTTCTTTTACTATCACTTCAACATTTTGTTGTGATGAACAATAAAATGGGCTAATTAAATTAAAAAGATGACTATTATATTTTGAAGTACTTAGAATAACAATAAAATGAAAAATTGAAACTAACTCTTATGTTTTGAAGTAGTTAAAAAACAAATTAAATTAAAGAACTCTTAACTTTTAAAAGAGGGAAAAAAAGAATGAATGCAGAGGTGGCTATATTTGAGTTAAATTTAGAAATGAAATTTTAGAACTTATAAAATTAATAGAAAAGAATTGAAACTGGAAAAGAAAAAACGAAAAGAAAAAGCATGAATTCTTTATTTTATTTTATTCTAAATTTTTTTTAGGTCAAAAAGGTGAACCAGGAATACCAGGATCAATAGTATGTTTCATTTTTTTTTTTTTTTCATATTTGTTACTTGATTAATTTTTTTCTATTTCATAACATTTCTATGTGTATGTTTGTTTTCTTGGTTTTATATATCACAAGCATGTTGAAATTGATAATTGTTTGTTTTCAAATGATTTAATAATACTGATAATTTTTTTTTGTTTTAATTTTAATTTAATTCAAAATTAAATTTAATTGAAGTCATTTTTAGTTATTTTTACATTTACAGTGGATCTATTGCATGATAATTAAAATATTGTGTTGAAAATAATTTAAATTTTGTTATTTGTGAAAATTGTTATTCCTTTTCACTAATAAATTGCAGCATTCGAAGCAAACATTACGTCGTCAATTACGATCATTTGGTTTTTTATATACACCTAGTGGACATGCGATACAACTTCGCGGTATATCGGGACCACCTGGGCCACCTGTATGTTGTTGTGTCCTTTCACATCCTTTTTTCGTTGTTTTTTTAATGTTTCTTTTTTTATTTGTTCAACTACTACTACCTTTGTTGTTAGTAAACAAATGACTATTTCATTTGAATATTTTCGTGTTTTTTTTTTAAAATCTCCCACATTTTTTAAAACATTCTCCATTCTTTAAATATCTCGCAAAAAGAAGTTAATTTTAAATGTGCTGTTATAAGTAAACAAATAATTCATTTATAAAACAATAATGATTGATTTTTTTTTGAGAAAATGAAAAAAAAAAAACAAAATGACAACAAATGAAAAAAAAAAAAACTAATCAACTAACAAAAAAGAACACACTATCATAGCTCGATCACTTACAACGATTGATGTGATAATATGTTTTTTTTTTTTTGCTTTGTGATATTTTTTCTTCATTTCAAACTTATCATTTATTAATTTAATTAAGCATGCTGCAATGTAGTTATTCTTTCTAAATTTGCTGTCGTTTTCACAATTTCCTATGTTGTGCTGTTTGATTGTAATATTTTTTTCATGATTAAATTTTAGTGTCTGTTTAATATCATTAATATTTTTTAAATTAAAAAGAAAAAATTCATTTTAGGGACCAAAAGGTACACGTGGATATCCTGGTTTTCCGGTAAGCATAAAATTATTATCATCAAATATTATTTAAAATGTCAAGTATGCAAAAAAAAAAAATTAATTTTTTCCATTTTTTTTTTCTTTCCGTTCATGAATATATAACATTTTAAATTAATAAATTAATTTTCATTTTTAGGGACCAATTGGCTTAGATGGACCAAAAGGTGTTGCAGTAAGTGATTAAAAATATTTATTAAATTCATAGCATAAAATTACATTTAAAGTAGCTAAACTATTAAGTAGAAATAACAATTAATTAAAAGAAAATTAACTATAATTTAAAATGAATAAAATGAAAATAAATTTATTATTATATCATTTTAAATCATAAATATTTCCATTGATAAACATCAATTAATTATTAGATCAACCAATTAATATAATTTATTTGGGAGAGTAACAAACACAAATCTATAAATATCATCAACGCACTGCGTAATAATCTTTGATACCATCAAAAAAAAAAGCAAAAATGGGAAATGCATCAAATTACCACAACACTTCTCTGCGGGATATCGTTTATAACAGAAAAGCTCTTCAACCGAATTGATAGTACCCAATTGGATTTATCGATAGATGGGGGAATATTATAAGTATTATCTTTGAATGATTATTTTAATAAAAATTTGTCCAAATTTCTTTTTTATTTTCATTTTAATTAATCAATCATTTTCTAACTTAAAAATTTTTTAAATAGAATAAAATGAAAAATATTGTAGGGCATGCCAGGACCAAAAGGCGAACGAGGTGAACGTGGTCCAATGGGACCACCAGGATATCCTGGTGCTAAAGGAGAACGTGGTTATTCGGCTGCTCTCAGCAAAATACAGGTATTATTTTAATCATATAATAATATATTTCATTCGATATATGTATCTATAATTGCTTGGAAAAATACTGTTTAATTATTAAATGATTAAATTTAAATACTTGTTGATTAGTTAATTTTGATTTGATTCAATTTTGTATACTTTAATTTTTTTTAAAGGTGAAAAAAGAACTATTTGGAGAGATTTTAAAATTAGAATATGAATTTCTAACTTTTGTAGGTTGCGAAATGCTAATTTAACTTTTACAATAATAATTTTATAGGTTGCGAATGCTGATTCTGTAACACCAGTGCTTATTCAGGTAAACTTCTGAAATTAATGCAATTTAAAATATTGTTTATCTTGACATTACAATAATAATAATAATAATAATAATAATAATAATAATAATAATAATAATAATAATAATAATAATAATAATAGTAATAATAATAGTAATAATAATAATAACAATAATAATAATAATGACAATAACAATAACAATAACAACAATAATAATAATAGTAATAATAATAATAATAATAATAACAATAATAATAATAGTAATAATAATAACAGTAATAATAATAATAATAATAATAATAATAATAATAATAATAATGACAATAACAATAACAATAATAATAATAATATTAATAATAATAGTGATACTGATAATGCCAACAGAGTACCAGATAAATTTGTTCTTCAATTTTTTCAATTATTAAATTGCATTAATGTTAGTTGCTTATTACATTGATCCAACAAAAATTTTCAATAATTATCGATTTAATCAATAATTTTAATCGATCAATAATCAGTGATTTTAAAACGTAGTTTTATCACAGGGTCCACCTGGTCCACCGGGAAATCCTGGTCCACCTGGTGATGTTGGCAAGCCTGGTCCATCAGGACCAAAAGGTGATAGAGGATTACCCGGTTTTGATGGTGAATCACGAGTTGGCATGAAAGGTGAACCTGGTATGCCTGGTATTCAAGGCAAAACTGGTCCAGTAGGACCACCTGGGCCACCTGGATTAAAGGTACTATTTTTTTTTTCGAAATTCATAAGAAAAATTTTAGATTTTCACTTATTTTATTTTCAGTTTTATTCTTGTAAAATTATGTGTTGTGACCTGGTGCCTCCTACTTTTTTAATTAGAATGGTAATTTATTATAAAAGAAAGAAAGAAATATTTGTTTATTGCTGCATGTATTCGTTGTACTGTGAATACGTTGCATATAAAATAAACAATTAGGGAGAGCCTGGATCACCGGGACAACGTGGATTACCAGGTCTTACGTCAAAATATGTAGAGAAAAATCCGGAACCAATAATTGGTCCACCGGGTAAACCTGGGGCACCTGGAATACGTGGGCTACCAGGTATACCTGGTTCTCCAGGTGTTCCAGGAGCTAAAGGTGATTCAGGACTTCCGGGCAAAGATGGTATTGAAGGAAAAATAGGAAGAATGGGCAATCCAGGTCAACAAGGAATACCGGTAATTTATTTGCATGCAATGATTTTTTTTTTTTTTTTTTCACTCGTGTTATTATATTTTCAAACTTCGAAGAAATTTGGAACCATATGATTTTTTTCTAAAGAATCGAAAATTTTCAATTGATTTATAATTTTAATTATTTGATAAGTCATGCACAAATGATTATAAGCACTGATTGATCTAAAACAGTGTTTTGAGAAAAATTAGTTTTCAGAAGGAAAAAACGACGGGATAAATATTCTATTGTGTTTTGGTTAATTAATCATTTTGCAAATTATAAAAAATGATAAAAATCTATTTTGAAAACTAAATTCAAGTCAAAATATGTTACAAAAGAGAAAGAAATTGTTTTCAGGGAGAAAAAGGTGAAAGAGGTGAAAAGGGAGAAAGTGGTATACAAGGATTACCTGGTCCGCCTGGTGTTGTTACAGCAACATCAGCAAGGACAACACAGGTTATTGCTGGACCACCGGGACCACCAGGACGAGATGGACGAAAGGGGGAAAAAGGCGAAAAGGTTTTTTTTTTTCTCCTTTTTTTAAAAATTATCAAATAAATTGAAATTCTTCATTTGAATTTATGAAATAAAAATCTGAATTGTTACAAGTTCAGGAACATAATTGTTGTCTTTCAAAAAAAAATAAAAAAAAAAATTAATCCAATCATGTTAAAGTTTACAATTATATGTTATGTCAAGATGTGAAATTAACAAAAAAGGAAAAACTGAAATTTCTTTTTTTTTGTTTTTAAATTTTAAATTAATCGTATGCTGTGATAAAACTCACCGATTTTAGTAAGATATATATATTTTTTTTAATAAGTAATTTAAGAAGGAAGAGAATTCAGGGTGATATGGGTAGCAGAGGCCCAATAGGTCCACCCGGACAATCGGGTGCAAAAGGTGAAATTGGTAAACGTGGCAAAAAAGTGAGTTTATGCTCGTTTTGTTTTGTTTGCTTATACTTTTTTTCTTTCTTTTTTTGTTTTGTTCATTTAATTAAGAAAAAAAAAAGAGATAAAGAAAAAAGTTTTTTTGAAAATTTTGAAAAACTAAAAAATATTTCTTTTTTTTTTGAAAGAAAAGAAAAAGCACTTTTTTTTTTATTTCTTGTTTTACTAACTTATGTGTAAAATTAATTGGAAAATATTGTCTATTTACACTGTATGTATATGATAGTTTTGTTGATTTAATTTGCATAAATAGTTTGTAAATAATTATTAAAGCATGCCTTTTGCATGATTATAATATGTGTGTTTTAAATTTTCTTTAAAAAAAAGAACAAAGGGAAACTTTTTTGTCTATTTAAACAGCATGTTAATATTTACCTGACAGGTAAGGTTTTATATTATATTTTCTCTTTTTTCTTTTTCTTTTTTGTTTTATTTTCTAACACTAAAATTTGCTTCAATCTTTTTTTGCTCTAAAAAAACGCAAACATAGTTATATATGTAGTTATAATAATAATTATAATATTTTTGGGTTTAAAATGATATATTAATTGCTAATAGTTTTTAAGTTTTTTGTTCTTTGTTTTTTTTTGAAAAAAAAAAAAAAAAAAAAAAAAAAAAAAACGAAAAAGAAATGTTTAGTAGATGAAATTAATCATTTTGATATATAATTATTCAGGGTAGAGATGGTTTAAATGTGAGTGAGGAAAAACTAATTGAAAAATTATTACCAATGTTGCAACAATATGCACGAATAGATGGTTTACCAGGGCCACCAGGTCCAATTGGACCACAAGTAAGTTTGAGAAAAAAGAATTTCTTTTTGTCGGTTTTTTTTTTTCGAAAATCTAAGTTTGATTTAGTTTCTTCCATTTTGATATTAAATGACATAAAAATTATAGGGTCCAAAAGGTAATGAAGGACTACATGGTGAACGTGGACCTCAAGGTTTACCGGGTCATGCTGGTTCAAAAGGTGAACGTGGTGAAATTGGACCACCTGGTTTAATTGGTCCACCAGGATTACCAGGACATTTAGTAAGTGTAATTAGTTACCTAATATTGTTTAGAAGAATGTATGAAAATTACTTAAATAACTTTGCATTCTGAAATTTCTATATTTTATCTTGTTTTCTTAAAAAAAAGTAGTTATAAAAACGAAAAATACTGATTGTTTCTTCAGTTCAACTGAAAAATTTTTCAAAAAAAAAAAACAATTTCAGAGCACTGTAATTGAAGCGACTGCTTCATCATCATCACTTGGAATTCCAGGACCACCCGGACCTCGGGTATGGATTAAAACAATGCTTTGTATTTTTGGTTTATGAAAAGCATAATATCCGAGAATTAAAAGAAATAAATTTTAGGGAAGTCCCGGCTTACCTGGGCCACCGGGTATGAAAGGTGAAAAAGGTGAACGGGGATTAGCAGGTGTTCCTGGATCACTTGGTTTGCCCGTATGTCTTATTTTTACATTATGTTATTCCAAAATATTTAATAAATTTAACTTTTTTATTTTTTCAAACTGAGTTCTAAAAAGGAAAAAACTTTCCCTAAATTTTTATTTATGTGCAAAAATGCAAAAAAGAATTGGAATGAAATTAAATAATTCAATACCTAAACAAATTTAGGGACCACCCGGACCGATGGGAATAAGAGGACCACCTGGAATGGAAGGCAAACAGGTGAGAGGAAAAAAATTAATTTAAAAATTTGAAACAAATGTCTAATTTTAGTATACAGTTCTTTTCATTAATATATTAGCAAACTATTTATCAATAAATAGTATCAGTATATCAGTTGCCATTATTATCATATAGAATTTTTTTAGTTGATTTATAAATAATTTTAAGTTGCTCAAATTGCATTATTTACAATAGTAATATATTGGATTTTTCAAAATTTAATCATTCAACTTTCTTTATTTTTCCTTAAGTTCTCACGATAGATAAATAATAATATTCATTGAATGATGAAATTTCTAACAGCAATCTTATATTATAATAATAACATTATTATTAGTAATAAATACAGTATAATGTAATAGTAATAAAACTATAAATGAACAATTAAAAAAAGAATAAAAGTAAATAAATATTTTGATTTTTATAGAAATATTAATCTCTTTTTAAGCAATAAATTTTTCACTTGCAGCAGATAGATATTCGCTGATCAAACTCTTTCATCAACTTGTCGTCATCATTTTATATGGTGACATATGGATTAGTTACAGAGTTGTTTGATATTTTTGTCCTCTTTTGGAAAAAAGAGTAAAAATTTATTACTGATTTCAAATTTATAAATTTTAATGTAACTAAAATAAATGATAGAAATATTTTATTTTAAATATTTGTGCTAGTAATATAATTTATATATATATATATAATTTTGATTGTATGTTGTACCATATTTTTTTGAATTGCACAACTGTGTTTTGATTGAGCTTGCATAATTTGCATGGCATGGTATAGCAAGCTTAAATGGTTTTGTGATATTTCGTTTTTCTTTTTTCTTTTTTTTGTTCTGTTTGATTTAAAATTCTAAGCAAAGATTATCTTTCCTTAAATTTTTTTATATTTATAGGGTAAACCTGGACCAGTGGGACCAACAGGTTTGAAAGGCGATATTGGATTACCTGTATGTTTATGATTTCATTAATCGATTGATTGATTAATAAATTAACAGATTTAATTTCTTTAAATGTTTGTTTTTTAAAAAAAAAGGAAAAAATAAATTAATAATTAATTATTCTAATGGTTTGATATTTAACACATGAAAATATTTCATTTTTAGGGTGCACGTGGTCCAGTTGGTGATCGCGGACCACCTGGATTACAAGGTGAAAAAGGTGAACAGGTATGATATTTATTTAATTTTTAATTAACAACTTGTACTAAAAAAAGCGGGCAGAAAAAACAATCTTTTAAACATTTAAAACTGTTGAATATTGCAGAGAAAAATAAATAAACATCAATATCCGATTATGGTATTTTAGGGTATTCCTGGTTTGGATGCACCATGTCCAACAGGACCAGATGGATTACCAATGCCATATTGTGCATGGAAACCACTTGATGTTAGTTTCATGTTATTCATTTGTTGAATTAAAAAAAAGAACTCGAAATAAGTTCAATTAACTTAATTTTTAAAATCTGAACTTCCAAAAATAAGTAAAATAAATAACTACATAAACAATTGACATTGCATAATATTAATTATATTATTATAATTAAGTCAACAGGGCTAAATATTTTCAGCCAAATGTTCGAACGACATAATGGTAAGACTAAAAATGAATGAATTTAATAATTTAAAAAGAAAAAAAAAAAGAACTACCATGCAATACTATCATTGATCAATCATTTTTGTTAACAAATTTTTCTTTCTTTTGCTCCCTACTATTCCATTTTTTTTCCCTCCTGAGAAAAAATCTTTTTCCTTTTTTGCAACATTTATTATCATTTTCTTATGAAACTATTTATCATTCTCAACATATAATAATTATTCAATTTAAATATTTTGACAAATTTGTTTATTTTTTCATTCCTTTTATATTTCCAAAATGATTATATTTGTCAATGATAAAAGCTAAATCTTATTTATTTTGTACAATAAAACCATATTTATATTTAAAACAACAGCAAGTATCAATTTACATTGATATGTAATCAAAATTCAAATTGGACATTTAGATTTTCAATTATTATTAAACAAAAATTATATTTGTTTACTTTTTTTCTAAAAAAAAGAAAAAACAAGATAGTAGTAGTAGAGAAGAAATACTTTTCTTTTAAATTTCTTATCATATGCAAACTGGAAATTTTTATAGTCAAATGAAAATGGTATAGAACGGGCTGCATTCCGAAAAAAGCGAACATCAAATTCAATTACAAATCGCATTTATCATTATTACTACAACTAACAAATATTTCTTATGCCTAACCAGACATATATCATTTCATTGCTGTATGTATATTTGTTTTTTGTTTATGTAAATTTTTTCCCGTTTTTTTTCTTTTTACTTTTCTTTTTTTCTTCCTAACCTTTATTTTTTCTTTTTCTCTCTTCTTTCCCTCCCTCTCTCTCTCTCTCTGTTTAATTTGATTTATAAAATGCAGTGAGAATATATGCAAGAGAGTGACTTTACTTGTAACAGTAATTTAAAAATAAAGAAAGAAAAAACATAACATAAGGTTATGTGAAAAAACATAAGGTTTTGCTAAAAGAATCATTTATTGAATCTCGTGAAAAATACTCGCGAATCATTCGAGAAAATATGCTGCATTTTGGACAGTTTAATTTACCTTAATTTTAAATTAGTTATTGATTTTAGCAATTTCCAGAACATTTTTTATAAATTGTCGAATCTCGTCTGGAATCGTTTTTCCTTTTCCTTCTTTTTTCATTGTTTTTGTTTTGTTATCGAAAAATTTTAATCGTGCATTATTTTTTGAATGGATAATAATAATTTATCATTAAAATTCTTTAAATTCAAATTTGTTATGTTTGATTCTATCACAAAAAAAAAAGTAAATGAAATATTGCTATATAGATAATAATATGTGAGTGTTTCTGGAATTTTTTTTTGTTTGAACTGATATATTTTATTTTAAATACTTGCTGCTTGAATTATTCTTATCATTGCAGTTTATTTATTTGCATTTGAACAAATAACGGATTTTATTCATTAGTAAATTCTAAAGATCATTAAAGTTTATTTTTTCTTATGAAAATGTAATTTTTTTTTGTTAACTTTTTTATTATTTTAAATTCAATTTTTTGAAAAAAAAATGCCTCATATTTTCACTGTTTGTACGAAAATAATTATTTCTCCATGTTTTGCCTTTTATTCCTCTCTCTTTCTTTCTTTCTTTCTCCCTCTCTCTCTGTCTTAAAAAAAGGCCATCTAAATTAAAATATTTCAGAAATAAGTGATTTTTCATACATCATGAAGAAATGTCAAATTTTAATTATATAAGATTTTGACTTTATTATATTATTTAAGAAAAAAAAAGTAAAAAAATAGTTTACAGCAATTAAATTTCAACAATTATTATAACTAATTAAACATATTATAAAATTTTTTACAATTTTTTTTTTACAATATTTATTGAATTCAAAATTTCTGGTCAAAAAGGGATGAAAAATGAAAAAATGTTTGAAAATTAAAAAATTCTTATTTGTTTTTTTTTTTTTTTTTTGCTTTTTTTGTTTTTTTATTTTTTTTAATTTAAGCGTGAAAAGCTATTTGTATAAGATTTGACTGTTGAATAATTATGTGCAGATTTTTTTTTAGTTTTTTATTTCGCTTTTTTTGTGCTAATATGAATTCAGAAATTACGTGTGATTTTGCATACGTAATTAACACGTATATATATATAATTGCTTTATTATTATTAAGTTGTAATTTTGTTAAAGAATGATAATATACGATATTTTATAATATTGTGATTCTGTCTGATATTTTCCAGTGATATTTATCCCAAAAAACGGGGAAAATCTTTTTTTTTTTTGATTTTTCTTTTTTTGAAGAAAAGATTTTTTTTAAATATAACAATTTGCGAAATATTTATTAGTGGGAAAAATATTTGAGGAGGAAAAAGAATGTTTTAAGTGGTTGAAAATAGAAACTGAGAATCAATTTTTATGCTATTAAAAAAATAATGATAACTATTATTAATAATAATTTGGCTATAAATTTTTTATAAAACTATTATTATTAATAATTTGACTATAAATTTTTAAATAATTAATAATTTGACTATAAATTTTAATAAATTTAATAAAATAAGTGTTACAACTATTTTAATCAATAATTATTCATATACTTTTTCATTTTTTCTTTTAAAATTAAACATCTTCCATGAATTAATTTATGGCTGGTGCTAATTTTTTGTCTTTCGTTAAAAACTTTTCATTGTTTTCTTTTTTTTAATCTCAAATTATTATATATTTTTAAAATTAATGTATATAATTGCTATTACATATGCCAAAACTTCCTCTCACTGCCCTTCATTTCTTCTCAAAAAAAATTTTTGTTTTCATTTTCATCTTTCTCCCAAATAATTGCATTCAATTATTGACTTCTTTTTTTTCTTCTTCACATACCATATCTCTGCAATAAAACTTTCCATATCTTTTTTTCTTATCAGTAGTCGCTTGTTTGTTTTTTGCATTATCACTTTGTTAGTTACAGTGATTAATGATTAGCCTTGTAAATGATTAACATTTATGATTTATAAAACGAATAAATTTAAGATATTTTGAATGTTAAACTAATATTATAGGTAATTTGAAATTTTAGTAATACTTTTTCACTTCTTTTTTTCTCAAAATAAATTTCATGGATAATTTATGTTTTAACCATTCATTATTCATGCATTTGATAATTATATTTTCTTTCTAACAGCAGTAATTTGTGCAAGAAAAGAAAATAAAAGATTTTTTTATTACTTAAAATAGATTATTTTATATACATTATCCTATTCGAAGAAAATCAGTAATTCTAATTATTCGTAATTATCCGTATTGGAAATTTTGAATTTTGTCACTAAAAAAATTTTGAAAATAGTTCATTTTTTTGGTTTATAATTTTCATCAAAACTTATATATCAAGCAACAATTATTATAAACCACTCATTTAATCACTGCCTTTTTCTAATTTAACTTAATTTTTGAAAATCTTGAAATTTTAGGATGAATTCAAGTTGTCCGATAAATGTTAAACAATTTAACACGATGAAATATTGTAAAAAATTTGAAGAATAAATTTTTGGTACGTCGTTAAGATAAATAGTCTAAGTGATAAAAAGAAAAAAAGCTAATAAAGATGCAAAGTCCTAATTCATTCTCAAATATCTGATTAATTAATTTGAATTTTAAGCTTTAATTTATAATAGTAGGCCAAGTAAGTGTTACTTTTTTTCTGAATGTGTCTTTATGAAAATGTAAAATTCGTATAAACTACTTATATGATTTTGACTGTATGATTTTATTGTTTGAAGGTATCGTAAAATTCTATCAGAAATACTTACTAATGATAATACTATTAAAGGTGATAGTATTGTAGTAAAGTAATAGTTATAATGATAATAATAAAAATAACGATAATTAGTAATAATAAATAATAATAGTAATAGTAGTAATCTGTCATAAATGTTCATGTATTTTCATGCAGCTTTTGTTTACTCTATTACCCAATGACTTTTTTTTGTATTTTACCATTTGTTTTTTCAGTAGAAAAAAGGAAAGAAAAGAAAATAAAGTAAAATTTAATTTAAATTCTTCATTACATTTATTTAGCGCATATAAAATTCAATTAGGATATTAAAAAAAAAAAAAAAAAAACAAAAGAAAATTATTCAGAATTTTCAATAAATTCATTTCATTATCGACAATTTATACACAATTATTGTTATGTTTTTTGCTTTGCTTTTTTTTCCAAATTTTTCGATGCTTTCTAAAGTTTCATTCACTGCAATTATTATCAGCAATTTTGAAATTATCTGATAATTAGAAGTTTTTAAGAAATAGAAATTACTTATTATTGTTAGATGAAAAGCAAAAATAATTCCTCTATGTTTTGGAGTTTTTTTCCTCGCTTCATTCTCACTAACAATTTTAATTCATTATACTAGAAAGTAATTTTAAATTTAAACATTATTATGCTTTTATTTGATGGATGAAAATATTTGCTAGCAATAAATGAATAATCTTAAAAGATTAAATTTTTGAACAAAAAAGAAGGGAAAAAGTTTACACTGCTTAAAGAAATTTAACTAAATTTAATTCTGATAGGAATATCAGAAACAAAAGGAAAAAAAAATGCGATCAGAGAATTATGAAAAACCTACTTTTTCATTTTAAGGAAAAATAACTTTTCTATCATATCAACAAAAATAAAATAATATGTCAAGCAATCGTAAAATCTCTTAATAATTAAGAAATATCCTTAATTGCAAATATTTACACAAGAAAAACTGTAAATAAATGATAAATGAATTTCAATGTAACAAAAAAAAAATAGTGAACTAAAAAAAAGAAATTCTGAAAATGGCAATTTTTTCTCTTATTTCAAAAAGAATTTTCAAATTACATTTTGTGCAAAAAGACTTATTTGGATATAAATTATCAAGTTATCAAATGAATGAAATGGTCAAAATTTATCATTTTAAAATTAATCAGAATATAACAATTCCACAATAATAATAATAAAGTTTTAGTAGAAATTTCACGGGATAAACATAAATAAGTCATTTCCGGAAGGTTAGCGAATAATAAGTTTATTATATCTTTTAATTTCTACACAAAGGATTGATGACAAAAAAAATGTAAATCGTAACGGATACACAATAAATGGTAGTAAACGTTTATTTGCATCATACTATTAGATGATCAAAAAATATTTTGTCCCAGAATTCCGGAAACTTCTTTTTATGACTTTTTTTTAATACGAAAATAGAGGAAGCAGATGAGCCAAAGCAAAAGAAGACATAGAAATATTTACAACGATATGGATTAATTATACTGATCCGTATTAATAATAGAAAGAACAATTTCTTATCATTTCTTACCAGTGAAAGATGATTGATTGATTATTTATTGTTTATAAATATATAATACTCTCAAAGTTTTTTTCGTGAGAAACTAGTTGCAGAAAAAAATGAAAGAAAATAATATCGACAATATCAGAAATATATAATCAAAAAAAAAAAAAAAAAGAAATTGGAAAAAATGATTATTTTTTTTTTAATTTTACAAATTTGAAACTTTTAATAATTTCATACATTTACTTCAAATATTTTTCTATTTATTTTATAACTTATGCTCAAATATATGACTATAATTTGCACACAGTATTAAGCTAAATATATTTTCTTCACAATTTTTTCTCTTTTCCTCTCTCCTCAAATTCTATTATAGCATCATTAATTGATTCGAATTAATTATTCCAACTTATTTTTATAACGAAATAAAAATGATTGAATTTCGCATTCCACTTATTTCATTTCATATACATGTATATGTAATAAATTTGATAAAAAATTTCAAAAATAAACTACACTACTATAATTTTTATCAATTTTATTTAGACATGATCACCATCATCATTATCACCACTACTTTTATTATCATTGTCACTATCATTCTTATCATTATGTCACTATCATTATCATAAGCATTAATCAATCAGCTTGTTCCAGTGGAACAAATGGTGTTTGTCCACTATCTTCTCGATTTCCATCATGTGATAAATTGCGTTCTTTCTTATATTCACGATATAATCGTCTATTTTTTCGTGCAAAAAATATACGATCATTATCCTATAAATTATATTTTATTTTAATTTAACAAATTAGCTTAACTTTTTTGTAAAAAGTTAAAATTATAATTTAAAATAATTTATTTGAAAAGATTTAAACTTCGCCATCATCATTATCATTATCATCATCTTCTACACCACATGATTCAGCACCAAATGATCTCAAATCTTTCGCATTATCTTTCCATTCAACCAATTTCATATATTTATATTCCAAACTAAAATTAATAAGAATCATTCCAGGCATAAAATTTTTAAAATGAAAAACAAAACTTTTGTTTCATTTTCAATTGAATTAACATATCATAAATAAAAAATTCGATTAATAGTTTCAATTTTCCTTTTTCTATGGCAAACTTAAAAAGTAACCTTTTATTCTTTATATAAGCCATGATAATGATAATACATAGTATGATAAGAGTTAAAGTAATGCCCAAAATAAGCAATTGTAATCGTAATGTAAGTGTTGTACATTGTATCATTTGTTCCTTTCTTATCATATCCATTGAAATACAATAACTTAAATTAATTTAACATATATATATTTAATTTTGTGAAAAAAATGAAAAAAAAGTTAAACTTAACATTTTTATCAAATATATAATAAATTTTTTTTTACCTTGCTGGTATACTATGAATTGATTGCATTCCATTAATGCATTCACCTTTAATTATACTATAATCTTGTTCAGTACAAATAGGACAAGCATGTGATGAATAAATGATAATATGATATAAGCAACCATCACAAGTACCATCCGGACAATTACTTGGAAGTTTTATCTGATAATAGGTTTAAGAAGAAAAAAGAAGAAAAAAACTTTTCTTATAAAATTTAAATTTTAATTAATTTAATCCAATTAAATAACAAAAATCTTGATCAAATTAAATAATTTAGTTTAAAAAATATGCTTAATTTTCTCACTTCCTTAATCAATTATACTTTCTAAAAGTAGCAACTGAAATATTTGAAATTTAACTTAATTCAAAAGAAGTATTAGTGATACCAATGGTTTGATAATTTGTCGTGGATCACATTTTAATGTGACAACAGTATACACACCATGTTGACAAAGTTGTGTCGACGGTTGAGGTGAACCGAAATAAAAATGTATATTTGGTATTTCATTCATTGTATTATTATTTTCTAAAAAAAAAAAAAAAAATTATTCAATTATTTGATTACTGTTTAATAACTCTAATATTCAATTCAACTTCTTCTAAGATTTATTTGAAATAATTATTCAACAAACCGATAATATCAAATTCTCGACCAGTTAATTTGACATACTTATTCAATTCTCTTTCAGATGTTATAGCCAAAATTTTATCACCAATTCTAAAAAAACGAGAAAAAAAAATATTTTTTTTTCTATTATTATAATATTTTATAATGTAACAATAAATTTGCAAGCATTAAATGGAAAAAGGGAATAATAATAATTAATTTAAAAATTAAGAATAACAATGATTAATTTGAATTTAAAAAAGGAAGCAAAAATGCAATTGAACTTTAAAAGGTTTATTTTCATTGTAAAGTTTAAAATTTCTGAGATTCAAAAAATTTGAAGAAAAATCGAATTTTAATAAAATTAGTGGAAAAAAGTTTATACATGACAGGTGAAATGTAAAAAAAACGTTGTGTAATATTGGCAAGTTGATGCATTGGAAATGCAGTTGAACGACAGATGTATGCATTTACGGCTCCGGAACTTTCTTGACCCTGTAAAAAAATAATAATTGCTTTGTCTTTCGTTTTTTCTATTAAAAATTTAATTTAATAATTATTTGAGTTTAAACTTATAAAATTCAAAAATTCAACAAGCCTGATTAGAGATTTCATTTACAAATAAATATAACCTTTTCTAATTTTTAAAATTTAAAAATTTATAATACGTGCACATGTTGGTTTAAAAAAACGAAAGCAAAAATTTTAAAAATTAAAAGAAAAAATTGTTTTACTTGATTTCCCTGCATATTATAAGATAAAGAAACACTTTCATATTCTGATGACGCATAAGTTTCCTTACAATTTGCGCCATTTTCGGTTAAAAGTGAAATATTATACAAATGAAAATATGATGCACCTTCACGTGCGAATACTTGCACACCTTCTGCTGTAAATGTTCTAAAAACGAAAAAAAAAAAAACTAAGGAAAAAGTTAAAAATTAAGCATGGATGAATAGTGTGTGTTAATCTTAATTACTGTAAAAATTTCAAATAATTTTATTTTAAACAAACAAAAAATTTCTTACTTTAACAAAAAAAATGAAAAAATTGCAGCGAAAATTTAAAAAACAGTTATAGAAATGCTAATTACAAAAAATAATATAATGATTAAATACTAAAAAAAAAAAAATGATTTGAATGAATAAAAATAATTCGCAAAAAAAAATTATTACAAAATTAGTTTAAATAAACAAAAATAATTATAAAATTTTTGGGATAAAAAATTAGTTTTTGATAAATTATAAATGCATCGAAATAAACAAGAAAAAAGAATTTTTTTGTCATTTTTTTTGAATAATAAAATTAATTAAATTAAAATACCGATTAAAGAAATATGTAAAATTAAAATGATATGTTTTATTATTAGATAAATTATCTAATAATAATATTCCATTTGATATACATCGTATATTATCATATGAGATAAGATTGATACCGCATGGTATACAACTTTTAATACCCATTCGATCGCTTGTCGTATTTAATATTAATCCATTCGGACATTTTTTACATTCATTATTCTAAAAATTTGAGAATTTTTTTTTTTCGATTTATTATTTTTCTTTTAATTAACTAATATTTTTATTACCCATTTGTTGTAGTTTATATAATATTTTTATATAATTAATTAGTTAATATTAAAAAAAAAAAAAAAAAAAAAGTAAAATAACATTATTCAAAAATACGACATATATACATATTTATAGATTTATATTTATGTTAATAAAAAAAGGTTTCGAATATTATTAAAATTGATAATAACTTCTTAAAAAAAATTAATTAGTCATTGATAATGACTAATTAATACAATTTATATATTGCATCATTTTTTGCTTCGTTTTTCTGAATAAAATTTTTGAATATTTTCGAAAGGTTTTTTGACTTAAAATAATGTGAAATAAATAAATCGCTAAAAATGAATAGCATTTTGTTTTGTTTTTTATTTTATTTTATATTACAAGGATAAAAAGTAAATGTATAATTGTGTTATTTCTAAAAAAATTTTGAAAAGTACTTGAAAAATTTTAAATAGAATTGGAAAAAAGGAAAATTTACTGTTTCAGTGATGTATTCACCAGCTAAACAATGTACACACTTCCCATTATATTTTGGACATTGTAAACATGTTGATGCACCACCTGATTTGTCACCAACATTGGTGACATTAATTCGATAAATAAATGCTCGATCTGTTATGACATCTTCTTTTGTTGAACTTCGTGATCTTAAAATTAGAACACAATTAAAAAACTAATTCACACATTTAAAAATATAAAATAATAAATCATAATCTTTATTTATCATATAAATTTTCTTTTTTATAGTTAATCCATTAAATGACTACCGTTCATTTATTAGTTTATTTATAATCATATAAATTTAATTTTTATTTATAAATAAATAACAATAATAGTAGTAGCAATAATAATAATAATAATAATAATAATAATAATAATAATAATAATGACGATAATAATAATAACAATAATAATAATAAATAATAATAACCTGATAATAAACACTAATAATAGTAATACTAATAGTTATAATAATATTGCTATTAATGATAATATTACTACATACACTACTACTATAATATCTCAGTCATTATTAATTTATAATCACATAAAAATTTGTAACTGTATAAAACCTGGAATTACAACCATAACAGCAATATTAATAATAATAATAAACATTAATAACGATAATAAATTATAATAACAATAACAGTAATAGTAATTAATAATAAACAATAATAATAATAACGATAATGATAACAATAATGATAATGACAATAATAATAACAATAACAATAATAATAATATAGCAATAATAATGATAATAACAATGAGAAAAATAATAGTAACAATAATATAGTAAGATATTTAATATAGAAGATTAGAATTTGATTACCTTATAAAAACAAATAAAAATTGTGTTGGATTTGGTGAAACAATTGGATAGGAATATGATTGATAATGTTGAGTACCACTAAAATCCACAAGAATACGATAATAAGATTGAGATGGCGCATCCTAAAAAAAAATAAAGAAATGAACAATTTAAAAGAAGTTTTTTTTAATATTTTATAACATATATAAGTTAAAATTTAAAAAATTTATTAAATTAAAAAAGGAAAAAGTGCTTTCATTATAACAAACTTCAATAAAATATAGCACACAGCTATCATCCGCGCATTTCATTTCAAAGTCAAATGTAATATGCGCAATTGGATTATGTGATGATATTAGCTCATCAAATGCAAGTAATGGATTTGAAAAGCCATCATGAATTTGTAGGCCAAGTTCAAGTGCTATGCCTTTCTCTTGCGTTGATGACGTTTGAATCATACTTCCAGCTGGTATCCATGCATTATCAATTGTACAATTTATTAAATCACCTGTTAAAAAAAAAGAAGGAATCAGCTAAAAGAGAATAATTCTTTTTAATTCAAAGAAAAGACCACGAAAATAAAAAGAAAAATTAAAAATTTAAATTTAATTTTCATGTAAATTAATATATTTTTAATCAGATTAAAAGGAAATGAAATATTTTATTAATACCTTCAACAATATATTCACATCTGGTGAACATATTTGGTGGAAGTGTATTCCAGATAATATAATGATAGCCATAATTTGGTAATGTATCAACTGGACATCGATGACATTCTGTGAATGATGAAAATTAAAAAAAAAATTTTTTTTCTTGTTTTTATCATTTTTTACTTATTTTTCACATTTTATTTTTGTTAGTTCATTTAAATCATGAACTAAATCATGATTAAAAATATAACAGTTGATTTGAAATTTATTATATGAAATCAATTTTAGCATTTTTATGTACATATCAAAAAGTTAAGAAAAATTATTAGGTTGTATAAATAAAATAAAATATGAACATATATTCTGATAAACATCGAAGTTTAAATTGATGAATTAAATTTTTTTTTAAAAAAAAAAGAAAAAAAAACCTTCGCCATGCGAGTAATGGTCCTTTTGACAAAAGACACATTGACCAGTTGAATTCAAATGCATTCCTGGATTGCACTTCGGACAGGAAATTTCATTACCAGGTGCTGGGATCTGCATATATAATTGTTACCCAATGTGATATGTGTTTTTTCCTGTATTTTAATTTTAATTGCAATAATTGCTCATTTTTTTAAATTTAACTACTACATTGATATATTAACTTTATTTTTTCTTTTTATTGATCAAAAAAAGTGATTTACTAAACAATTGTCAATTAAATTTGAACATACACTTATAAATTTAAAAAAAAAAAAAGACGATCTTTTTTTAAATTAACCTTAATAGCACCATTTAAATCATCACGACAAATATTTGGTTGCACTTTAACAAATATCGTACGTGTTTTACCATTAATACATGGTTTTAGAACAGGATAATAATCATTTAATGAACAAATAGGTCGATTTATGCAAAATGATGAGCGTGCATCTATAAAAGATATCTTTGAAAAATGATCAGTTATTTTTTTAAAAAAAGATAATTTATTATTTTATTATCACAAAATAAATTTAATTTTTAAATAGCAATTTTAATATTCATCTAAATTAATTTTAATCATTTTCAGTCTAAAATAACTTACGGGAATATTGTGATAATGGACAACGGATACACTGCATGGATCCTGGTGGACTATAATATCCGGCACGACAAAATCGGCATTGTTTAGCACCAATACCACTATACGTACCGCCCGGACATTTGGTACATTTTCGTATCTGTTGTAAACCTGAAAAAAAAACTTAAGAAAAAAAAAGAAAAAACGAAGAAAGAAAGAAAGAAAGGAAAAAAGTAGTGAAAATTTATTACTTAATTGCTTAAAAGATCATATATTAATCAAAATCAAAGTAATTTTACATTGAACAATATCTTCTTTAATTAACATCTATACCATAAATCCTATGAAAAAAGAAAAAAGTTTAAATATAATTCTCGCATTACATCAAAATGAAAAAGAAAAAACGTTAAAATAATTGATTGAAATTAAACAATTTGTTAATAAGACTTTTTTTAATTCAAAAATTTCTACCCATCAATGATATCAATGTAGGAATTATTAATTTCAAATTATATTAATCTTTTTTTTAAACTTTAATCAATATAATACGATAAAACCAAACTATATATGATAATTCATATGATCACATCTTTAAAAAAAAAAAGAAAAACAAAAAATAAAAATTTCATCCCATATTACAGAATGAAAAAATAATACTTAAATAATTAAATAACTGTAATGAAAAAAAGTGTATAACATATGTATAACACCTTTAACAAAAAACAAATAAATTAATTAATTGATTATTTAAGTACCATGAATATCGATATGTGAGATTGTGATCACATCATTGTTATAAAATGCATCCAAACGATAGCTCATCACTGTCCAACTGATAACATTATGACCACTTTTTAATTCAATTCGATCACGATACCAATCATTGCCATCTTCTGAACTACCTTTCTTCTTCAAATTATTTCCCATTAATTGTTTCATTTCATCTCTATAATATTATATGATACCATTTATAACATACGTTCTACTTCGTTTTTAAGATAAATTTAAAAAAAAATTTTCATTTAGCATAAATTTTCATATTATTATAATTGCTGATACAATTAACAACAAAATATAAGCAAACATAAAAATTATTTAGTTATTTTTACATTAATTCATCATTAAAATTATTTTAGGCTAAATTTTTTTTCAAAAGAAAAAATAATTAAATGAAAAAAAAATTTTTTTTAGAGAAAAAAGTAATTGCACCTGTAGCTTCTACATTTGTCATTTCTTACATCAACATTAAAAATAAGCGCACGATTATTACGTGGTAAACGATAAACATATTCCACGTAACCAGGACGTACTAAATCAATGCTATAAGTAAGCCTTGATAAACATGGTGAAGGCACGTATATTAATTCTGCATTTCGTACAATCCAACCTTTCCTGAAATTTTATAATTATCAAAAGTATCGGAACAAGCATTTATTTCATCTTTTATATATGATATAATTAATCAGTTCATTTCATTGTTTAGCCCGTTTTTTTTTTTTTTTTTTTTTCACTTTTTCAAACAACTGTTAAATGATGAAAATTATTTGAAAAATAACTGTTAAAAGATGACGAGAAAAATTACTGTATTGGACAATCTTCTATCGACTCCATATTTGTATCGATATTTCTCTCCAGCAAAATGTTAACATTTTCCACTTCAAAATTTGCTGGAATTTCATCAAATACATCGTAACGAATGCCATCACCCAAACTATATGTACCTAAAATTATTTCAAATTAAATTAATTTAAAAAAAATTGTTAAATTTTTTAATGACTCTTTTTTCTTCATACGATTTTTGCAAAAATTTACCATAAAATTCATGCAAATTTAATGTAATAAATTGTTGTTAAAAATTATTAAAATTATTAAATCTAAAATAATTATTAATAAAAAACCTTTTGGACAAAGTTGACATCGCTGTGTAACAATATCCAAATACATTCCGGCACCACATGTAAAGGCTAAAATAATAGGTAAACAATATATATATCTTAAGTAATTACTTATGATTAAATTAAAGATATATCATTAACTTGAGTAATGATTTAATTAGCTCAAAATATTATGATTAAATGGATTAATTAAAAAAAAATGTCAAATTTTTCAACGATGTAGTGGAATACAAATATTCAATTAAAATTATATAATAATAATTCACTTAATATTCATAATATAATTTAAGCTAAAGCTAATATTTTGCAATGATTAAACATTTTAATGATTAAAGAAATTATACAACAAATAAAAAAATAGAAACAAAATGAAAACAAACAACAATTCACTCCTCGTATCGGTAATGGTACTTCATCATTACATTCTAAATTATTCATTTTAGGTACCGCAACACGCCATCGCTCTCCATTATTATCACATTCCGTATATTTATATTGGAAATCATCAGGAATACATTTTCTACCAAAGGTGTAAAATAACTGTATCCACCAAATAATCAATAATAATACGCCTTAAAATAAGTATTAATAATATAATAGTCAATAATATAATATTTAAAAGAATTATTAAATTATCATTTCTTCTTTTTTCCTTTTTTTTTCAAAAAAAAAAATAATAATAATAATAAAATTAATGATATTTTCATGTAATATAGTACCAGAATTCATCATTTAGAATAACTGATAATCAAAATATGATAAATAAGCCATTCCAATACTGAGAACAAAATGCTCGATATTCATGAATTATATTTAACCTGATTAATGTAATCATTGATTAACGAAATAACATTTAAAATGATAATTCGTTTTTTTTTTTTTTTTGTTTTTAAACAGCAGTAAAAAAATTTTGAGTGAAAATATCATAGGAAATTTAATTGAACAAACCTAATTGAATATACACATATAACAATAACAGCAATGAATGATAATAATAACAATGAAAATAATAATAATAATAATACCTACGAAAATGTCAGTAATAATGAAGAGATAGTTAATAATAATAAGAATAGTAATAGTAGTAATAATTAATAAATAATAATTGGTAATAATCATAATAATTAATAATAAATAATAATAATAAAATAACAACTAAAGAAATATCTGAGGGAAAAAAGATGAACAAAAGATAGAAGAAATGAATAATAAATTAATTCATAATATTATATTTAAATAAAATGTGTAAGAAAAAAAAAATGTAATATTTTATGGATATTTTACACAAATAATTCATTACAATAGTCCTATAATACTAATTAAAATAATTTACTGTCAATTATTTTTGAATTATTACAATCAAACAAGAAATTTTCTTTTTTCTCACTTATTTGTTTAATTAAAACTAGAATTTAACTAAGCTAACAATTTTCCATCTAACAGTATAATTTAAAAAAAAGATTGACACTTATTGCTATTTGTCAAGAACATGAGAAATCGCAAGATTTTTTCAATTATATCATTCATTTTAATAGTTTTTAACTGAATGAAATAAAATGAAATGAAGTGAAAACATTTCTTTATGATAATAAGTATTATAAAAATTGATACTATAACATAATTAGTATAGGAAAAACTTCACACCTTAATGTTCATATTAAAAAAAAAAAAAAAAACTATTTTTTTTTCATATTAAATAATGAAAGAGAGAGGGGGAAGAGAAACAGAGATGAGAAAAAAAAAGGAAGAGCGGAAAAAAGTGGAAAACCGATATTTTTCATGAATAAAACAAGCTAATAAAAATAGAAGAAAAAAGTAAAAAAAAGAGAGAAATGAAAGAAAAGAAAAAAGTGAAAGATGAATGGCGTAGGACTTAACAAGTAAATTATAATGGATGTATACATATATATATACGAGCGACCTCAAAATGGAAATTGATTAGTGGCATATGGAGCATTTTAATAGTAGAATATGGCCAATCAATTTAAAGTCTAGGCCAAGAGTTCAACATCTTTCATTCTTTCCTCTTTATCTTACTTTTTCTCCTTGCCTTTTCCTTCTTTTATCCTCATTTTCCCTACCTTGGCATGCTTATTTACTTAGCTTTAATTTTTACTTTTTTCTTCTTCCAAACTTTATTATGTCCGTTTTTTTCACATCAAAACTAATTTTTTTTTTCTCTCTCTCGGTATCTCCCTCCTTTTCACTTTTTCTTCCTCTCTTTTGGTGATAAAATTTTTGGAAACACAAAAGTTTGAAAATGAAAAACATTTCAATTAGTGATGCAATAATATATTTTATCAATATATCATTAACACAAATTACAAATGCTAGCATTTTAATTAAAGTTTTTATGACAAGAAGAAATCAATAAATATATTTAATTTTAGATGATAATGAATTAAAATGATTTACAATTATGAATAAATAAGTGCATTTTCTCACTATTTGACAATTGCCAAAAGAAAAATGGTAATAGATAAAATATGATAAAAGTTGGACGCATTAAATTTTCATCAATTTTTGCTTACTATTTTTGAGGCTAAAAATCTATACTTTTTGTTTTTTCAACTTTTAAAATAATTTCGATATCTTTTAAAATATTTTTAAAATAATTAAAAAAAAAATAAATCAAGTTAAAATACGTTCACCTGAAGTGAAAAATGATTAAATGAAATGAAATTACACAGGATGAAACCGCATTTCATATGTTAGTAATAAAATTTAATTGGTTTAGATTTAAAGAAAAATTTGAAACTATTTAAAATGGGCTTGAAGTCAGTAGCAATTAAATGTGGAATGACTGACTGCTGAATTTACTAGTGCGGTAAATATTTGTAAGTTCCAATTCTCGATTTGAAAAATTTAAGCTGCGTTCGGCTTTTATGTTCAGAATTTCAGATGATATTCCAGATCAGAATTGATTGATTACCACATTAATTTGGGGTAGCTTATGAATATATGAATATATAAATTTTTTGGGTGAAAAAAACTAAAATTAAAAAAGGAGTGAAAGTAAAATTCCATAATTTTAACTGTTTTAACGTAATATCAAATTGCAGCAGCAATTATAATTTTCGAGAAAATATTATTGCAATGCAAACTAAGTCAAATCACATCTATAAATGAAATTTTTAGGTACAATTTTTGAATTTGAGTGCATTTTTTTTTCGTTGCATAATAAGAGAAAAAAATTTTAATTTGAAAAAAAAATTAAAAAACAACTTTAAACTATAATTTACGAATAAAATCCTTTTCGACAAATGATGATAAAATTTGATTCTGATAATTAATACAGAAAAATAACTTGTTTATCTTTAGTTGTTATTTATTTCAATCGTCCATTGATCAATTCCAGAATTAATGGATGCATAAAACGGAAAAGTTTAAAATTTGAGATTCCATCATAAATTAATCATTTCTTTGAGCATTTTCTAGTGAATTACACAATCAATTATATGAATTTTCCTTGAAATAAGTGGTGCATTCATTAAATTCTAATTTACTACAATAAAAAAATAAATAACGAAACAGTGTGTCAAATTACTAATGTTATTCACGTAAATCTACGTGTTGTTAATAGGAAAGAAAAAAGAAAACAAAAATGAAAATAGCAAATGTGTAGCAATCGAAGTCACGAAAGTAAAAGTGTTTGAAAATGAAGCAAGCACTGCTGCTGTGAATAATAAGCATTAAAGTCAATTACTTCAGCTAGGCTCTTTAGGCCACATACTCTGCCATTTATTTCATTTTTTTATTATTTTTTTTAGCAATTTTACATCAGATACTGCTTCTCATCGATTTCAACGTTTAATCAATTGTGGAGTAAATGAGCTAACTCATTTCATGACAGCTAAGCTAAATGTCTAGCAATTAGACATTTTATTTTAAATGTTAATAACACTGTAAAAATTTCAATATGAAAATTAAGCATGTGACATGTTATCATATGTAATCAAATCATATCACTATCATTTGGAATTAGCATGTATCACATTTTACAACGATTTAACTTTCGAATATTGTTTTACAAATACACATTATACTAATCATTTAACTGCACACATTGATAAGGATAAAAAAAGATGCTAATTTGAAATTTGTTTCATTCATCAGTTTCATGTGTTATTATTAAAATAATCAAAAAAAGAAAAAAACATTTGTCCCCTAATATTTTTGCAAATTAGACAAAAGATTTCTGGGAAATTCTGCACAACTCATTTATTTCATTTAAATAATTGTTGCAGGTGAACAAAATAGTAATAAAAAACAATAATTAAGGGGGTAGGAATTTACCCAAAATATGTCGCGAATTACAATTTCGCGAAAACTTCTATCTAAAATAATAAGAAAAAGGAAAATTAATAAAACACAAAAGTATAAAAACAAAGAGAATTAAAATCACCTAGAATAGTAGAAAAAAGAGTACCACATGAAAATGAGATAGTATTATTAAATGAACCAGAAATACCTCGTGGTGTATGGGAACTAGCAAAGATAATAAAAATTAAACGAGGATGGGATGGAAAAGTAAGAAGCGCAACGATACAATTACCAAATGGGAAACAAATTAATCGATCAATCAGTATGCTTTATCCTATGGAAATAGATGCTGAAATGTGGAAGATGAAACGGAAGAACCCATTGAACCAGAAGTGCCAGAAGTGCTAAAAAATCACAAACTACAGTCAATGCAAAAGACAAGTCTAATCTTTTGATAAAAACTTTATCATTGATAATACCAAGACAGGTATTAGCTAACAACAGCTGTAAATGGATTACTGGAGTACCCTTTAATATTCCTGAAAAATGGAACTGTGAAGAAATTATTCACAAAAATGCTACATATCACAAAGTGGATATGTACACACGCACCCATGTAAGAATACCAGCTATAAAATGTAGCAACATTACACGAACCGTATGCACGAAAGCTTTTCTTAGAATATCACTACCTGTAGTATCAGACCATACGTCTACTACTGCAACTTTGTCACAATTCTGCAGATATTTAAATGTTCGAAAACAAATGAATGGAATTAGACTAATTCAATCTTCTCCTAATCAATGGATAACAAGTAAGGAGATACAATACTCCTATGGATGGTTAGGAGTCAACTGTCAATCAACATCAAACTTCATATTAACCCAAGGAGAAATTCTTCTATACGATGGAAAAGAGTTAGTTTCTAACCTTGATGATATAAAAGACTGTTTGACACAAAAGGGTGAATGCATAACAAATACTAGCATTATCATATGGAATAGCAATGATACAACCAATCATTGTTTATATCGAAAGATCGGAAGATTCAAGGCTACAAAGTATAACAACCACTTCATCATCGATGAGATACAAGCATCGCTTATATTTGATAAAAACCCCCTATATTAAACACCAAAAATTGTAGATTCACCTCTCCAATTTTAATGCAGGGCGATATAGTTATTGAACTAGACGTTGAAGATGACTCGAACTCTACAAAATCCAAACGAAGAGTAACAAATAAACTATTGATGATGGAAAAGTCTCCGGATAGAAAGTATGATCCTGAAAACGTAAAACTTCAATACCTTTCTGATTCACTAAGACAAGGATTCCTTCAACAACTCAAAGAAACGCAGCAAAGAAGTTGCCAAAACAGAAATAACTTATTACTTTTGATCAAATGGCTATCAATCAGCAATCCTACCCTTGCCACGAAACTAATACTTCAAAGAAACGATGTGATAGCTAAAAGAATTAACGGAAATTTGATGGTGGCTCCTTGCAAATCAGAACAACCAACAATCGAAAATATCGAATTCAAAGGAGATTTAATAAGTAAGTTTGAAATTGAAAGAATTAATGCAGAATTGGAAATCCTAACTCAAACCCAAAAAATAATTAATTCATTACCACATCAAATGAAGGATAAACTCTTTTGGCAAGAAATCTCTGAAGAAGGAGAAGAAATTATCAAACAAATGGAAAGGGAATTCAATGAAATTGTTTTACCGATAGAAGAAGAATTTGAAAACGTGATAACACATTGGAAATTGATTTTTATCTGCATAATTATCGTGACAATATTAACTATTTTAGTTATTATTAAGTGGAAATTTAGATTAGTTCAATCCCTCCTTTGTAATACTTCAAAACGAAATTCAAATCAAGCTACCATCATTACTCTCCCTATAGAATCACTACACACTCAATTCCTAACTAAAGAAGAAATCCCACCCATTAAACTCCATACATTTAGCTATACCTCAAAATCACTCTCTCAAAATTACATCTTAAAACAATTCCTCTCCCCCTTTGGGAGTGTCGCGAATTATAATTTCGCGAAAACTTCTATCAAAAATAATAAGAAAAAGGAAAATTAATAAAAACTAATTAATCATTCTTTAATTGTAAACAATCCCATAATATCATAAATTATCTCTCCATAAATCTAGTTCCTTAAGATTCTTCACACATGTGATTTTCATTTTAGATACGTTCAATTCTCACATTGCAAATTCTCAATTTTTGTAGACGCTTCCGACTCTTCAGACATGTGTAAAACATTCTTACAGTATCATAAATTATCCCTCCTTAAATCTAGTTTCTTAAGATTTACTACACATGTAATCTCACATCGTAAATTCTCAATTCTGCATGAACATTTTCCAATTCTTCACACATATGATTTTTATCTTAGACACGCCCAATTCCCACTCATATAAAATTCAACCTTAAAAAATAAAATGATGATTGTCCTTATTGTCGACTACTACTAGGTTAACCAATTTGAATTCCTCCGGTCTTCTTTTATAAATTTCTTCTCTTTTTATTGCTCGGTTTATTAATATTACGTTTTCGGAAAATAAAGGTTTATTAATCTTCCTACTGTATTGCAACTATTCGAGTATCAAACGACAAACCTTTCGCGACAAAATTTATTGATGCCACGAGCCGGGAAACAAGTCAAGCCACATTATTGCGAGCTTTCAACTGGCAAAGGAAAGGTTAGTCAGTCTTCTTAAAGAAGTAAATCAACTGGAGATCAAATCTCCAGAACCAAGTATGACAATAGAAGAAAAAGAAGATTTTTATGTAATAAGAAAAAGAGTTTTAGAAGATAAACTTCGAAGAATCCAATTATGCGTAACTACGCTTGAATCTATCAACGATAAATGGTTCACATATACTCAACAAATCGTCACGATGAAAAGAAGAGAAGTGGAAGAAAAATACAAAACAGTAGCAGAAGGTGACCAAGGAATATTTCAATTATTACACGAACGAAAGGAAGCGCTAATAACAATAACAATGCACAAGGATGAAGTCGACCAAAACTTAAAACAACTCTCAAAGGAGTTGACAAATAAAACAAGCAAAGGAAGAGGTAAAATTTACTCCTTCACCAAATATTAATGTAAATCTTCCTCATTTATCGCTCCCTACTTTCGATGGAGACCGTAGACAATGGCGACAATTTTGGAGCAGTTTTAACGCAGCAGTCCACACACAAGCGATTCCAGAAATACAAAAATTGAATTACTTGTACTCATGTCTTAAAGGAAAGGCTCTACAAGCAATATCTGGATATGATATAGCTCCAGAGAATTATGAAGTCATCAGAAAACTGCTCAATGAGAAATATGGCGATCACTCAATAGTAACAACATTACTGTACAACGAACTCCAATCAATTAAACGAAATGAAAGAGAATGGATTGGAACAATTGAAAATATAGAACGAGTACTACGCAGTTAGAAGCTCTAGGAGAAAGCCTCGAACACTCAAATATCGAAATTTTGATCGAGAGCAAGTTGCCATTATGGATATTGAATAAAATATATAAACATAAAAAGAAGGACATGCCTTGGTCAATTCTCAAACTAAGAAACTTTTTAACAAGTTTAGTTAATGTGAATGAACAGATTAGAAACTGTCAACATTCACTCACTCAACTCAATATTAAATCTACAACTAACAAACCGGAACAAAAACAACGATACAATCCCGGAGGAACTTCAGCACTGTCGACAATAAAAGATAATCAAAATACTTCGAAAACTACAACAACGAAAAGACGACTATGTGTATTCTGCAATCAAGATCATTGGGATTGCGTGAACTACACGACACTCAATGCTCGACTTAATCGTCTTAAAGTATTAAAGAAATGTCTTATTTGTCTTAGAGACAAAGAGACAGTCACAAAGGACAGAATTGTAATGTAAAAAAACAATGTTTTTATTGCAGAAGCTTACATAATAGTGCTTTATATAATAAAAGGAATCCACTTTCTTTAAACAATACAATGTCTCAAAGAAATGAAGAGCATCCAAGTCGATCCAAAGGAACAAAAGAAACTTTACTTATGCAAGGTGATAAAAGTCTTCAATCCATTACAACCTCAACTACAATAAAATGCCCTTGCATTATTTGATATTGGATCACAACTCTCCTTCATCTCCAAAAAATTATCACGTCAATTAAAGTTAACCGAAACAGAAACTCAAATTATGAGAATAGCTCCATTTGGTATGAAGGAACCGAAATCATGTCCCACTGCTCGCATACAACTAAATGTGCTAACTACAGGAAGCGAAATCATACCATTACAAGCAAATATAATTGATTATCTAACGAACGAACTGCAGGTAGTGGAGACATCAAATGAACTTCAAATTCAAAATTTAACAAATTATTGGAAAAAACCTGACGTATTGATTGGAGCTGACTATTTTTTCAAATTTATTAGTCTACGAGAAATCAAAGAATTAAAATCAGGGCATATGTTGGTTCAATCAAAAGTTGGTCCTATGATTGCTGGAAGTGGAGATATTGAGAAACTTTGTAAGAACGAATTATATCCTAAAGAAGTAGTATATTCTACAAATGCCAATATTAACTCGGAGCTAGAAAAATTTTGGAAATTAGAAACGATTGGTATTCAAAAATCACCTCAAGATGATGATGAAGCTTTAAAGCATTTCAAACGGACCATCATCAAGCAGGGTGGAAGATACCAGGTTTGTTGGCCATGGAAAGACTCCAAACAAAAATTAAGCAATAATTATGGTTTATGCTGGGACTATTGAAGAATTTGATCAACCATCTACAACATAATTCAAATCTCCATTTATATCATAAAATACTTATGGATCAACTACATTCGGGTATAATTGAAGAAGTACCTCCAAAGGATGAGGTAGGCGTTATTCATTACTTATCACATCAAGAAGTATTAACTCCTAGAAAATCAACAACTGAATTAAGAATAGTATATGATGCCTCGGCACATCACAAAGGTTTCAAAAGCCTAAATGAAGCCTAAATGTATCGAGGTCCAGTAATGTTACCAGATTTAGTTGGAGTAATATTACGTTTTCGGATGATGAAAATAGTAATAACTGCTGATATCGAAAAGGCATTTTTACAACTAAAACTACAAAATGAGGAAAGAAATTGTATACGTTTTCTTTGGTCAGATGATATTGATAAAGAACTGACCAATGAAAATATAAAATGCTACCGCTTTAAGAGAGTTCCTTTTGGAGTAATATCCTTACCTTTCTTATTAGCAGCAACATTAAATTACCACCTAGAAAACCATGGTAGTGAATTGGCATGGGAGATAAGAAAGAATTTATACGTGGACAACGTTATTATATCAGCTAATGGAACAGAAGAGGCTTTATATAAATATGAAAGAACGGAAGAAATTTTTGGTGAAGCATCAATGAACATAAGAGAATTTCTTTCAAATGACAAAAAATTTAATGAAAGAATACCTGAATGCGACCTAAGCCAAACAAACCAGGAAATTTTTCTTGGTCTTAAATGGAACCATGAACGAGATATTATCCGTGTGGCACTGAAACTATGGATAGGGAAAAGTTTAACAAAGAGGACTATCCTACAATTCATAGCTTCTCAATAAGATCCACTGGGTCTTCTCGTTCCCATAATGATCAAACTTAAATTATTCATACAACACTTATGGAAAGAAAATATTCCATGGGATCAATCTTTAAACAAACAAGACGAACAACAGTGGATAAAATCTCATCAAAGAATGGCCAACAAATATAACAGAGCTGCCAAGATTTATAATGGAAACTTCACAATTAACAGAATTCCATATATTTACTGACGCTTCGAAAGTTGCCTATTCTGCAGCTATTTATATTCTCAATCATGGATATCAAAACACATATTCGAATTCATTCTTGATTTATGCTAAATGTCGAATTGCTCCAATTAAAGGTATTGCACATACGTTTCTGAATTAAGACGAAAATATTGGGTACCGAAAGGAAGAGCTGCTGTAAAACGAATCATAAACCTATGCTGTTATTGCATTCGCTGGAAAGCTAAACCGTTTAAACTGCCAGCGATGCCAAGTTTACCAGAAACACGAGTAAAACGATCCAGAACCTTCGAACAAGTCGGCCTAGATTATATGGGTCCTCTTTCAGTCAAATCTAATACTGGTCTAGTCAAAAGATGGATAGCACTTTTTACGTGCTTCAATACCAGAGCAGTGCATCTAGAAATGGCGGAGAATTTATCTGCCGAGAATTTTTTACATGTTTTAAGAAGATTTGAAGAAGAGCTCGACGTGGATATCCAAAATTAATATTAAGCGATAATGCAAGCCAATTTCAACTGGTATTCAAAACCATTATGGAAGAAAACGCTAATTTTTTGGCGACGAAGGGTATGGTATGGAAAAATACTATACCAAGGGCACCATGGGGTGGTGGTTATAGGACTCACAAAAACGGCATTAAGAAGAGCAATAGGAACAAAACTTCTAAAGGAAGGAGAATTAATAACATTAATAGTTGAAATAGAAGGAATCCTTAATACCCGTCCATTAACTTATGTAGTTTGACGACTACAGAATCATTCGTCCAATTGATTTTATATCACCTATGGCTTCATTAGATCTACCAATAAATTATGATAGTGATCAAGATGAATATACCCCTTATACAATAAAGACTAAAGATAAGTTAATCAAGTATTGGACTACCACTCTTACCACATTAGATGTCTTTTGGAAGTTGTGGAAAGAACATCTTACAAGTCTTAGAGAACGCACACAAAGAGAATTAAAATCACCTAGAATAGTAGAAAAAAGAGTACCACATGAAAATGAGATAGTATTATTAAATGAACCAGAAATACCTCGTGGTGTATGGGAACTAGCAAAGATAATAAAAATTAAACGAGGATGGGATGGAAAAGTAAGAAGCGCAACGATACAATTACCAAATGGGAAACAAATTAATCGATCAATCAGTATGCTTTATCCTATGGAAATAGATGCTGAAATGTGGAAGATGAAACGGAAGAACCCATTGAACCAGAAGTGCCAGAAGTGCTAAAAAATCACAAACTACAGTCAATGCAAAAGACAAGTCTAATCTTTTGATAAAAACTTTATCATTGATAATACCAAGACAGGTATTAGCTAACAACAGCTGTAAATGGATTACTGGAGTACCCTTTAATATTCCTGAAAAATGGAACTGTGAAGAAATTATTCACAAAAATGCTACATATCACAAAGTGGATATGTACACACGCACCCATGTAAGAATACCAGCTATAAAATGTAGCAACATTACACGAACCGTATGCACGAAAGCTTTTCTTAGAATATCACTACCTGTAGTATCAGACCATACGTCTACTACTGCAACTTTGTCACAATTCTGCAGATATTTAAATGTTCGAAAACAAATGAATGGAATTAGACTAATTCAATCTTCTCCTAATCAATGGATAACAAGTAAGGAGATACAATACTCCTATGGATGGTTAGGAGTCAACTGTCAATCAACATCAAACTTCATATTAACCCAAGGAGAAATTCTTCTATACGATGGAAAAGAGTTAGTTTCTAACCTTGATGATATAAAAGACTGTTTGACACAAAAGGGTGAATGCATAACAAATACTAGCATTATCATATGGAATAGCAATGATACAACCAATCATTGTTTATATCGAAAGATCGGAAGATTCAAGGCTACAAAGTATAACAACCACTTCATCATCGATGAGATACAAGCATCGCTTATATTTGATAAAAACCCCCCTATATTAAACACCAAAAATTGTAGATTCACCTCTCCAATTTTAATGCAGGGCGATATAGTTATTGAACTAGACGTTGAAGATGACTCGAACTCTACAAAATCCAAACGAAGAGTAACAAATAAACTATTGATGATGGAAAAGTCTCCGGATAGAAAGTATGATCCTGAAAACGTAAAACTTCAATACCTTTCTGATTCACTAAGACAAGGATTCCTTCAACAACTCAAAGAAACGCAGCAAAGAAGTTGCCAAAACAGAAATAACTTATTACTTTTGATCAAATGGCTATCAATCAGCAATCCTACCCTTGCCACGAAACTAATACTTCAAAGAAACGATGTGATAGCTAAAAGAATTAACGGAAATTTGATGGTGGCTCCTTGCAAATCAGAACAACCAACAATCGAAAATATCGAATTCAAAGGAGATTTAATAAGTAAGTTTGAAATTGAAAGAATTAATGCAGAATTGGAAATCCTAACTCAAACCCAAAAAATAATTAATTCATTACCACATCAAATGAAGGATAAACTCTTTTGGCAAGAAATCTCTGAAGAAGGAGAAGAAATTATCAAACAAATGGAAAGGGAATTCAATGAAATTGTTTTACCGATAGAAGAAGAATTTGAAAACGTGATAACACATTGGAAATTGATTTTTATCTGCATAATTATCGTGACAATATTAACTATTTTAGTTATTATTAAGTGGAAATTTAGATTAGTTCAATCCCTCCTTTGTAATACTTCAAAACGAAATTCAAATCAAGCTACCATCATTACTCTCCCTATAGAATCACTACACACTCAATTCCTAACTAAAGAAGAAATCCCACCCATTAAACTCCATACATTTAGCTATACCTCAAAATCACTCTCTCAAAATTACATCTTAAAACAATTCCTCTCCCCCTTTGGGAGTGTCGCGAATTATAATTTCGCGAAAACTTCTATCAAAAATAATAAGAAAAAGGAAAATTAATAAAAACTAATTAATCATTCTTTAATTGTAAACAATCCCATAATATCATAAATTATCTCTCCATAAATCTAGTTCCTTAAGATTCTTCACACATGTGATTTTCATTTTAGATACGTTCAATTCTCACATTGCAAATTCTCAATTTTTGTAGACGCTTCCGACTCTTCAGACATGTGTAAAACATTCTTACAGTATCATAAATTATCCCTCCTTAAATCTAGTTTCTTAAGATTTACTACACATGTAATCTCACATCGTAAATTCTCAATTCTGCATGAACATTTTCCAATTCTTCACACATATGATTTTTATCTTAGACACGCCCAATTCCCACTCATATAAAATTCAACCTTAAAAAATAAAATGATGATTGTCCTTATTGTCGACTACTACTAGGTTAACCAATTTGAATTCCTCCGGTCTTCTTTTATAAATTTCTTCTCTTTTTATTGCTCGGTTTATTAATATTACGTTTTCGGAAAATAAAGGTTTATTAATCTTCCTACTGTATTGCAACTATTCGAGTATCAAACGACAAACGTTTCGCGACAAAATATGAAAACTTAATATTATCGTGAAAAAAAAAAAAAAAAGAAACATATCAAGACTATAAAATATAAATAAAGGTATAACATATCATTTTACTCATGAATGTAATATATGCTTTGATATAATGATCAGCGATATCAGCGACCATCTGAAAAAATAATTTTTTTTTTTTTTTTTTTTAAACTTTAATTCAATTGGAATTAAACTATAAAAATCTGAATTAGAACTTCAACAAAAAATTTAAATGAAAAAAATTCCCAAAAATAATAAATCATTAATTAAACAATTTCTATTAATGAAAAAATGCATTAATAAAATAAATTATTTCTATAATTATTTGTTGTTTTCCTTTTTTTTCTTTTTTTTGTTTTATTTCCTCGTTGCTTATATTCCCTAAATTTCCGAAAATATTTAAATTTATTTTCACCTAATTTATACATCATTAAAATTGATAATATAAAATGATGGAAGGAATATAAATTTTACCTGAATTAAGCGTTAAATGATCACCTTTTCGAATATTGATAACGCTATCTCTCTCAGTTATCATATCATCTGTTCGTAATGATAAAAGTTTTCCAAGTTTATAATCATCATGATTAATCTCTAATGGTATTTCATCAACATCATGATTATGCATATGTCGCCGTAACATATACACTTCAGAAATCTTAAATTTTTTTTCAATTAAATTTTATTGTAATCAAAGAAAAAGACTGAAAAAAATTTTAAGTTGAAAATAAGAAAACAAATAAAAAAAACTGAGCAAAAAATAAAAAATTTATTTCCTCTTTTTTTATTTTATATATCTGTCAACATAAAAACAAACGCAAAAAGAATGTGAAATGATAAATGTTAAGAAAAGAACAATAATCATAAGAATGAATTCATTTAAATTAACCAAATGAATTTGTAAAGTATATATTTTTTCCCTTCAAAAAATATTAAATAAATATTCAAATAAATAAATAAATATATTGATTACTCAAGTATGCAATTTAATCCACAAATCAAAATTTTCATAAAATAACTGAAAATTAAATAACTTACTGATATACAATAAATGACAGTAATTATCAAATGAATGTTGGTGCAATATCGCATTGTGGCAATTTTTTTATAAATGTTTCGTGTAAACGTTTTCCTGCAAAACATACTAATTTATTTAACTCAAAACAGACGACCTACACATATATACATACATACATACATGCATACATACAGACATAGACATGTACACACGCATACGCGTACGCACGCAGAAACGCAAACACAAACATACACGAATGCAAGCACGCGAATATACATAATTTTAATGGACGCCCATAGATAATGATCAAAAGAACCAGTACGACAATTACGATTGTTTCATCTTTTAGTTGAACAAAGTATTTATTCCTACAGTTTATTGATTAATCAATAAATCAATTAATTGATTAATTAATCAATAAACCAATTAATTAATCAATTGAAGTGTGTAAAAACACTTCAGCTTCCTAATGTATGTTTTATTTCTTTTTTCTCTTTCTCTTGCTTATTTTTTTTTCCTTTCAAAAATGAAATTATTTTGTTGTCACATATATATTTTTCACTCATTATTAATATAGGTATAAAAATAGACAAATCAAAAAAGAAATTTTTTTTGATTTAAAATTTAAAAAAGTATTTTTTTTAAAAACAATAAAATAAAATAAAATGAAAGAACAGCGAAAAAAAAGAGAGAAAAGAAAAGAAATTGAAAAATTCTTAAAACAGTAGGAGCAAAATGTATTATGTGTATTATATTGCTTCTTTCAATGTTCTTTTTGTTTCTCAGTATTTCTCAAACAAGTTTCTTTTCTTCTTTTTCCCCCTAATGAATTCTATATTATGTTCATTTTTCAAATTGTCCTTTGACCTCTTTTTATTTTTATCTTCTTTATCATCTTTTCAACTTCACTCTTTCATAAAAATAATGAGAAAGGAAGAAGGGAGAAAGAGAGAAGATGAAAAAAATAGGTGAAGAAAAAAAAGAGAATTGTATTAATTAATCAATGCAAAGTAAAAATTAATTCTAATGAAAGAATTATTCTTGTTTTTTCCCCTCTCTCTCTCCTCTTAATATTTCGTAAATGGTTAACCTAAAAATAAGTGATAATAACTGCTGTTTTCTTGTTTTAGTTAATTCAATATTTATCAGACATTTAATTTTTTAATTTTGATAATTGTTTAATTCATAATTTTAACAAAACTTTGAGATTTTGCTATACCCTAAATAGTGAAATAGTGATAGATGTTTGATGTATCATTTTGTTTCATATTTCAAAAATCAAAAAATTTTGAGCTGAAACAAATTTTGATGTTTGAAATTACTCATTAGTAAACTGATAAGTTAGTCACAATGATTCATTGTTTTTAAAAAAATAGGAAAAAAGAAAAGAAAAATTATTGAGTTGTTCAAATATACCACTTGGTTATTTTTTGTGAATAGCATTAAAAAAAAGAAACAATTACTCTGAAATTATTCTAAAAAAGAAAATGCCGTCATACAACTCCTTATCAAATCAATAACCACTAAGATTGTTTATGAATGATCTGAGTCATTTGATTGTATATTGCTTCATAATACTAAAAATATACCATTGATTTTTAGATAAATTTCTACATAATTTTGATTTAGTTAGTTTTTTTCATTACTTCTATACATTTTCCCTATTCCTTTCTTTTTTGATTAAAAAAAGAAAACAGAAATTCTTTAAGATTTGTTAGACAAATTTACTGCGATTGCTTAATTACAGTAAAATGACATAAACGTTATTTTAATTTAATGTTATTTCAGTTTTAATAGAAGCAAAATGTAAATATTCATGACAATGCTGCTTTACTTTAATAGTGAAATGACGTAAATGTTCATGACAATTCCGCCTAATAATTCATAATATATTGAAATACATATATAAATAAGACTAATCATTCATTTTTGCATATGATTAGAACAACTATGCGTTTATCATATATATTTTACATTTCATATTAATTCATCCCCTAATTACGACATTTTTAAAATAAAATTTGAACAAAAAGTGGGACAGAAAGAAAGAGAAGAAGAGGAAGATAGAGAATGGAAAAAGATTAAAAAAAACGAATAAAATTCATTCATCATTTTTCCTTCCGTACATACACTATTGATTTAATGGCAATGAAAATAGGACAAAAAAAAAAAAAAACATTAGCTCTCTTTCAATATAACACAAGAAAAATGAATTATTTTAAATTAAAAAAAAATCAATAGAGGTATATAATCTAATGCATATACATACATGTAAATAATTATACGTATCTGTGCGCATATGTGTTACATTCTTACATTATAGTTATACGCACAAACATGTATTTCTATAATTAATTACATCAATGCATAATTGTTATTTTATGTTAACATAATTTTTCGCTTGTTATTCTATAATTATATTCGATTAATATATCAATTTAAAAAAAAATTGGTTTTTAGATTTTTAAAACTTTTTTTTGGTTTACTGAACGATTCTTATACTTCTTATACTGTAAATTTCTTATACTGTAAAATGTTATATTTTTTTATTTTTAAAAACTTCAACGTTTTCAATTTATTATATTAAAATATATGCATTGGTATAAAATACTTTTACGAAACTTTTTTTTTCACTTTTCCTTCTTCCTTCTTTACACTTTGTTTTTCAATTTTACCATTATTATTAACAATGTAGAATGAGTTATATATCGTATAAATTGTATAAATTAAATTACTTACTTTTAATAAATAAAAACAGATAATGATGCGAAAAAAAAAAATCGAATAAAAGAAATTAACAAATTATTTGTTATAGTTTGATTGCATGCTGAAAATAATTTTTTTAACAGAGAATGATTATTACTAAATGTCAAATAGATGGAAATGGAATATATTTTGTACTTATTTTATGCGTAATATGGCTAAATACGGTTAATACATTAAGTGATAAACCATTGTTGTTACTTATATCTTTTGATGGTTTCCGGTATGATTTACTGAATGCTTCTATTGTACCAAATATTTGGAAATTTGCCACCGAAGGTTTATTATTTACTTCCTTTTTATCATATTCTACATTCCACATATTTATTATTATTATTTAACATCATTTGCTTGTGAAATACAAGTTGTAATGGTTAAAAACATTATAAATTAATAATTTACTTTATTGCTAGCTTATTAATAAAGCTGTCGCATCATTTACATTTCATTCACTTTAATTTTAGTAAAGAATTTTATTATAATTTTATTTATTTTAATTTTAATTTATAAAATGAAAATTTTTTTGCACATTCTGTTTTACATCAATATAAATACTATTTTATTCCACCATCATACTATTTTAAATGAACAATTAAAAAAAAAATTTTTTTCTTGTTAAACCAAGTTTAATTTTAATTAAATTCGAAAAAGTTGCACAACTATAAGTTCTTGTAATAGCAATATGACAATTTGTAACACTGCGTTTAATATTATACCTTAGATAAAACCATTGTTTTTATTTAATAAATTCTTGATAATTTGAAACTTTCTTTCAACAAAAAGACTAAGTTTAATATTATTTAAAATTTATCCTTTTCAGGTGTATATTTTAAAGGTGGTTGTCGTCCACAATATCTCACTTATACAGCCCCAAATCATGCAACAATAGCAACAGGCCTTTTAATTGAAAGCCATGGAATTGTTGGCAATTATTTTCATGATCTATCCACTAATACGACGTATTTTTTTTTTAAATTAATAAAAAATTTATTAATAAAGAGGGAAGAAAGAGAGAAAGAGAGAGAGGGAAAGAGAGAGAGAAAAAGATAGACACAAACTTTACCACTTTGTTTTCATAAATAGTAATTATAAATTTTATTGCTAAAATTATCAGTATCAAGAATTACCATTAATCTATCATAATTATCACTTAATTAATGAAGCAATTTATTCTATTATTAAAACCATTAATGGCAAATACGTAAGCATTATTGATTTATTGATTTAAAAATATAGCTTCTTTGTAATTCATTAATGGGACATTACCTATGCTAGAATAGTTTTCATTTATTTTAAATCAACAAATTTTGCTAATAAAATTATTAATTAATCGCTGAAACTAAAATTAATTGTGTCGAAGTTATTTATCAAAATCAAAAATTCATATATAAATATATATTTATTCATTGCAAAATATTTGTTTTGCATTATTAATTAATTAATTTTTTTTATTAGCAAAATGTTAAATTAATTTAATTTTACATTGAAAATTATTATTATATTTATCATTATATTTATCATTTATGATAGTAAAGGTTCGATTTATTCAATTTAACTCAAAAAAAAGGAGCAATAAATGATTCATTAATGGGACATTTCTATAACGGTGAACCAATATGGCTTACAAATGAACGAGCTGGTTATGGAAGACGTTCAGCTGCAATGTATTGGCCAACCGGAAGTGGACATTGGCCATCTATACCGCATAAACCTACATTACACAGGTTAATTAATTATTCTATTTCCGTCTTAGTTTTTTATCCATTTGTATAATTAGCAAATTTTTTTGTTGTTTTTTCATCTCTCCTTATCTTTTTCTTCATTTATTTATTTAATCTAATTTACATAAATATTCATTTCTCTGAATTGTATATTCATCCCTCCTTTAATTTCATTTATTTATTTATTCCTTCATTCATTTTGTCGTTTTTCAATTTTCAATTTTGTTTTCATTTCCTCAATTTGAAATTTCAATTGCTTTTGCAAAATTAATCAGGAAAAAAAAATTTTTTTTTTGTATTTTTGCATAATTTGTTGCTTTGAATATGCCAAAAATTTATAGATCATGGATCGAATATAAGAATTTGTCGCAATGGATGAATGATTTTGATGGAGTTTTAGAATTATTTACACGTGAAAAAGATCCGTACAATTTTGTTGCTTGGTAAGAATGCCAAGTAATTTAACACTAATTTATAATTTTTAATGCTTAAATTATTGACGCTTAAAGAAATGAATGTTATATTTGAAGGTATGTTGCTGAACCGGATCATTTCCTACATTTTAATGGATTTAAAAATGGTAAAATTAATAAAATGATGCAAAAGTTGGATTTGTTAGTCAAATATATCAATGATAAGCTAGAAAATAATTCAGAACTTTCAAAACGATTAAATATTATCTTAACTGCTGATCATGGACATGCTGAGGTATTTGAAACAATTTTATTTTTCCATTTTCTTCTCGTTTTTTTTTTTTTTTTTTTTTTTTTTTTTTTCACTTCCCTTTTTTAACTTGAGAACTTTTGATTTTAACAATTAATAGACTAAAATCTAATTATTACTAGTCATATGCAGATTTTATTCAATTTAAATGATATTTATAAATTTTGTTTAAAAAAATTTACCTATATTTCAGGATCACTAAATAGCCTCATAGGTTACTTATATTAATTAGCTATAACTTCCTATTCTATTAAAAAAATAATAATAATAATAATAAGCATTCACGTATGGAATAATTACACCAACCATCGATTTAAAAAAAAAAAAATCTGAATAATATAGCAAAAACTTTTCAAAAATAGCTTTAATTTTTTCTCTCTCTTCCTTTTCGTTTTCGTTTAGTCTTTTTAAATAACTGTTAACAAATTTTCATTCGTTTTAAATGCATCCTTTTTCGATTTTACGAATGCATTAGATTCGAAATGATAAAATAATCTTCTAGTTCTGCTATTTATTACTATTACTAATTATCACTATTACCTATCACCTACTACCTATTACTATATATTACTATTTGGACATTTTTGTTCATTATAAAATGAAAGTGTTAACATTCATTAAAAACATTCAAATAGTATTATGTTTCGTTTTCCTTCTTATATTATCAAATAAATGCATAATTTAAGTAATATCTCTATGCTTTTTTTAACTTTCAATTTGATGCATTATAGATTGAAGGTGCATCAAATGTTCTATGTTTGGTAGAAACGATCAATACTGATGGCCTATTATTTGGTGATCGAATGATTTATGTTAAAAATGTCGATCGAAAACATCAAATATATGCGAGTTTAAAGAAAGTTATTGAAGATCGTCATTATCGTATTAAAATATATTACAAACAAGTAAGTAAATTATTTTAAAATTAAAAATTATACAATGACAATTTTAAACTGAAATCGATAATGTGATAAGAAAGGAAAAAACAAATAAATTAAATAGCTAACATTCAAATGTGCTGCAGAAAATTAATTACTTTTTTGCGTCAAAAATTTAACCATAGTTGCATTAATTGCAAACTATATGCATTTCTCAACTAATTTTAGCGTATTTGAGCAATAATTAAAACTAGTACAATGAGATTTATCAGTAAATAAATCAGAAATCAATTTTTTTCTTTGATCAAATTTAATAAATTTTTAATTGACAAAAGTATGTTTTCGATTAAATAAAAGTTTGTTCTTGCTTCTCTTTTTTTCATTCAAAAAAATTTTGAATTTATAATTTACCAATAAAATTTTTTAATTTATTTTCTTTTTCCCCTATTTATAGGATGTTCCAAAAGAATATGGATATTCTAAAAATGATAAAATTGGCGATATACTACTTGAGCCTGAACCTGGATATAATGTTCGCATTAAATGTTCGCATAATGTATGTTTTTTTTTTTTTTGAAAATATGAAAGTATAAGTTTTTCGATAATTATTTAATTTTTAATAGTTATAAATTTACCACTAATTAGATAGACGATTCGTCGAAACCGTTTCATTTTTCATCACATGGAATGAATCCAAATCATTGGACAATGAAATCAATTTTACTAATGAAAGGACCAGTGTTTAAACAAAATTATCAAGTAAATTTATTTGCAAATAAGCAAGTAATAATTGATATAAAATAATTTCAATACTTAACATTGTTATGATATAAATTTAAGAAAAAATTTTTAAACATTCATTATCAATATTTGAGAATAAATTTGTTAAAATTAATAACAGGAAAAAAAAAGGAAACGATAAAATAAAGTAAATCATAATTTTTCTTTTCTTTCCATAAATTTAATTGCTAGAATTAATAATAAAAAAATAGAAAAAAAAAGAAAAAGAGAAAATGAGAAATTTTTATAAAACATAATTTTTCTTTTCTTTTTTTGTTTTTTTAAAATAGATTGATGGAACAGCAAACAATCTGGATTTATATCCACTGATGTGTTATATTTTGGGTGTAATACCAGCACCAAATAATGGTACCATACAACATATGTTGGAAGTACTGAAAATACCAATTACAACAAATTCATTATCAACCAAACAAATTGAGGTTATTTAGTTTTTTTTTTTTTTCAATTATAAATTGGTAATAATTAGGTTAGAAAACGAATAATGGATAGGAATGAAATCAAATTGAAATTATAAAAAGAAAACCTGTCAATTTTTTTCTTTCTTTTTTTCTGTCCATTGTTTATAAAATTATGAAATTTTAACAAATTTCATAATTTTTTAAGACTAGATGAAAAAAATAAAATAAAAGTATTATGATCAAAAGTAACATGATTTTGAATAGTGTAATGAAGAAAAAAATTTTTTCTTGCAATTATAAGTAATTTATTTAAATTATTTTAATAGATTATATAAATGAAATTTTTTCTTTTTCTAATAATTTTACATAAATCAATATATCATTTTTGTGTTAACTTTTCGTCTAACTATTATTAAAGGTAAAAAAACATTTTTTTTATCCTTTATGACGGGTAAAAATGAAAAGAAAAAATTTCCCTTATTTATAACTATAAGTGGGAAAAAAAATTAGAAAACAAGTAATTAAAAAAAAAGAAAAAAAGGAAACTCTAACATTTAACTTTTTCATTTATTCTAAAATTAAATTATTCTTTTGGTCAGATATTATTAATGCTTCTTAATTGATTGAATTAACTATAACTTTTAATTTAACTAATTTTAAGTACTTTAATTTTTTTTATTCTTTCAGTTCCTAACAATAATTGTATGTGGTGGACCGCTAGTAACATTTGTAATTTTTGTAATTATGATAAGCCGACAACAAAGGCACCGTATATTAAGGAACAGGCGTAAGTATTATCCGCTTACTCATAAATTTGATCATGATGTTACCGATTTGCTGGATGAAAATTGCAATCCGGAAGATGACTTATGATATTTTCCATTTTCATTTGATAAGCTGATAATTCATAGCAAATACGGAAATGTTAATTAAAATTGTAGCTTAACTAAAAAATGAAACTGTTTTATATCATTTTTTTTTCCATTTTTTTCTATTTAAAATCTATCAGACAGCAATATATCTAATTAATTTTCACATCCTAAATTTAAACATTTATTTTATATGTATTTATTTATTTTCTTTTTTTTTCGTTCGTTAAAAAAAGAGAAAGCAAAAAGTGGAAAAAGAAATTGGGTGATAATTTAAAAGAAAAAATACAGTGGTATGCTAATTATTTTTGAAATAATAGGTAAATCTTACAATTTCATTCATTAATTTTATAATTGTTGAATTTTGAAGACTTTTTATTTATATTTCTATTCTAGATGCATTTAAAAAGATCAGATAAAATAAATGAATAAATAAGTAAAAATGCAAAATTGCATTATTTCCATTTTTATTTTTTTCTTCTTGTATAAAATATTTGAAAGCAATAATAAAAATTTAAGGATAATATTAATATAAAAGCTATAAATAAATTATAACATTTTATGAAATACTACATGTTTTCATTTTTGTGTTAAAGAAAACAAAAAAGGAAAGAAAAATGGAAAATAAGAAAATAATTAATTTGATTTAAATGAGAAATTTCCGTGTAATAAAACATATTTGAATGACAATAATTACAGATTTGATAAGCATAAGTTATGATAATTGGAAAAATTCGTGTAGTTTGTTTGTTAATTGATTCATCTGAAGCTAGCTGATAATATTGCAAGATTAAAAAGAAAAAAGTTATTGACAATTTCATTAAATCACCGAGATTTTTCTCGGTGGCTTATTTTGGAGCGTAAACATTTGGTGTTATTGTTTGAGAATAACACTTTTAACTGATATTTACATCTCTTTTTTTGCTTTTCATTTTTCGTAAATGATATGATTGATTTTATAACGTCCTTTTTTTTTCTCTTTTAATTTCTATTATGAAAACTAAAGGATATGAAAATTTAAGTGGAAAAAAACGCTAAGAAAAATATTAAGTTTCACATAGGAATAAACGTGAACAGACGTGAGTGGATGTGAATAGATGAAAATAAACGTAACATTACTGTATTTCGTCGAAAAATTATTTATATTAAAAATGATGAAAAACCCCAACAAATAAAACTAAAAAATAAACGATAAACCAAAACACAATAATGTTGGGATGAGTGACACAACGAAACGGCAAGTATGATTTTGATGACCAACAAATAGTGTGCACTGGTCAATTTGGCCTTTGGCTATCTGATATGAATGATATATGTCGTCGTCGAATTAGCACAATTGTGCATTTTCTAATTGGCGATGAAATTTGGACATTATATCATTTTGTTATTTTCTCATTTACATTTATAAGGTATGTCGTTTAGTTGAATTAGAAAAGAAAGGAAAAAGGTATATGAAAAATTGTCAAAATTAAAAATTTTACTTATAAAAATTAATATTTGATGTTTGATAATATTAAAACAATAAGTGTATGTAGTGACGTATATATAATATGTTAATGGTTCGATTTTTAGTTATGCATTAGTGCATGCCTCACGTAAAACGTTAAGCACGGTAAAACCATCACTTATCATCGAATGGACTGATAATAGCAGCGGTGAGCAACCATTATTTCCTGATAAACATGCAGCAGAAGGATTCTTAGCATTCCTTGATGGTGCATTCCTTGGCGCATATGCTTTGGTACTTATTCTTGTTTTTTTTTTTTTTTTTCTAATTTCAAACAATTAATTATTTCGAGTAGTTTGCTGAAGTATGTTTAGCTTACGGAAATAACAAAGGATAAAATTACATGAGGCTTACATGAGGTTTCATGTAATTTTATTCGTTGTCCGTAAAGATGTCAATTATGAAGAAACAATGTTAAAAAGTAGTAAATGGTAAGTGAATATACGAACAACATTAGATATTTACAGGGCCTTTATGCAGGTGGTACATTAGGTGATCGTTATAACCCGGCAAAAGTACTTGCTTTTGGCATGTGGACATCATCAGTTACCGTAAGTTTGTCAAATATGTAAAATTTTTTATAATTTAATATGTAAGTTACTGCTGATTGGTGGAACTTTCTTGAAACAAAAGACATTGAATGAATGTCTAGTCTATATTGAGAAAAATTGAAGTGCTTTTATGAATTGATAAAGTTTTCGATAACTTCACTCATTTTATTAGTGTTAAACTGATGGAATTAGTGTACTTAACTTAGACTGTTATGTAAGAGGAAGAAGAAAATTGTTAATGAAATACTTTATTCTGGAATAAATGAGTTTAAAGATAATTGTACTCGATAGAAGATTGAATTTCGGTTTCATCAAAAGTATCACATCAATAATTTTAATATGATTAGCCGTATAATTTTGACCAATAAATATTTGTTTTTACAGATATTTTTGTTTGGAATACTAAAATGGTCACCGTTTCATTCACCTGTATATTATGCCGCAACGTGGATTGCATGTGGTTTATTTCAGTCTGTTGCTTGGCCTACCGAAGTATCTTTTTCACATTTTGTTTGCAAATTCGCTTCGTTTATGAGTTGATTATCAAGCTCTTAAAGGCGACTTTATAATTAAGTTAATCGTATTTAGAATTACCTTTATCATTCTGCTTTTGCTGAGATGATCTTATGAAGTAAATTAATGAATTTAAGGATGGTTTTTGTAATTTCTCATATACTGAAACACGAAGTTGATTTCAGGTGTCTATTATGGGTAATTGGTTTGGGCATAATAGTCGTGGTGCTGTAATGGGACTTTGGTCAGCATGTGCTTCAGTTGGAAATATAGTGGGCACATTAGTTTCATCTCATACCGTACAGTTAGGATACGAGGTAAGTCGTTGAAATATTGAAGTAGAAACGTTTTCTAGCCAAAAATTTTCGATTCTCTTTATTTTCTCTTATTCACTATCAAACATTCTCCTATTTCTAATTTGATTATACATAGGACATAACTTTATGCTTTTTAATAATGGCTATCTAACATTTTTCACTTGGTACTACTATTGATAAATAATAACCAATAAATACATTTTAACATTAATAGAGTTTTATGATTTTATTTTAGTATTCGTTTGCTGCAAATGCATGTTCGCTTTTTTTTGGAGGATTTTTCATCTTTTATCTTTTGCCGTTACGAACGATACACGGTATCTTCCACAGCTCCTTTTGAATTTGTTGGTCACTGAAATTACGTTTTATTTTGAGCATACATACTGATATTATTTAAAAGTGTTCACTTTTTTTGATTAAAGAAGCAAATTTTCTAGGAAAAAGATTATCCAGTTATTCAATATAGTGTGCATTTTCTGTTTATTTATACCGGGTACAATGAAGTACCATCTTGGAAAAAGACTCAACGATATCAACCGTTTTATTATTATTTGTTCTCATCTACTAATCATTTATCAAGTGGTTGATTAGAAATATGCATTTACTTAGATGAATATTAAATCATACGTTCCATATAGAGTTCGAAGCAGTAGTTTCTGTTACGGATAATGTGGAACGACCAAAAGCAATCAGTTTTTGGCAAGCTTGGCGTCTTCCAGGTGTTATTGCGGTGCGTTTTTTTTTATGACGTTAAATGTGCAAAGTTTTTAATAACTAAATCATTTGAATCTTTGGAAATCCCAATTGTATAATAATCATATTATTTAGCTGTTTCAGTACTCTCTAGCATATGCATGCCTCAAGTTAGTTAATTATTCATTTTTCTTCTGGTTACCATTCTATCTTCATACTCATTACGGGTGGAAAGAATCGGTTGCTGATGAGTTATCAGCGTGGTACGATATAGGTGGTATTATTGCTGCAGTTGTTGCTGGTATTGCTTCTGTGAGTTATCGAACTTTTATTTTTGTCTGTATGAAAACGTCTATTATATTATTTTTATAATTTTTTTTCTAATAATTTTTTTCTAATATATTTTTTTTATAATAATTTTTGATAATTCTAATATTGATTTTTCTTGAGAATCATTATTTTTCTTTTTCCTTTTTTGTTTCAGGATCATTTCTCGTCACGTACTCCAATTTTAATATTTATGCTAATTTTTTCAATGGGATCCCTGTTTGCTTATGCTAGTAAGTCCTATTCAAATTTGGTGCTGTCATTGATGGTATTAGTATTCTCAATTTTTCAATGGAAAGTATGATTGTCAGAGGTTTTAAGTTCTGTTCTATTTTTTCGTCATATTTCGTCTATGTTGCTAAACATAAGGGAAATATGGCAGCAAAAAAATACATTAAATAATTGAATATGTTAAATTCAATTGAATTTTTGGTATAGCGAAGCACTGCTTTAAAAAAAGTGAATAAAATGGAAATAATGATAGAATCTTGACGGACTACACATTTCGAAAAGAGAGTTATCACATTTTTTAGATTCACCAGACAATATTTTGATGAATTCATTCCTAATGGCATTAACGGGGTTTTTTATTGGTGGGCCAGCTAATCTAATATCATCTGCTGTTTCTGCTGATCTTGGTGAGCTTTTTTGTTTTTATTTTTATTTTTACTTTATAATAGTTTTTAATATGCATTTAGGGAGAAGAGAAATGAACTTCATCTCTGGATACATCAGACATATTTAGTAAAAGATAATGTATTTCAGGGAACGCTGAGCAAATTAGAGGATCATCGGAAGCGCTGAGTACAGTTACAGGTATTATTGATGGAACTGGTAGTGTTGGTGCAGGAATTGGTCAACTCCTTATTCCAGAAATTGAAGCTATGTTTGGTTGGACAGCTGTATTCTATGGTTTTATTATTATGGTACTTCATTCTATTACTTTGCTTACATTATTTATACTTTAACAGAATTTTTGAATTAAAAATTTAGAACTGTTATGTTTATTATGTGACATCATAGTATCTAGAGAAATGACAAATTTGAATTAGGAAAAAGAAGCTTGTTTTTTTTCTTTTTTTTCAATTGCAGATGTTCTCTACGGTTTTATGTTTGGCACCACTTTTGTGGAAAGAAATGTCCAACAGACTAAATCCTCGTTATGTACATTTACATTCGGAGGACAGTAGTGGTTCGCTGGGATCATATTCCGATAATATCTCAGATTCAGCTATGAATAGTTCACAATTACCAATTAGAGTCAGGCATCGAAATTCACCAGATTAGTTCAATTTTTACAAATGTAAAATTTTTGATTTAGCAATTCTGCTATTATTAATAGTAAAATTGTGGAGTAATTGCTGATTAAGTGTTTGACAGTGTGGTATGGTGTTGATGACTCAAATAATTTTTCTTACACTAAAATTAAGTTATGTTTATGTAACACATCTAATTAACTAAATTGATAACTCCCAAATATCATGTATCTGATATCTCGTTCGAGTTAATTGTAAGTATTTCTTATTACTACTGCACGAATTTCATGTCAGTTTGCTGTGATTCATTTCTTTCATCAGATTGTATCAAACTAGTCGATAATGATAAATATTTGTCCGAATTACCGTGATGTAAAAGAGAAAAACATTTTTATCTCTTGGCAGTTTACAGAATTGGATTAACAGATAGGCAAGAAATATTCAGGTTTTAAGGTTGTGGAAATAAGTAATTGGTAGTATGTAATCTTGCATACTTATTAGTAGTTCATAGAAAAAAAAATTTTTTTGTCTTTAATTAATTGAATGAAAGTTCCTTGCACTACACAGTAGATAATAATGTATAATTAACCAGATATTTTATTTTTATTGAAAATAGAAATTAAGCGAAAAATTTTCTTTCGGATGTTGAATTTTTTGGAATTGAGCATTTATTATGCCAGTTATATTGTTTCAAAAAATATAGACGCCTAATAATAGATGCCTAATCAGAGAAATATAATAAGAAAAAAGAGGAAAAGAAAAATGTTGTTATACAAACGAGAGAATAAAATGAAATATCTGAAGGAAAAAAGAAGTTATTTGTTTTTGTGAAAGAAAGAAACAAAAGATTCGAATTTTTTTTACATATGCAAATGATGCATACTTTTTTTTTTGCGTCAAAAAAACACTATAGAGTGTATTCAAAGATTACCTTTTAATTGTAAAAGCTAAATACAAAAAATTCATCCGTTTCATTATGGATGGTTTCATCAACTGGTTGATTGATTGATCGGTTAATAGATTTCTTGTTGTCTTATATTTTAGAAAATATGAAAGAAGCAATGGGATTAATTTCTCCGTATTTGAAGCCATTATAACAGTATTATAATTAATTATTTAAGGCATATTGTAGCATGCAAAGCAACAGGCTTATGCTGTCCAACGAATTTTTTCTCCGCAACCAATCCATAGTACAAACCAGATGCGCAAAATGAATCCTGAAAGAAGAAAAAGAAAAAGGTGAAAAAAATAGAACGAAAGAAATATCATTTCGAAATACATGAAATCAAGCATGAAAATTTGATTTATATATCATTGTTAACATTTTTACGTATTATACTTTTAAACTAAATATAGCATGCATGCTATCTGAATTATTTATTCAAAAATTTTCAATTTTTTTTGACCCTATTTAATTTTACATAATTATTGGTTACTGGTAGTAAAAATACTTACATGTCTGAATAAGTCGCTTAGTTTTTCATTGTATAATACGCGATCAGCCCAAGCTGGACATAAATTTTTCATAAATTCCTCCTTTCCTGTCATTTTATTTATACCATAATGGCGTGATGGCTATAAATTATAGTAGTAAAAGGTTTTTAATATTCATTACCTTTACTTTAAATTTGTAGATTTTGAGATATATTAAGTTATTATATATGATCGATGAATCAATTCATCAATTAACTTAATATTGCATAGTTCAAAAAAAGAAAAGATTATAAAATTATTGATAGTTACGGAAACTAAGTATTGTTAAATGTGATGAAAATTTCATTAAATGAAAGAAAAAAGATTACATTTACCTGAAAAAATACCGACTCTTCCAGTAGTTTACCGGCAAAAACAACTTGTGCAAGTTCACCATTGTATTTTTTGACCATTTGTCCTCTACCAAGACGAAAGAACCAATCATGTATGGAATGAAGATCAAAACGATGAGTTTCCACAGTTAGCACACTCTTTAATTCAACAATATTTAAGCATTAAAAAAATTTTTTAAAGATTTTTTTTAATCGTTAAATTAAATTATTAGTATAAATTATTTCGTACGACTGAAGGAAAAGTAACGGAAAAAATGGTAATAATAACAACAATAATAATTAAGGAATAAATATGAGAACAAATGAATAAAAATTTAGATGAAATCTTTGTAAATTTGAACTTGTCTTATAATCTATTGGTGACTAATTATATATATCTTATTTATTATCCCTCTTACTCATTTTTAACCGTTTATAAATTATTATTTAAAAAAAAAAAAGATATAAGACATAAAATATCATTACTAATAACAAATACTACAACAATCATTTTTCATAAAATAATTATCAATAATAAAATATACTCGGCCGTGACGATCACGTTGTTCAATACCTTCTAATTTACCATCAGCACTCTTTCTTGCATAACTTGTAGCTCTCTGAGTACTTGCCATATCCTTGATAAATAAATTATTTTAATAAGATGAACAAAACAAAAAAAAAAAAATGTTGATTCTTTTTTTTGTTTTGCTAAAATTAATATAATGAACATTTTTAAATCAATTTTAGAAAAAAAGGAAAAATAAACATACACTAAGTAGATGTGTTTCAAACAGTTGGGCATTAAAGGCACCAGCAACAAGAACTGAATCATCTTTTAATCCCTCCGATTCAATCCTAAATATTTTTTGTCATGCTTATTTAAATAATAACTGTTAAAAAAAGCTTAAATAATGTTCTTTTAAAAAAATAATTAAAAAATATCCCCCAAAAAATTCTACAAACTTTTAATATTTAACTTGCATCAAAAAAAGCGAACAAGTTAACTTTAATATATGATAATTATTTATTATTTATATATGACAATATTGTATTTAAATTGAAAATAAATTTTAAGCGAAAAAAGTTCAAAAAAGGAGAAGAGAAAAGAAATATATATTAAAAAAAAAAAAAACAAACTCTTTGAGTAAAATATCAATTTGATTTCGTCGTAATCGTGCAGCTTTCGTCGTTTCAGGCTATAAAATATATTAATAGATTAAATTATTAGAAAAAAATTAGAGTTCGTTATTCATTTTTTTTTTTTTTTTTAAATTGATAAAACATGCAAAGTTTTAATTGGTAATATTTCAAAAGAATATTTTTTTTCAATGTCAACAATTTTATTTCGAACAAAATTATATATAATCATAACGAATTATTTGACAAAAAAATTGATAAAATAAGACAAAACAAAAATGAGACTAAAAAATTATTGTAAAATTATTATCAACCTGTTCGACAAGTTCTTTAATATCTTCAAATGGTACAGTATGTAAGCTAAGATTGACAAATGTAAAATCGCGACCATAAATACGAAAACGTGACATTAAATAACCACTTTGTACGGTTTTTTTTCCATCTATTTTCTCATTTCGCTGATTATCATTACGCTAGAAAAAAAAGCACACTGAAATATTTCATTTTAGGTTAGATTTTTTTTACAAATTTATGAAAAAATTGAAATATAATAGTGAAAAATCCATTTAAATTTAGTAAATACATTCAATTTTCATTTCGTTTTTTTTTTTTTGGTGTCTTTTTTTTTGCTTTTATTGAATAAGATGAAATTATCAAAACGGAATTTTTTACTCAAGCAAACAAGAAAAAAAAAGAAACATTGGTAAAATGATTAAGACAACCAACAATCAATTATTTATCAAAAAAATGTTCCACTGCAGTTTCAAATTGATAATTTCTTGTATCCTTAGTTTTCTTTTCGAAATTTTTTTAAAAAAAAAAATGTTAAAAAAATACCAAGAAAGCATAGTAAATTTACATAGAAATATGTAGTAAACTTCACGTGAAATTTACGTGTTTAAAAAACATACGTAAAAATTTCCTTCATAACGTAATGAATAATTGGAAGCTGAACTTGAAGCATTATTAAATATATTTGAAATGAAACCATCACATTCTCGTGCACCAATTTCATATTGATGTCCTGGACGAAGACTTTTATAGCCGCTATTACTGTAGCGATCAAACGACTCTACTTCATCATGTTCACGAAATAAATAAATTGATCCAAGACCCTGAAAAAAAAGAGAGAACAGAACTAATATTCGGGATAATAAACTGTTTGTAATTAGCATTTCATAACTAATCTAGTACTTCATGTAAATTATTAATTAGGTAGTTTGCAAATGTTTCTATTGGCAAATGTTTCTAATGTTCCGATCTTGAAATTTTTCAAAAATTTAGAATGGGAAGAAAAAAGCGAAAAATTATTTGTTATTTTCCTCATTTTAATAAGCAGATGAATAATAATAACAACTTTTTTTTCAATTTTTTAAAAAATTTCTACAAATTTTAGAACTTTTATAAGTTAAACTTTTTGTTTTTTTTACTGATTTCACAAAACGAATCTCAATAAATGAATAAATCTAATAAAATATTTAACATAATGTTTGTTTAACATTTATCATATTTCAATGTACAATGCATGATACATTAGTTGAAACATATGCTGTAACTTAATTTTTATTATTAAAACTTAAAATCAGTGATTTAATTTTTCTTCTTTCTGCCATGTAAAAAAAAAAGTTTATACAATTTTAAAAATTACCGTTTCACGAGTGTCAAAATATGAGCGGCTTGTTTTAAATAAATTTTGTACTTCAGCCGCATCGTATAGTATGCTAAAAAAAAAAAAAATAAAATGAGATTAATATGGTTAAGAAATATTGGTGTGTTGCACTAAATTATTAATTAGCATTAAAAATAAAATTTATTTAACTGTATAATAAAACATTTGGGATAATAATTTATTTGGTCTGCAAAATAAACAAATAAAATCTTACAAACTATAATTGTATTTTTTTCTAATATTTTATAATCCTATAATAAAAACATTTATAAATAAAAAAAATTAATTAATTAATCCAAACAATTCTGATTTATCAATCACATGTGATGTAATTGTAACATAAGTCATTTGCACTTCTGGATAATTGAAATTATCACTTAAATAAAATTATAGGAAACTGATAAAAAAAAAAAAAATGAAAATCAGCACTTACATGCTGTCATCGTATTATTGTAATTACTTTATTTCTTTCTTTATGTAGTAGATAAGATTTCGAAAAAGTAATTATGGTAAATAATTGATGAATCATTTCTTCACATTTCATTATTTATTGATTTGCAGCAAAAAAGAAAAATTTTTTTTTCATTTTTTTTTAATAGTAAATAATAAAATGACCTTTTTAAAATTCTATTCGAAAGAATGTCAGGATTTTCGGCATTCCGCAATCCTTGTATATGTATAATTGCAAATTCCGGTTTTTGCTCCCAAACTTCTTTTGCAACTTCAGCACACCATTCTTGCAATAAATCATCCTAAAAATAAAAATTAATTTAGAAATATTTATAGTAAAATTTAAAATTACTGCAAAAATTTGATTTGACAATTACATTTTCTTTCGTTTTTTTTTTTTTTAAAATTAACTTTTAACTGCAAAATATTGGTTCAATAATTATTCATGAAATTTCATACATTTAATATGAATGAAAATTATTAATAATTGATTTTTGCAAATGATTTGCAAAAAATTTCTGTGAGTCAAATGATCTAAGTAATTTTTAAATGATTACAAACAATATTATAATTATAGAAGTTAAAAAAAAAGAAACAACAATATTCAGCACATTATTTAGTAATGTTTATAATATTTGTAATTATTTGTAATATGAAATTTGTTACGTCAATAAAATGTTATTATTACTCTTAAATTTAATTTTTAAGAAATACAAATGAAATAAATTTCATAATAATATGGACAATAAAAGGGAAAGAAAGAGTTTAAATTCAATGCGTGTTTCAATATTCAATAAAATAGAAATTTTTAAACTTCTGATATTATATCAAAGCTTTTACAAGAAATATATTTTACTTTTGGCAATATTAATTATCACATGATAAAAATCTAAAAGTATATTTATATGTATTTATTAATCATTATTAAACATAAATTAATATTAATTCAACTGATAATTTATTCGGTCTAAATGAATTTTATTTTTTTATCTTTCCAACTTCAAATGATTAATGATAACAAACAGAAAAAAGAAGACGAAAAGGAAAAGGATGAAAGTAATTATTCAATCACTGATTTTTTTTTTTTCGTTTTTGTATTATATATTCCTATAAAGAAAACGAAAAAATAAAAAAGAAGGAAGAAGAATTATATATTCCTATAAAAAAGAAAAAAAATAAAAATTGAATCGAAATAAAATTAGATTACTATGTATTAAATATCCAATATTTGCTATTATACTCAAATAAACAAATATTAATTTTACATCAGAAAAAAAAAAACTAAAAATAAAAATTATATCAATTAAAACAAAAAGAAAAGAAAAAAGAAATAATTTTATCAACATTACCATTGAAATTAGTGCGATAATTAATACAATTAAAATTAACATTTTTTTTAATAAAATTTCGATCGGTCAAGGTTAATGAATTAATTACAACAAAGCTAATGCAAGGGAAAAATTTTTGTTCATTGGTTAAATTTAATATCATCAAATGATAAATGATAAAAAAATGCTGTTTATAACAAATTCAACGAGTTAATTCGCATTATTTCAAAAATGGAAACAAGTTTTTAAGACGAATAAAATATTATATAATTGAAATGTCAAAAATATCTTAAAGTAAGCATCAAAAAGAAATTGGTACAATTTTTGCTTTTTTTATAATTTTTTTTCATCTTTCTTTTTCTGATTATTTTTGTTTTATTTTATTCTGTTTATTTAGTTTAATATTTAAATTTCTTATCTTATATGTGTTTGTTTTTGTTGCCTTTTCCTTTTTTTTTTTCCGCTAAAAATTTCCCATCAATTACAATTTTAATTTCAATTTAAAGTCATGAAATGTAAGAAAAAAAAAATGATTTTTCAATTCTTTTATTGATGAAAGAATAAAATAAATGATTGGTTTGTTTTCTGATGGTTGCAATCTGGAAGAAAAAAAAAGGAAAATGAATCATTGAAAATGTTGTTAATTTTTTTTCTTTTTTTTTGGATATTATTGGAAGAAAGAGAGAGAGGGAGAGAACGAAGGATAAAGAGAAAGTGAAAGAGAGAAACGAGAAATTTTTGTGGTTTTATTATTTCTTTTTTTTTTTGTTTATTGAATTTTAATGGAATTGAACGAATCTTCTTTCTTTTCTTTTTTCTTCTTTAGAAAATAAAGATTCACTTTTTCTTTTTCATCATTTATTTTTTTCAGCTTTTGTATACTCTTTACTCTTACATATGTATACATGCACACACGTAAATTTATACATTTTACGTATACGTTAAACATATATGAATGAAAATTGAAATATGATTTATTATTATAAATAGAAATAAAATTCTAGTTGTTAAATCATATCTTAATTGATATAATAAAAAGTGATAATGCAATGTTTACTATTATTAACATGATGGAAATGTTTACTAATCACTGTTAGTATAATATAGATTACAATTCCATTCTTTCCTTTTCTTTCGCTCACCAATACAAACTTATTTTGAGTATTTTCAACATTATTCAATTAATTTGACATTAATTGGAAAGCAAAAAAAAAATTTGAGGATGATAAGAAAAATTTTAGAAAAAATTTGAAACAAACAAAAAAAAAATTCTATTTCATAAACATGTAACCATTAATGTGAATTATTCATTCCATTAGCAAAATGACAATAAATTCACATGATGACAAAAAAAGTTCATAATTATCATTTCTTCAAAATCTCAGGTAAACAGTGCCAGAGATTTTACACTTCGTATTGTTTAAAATAAACTTCAAATATTTTGTCTTATTTTGCTTAATTATTAAAAAAGAAATGGTTGTAGAATATTTCTTTTTCTTCTGAAAAAAAGAAGGAAAATCATATAGAAGAAAAATCTTTTTTATATAAATGAAATTTAGTTAAAAATGATTTATAATAAAATTTTTTGTTAATAAAAATTTATCAATTTTCCTATTTGTACCAATACCATAACAAATTGATCCATTAATTGATTAAAATAAATTTAATCGTTAACAATTTTTTAACAATTATTAGCAAGAAAAGAAAGAAAACGAATAACAATTTTTTATTTTGCGTTTACTTTTTTTCTATAAAGGTTGTTAAATGACATTTTGAAATATTCCATTTATACTTTTTTGTGCACTTTAACATTTTCCAAAAAAAAAAAATCATTCTGAAGTGTTATGTTTTTATTGTTGATAAAGAATGTAAATGTTTATTTGGATTTGACAACCGTGCTGAATCAACTAAAGCCAATATTTTACTACTTATACAAATATATTTATATTTATTATTTATTTAAATGAATAAATAATATGAATTAGTACCTTAAATTTGATTTATTAAAACATTTATTTATTTATCTATTCATTCATTTGTTTATTTTTTCATGTTATTTGACAAATGGGGATAGTTCTTGTAAAATTCAAATAATAATTTTTTAAATAATATTTGAATTCAGTTTACATTTAATCCATGGTTAATATATGCATATCATTATAAATTTGATACGATTTCATTGAGTTAATGTATTAAATTTGAAGTATTTCACTAAATTAACTTATTTTCTTTATCTTAACAATACTTACTTTTTCTCTATCAAATACTTTATGATTATGTGTTAATTTTGCTTTTTTCTTCTTTTAAAGAAGATATCAAAAAAAAAAAAAAAAAAAAAAAATTAACTAGATTTGTTTACTGTTTATTGGTATTTTTCAGTTTCTTTTTCGAGTAGAACAAAAATGCTAATTAGTAAAACACTCATTTGAATAAACAAACTAAATAAGCCATCCAACAATTATCATTATAAACGAATTTCATTTATCAAAAAATTTTAAATTCATATAAACATTTGAAAATAAAAAAAGTGAAAGACTGAAAGAAAAAAAAGAAGATCAGACATACTTTATCGGTAACTGCTGATACGTCACCGGTAACCGTAACTTGTTTGATATAATCCGGCATTTTGAATTATTACTGCTTTTTTTCTTTGGTTAGCTAAAATTAATTGATTTAATTTTCATACAACTGCCTAAAAGAAAAGCGAGAACGAATAATGATAATAATTATAGCAAAAGTAATAATAATAATGGTAAAATGATGATAATAATGAATAACAAGTAATAAAATAATAAAATAAAAATAACAATAATTATGGTTATCACCAAATGATATAGTGACATTGAAAATGTTTCGAAAATGAAATATTTGATAAAAATATTTTCGTCACAAAACATTGAAAAGTATGTCAGAGAAATGAAATGAATGAAATTTTAGGAAAATGATGATAATGTTATTTGTGAATGATGACGAATTTTAAGATTGAAATAAATGCGATAGAAGTAACAATGAACTAATTGATTGAAGGGAGAAAAAAAAAGAAAAAGGAAGAAATGGAAAGAAGAAAGGAGAAGGGTAAGAGAAGATGAACGAAATGATTTTAATAAAAATTTTAATTCAAATGAAATGATTGGAAATTACTGAAATGGAATAAAATATACATATGTATATAAATGATTGAATAACCGTATAAATTAAATCATATCCATGTTTGTTAATTAATTTAAACTAATTTAACTAAATGATTAAGCTAATTAAGAAAAAAAAATACAGAGAACCAGGAAAGAGAAAGAGGAAGAAAGAAAGAGAGAAAGAGTGAAGAAGTGAAAATGATAAATGATAGACATTATTCATTCATACATTATAATTTCATCCAGTTTGATGAACTCGGCTTGACCTTAATTGATTGAATTAGATTTTAAAAGCAATTTAATTACTCGAATTTTAAAATTATTTACTGAATTAATTATTATCAAAATTTTTAAATGATATGAAATTTTTGAAAAAGATTAATACGAAATGAACTAATCTCAAAACAGTGACATAACATTTCATTTACAGCTAAAAACAATGAAAAGAAAATAAAAAAATAAAAAATCCAAATGATTTCTAACAACAAATTTGATTGATTAACTTTGCAATTTAATAATATGACTGATTTAATTAATTGATTGAAATGAATGAATATATGAATCAAATCAATAAATGATAATACTGAAAATAGATGATTGTTAATTCTTATGCATCCATATATTATTTTAAAAAATTAAAAAAAAAAAAAAATAAAACAGGTGCATTGCAGGATTAAAAGGAAGCAGCCGGAAGACGGAAATCAAAATAAGTGAGTGAAAATGTAAAAAAAAAATGTTAAACGAGTGAAGATAATCAGTGATTGAAATTGATTGAAATACTGAGCTCTTCATCGTTCAATTGAACTGATATTAACTACATTGTATTGCTTTTGCATCGTTAATCAATTTGCCGAAAAAAAAAATCAACAAAATTTCATTTTTTTAAATTATCTTTCATTCTTTTACACAATCGAGACGAAAAAAAAGAAGAAAAAGAAGAGGAAAAACTAAGCAATGATGATATTCTAAAAATATTATTAAAATTTACAAAAAAAACAAAACGTAGAAAAAATTTGTTAAGATTTTTATTAGTCATATAAAAATTATTGCTAACTTTTATTGCTATAATAAATTATTAACGTTATTGTTATAAATATTACTAGATATAATATCTGTGCGTACACATCTTTTATAAATTTTCAATTTTTACGATATTTTATGAATATGCATTTATAATTAAATTTTTTAATTCTGTTGTATTTTTTTTTTTTTTTTTTTTTTTGTTCTTTTTTCTTTCTTTTTCTCTGATTTTTTTAAAAATCAAAATATTACAATTGCTATATAAATATCATTTATTAAATAGTATAGAAAATTTTACTGAAAACATATATACATACATATATATATATATAGCAAAAAAATTTTTGGAAATGAAAGAATGAAAAATATATGAAAATTTTTTTCAACAAATTATAGACAATTAACTTTTATTAGTTTTTTAGTTTTATTTTTTATTTCTTTGTTTTTAATCGCCTGCTACAAATTCGTGCTATTTATTTTTATTTTTTATAATTGAATTATGTTCTTATTTTTTTTTAAAAAAAAGAAAACTTTAAATTTTTTAAAATTCATTTTATGCACTTTCGTGTAGAAGTTTTTTCTCGTTTTTTTTTTTTTTTTTTTTTTTTTTTTTTAAGAGGATAATAAAAAAACTTGACATTCCAATATTGCAACATCAAAAGACGAAAAAACCAATTCAAATTAACTAATGTTAGCTCAAAAACAAACAATAAAATATTTTAGCTAACACATGAAAGAAAAAAAACCCTTCTCTATTTAGTTTTAAAATTTCCCTAAAAATAGTTGTTTTTTTAGGAAATTAAAAAAATAATAAACGTCACATGTTAGCTCTTTTTTATTATTTATTTATTTATTCCTTTGTTTTTGAATTAAACAACAAATCAAGTGAAACAAAGAAGTTTTTCGTTTTTTTCACTTCTCAAAATATACAAATAATTCTAAAAGTATATTTGGTCACCTAAAATTAAAAAATTTTCTTTTCTCTTAATATATATATATATATATATATATATATATATATATGTTTTCTTTCAATGAAAGATAGTTTAAAATGCTCCAATTTATTGAAATTAATAAATTTTAATTTAGAAATTAATTGGGAAAGGAATAAATCAATTTTAATTTAAAAATTTCATTCGAAACTTTTTAAATTTTCAATTTTATGCATACGCACTTTTTTTTTTTTTTATTTATAATATCGTTATTACATGTTTCACTAATTGCTATGTTATGAATATGACGAAAATATAACTTACCTGTTATTCGATTAGGTAAAAAAAATAGAATAATAAGAAAAAAATTTTCATGGTGTTATAATTGAATGTATGTAATATAAAGATGAGATTTTTCACAATATTTAACAGTATAGAAAAAACATAGAAAACATTGCAACAGAAGTAGAAGGAGAGAGAGAGAGAGAGAGAGAGAGAGAGAGGAGGAAAGGTTCAAGAAGAAGGGGAAAAAGAAGAAAGCAGACAAGAAGACACATATACATGCAACAATTTAAATGTGATATTTTAATACTTTGGAACAAAAAAAAATAATTGTAAAATTAAAGAGAAACAGAACAAAATAAGTAAATAAATTTTTAATTAAAAAAAAAAAAAATAAGGAAAACGGTAATAAAAATAAAGTCGAATAAGATTTGCTATATCAAAAAAAGATTCATAAAAACGTTTGAAAAAAAAAAAATATATTTTTCTTCATCACACATAAACCTGTCTCATTCATTTTTTTTTCCCTTTTTTCGTACATATTTTGCTGTTATTCACTCTTTCCTTTTTCTTTCTACCTCGCTTCTTTCTCTCTTCCTCTTCCTTTTCATTTACCTTTTTGTTCTCTTCTCTTTCCTTCTCTTTTTTCTCCCATTTTCTTTTTTCTTCTTTTTTGAAATAAAATGAAATAAGAAAGGAGATTTTAAAAAAGAAAGAAAGAAAAAGTAAAGAGGAGAAAGGAGAGAGAGAGTGAGAGAGAGGAATAAAGAAAGAGAAATTTAACTGAGAATGAAAGCGATGAATAATTTCATATTTTTCCAACCATTACCAATCCAATTCATTGAAAATAAATTTGCCCTGTACTGTTCCAAATATTGTTTTCTACAAAAACAACTTTCCATTTCATTTCATTTTACTTCATCACACATATACCTGTCTCATTCATTCTTTTTCCACTTTTTTTTGTACTCATTTTACTTTTATCCACTCTTTCTTTTTTCTCTTTATCTCCTTTTTTCTCTCTTCCTCTTTCTTTTCATTTACCTCTTTTCTGTCTTCTCTTTCCCTCTCTTTTTTCTCCCATTTTCTTTTTTCTTCTTTTTTGAAATGAAATGAAATAAAGTGGAAGCAGAAAATTCTGGCAGTCCGATAATAAAAATTAGTATTAAAATGATTAAGTGACTATGACACTGATATCATATTAATAAGACACATGCAGCAAATATAAAGTTAACTTAATTTCAGTTCGAAATTAAATTTAATAAAGATATGAGCACCTATTATATCATACCTAAATCTCTAAAGAAGTTAGAAATTAAAATTTAAGTTATGAGTACTGTTCAATTAAATCATTTGTTCACTGCAAGGAAGGAATGAAATAATCATTTTTTACCGGAATTCATATTAATTCTTGGAGAAGCATAGTGATGATAAAAATAACAATATTTTTAAAATTATTATTATTATTATTATTATTATTACTATTATTATTATCATTGTCATTATTATTATTATTATTATCGTCATTATTACTATCATTATATCATGATTATATTGTTATTATTATTATTATTATTATTGTGATTAATTTAGTAAAAATTTCATTGTCCTATTTAAATTTATGTATTTCAAAAATTCCAAAATTATTTTGGATATTTCAAATTGAACGATATCCGATATTTATTCATGCATCATATCATTTCTTTCATAATTAGACACTTCATATTAGTGAAAACTTCAAGTTCAGCTGAAGAATATTTATTAATAACTTTAGGTAGAAATATTCAATTTATATAAAAAAGAACAAAAACAAAAAACCATGATTTCATTTAAGTCACTTATTTCTGATTACGAATTGAAATGAAGTAATATCACTATTACATTTTTTTCTCATGAATAATCATTTTGAAATGCATGTAACTAATATCTGATTAATTGCTGTGCATCAAATTAGTAAATTGCATTAACTAATATTTATTAACTTTTTTTTTTGTTTTTCATCCTACAGTATCTCTCTGTCTCTTTCTCTTCCTCTTTATCACAAATTTCAAATTTGGTGAGTTAAAAAATTTGCTAAAACTTTTATCCAATGTTAGTTATTACATTTATACTACGATTAGAACAATATTTGATAAATTCTTTCATATATTTTTCAATATAATGGATTTAATAGAATAGTAATGCTAAATTAAATTATTAACATTGATAAATATATTTTCTGCCAAAAAAGAAAAAACCCAGCATGCTTATTAAGCAAGTTGAAAAAATATTTTAAATGATTTTAAAGAAGAGCAAAACAAAAAAATAAAAAAAAATTATGTTATATACTAATTTAATTACTTTTTCAATTTACTTCTTTTAAATGTTATTTTAAAAACATTTTTTTTTTTATATGTTAATGACAAATGCATTATCACAAGTAGAAAACGAAAAAAAAAAGAACTAGTATATATATATATATATATATATATATATATCACTAGCAAAATATCGAATGAGAAAATAAAGCAAAATATGAAACAGGAATAAGCGCTAGCACATTTTTTTTATGATGAGGTTTTAGTGTGAAATTATTTTAAAATTTTATTATAACACCAAGAAAATATAAAGTTATGTTGTTTCTTCTTTCTTTAAATACAATAATAAAAAGGGGCGAGAAATAAAAAAGCTGTAAATTTCATTAATTGCAAACAATTTAAATTAAATGAGAAAGGTTAGAAAAGGCAACCTTTTTCGAAAGGTAAAAAAAGGCTTTATGGAACAGTACGGATTTGTTTTTCTTTTCTCTCTCTCTCTCTCTTCTTCGTTCTCCTTATGTTTTCTTTTTTTGTCTTTTATATTCTACCAGAGAATTAAGAACGATGCTAATAGTCGATTAAATTTGCAAATCAACTAACTTTTTCTATTATAATAACAAAAAATAAGTAATAATATCTAAATATTTTCAATAAAAACCAGTTTTTGACTTATTTAATCCTTCTAGTTTTTACATTAAAACGAAGGATTACAAAAATGAAAAAAGAAATAAATTAAAACGATATATTTTCATACCATTTTCCATTCCACTATCCATCAACAAATGATAAGTAATAATAATAGAAAAATAAAGAAAAAAAAGAAATTGAAAAAAGATAAAAAATTAAAAAAGCATTGGTGTTTTTAATTGCTTAAATATCAAAATTGTTAATTTAAAAAAAGTAAAAATAACATACTTTTATTAATTGCTTCGAAAATATTATTATTTAAAAATTGATGCATTGAAATAATGATATTTGCTCTCTTTCTCTCTCATCCTTTCTCTTCCTCGCTCACTCTTCCATTTATATCGCTTTCTTTTTTTAAGAAAATGTTCACTGAAATTTTAATAATCATCAACAATATCATTATCACTATTATTACCATTATTTATATGCCGAAAACATCGTTATTTTTCCTAATACCAATAACTATTATCATTTCATTATGCTTTTCCTCTATCATTCGTTTCTTTTTTCTCTTTAATTAATATTATTTTACTTCAATTTTGTTTGCAAACATCTATTATTGTTCATGTGTATGTGTCTGTATGTGGATGTGTGTGTATGTGTATGTATGTGTGTTGTTTGAGTAAAATTAATAATCATATTTTAATATTATACATTTAAAACTAATTGAAATATCACCAAATTCACTCTATAATTTTGTGTAGTTAAACAAAGAGAAAACTTTAAATTAAATTTGACTGTTATTTGATTACAAGAAATCCTCAATAAAAAAATTACAAAATTTTAGCATTTTTTAAATTAATTATCATACAATATGTATACATCGATGATGGATGAATGGGATTCCTTTTTTTGAGAGAAAGAAAAAAATTGGAACTTTTTGCTAATACTAAAAAAAGATTACAAATTGAAACATGAAATTTTCATTAATTTTGTAAACATTTAATGAATTAAAAAATTATAAAAAAGATTAAAAGTAAATGTTAATATATTTTATATAATGTTATTGATCTTATTTTATTTTAATACATTTTAATAAAGCAAAAAAAAGAAGGAAATTTTTGTAATCAAACAGCTATTATCACTATTACAGTAACAAACGATATTTTATTATTTATCGTTCACTTCATAAAATTTCATCGTTGCAATTATTTCAGTCATAAAATCAAAAAAAAAAAATAAAGCATTTTGAAATATCTTAAATAAAATGGAAAAGAAAGGAGAAGAGGGAAAAATTCATACATATATTCATGCATAAAAATGATTTAGTAATTATATTTTAACTAAATTATAATCATTACAAATTTATTTGTATGTTTCAAAAAAGAAACTAACGAGCATTGATATAATTATTTATAATCAATGTTTACTATTATATTCTTATTAGATGTATAATCGGAAAAAAAAAACGGGAAAATGTCCTATGTAATATTAGTAGCAAACATGTGATGAGAGAAAAAGTGATAAAATATTAATAAATCAATAATAACATCAGGTAATATTTAATAAGCTACTGAAATGGTATAATGAAAAGTACGTAATGCTGTAGAACAGAATTTATGAATTTCGAAAATATTTAAATTTAGAAGTAATTTTACTAATTTATCTTTTTATCTTTTATTTCTTCAGAGTCATGAAAGAAATATGTATATTGAATAGACGTTTACTACTATCTTGTGGCGTCTTTTTTTGCCAACATATATATATTAGGAATTCTCGGTTTTTCTTTTCATCTTAATAATAATTATGTTGTAAAATATCTCACTCATCTTTGTCATAAAATTTTACCTGCTTTTATAGGGACAAATTAGTAACTTGAAATGAAATTTGCCCTACTCCAAACTTTACTATCTGTTTGGCGATACTGAAAACAATTAAAATAAAGTAAAATGGACTTCTGTGAAAATGAAAATTCTGCAATGAATTTTATCCTACTTTTCATTTAAATATGTTGCTGACTGAGAAATTCATTAAAATTTATGCGTTAACGAACAACAAAACAAGAAAAAAAAACAATTAGAAACGAGGAACTTACATTTACAAGAAACTGAACTCCAAAAACAATTTAAAATAAGAGTTAACAAGTCAAGTAGTATTGTACAAGAACCTTAAATAAAAAAAAAAAAAAAAAAAAAAAAAAAACTATGCTAATCCTTCATTACATTGTTTCCGAGATCATCATTCAATGAAAACCCGAAGTATATTTAAACAGTAAGCCCAACATTATGCTTATCATAAAGATGTTGGCAGGATTTACATACCTTCTTCTTCAAGCTGCAAATCTGGAATCAACTAAATTGAGGATAGATGATTGAATCGTTTTAATTCTAACAGGTACTATAGCTTTTCCTACGTACATGGCTTAACAGCCCTATACCACACCACACACTATAGCACAGAAAGTACATTCACTGAAATCAATTCCATGCTTAAAAAACAGAAATTCCTTTCCCTAACAGAAAAAATGAACTCCCATCAAAATGTGCAATTATTTTTTCATATAAATTTGCTCTAAACTTAATCTCTACAAATCTTTTTTCAAAAAATTGCAATTATTTTTTATTTGAATATATACTTCCGAGTTTTTTTTTCTTTAAAAAGAAGATGAATACTACACGAGCAGATGACAAAGGTCAACAGATCAAATCGCACTTCTTATTCCATTTAAGTATGTGAGAGATAGCGTGGCGGAAAGAAAGAGATCAAGGGTTAATGCTGATTTCTAGAATTATTGAAAGTTTAAAATAAATGTTATAAACATTAGATTAGCAAATTCGCTTAACTATCCAGATGTAACTCTCTTAACTAACATTAGTATAGCACGAACAAGGGTATAGAAAAAGTTCATAAATGAAATGCGTTTAACGCAAGCATTCACACACGCACATACTATGGATTGGTCCAATTTTTGGAAAATTCGTTCGAAGGTGCACTAAAATAGGAAAAGCAATTACAGATATAGTGAAAGTGATGTTAAAGAATCAGCTGCTAATTTGGTAATGTGAAGGGGAAAAAATGTTTGGAAACAAAGATTATGAATAGGAACCTGTGTCACATAAAACTTTAGATTTCTCCTTTTTGCGCTTTTAGTAAAAGAAAAAAACCTCTAAACTTCATGAATTTCAATTTTATCGACCTCTCAATCAACCTTACAATTTTCTAGAAAAATATTACAGAAAGAAAAAAAAAAAAAAAAAAAAAACAACAATCTCTCATTTAAAGCATAGTAATAACAATTCAAAAACATTCAAAATATTTCAAATCCGTTTTGTGAAGATCTGTCAGTCGGCTCGCTTCTCATAAAATTTCAGCGTCGAAACATTTGAGAATAAATTTCCCAGTGTCCCTTTCTCTTTTTTGTAATTTTCACAGGCTTTTCGAACATCGTATAAGCTCTTCCGTACTTTTGGACAAATCAAAACCTGCAAAGGAATATGTAAATACAAAAGCCTCGAACGCAGTTTCAAATTCCATTTCACCGGAACAGTGCACTTCGAATTGTCTCTATGGAATGGAAAAAAAAAGAACCAAAACCAAGCATTTTTTACTGTCATGTAATCGAAAAAACTTGTCGAATTTCAAAATGGCTAATTAAATACAAACATTATTGCATAAATTTCATTCCACGGAACGCAGAAATTAAATTACTGAACTGAACATCAAATACAAGCTGCCATTTCGTTCCTACAAAATTTTATTCTCCTAATAAGCATCTCTACCCAAAGAAGACATACCTGATTTATGTCTTCCTGGCTGGAATGACTGCAATAATAGGAAAAAATCGACAAAACACGGTCTTTAATTTGTTCAGCAATACTGTCGTTTCGAGTTACAAGATTTAAAGCCAATACTCCTGGAAATCAGGCAAACAAAGTAGCAATCAAATGATAAAGAATCGGATCTCTTACATATTATAGAACAATTTGTTAATTTTCCGACTTACTAGATTATTACTTGCCAGCAGTTTGCGTAGAAATTTTATTTTAATACTCCATATCACCATAAATGGAATAATTCTTTGTTTATCTACATCGTTGCGATGCAGTCATTAACTATGGTTTTTATGCTGTTAATTAGCAGAAAAGTTGAAACAACATAAGGGATCAACAAATGAAATATGAAACACGAAGGAAATAACTGCAATATATTTCTATGAAACATACTGATTATCTTCACTCTATTCAATATTTTACTTGTATTCATTATTAATTTCCTGTTACCGTATGAATATTATTGTGACTATTTATTGCTGTACTTGTTCAGTTTGTGCATTGTTACCAACTAGATGTCTAGTTTCATCTGTAGGTTTTATATGCAGAAAAAGAATATTGTGCATGATGATTGCAAACAACATAAGCAAAAAAAGTTCTGAACATGTATAATTTCGGTTGAAAATTGAAAAAACGATTGAGACTTATTAAGAATAGCAACAGATAAGTCAGCTGAAATAAAATTTGAAAATGATTCAAACAATATTCATGAAAATAAGATTTCCATAAACCACTGAACAATATAATAATATGTCTTACCTCTTGCACAAAGTGCAGCATACATATTATTGAGAGCTTTCTCTGTTACAAACGACGGTAATGGACAACTCAATCCATCTTCGTGAATGCTTCCAGCCACATCAATGAATATGACATCGAACAAGCGTGACTCATCTAAAATTTTGATATATCTTAAGTCTTAAGAAAATATCGATAAGATTCTCATTTATTCATTAATTAAACATGCTGAAACTACTCAATTTCTGAATGACTACCTACCATTCTGTTGCACCAGTTCTTCAATATATGTAAGAGCATCTTTAATCACAACGGTCAAACGCGAGTCACTATTGAAAGAAAACCAGTACTTTGCAATTTCCGCCACCTTCGGATCTAATTCCACAGATACGATAAACATCTAAATGTTACTTTATGGTAATTGACACTTCAACTTAAATATAAATTTAGATTTAATCTAGGTTTAGACTTACTGACGGAAATTTGATGTGCAGAAAGGAAGGCAGAACACCACCACCTAATCCAAGAACAAGTAATCTGAAATGAAACTATTAATATTGTGTGGTTAATTTCATTATGAAATTAATACTCGTAAATACGTAAGCTATTAAAAGAGTACAGTGAACGAACAACAGCATAACCATACCGTAATTTAGTTGCATGGTTCAATTTTTCACCAGGACGTAACATAAAAGGTAGTGCTGCCAACATCGCCTCATGATATTCCGAGGTTAATGTATGCAAATCCACAATTTCGACACCTCTTCTGTTCCCTGCACAGTAACATCAGTGAAATTAAATTATTAAAAAAACCACAAATGATAGTTTCTGTAACGTAGCTTCTAACAGAATAACGATAAATACTGTCCTGTTTGTCCTGAACATACTTTCTCCTTGAAAGAATGGTTTCCCTACTTACTTGTATGATGAATAAATAACTGTTGGGTGATCTACTTATGTGAAGAAAAAAACAACTTTCCAATACTCTGCACCGTATACCTCTCACCATACTGAAATATGAAATTAAATTAGAGATCCCAAAACTGTACAGTTCAGGTCAAGATATTCGACATCAAGTATATTTCCTAATTAAGGTCCCACATCCAAGTTTATATTTTCACTGCGGACAAGTATCTTATTTTAAAAATAAAACTTACGAATCAATTTAACTTCAGACTGTACTAGATTTTGGGCAGACAAAAAAACAAGTCTTCGATATATGGAACTTTGTATGCGGACATCTTCCACTGCCCATGGACCGTTGACATCGGAATTTCCTGTGGCACGAGTTTCCTTAACGTCAATTTTTCCAAGAGAAAGAAATTCTACCACCGACTTACGCTGAAATAAAATATTTTATGTTTATCTGAAATAAAAAATACAATATAAGCTACAAAATTTAGTAATCAAAATTAAATATAATAAATGTAAAGTCTCAACTGCTTGAAGCATGGATGATGGAGTAAGCTGAATTACATATGGACCCAATTCATCTTTAACCTGCTCCATACTTTCATATTTTTGCTCACGATAAAGTGTAGCAACTGCCAACCGATCTTTATCACATTGTTTGCGAAGTGATGAACGGCCTCTTTCAGTAGCGAAAAACCAGTCGCGATCTCTAAAATGCAGAGATTTAATTTTGAGAATTATTTTATGATGTATATATATATATATACTGACTGCTCAAAAAGTAAAGCAAAAAGTGCCAATTACAGCAATAATGTTTAGATCTAAAACAACCTGCCAACCGGGACGATGAAGACAGCGAATGAACATAATTCACTGACTTTCGGATCGTCAAGAACTGCAATCCGATATCGTGGTTTCTCATCGCTATCATGCAGTACCAAATTCACTTCATGTTCCAATTTTCTGAAAGATTTTTAGAAATATACAATTTGTGCAAAACTGGGAAATATTAAATGCATTATGTTCACTCTAACATCATAATCCACAATAAAATTCCTGTACGCATCACAAGCTGAAAATGCAAAACTTCCTGTCATTGAAAAATTAAGATTCTCTTACTTAAAATTACATCTGAAATTTTTATGCCAAATAATTTATACTTGGAACACATATGGCGAAATCTCGAGAATTCCTGCTCCGCATTTATCGCACTAATCAAGTTATCCAAAGAGGAAAATTTAACCGATTTCTTTTCCAGTGAAAGTATTAACTCCATGTACTGCAAGTATAGAGACTGATATTTACCATGCTTTCAACATTAAAACTTCATATCTGTCCTATATTAATTTCAACAGAATGGTCCAAACAAATCACCAATTCCTATTGTTATACTGTGAGGAGAACTAATAAGACGACCAACACTATTGATTGCTGCTTGAGAAACAATCGTAAAATATATATGGTAAAGAACTTATAGTGCTATTAGGTTGAACCATTTTTGGTTAATTCATTATCCATTCAGATTATCGGTTGTCTCATCAGAAAGACAAGAAACAACAGAAAAGTTTTAATTATAATTAACATTCAAAGGCCATCAAATTGATATGAACTGATCTAGACTTTATCCAGAGCAAAATTATAAAAAAAAATTCACTGGTGAAGCAAGAGAAACACGAAGTTTCGTCGCGATAAGCAAAAATATTGGTAGAGGAAACTCCCAATTAGCATCAGTATTCTTTTCAACCCGTATAATGAAGTTCTTCCTATAAATTTGCATTATTCATATTTGTAAAGAAAAGAAATATGCCATTATAGTCATTAATCTCAGTTAAAATACATGTTTATATTTATGTTCGAAATAGTGATGTTGATCTCAGAAGAATTCTAAATGATATTCGATTTTTTCCATTGTTTCATCCCATTTCTACGTTCTTTTTCTCTTGTGCAAACCAGTGTTTTAATTGAAAGGAGGGAGAAGAATGAACACAAGAAAATAATCCTCAATGAAACTTAAAATTGTATTTCAAAATTTTCGTTGCAACTTCTATTCTAATCCTAAATTTAACCAAATTTTCTTCCCAACACAAGAACAATGAAACTAACCGTTCCAGAAAAAATGGCATATATGAATTGAGCACGTGTTTTTGAGCAAGCGTAAGCACAACATATCGACCTCCGACCGCAAGCACCCGGCATACTTCAGCATACATTTTTTCTACGTCTTCCATTTTCTCCACTATGTCCTCATTTGCGGATGGAATTAATGCATCTAACGTCCCCTTGTCTAAGACAACGTTGTATTTTTCGTCTGGCGCTTCAATCTTAAATTCCGAACAGATCAAGTTAAAAACAGGCAAACGATACAGGAAGCTGATTTGCTAGGCTTCACTGCAATTAAGTTAACATACTATCAAAAATCTGAAACGCTAAACATTTAATTGTTTAAGAAGGTTTCTGGGAACTTTAATCAGGAATGACTGCAAACTGCTAAGTGTGTAATTGCCGGAGCAAAAAAAGTTACTTTTGTTGCCGAACAACATATAAACTGTAATTCCGGTCTTGATGAACAATTCTTGGCAATTTGTTTTCGGATGATTCCTTCATCAATGTCGATACTATCAATTACTTGATAACCACCATCGTAAAGCTATAAAACAAGAAAATATAGATAAACATGTGACGGAAGCGCAATTGGTCAGAAGTTCATTATATCAGTTTTAAAAAGCAATATCTCCACTACTACAGACACTAAATGGTAACGACAGAAACGCAGATTATCAAAACTCCAAAAGACTATATTATAGTGCAGGAAAGTATATAACGAAATGGTTTCATGACAATATAAAATCTTTCCGTCCCCTTATCAATCAAAAAGAAGTCGAATCCGTGGTTCAAGCTGTTCTGCAGTTTTTGACGATCAAATCGATTTTGCAAAGAAACAACATTCCAAATAAAAATTGAAAAAAGTTCAGAAATCTGACAACTCCAGGAATACCTGATCCGCTAATTCTGAACTGCCGCATCCAATTTGTAGAATTTTATCAGTTGTTTTCAAATATTTGGTCAAGACACACCCAAAATTCTTCAAATCACCGTACCTGAAAAATTATGAACATTATCTCAATCTTAAATCATAACAACATATGCTCAGAGAAACAAGTAATGCAACAAAATTCATGGTCTTACCATTCAAACGCGTCTCCGGCATCTTTGTAAAATTCCTTCCAGAATGATGGATCTTGAAAATCGCTTGCACTATTGGGAAAAGTAGACATAACGCTTTGAATATTAACGCTCTTATCCTGGAAGTTATTGCTTCATCTTGCGGAAAAAAACACTGGAAAACTTCGACAGCAACTTGTTCTCAAACCCGTTCGAATGTGTCCACAAATAGGTTCGGTGGATTTGGAATGGTTATTCTTGTGTTAGTCGTACTTTTAGATTGTAGGCAATGCGTTAGTCGCTGTAACCAATTCATCCCAAGCCTACTTCTTTACATAACCTTAACTGTATCATTGCAATCTTATTCGTATTATTTATGCGGTCATAGAAACCCCCTTATGCAACTTTACATTATCTTACATATATCATTTACGTAACCTTACTTATTTCATGCATATTTATGCAACCTTATTTGTATAATTTACGCTACTATATCCCACTTACGTATCTCCACATATGTCATTCTTATTTGTGTTATTTACACAACTATGCAGATTTTGACTGCGCGCATGAATATACGGTCATCCTGGCACTCAAGATCTTATCAAACGTAATCACGCAACCTCACTTCTATCGTCTACACGACGCTACAAATCCCACTCACACAGTTTTACTTTACGTAGTTTACATGACCCACAAGTTCCACCCACGCAATCCTAATACCTCGCGTAAGAAGCGAACATATAGGCTCGTTGACACCATACAGGTCATCCTTGCACGTGAAATTCTACAAACTCCACTCACGCAGCCCTACAAACCCCGCCACGTAACCTACAAACCCGATCACGCAACCAAACTCCACCACGCAACCTACCAACTCCACTCACCCAACCTTTCATATCTCGCTTGGAGCGCGAGCATACAATTCTCGCTGAGACGCACGACAATACACTCTCGCATACAGTATCCTACGAAATCCACCATACAGCCTTAATACCTCGCGTGAGGCGTGAAAATACAAATCTCGCTGAGACTCGCGGCAATACGGATCTCCGTCCTCTTTAAGATTCGCGATCTCTCTCGCATGCGATATCCTACAAAATCTACCTTTAATACCTCGCGTGAGACGTGAAAATACAAGTTTCGCTGACACGCGTGACCATACAGATCCTTCGCACGTGATCCTCTATCTATTCTAATAATAATAATGAATAACAATAATAATAACAGTAACAGCAAGAATATTAATCATAACAATAACAACAGTAATAATACCAAATAATGATAATGATCAATAATTAATAATGAATGGCAGTAGTAATATATTATATTATTTGCACTTTAATTAATCTTTCTCCTAACATACTACATCTATTTCTCGGTTACACCGATCGCTAATGAAAGTTTATGTAGAATCTGAAAGACAGTCTGAAATTTGGGGTTAAGATTTGAGGTCAGGTTAGGGGCGGCATATCCAGAAATTAATGAGAATTCTTTTGATCTTCAACCATTAATATCTTTATGTCTATAATCCTGTGAAACTATTTCAAGTTAATGTTTTTTTTTTTAAGTTTATTTTTATGATTTATCTAGCAAATCGTATTTGCCTTTGTTTGCGAACATAACTATATGATTCTTATATGTTATTTTGGGAAATTGTTTTTTTATTATTATGATTAGTTAAGTATTTTGAACTTAAATTACTTTTTTAATATTTTTTTTTCCATTTCTGTCATTTTTGTCCATAAATAAACGCTGAAAAATTTACAGAATGTTGACATATCGTCCACTGATAACTATGTTGACGTTTTGCGATGCTAATACTGATAGAATCTATAATGTGCAAATGATAATAATAATAGTTAAGGTTTTTTTTTCTTTTTTTTCAGCAAAGAATGCACGATGAGATGATTTTGAACAAATTTGCAGCAAAACTATTATTGACGTTATTTACCAGCATGTAAAGGAATATGCGTTGTTTTATGGATAAATTATTTATGTTAAGAAAATAGAGAAATAATATGATGAATTAAATTATAAACACACATGTGTTTATCTTTCTTGCTCATGTATCAGCATTTATGCCAAATATGACTTTTTTTTTATGTCACAGAAAATACGAAATTAATGAAACGATAGGTGTATAAAAAGTTTTTTCATTTTCAGATTTAATAAGAGGAAGAAAGCATTGATCGAATTAAAGTGAAAGGAAATGCTTCGTTTTAATTGGCTAAAACGGATTTCATTTCTGCTAATTTTGCTCATTTTTTTTTGGATAATTATTAGAAACATAAATTTGTCCAATTATGGAAATAGTAAGTTCGTTATTTATTTCTCTATCTGTTATATATGTATATCGTTGTATATTTTTCAAAGGATAGGAACCGTTATATCATTTTCCATTACTATTAAGTCCATTGAGACCTCATATGAAATCATCTGGGCAGCTGACCTTATGCTATCCAAAAATGCATAATTGGAATTACTTGACCAGCCTGCAACAATAATGCCATATATCCCTAGAGAGGATATAGCTAACACATAGAGTACTCCAATATATAGGAAGTATTTTTATCATTTTTTTATAGATTGGACTCAGTTGCGAACAAATATTGTTCCTCCTAAAACTGGTGGTACGTTTACTTCAATTTTTATCATTTCAATTTCTAATGGTTTTGTGCAGTCATTAAAAGTATCCATAAATTAATTCCAGAATGCTAATGGTATGAATTTGGTCCTTCTGGTGAAGTGAGACTTCTAGTTTGAAGCATTCATGTAAACCTTTAATTAATGTTGTAGATAGTGAATGCGTGAGAAAAGCTTATTGTCCAAATGACGAGGTGACAATTCTAGTGAGACCGGAAAGCCGAACGAAACCACCATTGCTATGTTTAAATAATAAAAAGTTCTTACTTTTCAAGCTGTTCCAGTTTTAATTAGTTTATTACTTGCTGAACAAAAAAAGAGAGAAAAAGTGTAGAATTTTACCTCCGTATAATAATATTAATTCTTTCTGGTGCGGAGAAATTCTCTATTACCTAAAGTTTCTTTATTTTTCTTTGTTAATATAAAAAGAAAACTCGGTGCTGATTTTATTTTTCAGATTATTCGACAGTTCGAAATTGGTTAGAGGATTGAATATCGCTATTTTAAACAGTAAATTTTATTTAACTCATTTTTGCCTTTTTTTTTGTTTTGCTTTTTTTTTTTTCTTATTATGCATTCATTTAGATTTGTCATCTAGTGGAAAATGATATGTGAATAAGGTATCAGGTTTCTATTTCATATTTTGTTGCAACGTGTTGTATTTTCTACTATGTTAAAAGCTTTTTCCAACTAATTCATAATGATAGGTACTAATCCATAATAATATAGCAACATTCTATCCTATTTATTATTACTATGTACAAAATTTTGTACTTCCACTAAGTGATTTTTCCTGAATTGAAATAGATAGTTCAGAATTATTTGCTATTAGAAGAATATTTAAAAAAAAAACCTTTTATATTATAGGTGACAAAAGCATTGTCGGTGTACATTATTTAAGCATTCAAGACAGTGATTTTTCTCTTATAAGGTTGTTGGCGCAAGTGCATTATTCTGAAATTATTGTGGGAACTTCATATGGTGACGTTTCATCAAAGTGTGTTTTTTTTTTTTTTTTTTTTTTTTTTTTTTTATTTTTCGTTTTTCCAATACAGTTAATAATTTAGTTATTAGCTCTTATCAGAATTCTTCGAATACATCAGTGTATGTGTGTGTAACTAGAAATCTTCAGGATGATTGCAACTTAGTCATTTACAGGTTTAGAGGAAAGATTACACGATGTCATTTGTCAAGTTATATTTTTCATTAATGTATTTATTACCATAATCCGGATTAATTCATTGTCTCTCTCATACTCAGATGACCTTCTTTATAATAAGATTATATACGTTCAGATTTTTGCAGGAGAAATTTTTTTGTCCTAATTTTTGTTTTTTGAAAATTGCGCATGCAATCACTTTTTTTTTCTTTCTGGACAATGATGACTCTATAAACAATGCAGGGTATCAGCTGAAACACGACATTTGTTGCGTTTGTTTGGTTTATCACTTGCGCAGTATAAAACAGAGACCAGCTTACTTTTTGTTGGGCAGTTAGGTCTGTCGGTTCCAGCAGCTTTTGAAAAGGTTGTTGCTCTAACTGCTGTTGTTCTTTGGTCGAACACGAATTTTTTTATTAACTTTTTGAGATTAGGAGTTTTATAATTCTCGATAAAACTCCATCGAACGTTCATTTTTTTTCTTAATTTTTCCCTGTATTTTTTTTTAAAGGTTGTTTCACTGGAAATAGTAGAGCCGAAATATTATGTCAGATGTTTGAAGGCACCAAGTATGTTACACTTCTCTCGTTTTTATATCAGTTATCTTTATGGCTATTTAATGTGAAAAAAATTCAGCTGGATTATTGAAAGTTTCCAGATTCTATCGTCTGCATTTAAAATCAGTTATCATTTAAAGAAAATTGTTGTATGATTTGAAGTGTGTAGTTCCATAATTTTTTACATTCATTGTTATTCTTTCATTCGTAGGTTATACATCATGACAAGGTGAAATCCTACTCACTGCATTGCGTGAATTGTTCTTACAGCACTTTTTAGAGTTTATATTCCTATTTTTTCTTGTAAAAATTTGTATATTTATAGTGGGAGAGCAATCAAATGTTACGATACGAGTACCTGAAGTGCACCACATTGATGAGCATATTGTCGCTCAGTTATCAGCTGTAAAAGGACAAGAAATGAACGTGAAATTTGGTGTAGAATTACCGAACTGTGGTCATCCAGAGAAATGTCCTGAAGGTTCCATCATTTCTTTCAGTTAAAAGTTCATTTCACGAAACATTTGTTGAGTATATTTGGATAAGTATAGGCACTGATTTCAGTTTGAATATAAGTAGTCTGGTAGTGAATCGATTTTTAGATGAAATTCCGATGCTTTTTTATTCGGGAAAGGACAAAGATGATTCTCCTCGGTTGTGTGTAAATGGAAGATTGTAAGTGTTTGGTATTTTTAATTGGAATTTTTAGTGTATGTAAAATAAAAATCATTTGAAATTATTTAGTGCTTTACCACTTAACTGTTCCTTGTAACTTGGATCATTCTTCAAAGCTCTTCTTACTATGGTACTTATTGTTACGTCGCTATTCTGGTATTCTTCACCTTTTGCAGTGCTATTATAATTTTGTATGTACTTGAATTAATGATTGCAGAATAATAGATCGAGATCTGAATTCCGCTGGTCGCGGGTTGAATTTAGTTGTTATTGATTCTAAAACTCATCAAGTAATGCGCACTGGGCACTATGATACTTACCTTGAAGGTACATAACCATTGTTGTGGATCGATTTTCGTAATGACAGCCAAAAATTTGTTTTGTTAATTTAATGTTTCTAGTAAAAGTGGTTTAATTATACTACTGTGACATTTCTTGTTTTTTTATAAGTACTGTGACATTTCTGTTTTCTGCATTGTATAAATCAATTTAATCTTTGCAGATAGTTCAGCATTAGTTTTGTTTCTGGAGCAACTCTCACCTGGAGAGATTGTGGCTGTGATCAGTTTTGACGAAGCATCAAATAGGTTTGTTAGTTATCTATATTTTAACAAAAATATTTGTGGTTTATAGATTGTTATTAAAAACATATCATTTTTCTCTTCAGCTTATCAGACATGGCAAAGCATATTTTTTACGAGTTAGGCTCAAGCCTCATACATCGCTTGAAATTCCGTGCTTCATGGTATTTTATTGGCCAGAAAGGAATTGATGGTTACACACCATTCGAGGACATGAATTTACCATCCGGCAACGACTGGGCTAAACCAATTAGGCAAACGATTTGTGTACCCTCAGTGTGTAGGTTCAATCAATTTCACGGTATTTTAAAGTACAATATTAGTTTATTTTGTTGTTTCAAGAAGAAGTTTTTTAGTGGATGGATTGAAAACTGTAAAAAATCGTTTGCCAAAGGCACAAAATATGCTTCGGCGACATTTTTGTTCCCGATATGATGGTTATGAAGACTTTTGTGATGGTTTGTTTGCTTTGTATTGTTTTCTTTTTCACTTTATATATTATAAGTTTTGTTTGCTTTTATTATATATTTGCATTAAACGTATTTTAAAAATAGCATTTTAAGCATTTCTATACTTTTGATTTTTCCTTTTGATAACAAATTTGTTTTTTGTAGCATGGTATTTGTATTCAGATGTTTACAGTAGTTTAGAGTTTGTTTTAAACTGTTCTACTTTTATGATTAATTACTTTTTGAAAGATTAAAGAATAAAATTAATAGGATTTTGAGACTCGCTGCAGTTTTCTTTGTTTTCAGAAAGCCATATCGATATGCCGTTAATACCACGTAGTAGTCAAACTTATTTACCATCAACTGATCGCATTTATTCGGTTCCAATATTACTTGCTGGAGGTTTTTTTTTTTTTTTTTTTTAATGGTATTTTCAGTATTTTTCAAGTGTTTTATGTACTGTAAAAATGGCCGACTGTGCATAACATATTGTAGTTCGAGAAATATGAGATAAACTGAGGAACATTCTAATACGTATGAATTTATATAACTCTCTTGCTTTGGGTGAACTTTGAATTGAAGTTACATAATTATAGGCTTAAATACGAATAATATACGTTTATGTCTGGAAAGCATCTATGATCAAGACGGTATTAATCCACAAAATGTAGTTGTGGCATTTGATTCCATTTATAATGAAATATCAGATCTGAGTGCACTGTTTCATGTTAGAGCTTTGCCAATCAACAGTTCAGCTTCTTATAAAGGTGTTTTTACCATTGACTTTTTCGTATTTTTTTTTCCAAAATTTTCGATTAACATATCGAATTTATTTACAGATTTCGTATTGGAAGGCATTGATAATATGATGACACTATTCCCATATGCACCATGTCTAATTGTTGTTGAGGAAGATATGATTTTATTACCTGGCTTTTTGTATTTTCTTGCGCAACTATTGCCACACTTCATGAAAGATAACACTGCAAGCTTTATTCTATTGCTCAATGAAAACAGTAAGTTTTCATATTTGTAAATGTTTCTACTCTTCTGCTGTACGTCAGTGTACTGTAAATTCAGATTCTTTTTTGCTGATATTTTGAGCATCTAAGTTAGTATAGTCGTAGTTCGATCATCAACCTTTTGGAAGACATATATAACTTTGTGCTGCATATGAAGGTGAGTTATTTGAAATAGAAAAGTAGTAATTTTGTTTAGCTACTTTACATTCATTATGAGTGTCAAAGGATAGCGCATCTATTGTCAATTTTGGCTTAGTAAAACTTTTTGTTTTGTTTTGTGGGATCTTAGTTTATACCGATAATAGCATAGTATAAATCACTCAAAGTTATCGTTTATCCTTTAACATAGAAAAAATGTCCTGATTGTTACAATTTCAAGTTGTTAAAAGTCGTGATATGGATGTTTCGTCTGTATATCGTATCGAAAATGGTGTAGCAGCTGGTGCTTATTTGGTGAAAAAGTCATTTCACGATAAATTTATAAAAAATCGACAGGTAAGTGTGTGTAGTTCAAGTAAGAGAAACTGATTAGAATATGACTGAATACTATTTATACGACTATCAGTCATTTGAGTAGGGAGGAGTGACTTATAGTGTATAGTTCAAATAAGAGAAATTGATTAGAATATGAATTGGATGAAAGAAATTCAAAAACATCAAGTAACTTTTTATCATAGTTTGGAAACCACTAACATGCCGAACAATTTTGCATGAAAAGACGCTATCCCTTATTAACTCTTTATATTTTTTGCATGTTACAATAATATTCATACCTTTTTTTGAAGTGTTGTGAAAGAACGAAATTTGGCTGGCTGATTTCTGCTGTCTCATATATACCTGCTGTATCTCGTGTTGAACTTATCAAAACGTTTGATTTGGTGGCGTTAACAAACAATGATGGCACACCTATGAAACTAGCGGGAAATAACAAGAACAATCTGTTGTTAGTGTTAAAACATTTGCTTTCGCTTTCTTATATATGTTCCTCATTGCTTTGTTATAAATGTTTCTCCTTTTGCTATGATCCCATTACACTGAATTTTGTATTGTTTTGATCGGAAAAATTACTTTTATCAATATTTTTAAGTGTTTGTTTTGATAGGATTTTTATGCGAAAATTTGAGGAAAAATTTTTGCTGTAGGAATGGCGATGAAAAAGTCGAAAATGCAGATCGATTAAGTGAAGAAAGTTATGATGCAGAATTGAGAAAAATCATTGATAATAGCTGGAAATATTACGTGAAGGGTTATGTTAATTGTCATGATATTTTTAGTCGACGTGGTGGTATTGATTCCAGCATTGTGACTGTTCCGTAAGTGTTCTTCCATTATGACTAAAATCAGTACTATTCATATTTAGCAGAAAATAAATTGTATTGAAGTAATTTTTGTAATGAAATACACATATTCCAAAAATTTTAATTAAGACTAAATGAAGGTGAAAGTACTCTGTATATAGGATTATTCACTCTTAGAGGGTAGCATGATTATGATTGCGCATGAAAAAAAAGGAAAAAAAGGAAAACCTTTGTTCATCTCATCGCGTTGCAAATAAAATTCGTTGTTGAAATTTCAAACTGAAAGAACTATCGTTAAACTAGTGTAAAAGGTTTTCTAATGCTAACTCTAAAATCCTTGTGATTAATTCATTCTAATGTATACTCTTTAATTCATTAATATTAATTTGTCCTAATGTATACTTATTAATTCTATTTCCTCAATTTGAGATTTCTAGAAATATGTCGTTTTAAGGAATTATAATGCATAATTTTTCGAAGCTTAATTTATAATTTGAATTCTTTCGGAAGAACAAGAATAACATGTGAGTAAATTTCAGTACCATCATTATTATATATGATGAAAGTACGGATGCACTATCACAATTAGCTCGGTGTTTTGATTTCCATGTTATGAAGAATTGTTCATTAGGTTCATACAAAGGTATTACACGGTAAGTGTGATCTATTAATCTTTTCTTTTTTTCTTTGCTTCATGCTTTTCAATCTGTTAATAATGAATTTTTACGATGAATGAAGATCAGATTTTAAAATTTTCATAATTTTGAATTGCAGAATCTCAGTTGCAGACGCATCATACGTGATGGTTGCAAGTAGTAGCTCCTTTCTCAAAGTCAAATTACAAAATCTTACTTCGACATCTCAGTCTTTATAGTGAAGTTATCCAAATTCCGCTCAAGTTTTGCAATAGCAAGTTTCATGATGTTGTTTCTCTTATGAAGTCATTCCAAATAGATTTGTTTTGGATGTATTTAGTCCTCATCAAACAAATTCTCATGTTATATGAATTATCTTATGAAGTATAATGGACGAATATCCCTCTTATACTTTTATAGGGTTCACTGAATTTCCGTTTATCTCCAATAAGTTTTTACTTATTTATGTGAACAAACATTAGCATTCATCATAATTCTTTTATTTATCGTATTCTAAAAATATTAAGTTTGAAGTTTGACGAATATTTAAAACTTAAATTGGAGATTCGTTTTTTTTTTTTTTTTTTTTTTTTTTTTTAGGGAGAGAGGGATGGATGCAATTTTTTTTTTGTTTCCTGTTATTTTTATTTGTAATCTTCTCTGTTTGGAAAATTTTCCATGCTTCTTCATAGCTGGTTTAATTTTCCATCAAAAAAGTGTTTCATTATATTATTAATATTTATTTGATATTTTAAAATTTGCTGGAAAAATTCGGATGCCATTTTGGTCAATGATTAATTTTTGCCAGTAGAAAATCGTCCTTTTAATCTAGCACAAAACATTATCAACAAGCTATTAATTTGCATGGATTAAAATAGTATTAAAGTAGGTAGCTTTAGTGATTGATATAGATAATCTTCTTGTTGTGGGAATAATGCTGAGCATTATTCATCGTTCATTTATATCATTAATTGGATAATCATTTCCATGACAATCCCGTTTTTTTTTTTTATGGTGATTTATTTATTTGATTCTAGAAAGCTCAAATTGGATTTTTTATAGCTATTGTATTTCTGTAATTTTCATCATAGAATTAATTTGCTATTTCAAATGTCTTCTCTGTAGTTAGCCTTACATTGCCTTTTGTTTTTATACTAATTTAATGTGTAACGAAGAGATATTGATATCAACTATGAACAAATATTGCTTTGATTGTTTATTAGAACCTCAGCAAACAAAGTCTCTATAATTATTGTACTTTTATTACATACCTGTCTATTATTATACTTTTATTACGTACGCTTCCTATTATCAATGTATTTGTTAGCAATAGCCTTACCCAATTTGTATGGCAATATTTACTGTCACTTATAAACTTTTATTCGGATGAATTTATTCTCTTTCAACGTTTAACAATGATGATAAAAAATGAAATAAACCGTAACGTGTCCTTATTATCTACATGAAGACGTTTTTTTTTTTTTTCCAACGTACAATAAATACATATTCAAATTTTTAATTTGATTTTAATTCAAATTTGAGTCTGTTAGAATAAGGTAGGATAACTATTCCGGATAAAAGGTGTATTTTTGGTGACATAGATAGCCAACCGGTTGGTGTTCTAAAACACTAGCAGTAGGAAAGTGTGCGTGTCAGTCCCTTTTTTTTCTTCTTTTGTTCAATGTTTACATTTGATAATCGTTGGTCGCATTCCCGAGCAAGAAATACCACAGTGATAAAGTGGTGGAAGTGTGCTGATAGTGCATGTTAATTTTTTAGAATTTAAGTAGGAATATAACGGAGTAAATTGAATGTCATAATTTTTTGGAAGATTGTTGTTGCAAGAAGGTAGAGTTTAAAATTAGCAGTTTTAAATGTTTGGAAGAATTAAATAGAAAAAAGGGGAATCTCTGCTTCAAAAATTTCATTAAATCATCGTTGTTTAATGAATGATTACGAGTCATTTGATATTTATAATTTTGAAATTCAGTGGGCTTGTGAAATTGTTAATATATTAGCTACTTAGCAAAGTGAGCGAAAAAAAATTGAAGGGATTTAAGATGCTAATTGGACTGGGTTTTGAGTGGGCGATTCATTCCAGTTGGCATCATTAATTTTTGTCCGACATTTTGACAGGAAAAATATTTTCACAAATCTTTTGAAGATCTCTTAGAAGCAAATTGTTGGTAATGCATGGGGTTGACGTGCAGGACTTTGGTTGGTCTTATACGGAGGAACCACATGCAAGCAGGTTAATTTGTTGCTTCGAGAAAATTGAAATTAAATCTAAATTTGACAGTAGGAGAAAACATATAAGTGATTGGAATGTTTTCTATGATACGATATCACTGTAAATTCTTCCAGACGAAATGAGATAATCCAAAAGTATCCGGAAATCAAGAAATATTTTGGTATTGATCCATCATTCAAATATGTCGTATTGGCAATGGTTTTAGCACAATTTAGCATTGCTTGGCTTTTGCGAGGTATATTTCTAACTAAATTAATACCATTTGATACCAATTAATACCATTTTTAAATTCGGAAGTGATTTCAATCGTTATGTTCTCAAATTATTATCAAATGATAAGGAAGGATATAAGTAGTTGCCCTGTCCTCATATTTATATATATATATATAAGAAATCCTAATTAAAATTTTTATGAATGACTTATGGACTATAATTGGATGAAAATTGGACTGGTTTTAAGATGTTACACTTCAATTTAATACTTACTGATTTTTGAGGTATGTCCTAAAATGAAAAATTATCTAGTACAACTGCTTATATGTAGTAGGTACGGCTCTGTATCTCCAAAAAAAAGGTAGATCACTGGACAGAATAGTCAAGTGAAGAAAGTGATTTTTTGCTGCAGGGAGCACTAAGGTTTTACAAATGTTATGTGTAACTTATTTACATTTTGTTTATAAAAAATCAGGTAATTATTACAGATTCAGACTGGTTATTGATTTGTTTGCAAGCATATTGTACTGGTGGTACTATTGGACATTCACTTACATTGGCTGTTCATGAAATATCACATAATATGGCATTTGGTTGTGCTCATCCTCTTGCAGTTTGTTTCGTTTCTTTTTTGGTTACAGAAAAAAACAGCAGTGATTTAAAAAAATTCAGTTAGTTCAGTTGTAGACTTTCTTATCGGTTCTTATGTATGATGGCAGTCAGTTACTTGAGTTTTAGTCTAGAATTCTGCAAAGAGTATATATTAAACAAGGAGAAGGAAAAAGAAAATAGTAATTGTAATCTTTTCGCTAAATTTTTCTGAGAAAATGATCCACTGCAAAATTTTCGCAACTATTTTAACGAAAGTAATGAAAAAAGAGAGCAAGGAGGATGGTTTAAGAGAACATAGCTGAATTATTGGTTTAGATTTCGAACTCTTTTGATATCATTTTGATATTGTTGGTTAAAACGATAGGCATGTTTCGGAAGGCGAGAAACGGAAGGAAGTATTGTTCTTAGCAACGATTGAAAAGTAATTTGGCATTGGTAGCTGAAAGAATTGATGAAGCTTACTATTTCATCCTAAACTATTTTCAATGTTTAAACTTGTGCTATTATTTAAGAACCGCTTGTTTGGATTTATTGCTAATCTACCGATGATGGTGCCTATGTCGGTTTCTTTTAAGAAGTATCATTTGGAGCACCATCGTTACATGGGTAATAATTTATTATATAACATCATGGAATATTTGTATTTTATTTGCACTACCAAATATAAACTTTTTCATATTTTCATGAAACTAAACGAACATGCTATGTCTTGAATAGTTCAGTTTTTCAGGTGAACAAGTGTTAGATACTGACATACCGACAAATTTCGAAGCACGATACTTCCGTCGTACTTTGGGGAAATTGTTATGGGTCTTTCTCCAACCATTCTTTTATGCTTCCAGACCATTTCTTATTTATCCCAAAGTTGGTCAAGTTTGATCTTAAATGTCCCTTTCATGTTGATAAAAAAAGTGAATGAATATATATAGTTTTTTGAGAGACTTTTCTCTTCAGAAGATAGAAGTATCTAGGCCAGTTTGTTTACCACTATTACTTTATTATTGTCTCGCTATTCGATATTATTTATTTCACTTCTTTTTTGTTCAAACTTTGAAGGCGCTAATTTTTAGGCTGTCACAGATTTAGAAATCTTAAATGCGCTACTTCAAATTTTTACTGATTATGTCGTAATCAGTTTTTTCGGTTGGAAAGCCTTTGCATATCTGTTAGGCGGGTTTTTTGTTGGATCAGGTATTCATCCACTTGCTAGTCATTATATTTCTGATCATTATGTCTTTAATCCTGGTCAAGAAACGTACAGGTAAGTCAAGTAAATGCATAAATTTTTCCAGTGAAATACAAAAAATTGTTTGACGACTTCATTAGTAACTAACAAATATTGTGTTTATACAGAAAAATAGATCTTTGTTTTGTTTGCTTGAATATTTGAATTACTCAACTTTTTTCTACGATATTTCAAGGTATTCAAACAATGTTTATTCAGGTTTTACAATTGTTCGTAATCCTTGTTTTACCTTCTCTAGCAATGTCAGCTCTGTGTATTTCTTGTTTATTAATCAGTATAGGTGCTCATCAATATTGTTTTCTTTAGTTATTATGGACCGATAAATTTAGTAACATTCAACGTTGGTTATCACATTGAACATCATGATTTTCCATATGTATGTGGCAGTAACCTTCCTAAGGTTCGTTGTTTGTTATTTATTTTAGTCACTTTTTTTTTTTCGTTTGTGTGATGTTTTCAAAGATCAGATTAATTGTTACTAAATTCATTTTATTGTTGAGGTCAGTCTTTATTTGTTTAACTATATTTTTGAATTTGCAGATTAGTGCTCTAGCTCCTGAATACTACAAAGATTATATGGTGCATTCAAGTTGGATTTACATGATGTACGATTTCATCACAAATCCAAAAATGTCCTTGCATTCCCGAACCAAGAGAAAGATGGCAAAACCAACAGATGTGCACTTTTTCGACACTGGGCCAAATACTTCCTGTTTCATTTATAAGTTCTTCTCATCTGTAAGCTAATTTCCATTCAAGTGTAATTAAAATATTTTCAAATAATGAGGTTGATTTCAGAGACGTAATTTGAAATTTTGACCGTAGAATTCGATCACATTTTTCATTATAATGCGTTGATGAAAAATGAAGCGTAGAATATATTCAAGGAATTATTTAAAAAAGCGCATGTTGTCATTCAGGCTTAATGGTGTTAAGTTATTGCTAGCAAAATGTTAGTCTTAATGAATGTTACATCACATGGATGAGATCGAGCATGAGGTGGATGCTTCTTCTTGACATAAAGTTTCATTTCGTCCATGTTAACATCGCTATCTTAATTTGTACATAACAGTGACTTGTTTTCAGTTACTTCGAGGAAGATTGTTTGTCGTCAAGAATAAAAAGAGCTGATTTATCTTATATCACGATTTATTAGTAATAATTTCTCGACATTATTTCTTATTTGATTTTCTGACGACTGATCTAGCACATGCATAATGATCTTTTTTCATAAGACACTTCTGACACTTTCTTTGCACTTAAATTTATAATTACCCTTCTCTAAGTTATGAGAAAAATCATTAACTAATTTATTAAATGTCATGTAAATTGCAATCACACTTTATTATATGATTGTGATGCTCATCTCTTTATTGTATTGTGTTGCATTTCAGTCTTATATGTGCATTCATAATTTATGAGAATGAAACTCCAAGAAGGTAAAGAAAACGGAGCTGAATGATTTTCGGATATTTTCAGTGCTAGAGGGCTTAATATGCTATGTAGATAATGATGTGGGACTTCCATGAAGAAAACAGAAATTCAGTTAGCGGGTAGCGAGGTTAAAAAACCGAAAACATTAAAAATGCGGATGTATGTTTCAGATTTAACTGGTAGAAATCGTTTGAATTCAGTCTTTTTGAACTCACTATATTAATTTATATATTAGAGTTCGAACGTTGAATTTTGAGGCAAGCTTTAGTGGTGAAAAATTACAGGAAACATTTCCGGAAAAGTGCACTTTCCAGTAGTTCTTTTTTTTTCGCTTCCTTGGTAAATTGGTCTCGAATATTTTTTTTTTGCTCTGTTAATCGAATTTAGTTCAGGGTTTCTCTTTTTTTTTTATTTGCAGTGACTTGTTTCCTTGGTTACTCTACTCCGTTTTCCCTTACTCGTACCTTGACATCTGGAACTGTTTTCATTATCACATTAAAAGTGCGTGAAATGTTAGCTGCAACCTCATTCAAATTTCTTTCCTAGCCATTTTTCTTTTAATTCAAAATGATTGACTTCTTTCTTCGACGATTAAAATACTTTATTGTGAATGGTTGATGAATTAAATTTTCCAAATAAAATTTCGCCTTTTTTAGTTATTTTACTATCAATGATAGCATTGAGAAGAAATGTAAATAATATACTGAAGTTATTTAAAATAATTTATACATGGAATTATAAAATATACATCTCTATGCATGCAAACATCGCTATAAAAAGATATATGTGAATTTTTGGTTAATGGATTAAGTTTCCCATTATTAATTACTACATACAACAAATGTTAATAACTACAAGAAGTCACAACATTATCATGCATTTCATTCATTTGTCAATGTATTAGAAACAAGGCTGATTGTTTTTGAGAAAATATAAAAGCATAATTTCCACTACCTATTAGACTGGGACGAGAAATTATCGTTTTAATTAATTAAGGTAAACATATGCAGGTATAACGCAAGCGATTATAACACGGAAAAAGCAGTGATTATTCTTTAATATATCACAATACCCTTATTATTTATCAAATAATTTTAATCATGAAATTAAAAGGCTAGTTGGTTGATATTAAAAATTTTTTAACATATTAAAGAACTATTTTAAAAAGAGGGAAGAAGCTATGAAATGATATAATAGTTTTATTTAATAAACTTTATGATACTATTTTTGAGAGATAAGTGTAAATGAAAACATTTTTAGTGCTATCAGTTGTATTAATTTTTGAAACATATTTATTACATTTTTTTTTCTTTTTCTTTTTTTTCTGCTTCTTAAAAATTAAAAAATATCATTCATCATCTTTATCCATATTAATCAAAATTATCAATCAAATTATGCAGGAAGGGTATGAAAAAGTTTGAACTAAATTAATATTTTGATCAATCTGGTGGATAATTCTTTTCTCATAATTAATTTTATTTCATTTTTTGATGAGTAATTTCAATTATTGATTTGAAATTACAGCAAACTTTTTTACAATTCTGGAATTAAAATTGTTTAAATCAATATAGGTGAACTGCTTTTAAGATGGTAGCCGAATTTTGTTGAAATTGTTTCATTTGGTCGTAATATTTTCATTATAATTGTTCTGTTATAATTCCATTAGTTCTGATGAAATTAAGTATCATTTTAATTATTTCTTGTGAATTTTGAAGAAAGATGAAAAGGTTTTTAATTAACATTACAGCTGATTACATATCATCTTTTTATATAAATTTCGGTTTCTTTCTTTTTTTTTTGTTGGGGGGAGGGGTGGGGGGGGGGGGGGAGGGTGGCAGAGAGAAATTCAGCAAATAGTTTTGAACTAACTTATACATTAAAGTACTTCAAATAATTTACACACAAAAAAAAAACCCAGATACAAAACGTTAACAGCAATCCATCTATGATATTATTTAAATCGTACATATTAATTAAAAAAACTTAATAATGAAATGAAGATTTTACTGCAAAATTCACAATATTTAAAATAATCAAATTAATAAGGAATCATTTGTATAATGAAAGAAAAAGAAGGTTTAAAAAATATAATGGTTGTTAATTAGTTAAATTAATTAAATTAAAATACAGTCATTTTGATTATTAAATATTATTAAAATGAACTATTCCTAAAATGTTCAATATATTCATTTTAAAAAGAAAAAATTTTCTTTCCCCATTTCTTTTTTTCACACATATATCATTGAATGTATTTGTAAAAATCATCCAATATTTAATATATTAAACAATTTACATATTATTTTTTTCAGAGAAATTTTAATATGCTTATTTGATAATAATAATAATATTATAATTATTCTAATTAAATGAATTTTAAATTTTATACTATTTTATTCAAAAAAAAACTGCATGCATATATCATTAAAAAAAGTATAAGAATTGCGATTGTATCTTCTAGTGGGTGATATATAATTTTATTACTTCTTAAAAGCATTGAAATGGAATAAAAAATAAAAAAGAAAAAAACATATTTATATGTACGTAAAATGATTTGATCCATTAGTAAAAATGGTCCTTCTCTGCCAATATAAATTTATATAAATTTGTCATTAATGTAATTGCAACTAGGCACAAAAATCTCAAATGATAGACATAAAAATTAGCTTGGATGAATTAAATTTAGGTTTATCAGCAAAAAGAAAAAACGGAAAAATTTTCATAGTGTATCAAATTAAGAGGAAAAAATGACTATAAATATTCACTCAATCATTCATTCATTTTACATTTTCATATTAGTCTTCAAAGAAAAAATAAATTCTTTTTATTATTATCAAATATTTTATGAATACCTTGCATGATCATAATAATTTCTAAGATTGTTTCAGACAATAAAATTTATCTATCACTTTGATGTTATCAATAATTATTATCATGAATCAATATCACATATATATGATATTCATCATATGATTTTTTTTTAATTTGCCTAAAATTGGAAGTTCTAATTTTTTTTAAATTATCATTTTATGTAAAATTATAATTCCTAATTTTTCTAAATTGCTGCATTATTTTAATTATGATTCCCAATTTTTTTAAATTAACATTTTGTTTAAAATTATAATTTCTAATTTTGTTTCTTATTTTTTTTATATTATGAATTTCCAAAATTATCATTCTCATTTATCACAAAAAATTTTAGTCAATTTTTCCTTTTCTTTTAAGCATAAATAAATGTCATTTAAATTTCATTTTGGTTATTTAGTTTTATCATTTAAAAACAAGCAAAAGAAAGAAAGCTAAAACTAAATTAGGAAACTTTTTTTTTTTTTTTTTCAATTTTCTTTTTCTCATCTTCTTCAGACTTGCATTATTTACCTTGAACCTATAAATAAGCAAAAAAAAAAGAGAGAAGAAATACAATTTGTAATAATAAATAGCAAAAAATGAAAATATTTTAAATTTCGACAAATTTTAGTTTTCTTTTTATTAATAATGTTGTTTTGTTGCTTACATTCTTTGTAATAATATTATTTTGTTTACTGTTGTCATTTGTTTATTGTTGTTCTTGTTATTTGTTTGCTGTTGTTGCTACTTCTATTACATTAATTTACTAGCATAATTATTTTCTTTTTTAGTATGAAGATTAAATCAAATAATTCCATGACAACTAATAATTTGAATTTAATGCAATAATAAGACATTTCCAATTGTTATAATCAAATTTGAAATCTGAATTATTACATTTATATACGGTTATAATTTGATAATTTCATCATTTTTAAGCATTTTAAATATCCAATAAATTGCTAACATTTCACCTAGTAATTTTATCACCTTATTTTCTTTTTCTTTCTTTTTCGTTCCATGTATTTAAATTTATTAATTCAAAAAAATATAAATTTGCAAGATATTTTTAAATTGTTGACATTTATACTCTTTCTTCTTATTTTATTATTTAAATAGAATAATTTTCCTTTCTTTTTTCTTTTTTTATTAGAAGAAATATTATATTATTCAAAATATTTTCTCATCAATATAATTTTATTGATACTAAAATTGAAATGATTTTTTTTCAAAGAAAAAAGAAATTAAAAAGTTAGAAGTTTTTCTAAAATAATTTTTCCTTTTGATACATCACAACAATAATTAGGTTAATCTTTTCAAAATTTGAATTTAACTAAATATCAGCAATTTTAACAATTAGCTAAGCAATTCAAATATATAATCAAAAACGATTTTTTTTTTTTTTTTTTTTTAATAATAAAAATTAATATGATGAAAAAATAAAAAATCAATAACATATATATATAATCATTGTAATCACACTTATACTAAATAAATAACTATGAACCGGTGAGAATCGTTTTCAGAATTAACGATTAATCATTTTTACCCATAAAAATGACTACAATTCTTTTGTTGCATATAATGTAATTTATAATCACCATTAAAACATAGTAAAATATGTTTGTTAAATAATTGAAAAATTATTTTGTTGTAAAATTGATATGGTTGATCAGTAATTTTAGCACTTTATTTATTTATTTACTTTTTGCTTTCTTTCTTTTTTTCTTTTTAACGAAAAATTTATGCTACTACAATTAAAATTTAAAATTTTGCATATTACATGTGTGTATTACATATTATACTTGGTCTTTGTTTGATTATTCATTTTAAAATTATTTAGATAATTTTTTCATTTATAGATTTGAAAATGCTTACAATTGCTTTTCAATCAATGAATTATTTGCTTATAGCATTGATATGCATAACGTTGATGCATTCATTGGGATCAACAGGAATACGTACATTTCAAACTGAATGTAAAGTTTAAATTTCATTTTTTTTTCTTAGTCATTTTAAATTTATTGACAAATTTTTTAACTTTTTCTTTTGTTGCTCTTATCCCTTTTATTTTTTATTCCAAATTTCCATTTGTTCATTGCATATTCACTTTAACAGAATTTTTTTTGCTAGTTGTTATTTTGCTAAATTGAAGAAAAAAAATTTTTTTTTCAACTTAATGGAAAAAAAAAAGGAAACGACTTAATTAAAGCGGTAACAATCAAGAAGTAATAAACAGTGAAATAAATAACTGAAATGAAATTATTTAATAGATGAAAAAGTCTATAAAGAAGTTTTTTCTAGAAATTTTTTTTAATATACAAATACATTAATTAGTTTTTGTTATTTTTTGCGTAAATTAACAAATAAGATACGTTATAGTTTTCTCAAGTCTTTTAAATTAAAAATATCACTTTCTAAAATTCAGGAAAATTTTAGTTTTTATATTTGATTAAGAATTTTGCTCAATTAATTGAAATAATAATTATAATCAATAATTTAAGCAAAAATAAATTCAAAAAATGATGATGCTGGTAATGGCGACGATAGTTACAAATTCGCAAACAACTTTTTGTTTAAATTTTTTGAAAATTTTTTAATTGATAAAAAGATAAGTTACCATCGTTTAAATCAATATGGTGAATTGTTTTACATTATTTGCTATGAAAATTAAATTTAAAAAAATGTTCAATATTGCTATCATTATTTACAAATGTTTCCTTATTTGCAATTAGAGAAAGAAATAAAAAATCGATTAACCATCAGTTAAATTATATTAATGAATTCAAATAGGTATTTCATATTGATAATATAATTGCAAATATTTTATTTGAAAAGTTTTCCGCTTATTTTATACAACTAACATATGTAAAATTGCCTACAAAGAAAAAAAATCCTCTCAATTCTTTCTTCATAATTTAATTTTTTTCGTTTTAATTTCAAGACTATTTCAAGAATTCAGTCTTCACTAATTGTTTTCCAAAGTTTTTTCAACATTTCAAAATTTTCATTTCTTTATTATTTTTCTTTCCTGCCAAACAAATTTGCAGACAAATTAATCAGCTACCGTATGACTTAATTTCAGAAATTTTTTCAAAAATCTGGTACTTTCAAATTTTTTGTCTTTTCTACACAGTTTTTTTCAGTTTACAGTTAATAAATACAATTGATATTAATTTTGTAAATAGGTAAACGATTTACTTTTAAAATAATTATGTTTATTTTTAATGTTAACCATGATATTATCAAAAAAATATATGATTTCATTTTTATTTTATCGTTATAAATCTCTATTTGTTATTTTTTTCCATATCTTACACATTTCCACGAAATTTTCACTTAATAAGTTAATAATTGTCAATGATAATATACGTAATTGTGATACATAAATAAAAATATTTAATTTAAAAAAAAAAAAAAAAAAACATATATAGATGATATAACACAAGCTGAACGACGAAATCAAAATATGATGGATCATTTAGTGAGAGACAGTAATGGGTTTGGAAGAGCTGATTATGCCTTTGGTAGAACTGCTCGTAATGATGTAAGTTTTAAAGTTTCTGATATCATTTTTTTGAAAAAAAAAAAAAAAAAAGAGAGAGAGGGAGAAGGGAATGAGAGAGGAGAAAGAGTGAAAATTAAACAAAAATTTGATTGAGATAAATGAAAGAAAAAGAAAACTTTTTTAAAAAAATAAGAGAAAAGAAAATTGAAAAATTCAAGATTAAATTGCATTTATTCAAATTAATAAATTTCGAGTTTTTCATAAAAAATTCATTACAATTTAATTAAAATTATTAATTAGTCATTTTATTCATTATTTTTGAAGAAAAAAATTTTTTTTTTCGAACATTTTTTTTTTTTTAAAACATACGATGAGCAATTCATAAATACATTGCACTATTAAGCATAAAAATCAATCAAAAACATAAAGCAAAAAAATTTTTCTTAATAAAAATCAAGTAATAAAAAAAATTATATGATATTAAAATATTAGTAAATTTTATTTTATAGGCTTTCCAAACAAGTCCATTAATTCGTTTTGGTAAACGGTACGTGATGGATGATGAACATTCAGAAGTAATAGCACACCTTCTACAGCAATACCTTCAACAACAACAACAATACTTTGATCAATCAAATCGTTCTCCTCGTTAATGCATTTAAAATTTGATGTATTAAATGATTAAATAAAACAAAGAGAAAAGAAAAATAAAACAAAACGAAAAACAATAAAAAAGAAAAAATTAAAAATATTCAGTTAATTGGTAAAAATTTTTAATTACTTTTTCATTTTCAAAAAAAAAAAAAAATTATATAAATGAAAAAATTCATTCCATTAAAACAAAACATTTCATCAATTATTGCAATAAAATTTTAATAATGAAATTGTTTGAAAATTTATAAATGCTTATTAATATCATGAAATCATTCCAACATAAATTCACTTCATTTTTATTTAAACCGTAAACACAGTTTACACCAAATGTTTTTAAAAATAATTATAAATTATGATTTTAGATAACAATCTATTCTTTTTCAATATTTGATCTATTATACACATATTTATATCATTTAATAAGATAAAAAAGGGAAAAAAAGAGTGAAATAATGATGATTGTGTAAAATAGTATTTGAAATAAAAAATGAAAGGATTATAATAAATATAAGTAAAAAAATTTGTCATTAAAAAATGTTTTTTATCATTATCACTAAAAATTAAAAAAGAAAAAAAAAAAAGGATAGAATAGTTTTCAGTAAAGACCTTTTTCTTTAGCAGCTAATTATCATGCTGCTTAGTTATAGAAAGAAAAATATTATAATAATGATAATATCAAACGTAATAATAATAAAAGAAAATAAAAAACATGATGGAGTTATACAAATATTCAGAGATCGCAGAAAAAATTTTGCACATTAAAATTTGCAACTTAATTTCACATTTTTACAACTTGAGAAAAAGAAAACGGGAAAAAAAGGAAGGAAACAGAAGCAAAAATACAATGCACACAATTATTTATAATTATAACAATAATAACAACAATTATTACTATTATTATTGCTAATAATTTCCCGTTTTAGGTAAAAATAACGAAGTGTTAAAAAAAAAGGTAAGAAAATTTATTTAATAAAAAAAAAGAAAATGAAATTATACAGCTGAATAGCGTAAACTTAAATTAATATTATTACGATAGCTTTCTTCATCGTCATCAATGATATTTGTTGATGAATCAGTTTCACGATAAAGTACCATTTCAATTTCATCCACTTGAAGCAATGGAAGAACTAAATCACAATCCAAATACTGCAACGATGTATCATTTATCTGAAATATGAATATCAGTAAAATGAATTTATCAGTAAAATTTTCATTGATAAATGCTTACCACAAATTTGATTATGATATATTTACGTCATCAAACTATCCAATAACTTTTTGTTTAAACGGTTTTTTAAAAAAATACGAATTTTCATTTCAAAAAAAAAATTAAACAAAAATTTAAAAAATTGATGTAAAAAAGAAAGAAAAAAAAGTTTTAAAAAAGTGAAACAAAAGAAAGCTATAAACCTGTAAAATTTTATCATATGGTAAAATTTGGCCACATCTATCTGCTGGACCACCTGGTAAAATTTCATTGATAAAAACTCCAGCATTATTACCAATACCATCTGATACGCTAAATCCAAAACTATTCGTTGATGGATCCTTTAAAAAAAAAAAAATAATAATAATAATTCATTAACATATAGAATAATATTAGTACTTTAAAATTCATTGATTAATATTATTTGAAATTCCTAACCTGTCAATTCTACTGATTGTTTCTCACACAAATTATTGTTCTACTTCTATAATAATTATTAAAATGTTTTTTAGAAAAAAAAAATCAAATTATTTTATATTGTGTGCGCAATAAATTACCAAGGTCAGTTAATTATATGCATGATTAATTATGAAATTTATATGATGTTTCCTTTGTTTTTAACAAATTTGAAAAAAGGATATTATTAAATTTCTAAAAATTGTTTTATTTAAGGCACTGTAAAATTTTAAATAATTATAAATTGTTAAAAATTTGATTCGTTTTTCTTTTTCTTCAAATAAAAGATTAAAACTAACTTTACGTAACCGAATTTGATGAGTTGTTCCACTTTTAGTTGCTGTAAATGTTTTACTGCTAAGTTCATGAAGTACAAGTGCTGTAGATGGTGGTGACAGTTTGATATTTTTTGACTGAAATAAAAAAGAATAAAAGGAAAGAAAAATTTTTTAGTTATTTTATTTAAATTTTTTTTTGCTTATTAAATAATCATATAGTTAAAGCATTGAAATGACTTTGATAAAAACTTTTAAATCGAAAAAATTTTCATTTACTTTTCTCTTTTTTTTTTAAAAAAAAAAATAACAATATGTTGTTTTCTCATATAGAATGAACAAAATTCAATTTACTGATTAGCAATTTTATACAAATAATAATCATGAAATTTATTGTCTTCGAAATCAATTAAAATTTACACATTTAGAAGTGAAATTCAAAATTATAAATGAAACATTTATATGTTTTACATATGTAATCAATTACCCAAGATAATTCGTGCATTGAACGTGGTGATAAACCACGACCTGAAATACTATTTCTAACATTTGACGGTTCTGATAAAACTGATAAAGCATGCTGTATATCACTAGTACCATAAAGTGGTGGTTTTGGTGGTACAATATGATATGATATATCACCAAGTGATGTACTGGTTTGTGAATCATTTGAAAGGCTTAACGAATCCATTCGATCAGTGCTAGAATATTCGCTTTCTGCAAAATATACAGTATCAAATGTAAATTACATGAATATAAACTAATAAATTAGTAATAATAATAATAATAATTAATAATAATAAATGACAATAAATAATAAATATTAATAATAAAGCAAACAGATAATAAATAAAATAATCGTAATAAATATTAAAATAAAGCAATTTAAAAAAAAATAGATTAATTAATAAATAAATAATTTAGAAAAAAATCCTATACAAATTCATACGTAAATTACATGAATATAAATATAAACTAACAAATTAATAATAAGAAGTGTTAATAATAAATAATAAAGTTAATAATAATAAAGCAATAAATAAATAATGAATATTAGTAATAAAGCAAGTTAATAATAAATCAAATAATAATAATAAATATTAATAATGAAATTAATGATAAAGCAATTTAAAAAAATAGATTAGTCAATAAATAAACAAACAGTTAGGAAAAGTCTTTGAATTAAAATTATTTTTCCTTCCTTTCGTTAAAACAAAAACAAAAAGACAAATTATTTCTAATTAATGTAACATTAAAAGTCAATCATAAAAACATACGTTGTGTTCCGAAATTTGTGAAGTTCGGGTTTGCGGAAGGTGACAGCAGAGGACGAACTAATGCACTTGTCATTGATGATGTAAACGGATAAAATTGTCGTCCAGTGGTAGTAGCAGTAGTATCACCACCACCACATGGTAAGCGTAAATCAGAGCGTTGAACGACAGTAGATTCATTACATCTATAAATAAAATTATTTTTTATTATGTTTAAATTTTAAATGATTTAAAATCTGTAGGTAATGATTAATAATTTTAAGGAAAATGTTGTAATGAATACAAAAATAACTGGTCAAAATCAAAATTATTTAAATATGTAAGCATTATTGTAGATAATATGAATTCATATATATTTTCCTTCCTTTCCCTCTCTCTCTCTCTTTTACCGATAAAAAAAAGGTAAATAAAAATTTTTTAAAAGATAAATATAAACTAATAAAATAAAAAATTAATTAGCCTTCTTTTTTTTCATTTATCCTAAAGTTTTGTTTTCAAAATTTATACAAAAACTTTCTTTTATCAATCAATTAATTTTAATTTATTCGTTGCCGTTGTTATTGCCTCAAAAAAAAAAAATGCTTACATTTAAATAAATGATAATTGATAAATTTAATAATATGCATATATAATATATTTATAATGCTTATTTTTATTTGATCATTTCATCTTCAAACGTAATTTTATAATAAATATAATTTTAATATATATTGTTCATTTTGTTTATTTTTTGTTTTCTGACACTTCTGTTTTTTTTTTTCACCATTTCACCCCTTTAATTTATTGATATAAAATTAGAATTTAATTTTATATTAAGTTTTAAAAAGATTCTAAAAAAATACAAATATTAACCTAGTTATTAAAGGATTACTATGAATTTTTATCGTTCCATTACCGCTTCCACCTGTGCATTCCTCTAATTTCTGAAGCATTGCTGCTTCACCAACTGTTTCAAGTGCTTCTAATACTTCAATCCTAAATCATTATAATATTCAAATTCTATTTTTAATATTCACTTTGTTTTTGTTTTTTATTTTAAAAAAAAAAAAAAAACATAGAATAGAAAGAAAGAAGAAGATGAAAAAGTATAATAAATAATAAAAATGGAAGAAAAAAGGATAAAGTTATTTCACAAGAAAAGGTAAACAAAGAAAGAACGAAAGAAATTTTTTTTTTTGTTTTGTCTATTAAATTTTATAAATAGTTATATTTAAAAGATAAAAGAAAAAAATCGAATAAAATAAAACGCAAAATTTTGTCAATTTTTTAGGGGTAAGGTGGAAAAAAGGAAGTAAGCTCAAATCTTCAAATTCTTAAGGATTAAAAATAACAATATTGTTTAAGAGAAATGCAAATATTTCAAAAAAAGCTAATATAATATGTATATATACCAGTTTTCCGGTTCTAAATTTGTATTTTTATGATAAATACATCGTTCTGGAAGTGATTTATTTGTAGCCAAGCTTAAATTTTTTTCCCATTCTCCTTGTCCATGTTGCTCTACCCAACATAAACCTAAAATTGATTAGCTTTTTAATATAAACTAAAAATTAATTTTTTAGGAAAAAAAAGGAAATATTTTTATTTTCATATTTTATTTAATAACATTTTTGCTTTTACATTCTAAAAAGTATGATGAAAATTTATTTTAATTTTTCAAAATTTAAAAAATTTTTTGACCAAATATGCATTAACCAGGCTTTTTTCGTGATTCACCACTGAACGGAACGGTTAATCCGGAAGGAAATGCACTACTACTCGGATAAGTTATTCGTTGATAATCAATCGACTCTTCAACTGTAAATTAATATTTCATTTGATTAATCCTAGTAATATAAAACTATTAGCATTTTACGTTACTCAAAAATGTAATTTTCTTATGATTTGTGAAAGATTATTATACTTTATAAAAATAAAATAATAAATAATTTTAGATTGATTTAATCTAAAATTTTAACTTCTTAAATTTCAGCTTTTCAAAAGTTAAAAGTTTAGAAAAAAATTTTTCTTAATAAATAAATTGATATGAAAAGTGAAACACGAAATTTTTTTTTCGTTTTTTAATGAAGTCATTTCCATCAAAAAAAAAAAAACATAATTAAGTCTAAAAATTATGAAAAATATTTGAATTTAAAACAAACCATAATTTAATGAAGTATTTGGTATTTGTTCATCAATTACATATCGTTGTGTACCACTGTGATATTTTGACATATTACTTGGTGAATCATCCAAGCTTTCCACAGCGCTATCAATACTTTGAATTGGTGTACTGAAATTAAATGATAAAATAAAATATTTTATTATTGAACTGAAAAAAGGAAAAAAAAGAATGAAAATGAAACTATTTGTAATTGTCAAACAAATAAAACATTTAATAATTATAAAATAAAGTAAGAAATCTATATAAAAAAAGCAAATGAATTAACTCAAAACTGAATTAAAGATAAATTAAAATTTTAACCATAAATTTATTTAAAAATTTTTTATAACTAAATTTTTTTTCCTTATTTTTGAATATTATCCTTTTCAAACTAAAAATTGCTGTTGTTATTGTTGCTATTTTGCTTTTCGTTGCAACAAAACAAACAAGTAAATAAATAAAACCCTATTTTTTCTGAAGTTTCACTATATGAATCACACATTGCTCTATTATGCTGCAAACGAATTCTATCCATTTGTGATGAAATTGATAAATGACCACCAGCACCTACAAATAATTTTATTTTTTTTCATTCAATTAAGAAAAAAAAAAAACAATGTACACAAATTCAATAAACGCTAAAGAGAAACGAAAAAAGAATAAAGAAAACAATAGTAAATTTTAATCATCAATTTTAAAAAAGTTAATTAATGAGTAAATTAATAACAAACCTGTAGAATGATTTATTGATAAATTAGTAATTCGCATAATTTTAATTGTAACAAGATCGTTAGATTGTTGTAATAAATGCATTACATCAGCTGCTTTCATACCTTCAATTGATTCATTGTTTACTGCAAGAATTCGATCACCAACATGTATTGCTCCTGTCCTATAAGGCTGACAGAAATAATTGCATGATTAAATGATTAATATAATTACAAAATTAATATAATTAAATCTATATAAAAAATGACCACCAGTTGCTTACAAATAATTTTTAAGCATTAATTTTTTTTTTTTTTTATTCAATTAAAAAAAAAAAAAAAAATTTCATAGAGGATGAAAAGAAACTTTAATATACCTAATAAAATAATTAATTAACCAGTATAATCAATAAATAATGTTGTATATAAACGATTCATTGTTATTGATTATGCAGAAAAAAATATTGAAACAAAAAGATAAAACTAATTAATTAATTAATTGAATTATAAAGCATGATATGCAATATATTTCTATATATTTTTTTTTTAATTTTCAAACTTAGTTCATTTTTTTTTTTCGGTGGTAACTTAAACATTTATCACTTAATAATTAGAAAATAAAAAACTATTAAAAATGAAGTTTTATTTCTTTTTTTTCATAATCAATAATCATACTTTTCAGCTAATCCACCTGGTGCAAGGTATGATATTAATACAGGTTCATAACGTTCACCACTGGATGCAATTGTTATACCTAATGGTCCACCATTTCGATTTAATTCAATAGAATAAATTAATGATTGCACTCCATCATGATTATTCTAAATAATGATTAAATTTGAACCACTTTTAATAGAAAATTATTGATTTTTAAACTTTTTTTTCTAACAATTAATTTTTATAATAAAATTTCCCACTTTTTTATTATCAATAAAATATGCTAGGAATACAAATGAGATATCATTAATCCATGTAAATATTTATCATTATTTATCGTTATTATCACTATTATTAAAAGTGAAATTTTATTATTATTAATTATTATGGAATATATTCAATTATTTTTGTAAGATTAATTTCAAAAAATTAGAGTAATGAAATTTTTTAGAACTAAATACCTGTTTAGATGTAACATTTTTATGAACTCGTAATTTAACAATATCACCGGAACGTTGCAATAGACGCATCGCTTCTTCAACGGTGCATGACTCTAAGAGAATATCATCAACTGCAATGATACGATCACCATTATGAAGTGAACCACAACTGAAATATTTTATATAAATTAATTAGAGTTTTCTTTTTTTTTTTTTTCATTCACTTTTTCTTCCTCTCTTCTTTTCCACTCATATTCTATTAATATTTAACTTTTTTAAAACTTTTAAAGAGATTTTTTTTTTAAATTAACCGATAAGCAACACTTCCAACTTGTATATCTGATATGATCACTGGTTCACCCTTTGTATTTTCTGCTTCACTTCTGACTACAATACCAAGATTATTTCCTCGTTTTGCTAATTTTACATCAAAAATACCATCCAATGGTAATGCACTTTCTATAATTAATAGTAAATTATTAATTAAAAAATTTATTTAATCAATAATTTTTTCCCGATAATATTTAATCAATAAATAATCAATAATTAAACTATGATATTTATTTCTTCTTTTTGTCTCTATAGAAATTTAAAAATAATGTGATGAAAAGTTATTTTATATAATAATGATAAACTTTATATATTATTCAAATTATATTATTAAAAAAAAAAAAACAAGACTTAAGTGATTATTATAAAAAATTATTAAAAATTATTCATACGATTTTCATGCCAAATGCTTAATAAATTAGTAAATCGTTTTAAATCAAAATTTAGTTTAATTTTTCTTTCAAAAAAAAAAAAAAGAAAAATAATTATAACATTTTCATAAAATTTCTAGGAAAAAAAAGAGTAAGACTAAAATATCAATTTATAATTTCAGCTAAAAAAAAGTAGAAATTAGATATTTTTGAACGAAAAAATATTTACAAAACTCATGTACTAGAGAATTACGATATGGATGAAAAATGGAAATTGAATTGAATTGAAATGTATGTAAATCCAGACTTTAATATAAAAAAAAAAAAAAACTGAAACTTTCAACTATCAAAAACTAAAAAAAAAAAAAACACAAACCTCTTGAATCACAATAATTAATTAAACAAGAAATCCCTTGCAAAAAAAAGTAAAATAATAACAAATCTACCATTCATAAAAAAGTGATTAATAAAAATTTTAATTAAACGCAAAATTATATTTCGAATAATTGAAAAAAAAATTCACCAATTACATCAAATTCAACGCATAATTTCAACGGACTTATCGCTTGTCTTAATATTTGATTGCCTTCTTCAGCGGTACCATTTATACTAATCCAATTATTAATAGCAATAATACGATCACCAACTTGTAATACTCCACTTCTAAATTAAAAAAAAATAAAAATAAAAACAGAAGAATAAATCAAACTATTAAGAAAAAAAATTAATTTCGAAATTCTTGAACAAATATGAAATTATAATGTTTGCTAAAATTATAATAAAACGTTTAATATTTGCTATTTTTTAAAAAAAAATGACTCATAATTAAAACAACATAATATAATAAGAAAGAAAAAAAATTTCTTTTCTTAAATTTATCAAATCTTTGCCATTTTATTTTTGTATTTAAAAAAGAGAAAAAGGAGCTGAAAAAAATAAATGTTGTTTTATTTATGCATTCAAAAAGTGAAAATGAAGACCTGAATTTTGTTTGTTCTGTTTACACACAGTTATGATTTTATTTGATTAATTTAACAAATTATAAAATCAAATTAAACCATTCAAAATTTTTATTATTATCAAATCTTTCAAAATTTACCTTTCAGCAGGTGAATTTTTTTCCATATATGAAATGAAAAGTGGTTGACGTTTTGATTGTGGTATGTTTGATTTTGAAATTTGATCATGTACAACTAAACCAAATGAACCACGTGCGTAACTGTGTAATGTTACTTCCATTCTTTCCTGATGACATATTCGACCACATGGCACACGTGACATTGTTCCTTCTACAGAAGCTAAAAAAGAATAAAGTTCATTTTAATTTTAATTTCTGTGCGAAATTAAAGTTACTTATTATTCTTTACTGTGTATTTTATTTTTTCCATTCGCATCGGCAAAATGTATGAAAAATAAAAAAGAGTAGAAAATGATATTTTTCAATCAAAATTGAATGAAATTATTTCGAAAAAAAAAATAATTCGTAAAATGTGCTATCCAAAAATATCATTTATTTAAACAAATTTTTCTAAAGAAAAAAAGCATATGCAGTATATTCAAAATTTTCAACTCTTATTTGAACATTTGCTATTTCATCATAAAATTAAATTTTATAAAATGTTAAAAGAATTTTTTTTTACTAGTTTTAAAGATTTTTTTATCAACCTTCCTTTCATTTTCTTTCTTGAACAAATCAAAAGAAAAAAAAAGCTAAAAAACTAATCACTGTAAATTAAATATAAATATTATTTCTTAACTGAATTTCAATTAAATCTCATTTTTGATTTATGAATTTTATTCAGAAAATTATGTAGGAATACTAAGAGAACTAAAAACTAAATCAATGATAAAATTTCATAAAACGAATGATTAATTAATAGCTTCTTCTTTGTTTAGTTCACTGCTTTCTCACGATTATTAAGAAATTATTTATGAAATTCAACAAAAAAAAAAAGAAAAGAAAAAAGAAAAAATCGGAATTATTACCTGCATAAAAGAAAGTTTCAATAAATGAATGAATTATAGAAATTAAAGAAATTTAAAAAATTTTGGAAATTTATTTCATTTTCTGGATAAATCTGATATGATGTAAGCATTAAAACATTAGAAAAAAATATATGCACATTTAAAAAATTTCAATACTTGATAATATTATTTTCTTAAAAAATAAACTAATAAATGTCATAAAAAAATAACGTATTTCCTGGTCCAAAAAAAAAAGAATTAAATTATTAATTTTGGTTTATAGTCAAAGCTAAATGATTTGACAAGCTAAATGCTTCTAACTGATTTGATTGCCTCATAGGCTAAAAATATTTAAAAAGATGAAAAAAAAAAAAAAAAAAATGTAAAGAATGGAACAAGATGATTTTCCTATCCTACCTACCTATAAATTATATTTCATTTTAATCTGTCCATTAGTTTGTTAGTAAGCTAGTTAGTTAATTAGTTAGAACGCAAGTTAAATCCACTTTTACATATTTTAAAATGATTCCAATTGCATATTTTATATTAGGCTTATTTAGACTAAAAAAAATTCTTAACTTACTTAGAGTAATATTTTCAAAACAAAAAAAAAAATATATTTTTCTCTTTTTTTTAAAAAAAAAATTTCTGCCATAAATCGACAAAATAAACAATTTGTTGGAATAAAACATAAGACTAACAATAGATTGATTCATTATTGTTACGATATTAAGATTACTATTATTATTATTCAACTTTTGAAATGTTATGCATAAACGTACATTTTGCTAGAACCAATAAGTACTAAAATATTTTTGTTAATATTTATGTGTTTTCAATTAATAACAAAACTGATAATTGTTAACATTTTCAAAATTTAAATAAACGAAATTTGTAAATTTTCCTCTTAGAACACTCGAATTTATTTTCGTGTATTCTTTTTGATTTTTTTTTAAAATATTATTAAACAGAACAATAATGATGCTAAATAAAATTTTTTTTCAGTTATGAAAAAAAATTGCTATTTCTTTAATTTATGAAATGATAAATCAAAAGAAAAAACAAAATACAAAAATATCAGTAAGAATGATTTATTGTTGGTCATTTTTATCATGCTTAATTGTAATTTTTTTAACTAAATTTTTTTTATGAAACCAAATTGACAATTTGAATAAGATATTAATCACCGTTTAACTAACTAATGAAAAATTGATAATGATAATTTTTAAAATGGTAGTTATTGATAATTAGGAATAATGGCAAAAATAATACTAATTGTTATAATTACGATAATAATAATAATAATCACTATTGTTTATCATTATTATTACTATTGTTATTAATTGTATTAAACAAATTTGAAGTACAGAACAAACTTTGTTAATTATTAAGAACAATCACATAGCATATTTGAAATTTAATACGAACACTTGTAACCAATCAATATATTAGTTTCATTCTCTTCGATAGCATTGTAATTGCAGAATAATTTGTTAAAACCAATACTGAAATCTACACATCAATCATTTCAACTTTGATTGAAAGTATAATAAGTGTCCATCAATTGAAATGATGAAGCATTGACTGAAATGCTAATTAACCTTCCAAAAATTTATTATTTCAAGATTGGATATTAAAGAGTTAATAGCAATTTGTAAAAATAATTACAAATTAATATAAATAAATAGACGAATTTAAGCTATGAATTTTATGGTGCAATAAATATATATATATATATATATATAATCAAATATTAGTTTATGTAGAGAGGAAGAGAGAAGCATTTCGAATAAGAGAATATGAATATTATGATGGGTGAATTTTATGAAAACTGATATGTTCCGTTAGACAAATTAAAATGAACAATGAAGAATGGAATGAAAGAAGATCTTTTGCTTACTTTAAAATTTCATTTCTAAATCTTCTCATTATTTACTAGAATTATTTGATTTCATTTACATCATTCTTCCTCCTCATTTTCCATTTCCTTAACATTTTTCTTCCTTTTCCTTCTCTTTTTTTGCCAAACAATAGTAAAAATAACAAAAAGAATAGATTTAAAAAGAAAAAAGAAAACTTCATCTTCTTCATAATGTATGATTTATAAATGATTATAGCTAAATAAATTGCATAACATTTGAAAGAGGAAAGAAAAAAAATTAATTAATGTGAAAACAATTCATTTCAGCACTTTCAAAATGAAATGGCTGATTGATAAATGATTTCTATTTTTTTCCTCTTTGTAGTAAATTTAAGGGAAATTTTTTTAAGAGAAACATATGTAGTAAGTGAGTTTTTAAGAGGAAAGAAAATCTATTATTAGGAAATGGATATTAAATTATAATTGAAAATTTTCATCTTATATATATTAAACTGCAAGTATAATAATAATTAATAGTAACGATATAAAAAATAATAATCAATAATAACAAATAATAAAGACAATAATAATAACAATAGTAATAATTAATAGTAATAATGATAAATATTGTAATAAATTAGATATTTTATTTTTGTGTTTTATTATCTGTAGCTTATCTTTAACATTTTCCATTTATCATATGATTGATAGATTCTGGTTGTAAAGTTAAATTTTGTGATTTGAGTGTGAGATAAAAATTTTAAAAGCTGAATTCATATATGACTAATATCATCAAAGTATGTTGTAATGTCGACTACTTCATTTACTTCCGATTTCAATTCTCTCATTCATCTCTTTTATACTCATATATATGACCCAAATATTTTCATTCAGAATTGTAACTTTTATTATCTCATTCGAATTTAGATTATCATATCAATCAATTATTGAATATAAATGGTAATATGCACATTCTGAACGAAAACGTACAATGTTAACTGTTAATGACAAATAATTCATTAGGTATTTTAATTATTAATAGTTTGAATATATTTAGCAAAAAAGAAGAAAAAAAATAGTTCATATGCATTGATAAATTGATGCACTTCTAATTAGTACTAACACAAGCTTTGATAATTATTGTAAAAGAAGCATCTAATTGTTTTCTAAGAAACTTCTAATTAGCAATGTAAAATTGTTTCGATAATTATTATGGAAAAAGCCTCGAACTTTTTTCTGATACACCGGTAAACTCTTAATTAGCAATGGAAAATTGTTTTGATAATTATTATGGAAAAAAGCATCCGGTTTTTTTTTTTTTAATAAACTGACAAACTTCTAATTAGTGATAAAAAAACTACAGTAATAATTATTATAGAAAAAACAACTATCTTTTCTTTTTTCTTTTTTTTTATTCCGATTTATTTTCCCTTTTTTTGTTTACCAGCAAATAATTTGAAATTATTCATTACATTAAAGATTAAATTAAAGTGAAAAACTTACAAATGGTTGCGATGCCCGCAATTCCTGAATAATGAAAACACAGCGTAAACATTTTCAAGCCAAAAAAGACATGAAAAATTGAACGGAAGCGTGTGTGTTTTCTTTTGTTCTTCGAAATTTAAATAAATTTCAAAGTTTAAGAAGATAAAATTAATTTTTCATTATGAATAAATGAAAATGTTTTTTTTTTTTTTAATTCTTTGTTTAATAATAAAGCAGTATGTAGTACAATATGAAATAAAAATTGCAAATATTAGTAGCAGTAGTAATAATAATATTAGTAATAATAGTCGTAATAGGTAATAACAATAGTAACTGTGAAAAAGAAATGAAAAAATAAAGAAAAAAGAAGCCAATCTGATTATTTAACAGGAATGTTTATTTCCGTTCTTTTTTTCTTTTTGGTACCTGAATATTTATCTATTTTTTTTTTAATTTTTTATTCTATCAATCTTGTAGTATACATTGTTAAATTTAAAATAATTATTGGCTTTGAAGGAAATTTTTGTTTTAAAACGAAAAAAAAAAAAAAGGAGGAAGAAACTATATGAATGACTGGAACAACTGGTTGATATTATTGGGTAAAGGAAAACGAAGAAATGAATTAGTTAACGGTATGAAAAGGGGCGGGAGAAAAAAAGGAAAGGAAAAAAAAAATAAGAAGATAGTTAGTTGATGATAATAGGCAAAAAGAGAATTTGAAAATCATCATAAAATTTATTTACCGCTTGTATTCCATCTAAACAGCATTAACTGCAATTTTTTTTTTTAAAAAAAAAAAGAAACCTTTAACTTTTAAAAAATTTTAATAATATTATTTGATAATTTATGAAAAAGAGAAAAATAATCCAATAAATTGAAGAAAAAAATCACGATAAATTTTCAGTTAAATCACATTAAAGATAAACTTTTCACATTTTAGAACACACATAAACGATTTTAGTTTTTATCACTAAACTTACTAATCACTACATCATTGTGATATTTCATTTCTTATCACTCATCTCTTAAACTTTTCGTTTTTTTTCGCTTTTTTCGTTCCTTTCTTTTTTTTTCTTTCTTGATTTATTAATAATTCATATCATTAGTTATTTTTGATATGTAATATTAAAAATAAACAAGAAATGGTAATTCCTTGCTTATTTTTCATTTTAGAAATTAAAATTATTTTTTCCATTCTTCCAAACTGATATAAATAATTATTTTCAATAAATGAAAAGTTTCATTTGAATATTTCACGTAATTTCATATAATATGAATATATTGCATAGAGCTATCGTACACGTATACATATGAGAAATTTAAAACGTAGCAACAAAATATTTTTAAATATTTGATTAACACAAAAATGATTAATAAGAATTATTATTATTTATTATCATTTATAGCGAAGATATGGAAAAGCGAGGAGATAAGATGAATTGGAATGAATGGATAAAAATTGAATTAGATATAATATATAAAATTGATATTGATATATGAAATCGACATAAAATCAATAATAAATTGAGTTAGATTTAAACTAATACAAAAGTTTGAATAATTTCTTCAAAATGAAATCAATTCATATTATTGAAAAATTATTGAATTTTCTTTTTTCCCGAATGAATGAATGAATGAATGAATTGAATGAAATGAAATGAAAGTTAGCTGTGTTTAGAGAAATTAATGATTACAATAAATCACTTAAATGCTTTTATAAATCATATAGCAACTGATTGATTGTTTGAAAAATACGAGGAACGAAAAAAAAGAAAAAGAAGAAGGAGAAATTTTATTATTTTTCTTTGAAATTAAAACTTTTGAGATATTATTTTAAAAATTTATTATCTAATTTAAATATTTATCATTCGTAACTTTTAATGCATTTCTTTTATCACCTTATATTACATACTTATAACTAATATATACACACATACATATATATACACATGCACACACACACGTAAGGATAATATCCGTGTAACACGTGTGACTAATTACCAAATAGTGGAAAAATTTTTTCAAGTATAAAATTATACATTTCTACAACATATGTAACTAATTAGTAAACATAAAAAGGAAAAAAATATATCAAAATAATACCACATGTTAATTAATTAAATTATTATCATATTTCTTTTCCCTTTTTTCTCGCTTTTTTTTGAAACGAATAATGTAATTACTTATTTTTTTAAATTTATTTACTCATTTTTTTATTCATATATTCATTTATGCATCTACTTGTTTATTTAATTAGCTTCTTTTTTCACTAATTTACCAATATAATTATTTGTTTTTCTAAAAAAATTTATTTACCGATTTTTTTATTCAGTTACTTATTTCTTCATCCACTTGTTTATTTGTTTTTAAAAAAACAAAAAAAGAAAAAAAAAGCAGAATTAATATTATAAGATTAAAAAAGAATATTCGCATAGCTTTTTCTCATATTCTTTCTTTCTTTCCCTTTTTCTTTCTTTTTTTAAAAAAGGAAGAAAAAGTAAACAAAAGGTATATTCGAATGGAAATATGAATAAAAAAAATGTTTGAAAATGGTTGATGTATGTCATATATTTATAAATTTTATGTGTTTTACATTCTTTTTAGAATGTTATGTATGTGTGTGTTCATTTCAAAAAAAAAAAAATAATAATAATACAAATAAAAAAGGATTTGGATAAGCAAACAAAGAAAACAAAAAAGGAAGAAAGGAATGACAAATTTTTGTTGTTTGCAAAAAAAAAAAAAAAATGAAATATTTTACTTATTTCTTTCATTGATTTCATTTTAATATTTGAAAAAGAAGGATATATAAGAATAAACTTTTTTTTTCTCTTTCCACTTCCCTTTCTTTTTTTCGTTGAAAATAATTGAAGTATTTCTTTTTAAAATAGTCATTTCAATCAATCGATAAATCATCAATCAATCAAGTCATATACAACATATATATTATACATAATAATATTTTGTCAAAATAGATATGAGATAAAAACAATGTGAAACTTTTCATAGAATATATGAAGGAAGAAAAAAAAGAATTTTTTTTGTCCGAATAAGCAAACAAGTGGTTTAAAAATTTTCAAATTACTCTTAATCTTCCATCATTTCTTCTTTCTATTCTTTCAGTCTCTTTTTCTCTCTCCCTCTCTCTTCTTCAACATTCTAAAATTTCTATTTTTTTAAACTAATCATTTAGTGAAAGTGAAATATTGATTTTACTTTTTTATTAAAAGTATTAAAATTTGAAATATGCTTGAAAAGAAGAAATTGTTTTTTAAGTTTTTTAATCAAAATTTTCATTTTATTTAATTTCATTTTTAATTGCAAAAAGAAAAGTAAAACAATTTATCAATTATTTGTTCAATTAATCAATAAATTAATACAACAAATTAATTTTATATCATTGGATTCATCCATTCTAATGCAATATATATTGTAATGTAAATGAACGTGTATACATTTTTTGTATAATTAATTAATTAATAAAAAAAATTCAAATAAAGTACTGCAAATTAAATTTAAAATATCCGTTTTATGTTCCTTCTTTCTTCCATTTCAATAAAAATTTTTATTCTATCCTTTACTACTTTATATTTACTACTTTTTTTTTTAATTCTATCCTTTACTACTCTTGAAAGAAGCGACAGTTAAAGTAAAAAATGTAATCATCAAAGGTAAAAATTTATTCTATCCTTTACTACTTTATTTTTCTTTTTGTTGTTTTTTATTTTCTAATTTATTTCACATAAATGTTCGTCAGATAAATGGAAATGAGAATACGCATTAAATTAAATTTGTCTCTGAATGAAATTTTAGTATGGCTAAGGAGAAGAAAAAAAAAATAATAAGTGTTAGAATTTGCAAAAATTTCAAGCAATTAAACCCATAATTAATTGCTCACTAATCAAATTTATTTATTTTTTCTTTTTAATAAGTTAAGAAGATTAATAATGATTAATGTTAATTAAAATAAACAGTAGTAAGCAAATAAACAAATATTAATAATAAATAGCAAAATAAAAAAAAGGAAAAAAAATGATTAAAATTTTAAATTTTAGTAGAATAATTTTTCCTTCCCCTAAGTTAAAAACTTTAATGAAAAAAATTAGGAATAAAAAGCAAAAAATATGAAATATTTTACCAGTTCGTACTATACTATTTGAAAATTTTTCATTATTTGATAATATTTTAATCTTTACAACGTTTTCATTTTGTTTTGCTTGACTTCTTTTGCTGCTAGTACGTTTCATAAAACTTCGACGTAACATTGTCAGTCTGAAAGAAAGAAAAAAAAATTTCGTTTTTTAAATTTTATAGCAAGAAATTAATATTATTGTTAAAACTATTATTATGTTTTCCTCTCTACAAAAAGAAAAAGTTATGAATTTTATATAGTAATTATAATTTTTACATAATTATTATGATTTTTTATCACATCATACTGAATGATTAAAAGAATAACAGGGCGAGAAAAAAATGTATATGTTCGTTTTAAATTTTAATGATTAAGAAAAAAGAAAAAAGGAAATGAAATAAACAATTTAATGAATGAATAAACATACGAAAAAAAAGTTATCAAAAAAATTTTTGTTGTTATTTTCAATACATCTATTTAATTTCCAATAAAATAACGAATTCATTAATTTGGTAATATTAATTAGAGGGAAGAAAGTGACAGCAAAAAAGAAAAAGAAAATGTTTTATCAGATTTCATTTTCTAACCAATAATTACTAGCAAAATAATAATTTTTTTCGTAATTTATTATGATAAATCATATAAACATTTGAAATGATATTATTAGAAATAGTGATTTTAATTGATTTGATTTGTTTATAAAAAAATAATTATATTATACTTTACTTATTATCTCACAATCAATTTTAATCATAAGTCATTAAATAAATATTACCGATCTGTAAATTTTAAAAAATGGAAGCAATATGAAGCAGTTTGCGATGATAAGGCAATGCATTGCTGGTAAATGTCACCACCTGTAATAAAAAGGAAAAAAAGAGGAATGCTTAATGGCTTTGATAAAAGCATGCTTGTTATAATCAATAACAGGGCCTTTTTTATTCTCTTTTTCATTCGTTTTCCTCTCCCCTTCTCTCTCGCTCTCTCCTTCCGACTCTCTCTCTTATCTCTCTTTTCCTCTAAATTTATTATGACTATTCCTGCTTGTAAAAAAGTGAAAAGCAATAATTTTGAACAATAAAATATTTGTAATTATATCTTATGTATGGGTTAATTTTTAATAATAATAACAACAATAATAATGATAATAATAATAATAAATAATAATAACAAATAATCAGTTCATTAAATTAGTCAATCACTCTTGAAAAAAGAAAAAAACATAATAATGGGATTATACATATGTGATAAGATTAATATTTCATTTAATTGTTAATAAAGTGTAAAATACTTTGTTGATTTTTTTTAAAAAGAAAAAAAGAAGGCAGAGAATAAGGGTAAAAAAATAAGTTGAAATATATGAATGAATTAATTACCTGATTGTTTTTGATATTTTAATCGATCCAATGAATAATCATTAACAATGTAATTTTTTGTTAATGGTAAAAATTGTTTACCTCTAAAACTTTCAAAAATTTTAAATTTGATATATTTAAGGGATGAGCAATAAAAATTATTCAAAAAAGATGAATAATGTTGGAAATTTAACACACACACACACACACACACACACACACACACACACACACACACACACACACACACACACACACACACACACACACACACAACACACACACACACACACAACACACACACACACACACACACACACCACACACACACACACACACACACACACACACACACACACACACACACACACACACACACACACACACACACACACACACACACACACACACACACACACACACACACACACACACACACACACACACACACACACACCCACACACACACACACACACACACACACACACACACACACACACACACACACACACACACACACACACACACACACACACACACACACACACACACACACACACACACACACACACACACACACACACACACACACACACACACACACACACACACACACACACACACACGCACAATGTATAAGAGAAAGGAAAAAATGGAAATAATTTAAAAGAAAAAACATATGAGGAAGGAAAAAGGAAAAAATGAAAAAAGAGAGGAGGAGAGAAAGAGAAAAACAAATTAAATGATGAAGTGAATAAATACGATAATTTAAAAAAGAGGGGGGAAAAGAAGAGAAAAAGAAAAAAAAGTTTTTCCGGACAGCTAAAATAACTAAACTATATAAATCTTTTTACCCGCTAGTGTAAATAAATGAGGTAAAAAATTGATTGAAGTATACCAAACAATTATATTTATGTTAATATAATCCGGACAAAAATGTATAATACATATGAATTGTCTTTCGGAAAGAAAAGAACTGCATATTATCAATATATTTTCAGTATTTCATTCCTTTTTCAAAGAAGGATAGTATTAAATTTAATCTACTAATGTAAGAAAGTTTACTAAACAAAAAAAAGAAAAATTGTTCTTTTTTGAAATTTGAAAAGAAAAAAATTCAAATAGTCTTAATATCTTATAAAATTATTTGTTCCCATTTAAAAGTGCATATAGTTTGAATTAATGCTTCAGCTTCATTTTGAATAAGCTTAAATTATTTTGGTAACTTTTTTTTTGGATAATTTCTTTTTTTTTTTCCAGACTCATCTCCAAAATGAAAATGATTTATGCAATTTCTGAATTCGATCTGAATTTTTATCTTCAACTGATTTCACTCAAAATTATTAGTACATCTTCGATTAATATAATACTCGTTAAATTAATTATTCGTAGTAGTATATCATCTATTAATTAATATTTACTATATGCTGTATTGGAAATAGAAATAAATTATCCCGCAAACTTTTCGCCACAAATGATTATAATAAAATCGAAATGATTCTTTAAATACGCAAAAAAGATTCCAATTATAATTAATTGGAAATTAAAAGTTGCAAATATATTCTTTAAATTATTATCAATCAATTTTTATGATAATAAATTACTGTTCAAAAAATATTTCAGATGCAAAAGAAATTTGAGGAAAATTGGATACCGCTGTTGATTAACCGGTATAATTTCCAGATAGATAATTGGTAATGATGTTTGAAGAAGACGACAGACATCCGGAAATGGAATAAAATCAAGTTTGCATCCATTTATTGCTATAATTTGATCACCGGGAAATAATGCACCACATCTGAAATTATTATAAATAAACTTTTCGCAATTTTCTAAAAAAAATTTTTTTTAATTAAAATGAATAAATTTGAAACTATAACTTTTTTCTTTTTTTTGAAAAGTTCAAAAGAAATAATACAGTTAGCATGAACTGAATAAGAAAGTAGTTGAAAGTTGAATAGTTTGGAAAGTTAAAAAAAGTTTCTTTCATCAAATCAGCTATCACTGTATTTTTCCATTTTTTTCTTCTCCCTCCCTGTTTTTAGATTCATTTCGTTTGCAATGAGTTGACAAATTAAAAATTTAGTTTAATTAATTTTTACAACAATCATTACTAGCATTTGAATTTAGAAGAAAAAATTTTAGACCTATCAGCAGCCGATGCTGGTACTAAATGATCGATAAAAAATGCATATGTTGTCTTATTTGCATGATCAATTTCACAAATAAGTTCAATTCCAATATCCAAATGGAAGTCTTTTTCAATTTTCACGCAAAAACAATTACTGTTTCGATATGTCATATCTGAAAAAAAAAATCTTTTTTCTAATTTAATTTTGAATTATAACAATAGCATTATTGCAATTTATATCATATCAAATTATAAGATATTATTGAGATATAATATTTTATACAAAAATTTCATTTCTTATTTTGCTAATTTATAAATTATCAAAATAAAACTTATGTTATATTTTTTCTATAATAATAAAAATTAAATTTTTACATTTCATTTCTTTTTTTTAAAAAAAATTTTTTTTTATTGTCATACATTTTTGAATGTATTGAAATATACCAATTGTATTGATGTAATATTCAATTGTTAGTACAACTGTACTAACAGCTTCAAAAAGTAATTTTTGCGCTGCAGCTAAGGTAGCATTGAATACATCAGCGCCATTAATACCAAGTACACGATCACCAATTCGTAAACGTTTTTCCCTGAAATAAATATGAATGATATTTTCCGAATTAATTATAAAAATTTGATTTAAGAAGAAAAAAACTTCATATCATTCTTTTATTTATTTTTTATATTTTCATATATTTTCCTTCCTTCTAATTTTTATTTGTTTACTTTTAATCATCATATTATTAAAAAGCACTACTTTTTTCTTTACAATAAAAAAATCCTCTTTTTCCGACTTTTTTTTCTCTCCTAAATTTAATTTTTATTTTTATCTGTTTATATATGATTTTTCAGATTAAATTATTTAAAAAGAAAAAAAATAGAATAATAAGAAACTTTTATTTTTAAAAAACCATACCAACTAATCGGTGAAAAATTATTAGATTGTAACAAATGTTGCAAAAAAAATATCCATCAAAAAAATTACTGATAAGCTGGACTACCGGTTCGAATATTCATAATTGTAAGAGGTCGTGATTTCTCTCGATCAGGTCCATAAGCGCCACCGCGTAATGTAATACCAATTCGATTATTTTCTTTTATTAACCGAATATCCGCATATGCTAGTCGAGTATTTGTTGGTTGTTTGAAATCTGTTAGTTGTTTTAAAACAATTTTTTTTTTTTTGAAAAATTTAAGAAATTTTTTTTCTCATTTCTTTTATTCCTAAGATCTTCTATTTTTAAAATTTTTATTAATTGCAATATCAAAATGGCTTTAATTGATTTAAGCATTAATAATGTTATTTTTCGTTTTAAAATTTGCCAATTTTTAAGCACTGAGAATTTTTAGAAATTTATTATTTCATTTTAGCATACCAATAATGTCATTTTTATAATATTTAATATAATGAAACAATTTCTATTTGCTAAAAAACAAAAAAAAAAAAAAAAAAATATTCGAAAATTAATGAAAAAAATTAATAATGATACCGTTATCATCAAGATTATATTCAACTTGTAAATAAACACAATTTCCGGAATTTCGTAATAATGTCATTATTTGCTGATGTGTAAGATTATTTAGCTGCAATAATTCAAATTTGTTGTTTTTTTTTTTCTTGTCTTTTTTTCTGTTTTAAAATTTCAAAGGAAGACGAAGAAGGAGAAGAAAAAAGGAAACGCTTATCATAGCATAAATATGCTATTAAAATGATTTTCAGAATTTTTAAAATTTACTGCAATTCCGTTCACTTGCTTCAATTGTTCGCCTATTCGTAGTTGATCACTGACATGTGCAATACTTCCCGGTCTGAGAAATGTGATTGATGGCGGGTGTAGTTGATCTCTTCCACCTGTAACAAATAATTTTTACAAATTTCTACATTATACGCACTAACAACGTGAAGAATTATTTTATTATTAATTGATACATTTTTTTTCTCTTCCCTTACTTTCTTTTTTATTAAATTTATCGCATTAAATTTTCTAACCGATGTTTTTAATATTTCTGTAAAAAATATTTAAAAAGAAGTTTCTTTTTTTTACCTGTTAAACCAATTCCAAACGGACAATTAATGCTACGTTGAAGGCAAATATCCACGATACCTTTTGCTTTACTATCATCATTTCTATGATGTTTTTTAAAAATTCTACACAAACACCGTGAAATTTTATCTCTAAAATATAATCGTTTAAATATGTTATAATTACAAGTGAAAAAAAAAAAAAGAGAGAGAAAAAGAAATTCGATAAAAATTTCATTTTTTTCAATGAACAAGCAATAACATCTATACAAATTGCATTGTATTATTATTTGCCTAATTATTTTTACTCAGTAATATTTCAGAATTAAAAATTAATATCCAGTACAATTAACTTACTCATTGTTTCCTCCAAGCATTGTAGATATCTTTTTAAAATTTAATAAATCTGCAATGTGTAAAAAATAATGCATAATAAAATGGAAAGTTTTGTCGAACGATTGATTGATGAGCAAATTGATTAAATTATTATAAAATATTTTATCAAAAAAGAAAAAATTTTTTTCGGAATAAAGTGATAAAAGATCAATTTATCTAAATTGAGCAATTTAACAAATAAAAATATTATGATACATTAGTTTAGGTACTAATGTAATTTCAACTACTTGATATAAGAAAAAAAAATGAAATTAATTTTTCAACAAAAAAATGGAAAAGTAGTGATAATAGTAATAGTAATACTACTACTAGTAATAATAATATTAAATAATAATAATAATAATAATAGTAACAATAATAATAATGATAAATAATAATAATTAATAATAATAGTAACAATGATAATAATAATAAATAATGGCAATAATAATAATAAAAGCTTTAAAATATGTTAAATAGCTAAAGAATGAAAAAGCAAGACTAATTTGTGTTTGCATGAAAAATTACAATTAAAAAAAATCCTCTTTTCAAATAAAAGAAAAATGTATGTAAAATGATGACATGAAAATTGTTTAATTTCTGCATACTGAAAAGCAGCTGGACAAAAAATTGAAAATAGAGATGAACTGAATGATTGGTGACATAAAATGTCAGAAAAGATGATACATCATACAGTTGCATTTGACATTATTCATATATCATATAATTTCAATTTTTTTCATTTCAGTCCAAAATTAAAAAGAATTTCAAAAAAAAAAAAAAAAGAGAAAACGGAAAAAGATGCGTTATTTTAGGTAATAATATTTCTTGTCATATACATATATATAACTTAAATATTTACGCTAGAATTGATGTTAGCGAAATAAAAAAAAGAAAAGAAAGAGAGGTGTTTTTTTCTTTTTTGAATCAAACGATTATATTTTTGTATTTTATAAATGGAAATACTTTTTGCTGAAATTGCTGAAATTTTTTTTTTAAGTAATATTACCATTCTACTTCATTATCATCACTTCCATTTTTCATTTTCCTCTTTAACTCATCTCTCTTTTTCTTTCCTCTTTTTTCTCCGCTCTCTCTGCTTCCCTGTCTTTCTCTTTCTCCTCATTTCTTTTATTTTGTAAAATTTTTGCTTTTCTTTTCGAGAGATGAATAAATTATATGTAGTACTTATGGAAAATTTTTGAAAAATCATTTCAAAATTTTATCAGTGAAATATGGTAATATGCATCAAAATAAAATAATAAACATTGCAAAAAAAAAAAAACGCAGCAAAAAATGCGAAGCAGGAAAAAAGAAAAAAAAAAGCATGTAATGTGATGTGTGACAATTTTTAAAACGCAGGTAACCTGCATTCGTTGTTTACATTCTGCACATCCTTTTTTTCATTTCTTCATCGCTTTTTTTCTTTTTGAAAAAAATACAATGAAAAATGTTTGAATAAATTTTAACAACAAGTTTACCTGAATTAAAATTTTTTAAAAGGAGAAAAAAATATAAAATATGAAGGTCCTTCTTTTCTTTTTTCTTTTTATTCTCTTTTAATTTCTACTTTTTTTGTGTGCATAATTTTGAATAAATTATCTTTTTTCTGTTCGTTTTTTCTTTTTTTTTATAATGTAAAATTAGATTTACTTTCCTGCTTTTTCTTTTTTAATTTTTAGTATAACATTTCAAATTCGACCGCAAAATCTAATTCAATATTCTTTTCTCTTCTTTTTTTTTTTTGAAATTAAAAATAAACGATTACAAATGATATGTATTCTGAAGAAAATAGAATACCAATTTGTTATAGTTGTCGAATAATCTAACTAAAAGACTTGATTAAATGAAAATAATCTGGTAATTTTTATTTTGATATTGCAAAATTTTTTTTGATATTTGCAAAAAACTGATATCCTGAAATCACTTTTACTTTTACTAATTTTCTTTTTTATGAATGCGTGATGAAAGTAATCATTCGTAATAATGTAAATCAGGCTTGTTAATAAAAATTCTTAAATATGAACCTGTTTTTTTTTTTTTTTTCATTTTCAAATATAAAACATTTCTGAGATCACTGAGACACAATTAAATTTACATACACACAACAATTAAATTTATCAAAATGCTATTGATAAATTTGCATGAATGCATCAAAAATTATTATCTGATCATTGTGAATAAATTATCCATTAATAAAATATATTTTTGACAAATTCTAAATCGCAATTCAATTTAAACTTTAAAATTATAATAATAATTTAAACTAAAGCAACCAGATAATCACATCACGGAAGAAGAGTGAGTGGTAACCATAATTAATAGGTAGCAATCCATTCGAAGATGGTAAGCTGTTGTAAATTGGTTCATATGTTATTGCAATAATAGAAGCTGATGCAGAATTGAAACATGAAAATGAGGAAGAGAAGGAGGAAGAGGAAAGGTTAGAAATGATGTAGGAAGGTCGATGGATAATCGGGTCGGAGTATCGCCAGAACATAACACCTGCATTGAGTTCACCGCCAATAAAGCACTGAGGATGAACAATAAAAGACAAAAACGAGAGCAAAACAAAACAAAAAGAAAAGAAGGAGGGAAAAAGGAGATCGGTCAATGGCTTTCCAGATATAATAATGATAATAATAATAATTAATAATAAATCTATATGCGATAAGATTTGTGTTTATTTAAAGGAATAACAATAGCTCTAATAATAACCAATTATATTAATCAACCAGCCATTTGTTAATTAATCATGATGTACGAAGCACTCAAGCAGGATATTCTCAAGTCTATACCACACCTTTTTCATTTTTATTAAAATTCGCATCCTTTTTCCTTTGTTAGCCTCTTCTTTTTATTGCATCTCAACCTAAAATTTAATTATTTTATTATATGGAAGGGAGTAGAAAAATTATTTCTTACATGCAAAAATAAGAAACGAACAAATGATCCTAAAATTAATAACAAAAGAAATGAAAAGAAAGAACGGCAAGTTCAAAATTTTCCTACTATGATAATTTACCTTGTACTAATAAATTAATAAATGAATATTTAAATAAAAAAAAAACAATAAATAAATGACTAATAAGTAACTAAAACAAACAAATAAAAGAATAAAAACAAATAAATTGAATAAATACATAAATGAACGGTAAAAAAAATGATAAACAAATGAACAAAAACAAGATAAATGAATAGCTAAACAAGTAAATGAATGAGAGACAAATAATTGAATAAATAGAAAAATAAATGATAAACAAATAGATAAACAACACAAAATCAATTAAACAAATAAATAAATGAACTAAAAAATAAATAAAGAAAAAACAAAGTAAATGAATATTAATTAATTTAATAATTAACTAATTAAATAAATTTTTTATTGTTTCAAAGTCGTTTTATAAGCAATGAATTGTTCTTTTCATTACTTTAATTACATTATTTTAATTACTTTAATGAAGAAAAATTCCATAAAAAATAATAATTTTGTGCCAAAAATGGGAATGCCAAAAAAGGTTGGTAATATATTGATCACTGAATATATAGCCAAAAATCATATATAATAATAAATTTTTCTTAATGACGAAATAGTTTTTTCACTATCATTTTTCAACCTAATCATCTAAATTAAAAATTTCAAAATGTTAATCCTAAAATTAATGAACAAGACAAGTTGAAGTCCTTCATACTATGATAATTTACCTGTTTTTTATTGTTTGATTATAATAACAATTCTATCTGATTATAATCACAGCATATACTTCAACTTAAAGTTATCATAACGTCAATTATCTCATTTATTTCTGACACCGATTAAATAAATTTTGTTAAATTAACTTTTCGATTCTACAACTTTTCGATTTTCGATACAATTATATCTTTCGAATATGTTTTAGCAGTATCATTATTTACTGTTGTCTCACGAAATAGGAGAAATTAAAGCAAATACCTCTTCAAAAAGATTAAAAATTCTGAGAACTTTCACATTTAAATCAAATCAACAATAGAATTTAATTCACCAATTTCTGCTTCTGAAAAAAGTATAATGATAAAATTGTTATCACTTAAATTGCTATGATTAAATTGCGATCATAACTTCGTTTTCATAACACTTCTTTCTGTCGACCACAAATATTTTCAACCATTTACAAATGAATAAGAGGTGGATTTATCAATAAGTTTGAGTTTTAATAATTGCTTCATTGCTTATTTTTGAGTATATACAAGACGGTTTATTCAATTTTGTCCGATAAATTGAATTGCATTCAGGTACTTTAGACTTACGTTACATAGGAAGATAAGTTTTTGTGTTATAACCCTGATTTTTGGAGTTTTTGTTAATTGAGGCTGTGTGAAAAAAAAAAAAAAACAAAGTTCACAATTCATGAAATTCTTTGGTTTTTAGAAGTTTTGTTGGCTTACATTACGTGGACAAATGAAAAATTTTTTAGTCTCATGAAGTTTAACCAAATTTTTTTCACTTTTTTTTTACCAAATCCTTGTAATTTTTTGCCTTATTATGAAATATAATTTGTAAATGCGTGGTGTGTTCTGTACGTAAGTTGGTAAGAAGGCATTTAAGTTGTAAGTTGATTGTATGCAAATTACAACTTGATTATATGCAAATTTTATTTTGTTTCAAGATAACTATCTTTCGGGCGTGGTTTACTGTCACTGTTACCTTTCAGTATTTTAGCAACCAGTTGTAGGTAGTTAAATGTGACTGTTTAATATCACTCATAATTTTATCTAAAATCTGTTTAAAATCATTCATTCGTAAAGCTATGACGATGATTATTTACTCACAGGTGAGCGGGGAGAGAGGGTATTTATAGACTTGGTTTCAACTATTGCTTCTTTGCATATTTCGAGAGGTACGAAGCCGTCTCATACCTTTCAAATATTGAACAATGATTCAATGGTTTGATCTAAAGCTTATTTGATACTGTTCATTCGTAAACCTATGACGATCATTTATCCACGAATGAGCGGGGGAGAGGGTTGTTAATGGACTTAAGACTCAATTATTATTCATTGCACATTTCTAAGCGATACGAGGCGGTTGGTCTTAATTTTTGTTTCGTTTTCACTTATATCCAATTAAATTCAGATGCTCTAGTAATGTTTCTATGAATATGAGTTACGTGAAAAAAAAATAGCTTTTGATGTTATCAGTTATGAAATTCTTTGATTCTACGAAAAGTTCTCATTTCCTTCTATCTGAATTAGTGTGAGCTTGTCATGAAATAATTGCTTATAATTATGTACGATACGTTAATTTGATGGAACTTTGCAGTTTATCTGAACGAATTGAACATTAGTGGTGCTTCCAAGTGATAACTGAGGCGATGAATAAGTCGGCAAATATAATTGTATACATTATGTCACCATTCTTCCATTATCATCTTATTTGAACGTGGATTTTTCCTTATTCTCGACATTTGTATATATTTTTTGGTGATTAGAACATCTAGACACCAAATGAAATAGAATAAAATTATCAAGCTGGAACTTAATTGTCTCATACAAAATGTTAATGCACAAAATTACTTCCAGCGATTTGAAGACGATCAGCAAGGGAAACGAGCGGCATTATCAGAATCTATGCCGAACATTCTTTATGTTCAGGTTTTTCTTTTGCATTGTTAATCAATATTCTGTTGATAGCAATAAGTATAGCTTTGGCTATTCTTTTTTAATGCTAGTAATAATTGTTTATTCTCTATTGTTGTCCTGATTGCATCGGTCGTACTAGAGAAGTATTTTGATCAAATTTAACCATTATCTGAGTATGTTTCATAATGACTTTCTATGTTGCACTGTTCAAATATCGTACTGATTACTTTGCGCCATTCCGGAATGGAAAGGAGATGACTTTCAATACGTCTTTTTCGGAACAGAAGATATTTCATTCTTTGTATAAATAAAAGAAGAAAAAGAACAAAAAAAAGATTCTTTTTTCTTTGTGCAGGATCGTGGAAACCCTTCTGCAGATGGACGTAGCCTAATGGACAAAGATGATATCAGTACTGGAAATGACGAAAGGGAAAAGAACTGGGAAATGAATTTAAGCGAAGAAGTAAGGCTGATTGTTACAAGAAATTGATGTTTTTGATTTGATTAAAGCAAGATTTGTCAAATCTTTTGAATTTCTTAAAAATGAAATAAGAAAAAGGCATAAATTTATCTTAATAAAACAAACAAGAAAGTCACAGGTTGAAACCGGTCTTATCAATATGAGTCCATCATTTCCACGAAGCATTGCATCTGTGGAACAAGAAATTATGCCGGAAAGAGAATTGGAAGAGAGTAATGCTTGTCATATTGATTTGATATTTAATAATTTCGATTTTTGATCAGAACTGATGCATAATGCATTTAAATTGATGAAAAATGAATTAACTTTCTGATTGCTCATTTAGAAAATTTTTTCCGGATAATGTTTAGCGGCAATGATATGCTGACATGAATTTCATATTATAGTAGACAACACGAAATCGGAAAAGCAAGAGAATCTTACACCAAATGAATGTCCAAATTGTGAAGTCATGCAATCTAAATTATCGGCTGTTGATGCCAAGGTTGTAATTCAACTTCTGCAATCATAGTACCGATTTCTCTTGTTTGTTCTTATCATTGTCAATTCCTGTCGGTTAATATATTTCAGGTAAAAGAATATGAAATAATATACGTGGATAAAGTCGGAACAGAGAAATGTGTAAGTTTCTATACAAAAGATGTTATTACTACTCTGCCTTTAATTTATGAAAGGATGATATAGTTGCGCGCCCTTTTTCAATTATGATGAGTGACTTGACACACTGTTTAAGATTTCTACAGCTTTTTTTCAGACAGATGATAAACAACAAGAAAATTCAAGCATTACTGACATACATGACAGCACTGAAGAAATCAAGAAATGGAAAGCTCATTGTGTAAGTGTAATTCAGTATACCACTAAAATTATCCGAAATCAGCTATTGTCTACGTTAGAATGATAATTTTGTGGTACTAAGCTTCGATTCTAAGTAAAACAATAAAGTGACGAAAAAAAATTAATGATACCATTATTTTACATATGGAAATTTTCGATTTTAGTTACACGCGTCGTTTTTTGTTGCAGACAGAATTGAAATCGAAGTTGCAAGCTGTACAGACAGATATGATGCAACAGATGTCTGCTTATCAATTGAAGATAGATGAGGCTATTAATGGACGACAAATTACACTGGCAAAAGTGACAAATTTTTTTGTTTTACAGTATCGCGGCTGGGATCTCTGAAGAAATAAAAAAGGAACCTAATAACTAATTATTATTAAAATTTCAGTTAGCCAAAGCTCAGGAGAAAGTCATTTCTCTGGAAGCGGCATTGAAACAACAGAAAGAAACAAATATTGCGCTATCAAACGCTATACAGGTATGTTCGGACTCCCTACATTTTTTGTGCACCTTCAATTATCTCATTAAGAAAGGGCTTAGTGATACAACATTTTGATACAACAAAAAAAGATGCTTTTAGTAAGAGCTTAACTAAGATACTGTGTTGGCTAGAAAATGTTATTTATTAAATGTGGTCATGAATTCCTTGACTTAAATCTCCAATTTGGCTTAAATTTCAACTTTATTTCTACTTATCTTCTGTTATCGAAAATTTTGATACGCTTTCTTGACTAATTTAGGACATGGAACTTAAATCAGTGGAACGACTAGAAAAACAAAAGAGCGAATTAATACGTTCAGCAGAGATGAGCTTGGCAAGAAAGGACCAGTTGTATCGTGCCACCCAGAATAAGGTTGTGACACTTGAAGCAATGCTTAAAACGGCTCATAATGATAATAAGAAACTACTTCGTAATCTTGAATTAGCCGCTGATAATCTTAAAAATATGCAATTCGGGGAAATGACACGAGAAGAGTTTGATCGCCGAATGGAGAAAAAATTGAATTCGATTATGGAGAAGTTCAAGGATGAAGCGAAAAGTTCAGATCTTGCATGGATGGGAGAAGAAAATGTACGATATGTTTTGGATGGTTTTGAAACAGTGATCAAAACCATTCTCGGGAAAGAACCTCATCTTGTAGACTTGGCAGAACAGCTTGTAATTTTCATGGAAGCAAAGTTTAGAGCAGGCACAAAGGTGTATTTTATTTTCTATTATTACGTAGTATTCTATAATAAATTGATTGTCGTATATGGAAAACATTTGGATTTCAATGCAATATCGTGAATTAATTTTTGAAAAATTCCAGTCGGTAGAACCATCGAACGCTGATGAGGAAAACAATTCGGAAGAAAAAGCTTTCAAGGTATTTGTTATATTTTCCTTCTATAATCACGTTAGATAAAGATTTTACTATACTAGGGCATTTTAGGATTTCAAAGCAGAGGTGATCGCGGAAATTGAGTCCACACTGGAAAATTTCCATGCTAGATATTCGGAAGAAATTTCTGAAGGTGTTGCTAAAATCATGAGCTGTATGAGTTGTACGGAACAGGTAATGGTTGCATCATTCAGTTATAAGAATTTGCTTCTAAATTCTAAAAATTAGTTCTTGAAGATGCTTGTCAAAAAAGAAGAGATTTTTAGTTCCGCACCTTTAGAAATTATTTTTTCAAGTTGTCATCAGTTAGTTTATAATTGTGTGTAATAAATTTAGCATTTCTGAAGTAATATCCTTGCTTACCAATAATGACAAGTTAATGATAAAACAGGGAAATGAAAACCAATTTTTACGAGGAAGTCCAAGATTAGCTTTTTTCTTTTTAGAAATTAGAGAGCAGTGTGATACAGCGCATTGACAGTTTGGGCGATTTACTTCTCGTCGTTGACAATAAACAGAATGATATTCAAGCAACCGAGGAAAGAATGAAGAGTAGGCTTGATAATCTTTCTGAAGCAATGGAGGGCATTGGAAATCGGGTCAGTTACGAGGGCGAGGAGTACGCTGCCGAAATGACAAATCTTTGGAGAGATAGATATAATATAAAAGCGGCATTACACTATGTTGAGCAGATTGGTGGTGATCAGATTGTATGTTTCGATTCGTATTAATTTAATTTTTTATTGGGACCTGGGATTTCTATTTTCAATTCTTTTTACTACAAAATGAATGAAATTTCGGATAGTTTGAAGTTAATGACACTTAAAATAATCTTGAGTAAATTGTAAATGCTATGGCATATAAAAAGCTTTCCTCTGACGAGCATGTGACATTTTCCAGGTAATATTTATTTAATATTTCATATTTTTATAATCGTGTAAGATTTGTTTTAGAGACTTGAAAACAGAATGCGAAATATTGAAGAGCAGTATGCTATGCTTGAACAAGGAATGCGTAACGGATCAGAGCGACCACTAGATTACATACGGAATAATGTGTCATATCAACCAGTTAACATGCAGTATGGTATACCTTTTCAACCAGTCAGCATGCAGTATGGCATAGCTCCTCAGTCACTCGATACGCGCTATGACCTGACTCCTCCACCAGCTGAAATGAGATATGACATGCTTCGTCAACCAGTTGACAAGCGTCGTGATATGTCGCCTCAACCAGTGGACATGTACCATGATATGCCTGTTCAATCAGTAAATTGCAGCCACACGGTGCCATCAGGAAGACATTGTGGTCAGTTAGCTCTCAAACAGGTAATACTAATAGTTTTCTATGATTTCCTGATTTCTTCAAAAAGTTTCGACCACTACTATCATTAGAAACTTGCCTGGATTTTTTGGCTTTATTCTAGGCTGCACTGCTAATTTCTTTATACCAGTAAAATTCTTTTGATAAATTTATTGGTTTGAGCTATCATTTTGCTGAATATCCTGCAATATTTGAATACCTTTTAGGACAATAAGAACAAAGGCCAACGAAAAAAAACTGCTTATCATGGAGAGGTAAAAGAAATCCTGAAAGGTATAAATTGGCAGAATTTGCACCTTAAGAAAATCTTTGTCTTCTATAGTTTTAATATTTGATGCTATTTTCGGCTGCCGCTGCATGTTGCATTAGATGTTCCGTCAAATTTGCATAGTGCATCGCCGCTTCATGCGCTATTTTGGCCTGTTGTTTAAATGACAGCAAATACTTGTACGTTGGCTGATCGCTGAACATCACCTCTATTGAGCGATCAGGCACCGCTTTAGTACATTAGCTATGCTCAGAAATAAATTTTGCTTCATATTTCCGTCCTTCCAATACAATAATTATGTTTTTCTTTTCCTGGAAGCATATTACTAAGAACCTCAGTAGGAATTTTCTATAAATTAACTTTCCAGCTCGTTCTCTTTCAAATCCAAATTTGCAGACGAAAGTGGAACTGGAACTGGAGCAACTGAACAAGGAACAATGAGCCCCAAGAAATTACCTGAACTGAAATTCCCAAAATTCTATCCTTATTAAAGTGAAAATGATGCTAACTTCTGTCATCCACGTATATACTGTCGGTTCTGTATTATGCTAAAAATAAACACTAATTTCATTTTTCCTATTTTCGGCTTTCAAATGTTAATCGGGCTCAACGTGTACTGTGTGTAATCATTCTATGAAGTCTTTTTGATTTTTATTATTGATGAAATTACATATTTTTGAAAAGTAATATTTTTATCATACATTTTTTCCTGTGTTTACCTTGAATTAATTCAGTCTTTCTCCTCTTTAGCACTGGCAGTTATTACTCTTATGTACTGTTTAAATATTTTTTATTAGTATTACTTTAAATTCTATGCATATTTCTGTTGGGAATCTTGTATTTTTCTTTCTTACTTGATGCAAAATTTATTTATACCTTGGCTTTCATTTAGGATGTAGAAGATGTAAGAAGAAACTATTAGTTATGTTAGTTAGGCTGATGTTTCTTTTTTTTTTTTCCATTTGTTCTTGACGAAAAATACCAATGAACTGAGCCATTAAGTTGAAGGGGATTGTTGTTGATTTGTATTACTTAACTTGTACAACTGTCACAATGAAGGACAATAAAGGGTTCATGCGATAAATAGAAATTTCACTCTTCCAAAGTAATAATAGTGGTGTAAAGATGGAAAAACGGGATGAAAATGTTTGATGAAGAATATTAAAAGTTGTTTTGCCATTAATTTTTTTTAATTGTATTATCTCTGAGTTCTGTCATTCGGTGATATGCTGTGTGATGTGAATCTAAGATAAAGTTACTATTTTAACAGTATTTGTCAAACTCGGAAAGCTGTAGCAAGGGCAGATTGTTGTCATATTACAGTTTTGCTTCAGTACGAAATATTTCGATCAAAATAGATGATGACATATAAAATGTCATTACCATAATGCAGTTAAATTTCAGTTATTATGTGGATGATCTTTGTTTTCGTTTAACTACCTAAATCTTAGTTTGAATGGTCATATCTTAATTTTATTGCAGTTCAAACTTTAGTAAGCATACTTCCCCTATTAAAATTTTGCTTCCTTTTGGGCTTCCTTCTCCAACTATCTTTTTTCTAAACTTTTGTAAGTTTTAAAATCATTTCAGCTTATTTTTCTGCATCTCTTTTTCGTGAAATCCAAAAAGCTGTCCTAAAATATTACTTACTTCTAACATCTATAATTTAAATGTACTAAAAACAAAATTGTAAAAGTACGAAAATTTTCTCCCTCCAATTTTATCTTAATATATTTATCGAAATTTTGCAAAAATGATAATCATACAAGATACATACAAGTTGTGTTAGGGGTAGGACATTTTTCTCATCAATTTGATATTTTACATTGACATTTAGAATGATAACAAAGTTAAATATGAATAGAATATTGGTTGTGTGATATTGAGGTATAAATGAGGTAAATGCATTTAAAAACTTAAGCCGAAAGATTTTAATGTTAATGCAATTAATCTGCTGAAATCAAATGATTTGATATAAAAAAAAAGGAAAAATATTTGATTAGCTGAACGACTTTTATATGATTAATCAATAGATATTACAGTGCTTGTTCAAATAATTAACTGCTAATACGTGTATTAAACTACATGTAAACATAACAATACAAATTAAAAATTATAATCCTAAAATATGAGTCATATTTCTAGTAAATATTTTGAATCCAATAATTATAAACACAATTGCACCTATTTAATGCTGCAAACAATTACATCTTTAAATGACAAAAAAAAAAAAATTTCTATCACTTCAATAAATTATTCCGTTGTATACCAGTATGACGTGACCCATCATCACATGATGTTAGTGCTTTAGCTAAATCCCGTGTGGAATATTTTCCTTTAAAAACTCTAGTTCCTTCACCAGCTATTGTTTCCAATTCATATCTGGAAAGTAATTTAAAATAAAAATATTATGTTATAATAGTTTGTAAAATAATTTGTTTTTGTATTATATCGTTTTTTTTTTTCTCCTTTTTTTCTTCCATTTATACATATTTTTTTCTCGTTCTTATAACAACAACACTTCTCTGATAATATCATTTAATTAAATTACAAAATTTTACCTAATTATTGTTATTCACTTTTTTTTTTATATGACAAAATTATCATTTAATAAAATTGTAAAATTTCACCTAATTATTATTTTTATTATTTTTTGTCATGTAATATTCTTTAATAACAATACTAGTAAACAACACATGCATATATATTATATAGCAAAAAAAGAAATTCTAATTTAATATCTCAAATAATTTTTAGAAGAGACAAAAAATATTTATATTCCAAAAAAAAAAAAGTTAATATTTAATTAAATAAATGCTTACTGCCTCCATGAATCAGTAACTGTTGCTGTAAATGTTCGAACATTAGGTAAACGATGAAGCATTGATGACGGTTCATCAACTAAATCATAACTAAAACTTATCAAATAAATATTTACTATTAAATAACAATGATAATGAGAGAATGTTGTGTAATGAGAGAACATTTTATTAAATGTCTTATATGAATGATAATTTTAGTTCAACAAATGATTGTTTCTATTTGAGAACATTCTTGACGGTCTTGAGCAGCAACATCAACAATTGCCATAGAAAATTGTTGATGCAAACGTCGTGGGTGGTCTTTGCAATTATTTGCACAATACAATTCCCGTTATGAACAAAATTATTTTTGAAAATTTCTTATTGAAAATTGTATGTGTATGCGTGTGGTGCTATGATGAGATGTTTATATGTACTTATGCTTTTCATAAGAATATGATAAAATTTTAAGTGGTAACGATACGGGTAGTGATAATGATGTAATACAATGCTTTCTACCTTGCCTGCCTTTTTTTTTGCTGCTATGATGGTATATGTATATATGTACGATTTTAATAAGATATGTGGTAACTATTTAAGTGATAATGATATGGTAAGAATAGTGATAATGATGATATAATGTAATTGAATGCAGTGCCAGCTATTTTTCCTTCAATTTTTCTTCTTTTTATTTGGACGTATTTATTTTTAGTTTTGTTTGTAAAAGTGATCTTCATATTTTTTGTTTTCGTGCCTTTTCATCCTTTTTTTTTTTTGTTTGTTTTTTATTAAAATTTATTAAAATTTTCACTTTTTTTCCTTGACGGATCAAATTATGTGAAAAGTTCTTTTTGTTTTGCTTTTTTCTAAATTATAAAATTTTGAAAATTCTAATTTATCATTTTCTTCCTACACGCATTTTCTTAATGATTTCCACTAGTTTTTTTTTTTTTCCTTTTCTGAGCAAAATGTGATCCTTAAATTAACAATTAATGAGAGCTAAAAATTCATAAGTAATTATGATTAATTTTATAAGTTCTTTCCTTTCCTTATAAATTTCATTAATATATATCGCACCTGAAACCATCCGTGAGGACGACAACATTAGTAAGTACATTGGAACGTCGATCTTGCAATATCTCCAAGGCTAATTTTAATGCTGCTCCCGTAGCAGTTATACCGGCAAAGAATGGTAATTCTGGAGGAAAATAATTAATTGCCAAGCAGTTTATGTGAAATGTATTGAAATGAATGTTTAATCTGACAAAGTTACTTTCTTTCATTTTTTTTCCTTAAATTATCAAAAATGGAAACCTTCCTTCTGCAAAATATTATAAGTACCATAAAACACTTGCTCACTGATTAATTTTATTTAATTGGAATTCAAAATTTTAAAGTTTAAATTGCAAAAATTACTTTTAACAGTTTCGACAATTTCGGTTCGATTTTTATGCGCTATAAATCGTAATTTCACTTGACGTCGTAATGAACTGCTATATTCAATTACTGTAAAGTACGAAATTATAAAAAAAATATAAAGAAATTGAAATTATATGATGAAAAACTTTTTAAATATGGTGAAACCATTTATTTCAATTCAAAAACCAATAAGGACATTTAAGAAGTTTTTTTTTTTTTTTGTTTTAAATTAAAAAAATAAAGTTTGTTTAGCTATCAAGAAGTTGAATTAATAAAATAGTAAAAAATACTTCCAATCCTTGTGTCATTGTCAAATTCAGGAAGAATCAAATTGATGATTTCAATAATGTAAGTACGATGATCCTCAAAAAATTGTCTAACTGAGCTAGTTGAATCTACCACAAAAAGCGTATCAAAAGGTGCTAATGAGCAATCTGAAGTGAAAAATGACAAATTATATTATTTCAATTGTTACATTGATCCCCCTTTTTTTCTAAATTTCCAACAAATTGGAGTTTTTTTTTTGAATTAGAGAACTAAAATATCATAATTTAGAAGCTAACTATCAATTTAAATTTGTGATTTTAATTGAATTTATGTTAGCACATCTTCCTAACTTATTTGTATTTAATGTACATTTTGTAATTAATTTTTAAGCAACGAGCGAATGAATAAGAAAATATAATATAACAATTTGATATATAACCTAATCGTCCGCTTAGAGATGAGATTGGTCGATTTTCCGGTCTTTTTGTACTATCCGGTTGAACTGGTACTGTTGATGGTAAACGAGTTGATCGCGATGTTTCCCGCTGAAAAGCTATAATTTAATTAATTCACCGATATGTTTATTTCTTATAATCTCATATTAAAAAATTCATTCATCATTCCTTTTTGATAACATTATTTACAGGATTCTAAATTTCAAGTTCACATTTAATATTTATAATTAATATATTAATTGATTTATTAAACTATTTCAAAATTCCAAGAATATGAGAGATCACAAGATTAAATGCTATTAAATTTCTTGTAAAATTTTCTCACAAAATTTTACCAATGAATATGCCGAATAAAAATTAATTTTTTTTTTGCAACAATAATTTCATACAAGAAATTAATTATCATTTAGCTGTACCGTATGATTTTGAGTTATCCTGCTCACTAATTGAGTGGAATGCATTATTTCCGATTGTTGTGTTACAACTGATATTGGTTTTTTTGAAGTTGAAATAATCTGACGATGTTTTGTGGTAACATTTAAGTGTATCGGTTGACGTGTTCTTTGTCGCATATTTTTTAAAGATGATGATCTAGTTGAAAATGATTGAGATGACTGAGATTTTGATGATGTTGTTGTTGTTGCTGATGGTGATGATGATAAAGAAGCTGTAATACGTTGTCTAACTGGTGAAAATTTTGATGAAGTTGAACCTGCTGATGTTAAAATTTTTTGACGGATTGTTGATTGTCTTATCACTGATGGAATTAAATTCATTGATAGCACTAAATTACCTTCCGCTAATAAACCACAAGTTACATTTTCAACTAAATCAGATAGTTGTACAGATGGTAATTGATTTTGTGACTGAATAATTTGTTTGGTTAAATTTTCATATTTATTCGTAGAATATGATGGTTGACTTGTATGTGGTATATTATCAGGATCATTTGATGCATAATTTAATGGTGGTATTGGTGCTGGTGGAGCAATTTCACCATACTGGCCTTTGCATCCCTATTAATAAAGTTAATTTAGCATTAATTTTAATCAATTGTTTATAATTTGAATTTAGGTAACTGAAATAAATTGAAATGAATTTGTTCTTTATAATCTATTGCAAGATTTTTCTTAAAAATTTACAACGAAAAAAAATCAAAATTCTTTCAAAAAAAAAAAAAAAAAAAATAGTAATATTCGTTATTAATTACTAAATAATAGAAAACATTTCGTTTCATTTTTGTTTAAAATTTATGAAAATTCTATTGTATTTTAAACAAGAGAATATATCAAGAAAAAAATAAACAAATTATATGCAACAACATACAGTGATTAGCGCTATAGCTAATAGAAAGTGAATCATTCGATGTTGCTGCAACATATCATAATTATAATTTTTTCTACATAGAAACTTATTCAATTTAAAGAAAATTCTTGAACGAAATTCATCTATGCTGCAATCAAAATTATTAGGACAATTACTAAAGACGTTAAACTTTTCATTGATATAATAACGTAATATAATTAATTAACCAACGTATTGAGTGTAACAAAATAACATCACGTCATGAAATAGTACTTATTTTAATCAAAAGCTTGTTGGTATTATTTTAATTAAATTTTGAAATTTTCATTTAAAAAATATTTTCATTACTAATTTATAATACTATGAACAATTAAGCTTCATCGCATCGTTTAATGGACATATTTTTTTTAGAATTTGAATCTTTTCCCCTTTTTTTATAAAAATGAAATTTTTGATTAAATTTTTACTATTAGCGTGTGGAAAATGTGTTGGATTTAGATTTGAAAAACCAAGAAAGTAAAAAAGAGAAAAAAAAGAATGAAAAAATGGAAGGAGATGTAAGGCAAAAAAATAATGAAGGAACAAGGATAAAAAAAATTTCAAACTTTTTCTTAAAAAAAAAATAAAAAAAAGGGAACATATATAAATGCAAAACGTACGATTTGGTCACTATGAGTTAGGAAAAAAAACTAGACTGGATGAATAAATCAGGTGAATGAAAATGAAAAACGTATCGTCGACTACTTTTATATAAAACCTATTTTGTATTAAAATACTTTTTTCTTTTTTTTGTTTTGGATTTCTTTTTCCTTTTTATAAATTTATATATGTAGGCGTTGTATGTAATGGTACGTCTTTCAATGGCCTAAAAATGACATTTCGTTTTTTCATTAAGTTCATCACTTTTTTTTCTCTTTACAAAATATCAATGAATGAATGAAAATAAAAAGAAAGATAAAAAGAAGAGAAAAGATATTTATATACATAGGAGAATTCTTAAAATAAGAACTTGACCATTGCATATTTCCCATGTTGAATTTTATGCAGCACACAAATTAACTGCGTGCATTTTAATTGACTTTTTTTGTTTTTTTTTAATTTCAGAAACTATAAATTTAACATGAATAATGACATACATAAAAATCATAATTACGATTAAAAAGAAAAAAGGAAACAAAATTTTAAAGGAATTTTAAAACTTTTCAAATTCGAACAGAATAATATAATTCAAAAGATTTGAAAAGAATAAGAACAATTGAAAATTGATATTTTTGATACTTGATATATATAAATGAATTAAACAAATGGCATATATATTAGCGAATTCTAACCATTCAAGAAAGGATGAATTGATAATGTGGCGTTCGAACTGAGTTAGGAAAGTAAATTGAGCATCAAAATGTCGTAATTTCAAAACAAAGAAAAAAACTAGTATGACAAACTTAATATAATACAGCATAATGTAGCTTGCACAAATATTTGTCGCAACAGTAGACGCACCGACTCTTACCAATTACAATTTGATGGACTGTATCGATAATCCTTATCTTTCTTCAAACATAGGCCTTTTAGTTATTTTAATATAATTCGTTTTACATCACATTGATGAAGACCTAAAAAATGCTGATCTAATTAATTTAAAAATATTTTGAATAGTTTCTTGAATTAAGGCTAGATAAGCTACGAACACATCACTTCAGAACCATTTCAAATGACTCAAACATTATAAGTTTAAGAATTAATATAAATGCAACATAAATTTTTGAATACTAACTTGGACTAAATTTCTCGACATATAATCTTCCTGATGATGTTATAGTGTGTCAATCGATGAACCATACGAAAATTTTCATAGCTTCATTGCGTAAGTAAAACGATCATAATATTACAAAAACAATCATGGCAAATTTTAGAATTACAGGACATGAAAACAGTAGAATATACCTAATAAGGGATGTATATATGGTTCTAAAAATCTCTTTCCATTCTTATTCGTAAAGAAATTAAATCTCATCAAATTATTTGAAATCAAAAAGTAATCATACCATCCATTTGAAAATGGATTTAAAAATTTTGACATATTGTTTCATTTAAATCCACGTTCACCGAAATGCATTTGCAAACTTACGGATAGTTTGAAATCATTATTTAGAAGTTTTGAGTCAGTACAGATTTACAAGGTACTGAAATATCTTCGAACGGTAGAATATCTGCTACGTATATTTTTCAACAATTTCCAAGCATATAAATTGAAATCGCAAGGTTGGAAATAATACAAACAGACTATCAATTCTAATCAAACCAGTTGGAATGACAGTTTACGGATAAAATTACTAATACAACAGACAATAAGTGCAATACCATAGGTAGTACAGGAACTCACACTGCTGGAATCATTTCATGTATATATTCAAATATATACATAGGCGATTAATCGTCTCAAATCTGGAGGAAATTAAATATATGGAGTTCATAAATCTACACTGCACAGAGATCCTTAGATTAAAGCACAGCACATATGAAAAACAAAATTTGGTTCAAAACCTGAAAGCAATTCAACGTTAAATCCATCAGTTACAATCCAGAATCTTGTCATTTAAAAAGACTTAATTCTTCTAAATCCACTGAAAAAAAAAAAAATTAAAGTAATATGATCCATGTTTAAATCCCATACCGTTGCTATTGGTAAAACAAGAGCTTTCAGTATGTAGGACATAGATTAAAATGTAATAAAATGTGATCTGAGATTTGATCTTAGGTTGTATCATTCATTATCAAAAGGTAGAAAACATTTTTGATATCTTTGAGAAAACAAAACATATTACAAAATAAATAGAAGTAAAAAATTCATAATCTCCAAAAAAATACCTAAAAACTTTAAACTATTAAACACTACTGATCGGACTTTACTTCCAAGTTGCCGAGGTCAAAAGTAAGAATTGGTCGCCGAGGTCGTTCCATAAGTAAATCTAAAACAACAATTTTTTCTGGAAATTACTCGACAAATTAATCATATTTTATTCTGTGCCACTGAAATAAGCAAAAAATCGTAAATCTCTCTTAATACATAATTAAATTCGATTTGGTAAATATAATATCCAGTTACCGTCAAGGACTGTCGACCATGGTAATGTGATGTACGTTAAGAAAGCATTCAGTGGCGTACTTTCAGCTCTTCGCCTCTCTCGAAGCCAATGCCATGCTTGACCAAAGCCTCGAACCGACCACAAACGGCTCATCATGCCTTCATTTAGCACTAAACGAACAAATACAACTGTAAATCACTATCATAATATTTAATAAAAAATATTACACCAGGATATTACTCCTAACATCCTTCGCAGAAACTATCGCAAAGCCAACTAGATTTTTTTTAATCGCAGCAATAACGATATACACTTTGAGAGCTGGAATTACAGTGATTGCTAGTACCAGACTTTTCCCCTCACTAATGGATTTAAATTGTACTCATTCCCATAACTGGCCTTAAAGAGAACGTTACAGAATAGCAACTCAAAGAGCTGCAGCAGCGCTTTTCGCTAGAAAAAAAAAATAAAACAGAACAACGCCACCAATTACAAAATTTAGCCTGAGCTACCTAGCAGAAAAGTTCGAATCAACAACAAGTAGTCATCTCACATCATAAACGCTCCACGAATCGCATTTCTTTAGAAATTGTTGCTGAAGATGTTAAAGATGTTTCGCCTTACTCGATATATTCTCAGTTTTTATGTTTTGTATCATTTGCTTTCATCTCTTCCCAGTAATTTACTTGATATTTTCTGTGAAAATTATAGAACTCAAAAATGATTTGCCGTCTTCTCTGCCTTCAAATTGCTAAATTCATATCAAAATTATTTGAAAAACGAAATGATGAGCATTGGAACATTATGCATTGATCTTTCTGACAAACCACAAAAAACTAATGTTCTAAAGGAATAACATTTTTAATCTGAAATGATAGTTAAGCAACGTTTCCTATTATTTCAACGAATTATGATTATGGTCCAACATAAAAGTTCATACCATCGTCAATACTACTAGCTTCAACTTCTCGATACTGATTTAAAGTGTTCGTTTCACTTTGCCAACGTCGTCCTCTACTAGCAACATGCCCATTTGATAATCCAGATGTCACCATTAATCGTTGCGGGTAATGACTTAAATTCGTATCTGACATGCGTCGTACCCCGCACTGTCCTAACTTAAAACATGTGATATTACAAATAAATTTATATAAAAGCTTTTCATAAGGATTGAAGAATTAAAGAAGTTTCAATGAAATAAATCAAGGCGAAGTGTCTCTAAAAAAAAAACCAGTAAATTTATATGCAAGCTCAAATAAATTTTCTGCAACGAATGGAAGAACTAAAAACTTACACCTTCAAAATTTAACGACTGTTCTGACAAAGGTGTTTCATAGCCACAATTTGGAAGACGCATGACTGCCATCTCTGCATAGCCTACAAAAGCATTCCTAACATAAAAACTGTTGCAATACGATTGCATCATTTTTGTTACTTAAGTGTGACAGCAGTTAAGAACACTAAATTAAATAAATAAGGATGATAAATTAAGTGAAGCACTCCATACGTTTATGGAAATCATAATATAATCCTTTAAGCATAATAAATAAATAAGCACAATTATACCTTTCCCATGTGGACCTCTCATTCGAACGAATTCACGGCGTCGCTGATTCGGAGTAATAAGTTTCTGTGCCCACTGCCAAGAGAAAGATGCCTAAATATAGAAGTGAACTTTCTTTTTCAACCAAACAGCACAAATCAAAAATGCAACCGTCTAAGAAACAAAGTCAAAACAAATAAATACAAAATATTTAGCATACTCGCGTATCGTATGCTTGCTTCAAAACTTCGTATCGAATTGAACCGAGAAAAATAACTGCTTCACAATTTTTGCATCTATCCTTCGCTACTAATTCAACGCAAACGCATTCACCATCACGAACAACTATATCACTAAAGATCTGAAACTAATGAAAAGTCAACGTGAAAATACGTCAAAGATTAATAAACAAAAAATAAACAAAAAATCGACATCTACTCTTTTAATATCATAAAACTAACAAACTAAAAAGATTCACAGGGAATCAAATGAAAAATAACCTGTTCAAAATCATCTATTGCAAAATAAATTTCTGGATAAGTAATTTCTTCACATTCGCCCTTGCTATCCATCCGTCGTTTACTTGGTGAAGGGTACACCCGCTGAAAATTCATCTATCTCCTACGAGAAATTACAAGACACTGACTGACTCTCCAAAATAAAACTTTAGATATGCTTTTTTTGATGTATTGGCAAAATTTTTTAACTTAGATATACTAGCAAAACATTTTTAGATATACTTATATATTTGTATAGCTGAATATACTTAAAAAATTTCCTTTTCTAAACTTCTGAAATTTTTTGAATTCGGATGTGCTAGCAAGAAAAAAAGAATATTGAAGAAACCTTACTTGACAATTTTTACGCAAAATTTGCAAATTCTGTGGACTAGTTTTAATACAAACAGCACAAGTAACTTGGAAATCCAACTGAAATGTATTTCTCCAAATTCTGGGAAAACTATTTTTTTTTTTTTCGCCAAAACCAATCAACCTAATTTTCAATTCTAAAAACTGATCACTTTAAGAAGTTCCATGAAGTAATGAGAATAAATATGACACACTAATTGCAGTTTTATGCCTATATGCCAATGAAAATTTCCTTTATGGTAATCAAATTGCAATTTTATGTAAGAAACATAAACTCCACCTTACATTTTAACCTTAAGTAACTTATCTGGGAAATATCAAATGTTCTGCACATTACTGGGTGCAGCATTTCGGTGGAACGCACCTGTTGAAGGATAAGGTTTAAACAAACGGTTTCTTCCCAGTTTATCGAAGGATCATTGAGCACCGGTTTATTAGGACTTTCACGTCTGTATACTTGAAGCTGACCATCCTAAACAAAGTTAAATATTACATCCACAACTACAGAGCAACATATATAGACTCACTGATTAACAAATAACAGAAAAAGCAAAATAATAACAAACAGAAAATAAATAAAGTAGAATTAAAAATCTTTCATAAAGAAACATGTAGCTATGAATTACAGGTAGTGTAGACCGGAATAAAATTTTGCACTTAAACATTAAATTTGCACTACTGTATAAATTCAGACACACTTCTGTTTCAATTCGTCTCGAACTCAGGAAAAACGAGGTTATGTGCAACTTACTCCTTGACCAATGCAAAAGTCTCGACTGATTTGTTGAATAGATACGTACCAAAGCATATCATCACTATGTGATGCATAATTTTTTGCATTGCAGTAAGCGTTTCCAGCAATAAAATCAGCAAAAAGTTTGCACCACTTTCGTTCATGATTTGAGATAACTTCATAACCTTTATCTGCATTAAAAAATAAATCATGTGAGATAAAACAGTGCTGTTTTCTGATTGACTCGGCCACTGGACACTTGGAATCTGAGTCCAAAGTAATCGCACATAATAAATAGTGGTGTCATTTTTCCTTTTTTTTTTTTAACGCAGTAAAATATTTGACAATTATGAATATATGAATGACTGAATTCGGGGAAATGTTATATTCAAGTATGAATATCGGGAAAAAAATAAACTTAAACTAACCAAACGTTAGTTGATTTTGTCTCAAATTCGAGATTCTTTTCAGAAGTTCGTCGAATGAAGTGCAATGATCTGAAGCTGTTGCTTTATGCGTATTCTTCAGCGTATCACATCCTTCATTCATGGATTAATTCCTAAAACGGAAATCCGGGAATATTGATTCTAAAATTAATCGGAAAACCATATTCAACGGAAAACAAATAAAAAAACACAAAAAATTCGGAAAAAAAAAAAACGGGACACAAGAAAATCCAGTTAAGACCAATTGAGCAATACAATAAAAAAAGCGGAAATGCATGAATGGGAATTTTTTCGCAGACGACATGATGAAAAAATTAAGTCTCAAACTACTTGTAGTTGCATTTTAAAATGGCAATTATTAGTTTTATTCAGATTTGGGAATTTGCTTGTTTACATTAATTAATCAATCAGTTGTCCCCATTCACTTACATATATGCAGAATTTTGAGTTCATATTTCAATAAAATAAGAAATTCGGATGTTTTATTGTTTTATTATTAATTAAATGCGAATTAACATTATTTGGGATATTTATTTTATGTAAACTTCTAAAATTCTAAAATGTTTGAGAAAAATTTATTGCATTTCGAAACAATGTTTTTTAAATATAATCTATTAGCAGAGGATTAAGGATGGAGAAGAAAAATTGCGGATTAGATTGATCATTTGTTGCGATTATTATTATTGTTTTTTTATTTAAAGATTTTGATTTTTTTTTTTATCTCAACTAATTTTTTCTTTTTTATATAGTTTTAATGCAGTATTTTTCAGAATCAGCCATATAAACATTTTTGCATTAATATTTTTCGTAAATTAACAATGTTATCTCTCTAAAATATTCCATTCAAATAGCTATTTTTCTTATCATAAAACCAAACATCTTTACTGGGCTTCAATTTCCTAAAACTTTTACACCAACTTCTGCACTTATTTGTAATGCAAAATTTGTTATTCATCTAGCAGCAAAACGATATATCAATGTAAGGCTCCGCCAAAAAAAAAGGGAAAAACAAATGAACACGCAAGCCTAAAGCAAGAAAACCGGACATTTGTCATACCTTTCTATTTCAAGAAAGTCAGTTTCACCACACATATCGAAAAACTTAGTTGTTGAATTTTTAATTAAAATGATAAGCAAGTTCTCAAAATTTTTTCTCGAATTTTCAATTAAAATGATGAGTAATTTTAAACTTACACAGAAAAAAATGAAATTTTTTGTTTATGCTTGATATCATAGGTATTCCATGCATTGATATTGTATTTGATGAGAGATTTACACTTATTCTATGATGCTTAACAATCCTTACAATCTAATCACAAATTTTCTGTCAAATACAATACGAATCATCGGAAACAATTATTATTGTAATAACTTATTTATAAGACTAATTTTTTTTTTTGAGAAATACATTTTGGTCGTACAGATTTAGTGAGAATTATTTGATATGTCGTCTAGCTGCATTATCAATAATTCGCAAATGACAATTTTGTTTTCTTGATAGCAAAGTAATTAAATATTTGACGGCTCAGTCCTCGTAAAGTTACGTAATGACAGTGTTACGTTTCTTGCAATATTTCTATTTATCATCACTTATTTTGCATCAGATGTGTTGAATAAAGTGCATGTGGATGAAGCCTTACCATGTATTTTGTGATATATGAAGTTGCTCCCCTTTTTTTTTCGATTAATTTGATTGTAATAAAGTCATTGTGATTGATTTAATTGTAGATAATCTTTCCTTTTGATAATTTTGATGATCAATTAAATAAATCCAGCGAAATGAAATTGTTGTTATAGTTACCAATAAACAATTCTTTCAATTAAATCCATCTATTTATAGCATAATTAGCGCAAAAGTTTCAGTCAGGGGTTATCTATTCAGTGGTAATTTTCTCCCATATCTTGATAAAAACTTTGATATAGTTTTCATTTAAGTTTATATTTCAAAACGAAAAAATAAATCCTTGCAATGTATTTTTCATTTCTTGAATACAGGATTATCCATATCGTTGAAAACAAAATTGACGAAAAATCTTTCAGGACAAGAACTCTTCTTTCATTTGATAATTAATTAATTGTTAATGCTTAATGATAGTATGTATGATTTGACCAATTAGGTTACTTTAATTTGCATTTCATTAACTGTAGAAGTTTAACGGTATAATCAATAATGGATTGTGCAAAATTGTTACATGACAAAATTATGGTATTTTAATGATATTCCAAAAAGAAAAAGAAGGAAAAATTTTTAGTTAAATGCATGTAAAAATGATTATTATTATTATTATTATTATTATTATTATTATTATTAATAAAGCGATGGTTTACTTAGTTTCAAGAAAAATGTCACTCGATGATGGGTGGGAGAGGAATGCGGAGAGAAGTGAGATAGAAAAAGGAGCACTTGAATGGATCGAAAGGTGGAGTTCTAGTGAGTACAGACGAATTGATAACTAAAACACTCCCACAATGATTTTCAGGGGATCATTTAAAAGCTAATATATCCATAGTACCGTTTCATCAAATAAACTTCGACATTCAAGAAGCGATGACCTGTGTCCCTTCTGTCTCCAATGCCTTTATTCAAGTGCTTTTGGTTATGGTTTTGGTCTCTCATGTGCTACCATTGCCGTTAGCAGCCCATCTTCCCGTGTATGAATCATTATATGATGTAGGTTAAATTTATCTCTAATAAAATTCCGATTTAAATTTCGCACTATTTATTAGTCAAATATATTAAATCTATCTTATAATGATGTTAAATATATTAAATATAGTTAAATATATTAAATCCATCTTATAATGATGGATTAAAATAAATCTTACCTGCTAATAATATCATTGAGCATCATCTTTTGAAAATTCCATTTTGCTTTTGATCATCCAATTCTTGAATCACACAGGTTTGATTTCAGAAGTGTCACCCTTCTCTATGTTTGATAAATATGAGGTATAATATTATATATTCCATGATTAGCAGAATTTAAGTGTATTTCTTTTTTACGATTTAAAATAATTTTCAAAGTTAAAGTTGGATTATAAGTGAGATGAAATACATAATTAGCAAACACGTCACAATCTCTCTACTAAGTCTTCAAGAATTTTATCGAGTGTGGATCAAACTGATACAGAGAGGACTAGAAATGATGTCAACGAATTATTTTCATCTTCTATATTTTCAAATTTTTACGAAAATGCTTCATATAAATATGCTTATGCATGTATTCATGAAATATATTCTAGGCTAAATTAGAAAAAAGATGCTTTGGAGTAAAATATACTATATTTTCGGAGATTTTTAAACTGCAGAAGGATGAAAAAAACAAGAATCATTGTTCACTTGTATCATTGTTCGAAATTATCTAATGCATTTTATAATTATATCATAATTCCGACACCTGTCTTATTCAAATACAATTAGATTTGTTACTTCATTGAAGATTCCATATTCCTTTTTTTTTTTTTTTTTTTTTTTTTTTTTTTTTTTTTTTTAATTTCGGTTTATAGATTTAAATTATATTAAGAAAGGGTAAACGAAGAATTTTTGCAACAACTAGAAATGAGTGATATGGGGCATAAAGGAAATACGAATATGCTAAATTGATTATGACAATGCTGCAATTAAGTCTAATTGTAGTGTTTTAATTGATACAAAGAAATTTTTAAAAGTACGAGATAAATCCAGTAACTTGCTTAATACTTATTTGTCTGAATAATTTCAACTTTTTCAGGAGCCACCATTGGCTGATTATAACTTTGTGCCATACTCAGGTATAATTTTCAACAGTATTATAATACATTGAAATATTGCAATACTAAAGATTCAGAAATGTCTTACTCATACATATGGAAAATCCTAACGACTAATTGTGAATGCAACTAGTGTAAAACAACTGTTTTAATTTGTAAATGTATCAATTTCTCTTCTCGTCTTTTCCATTTCTTTTTTTTTTCTTCATTTCTTCTATATTTCTTTAAATAATGTTGAATAAAAAAGCAGTGTGAGAGTTGCATAAGCAAATTTAGCTTTAGGAAATTTTTTTTTGTATTTTCAAAAAAATCCGTTCTAAATTTAGAAATTTCTCAATCAAAGAAAACTGAAATGTATCGTTAAACGTATCTAATGCGTTACAAAAATATAAAAATAAACATTAGATCTAATCGTGTCTTTTAAATGATAGAAATGTTTTTAAGCAAACACTGTTGCCAGGTGTAATATTTTAAAATAAACCTGGTTATTTTCAAATGTAACATGATACCAGTTTAAGAGAAATTTTTTGGTGCAGCAGTCAAAATGTCTAATTAGCCAAATTTCTAGAATAATCGCATAAGACATTTTATGCTTTGATGTTTATGTAATTAATCTTAAATTTAAAATGTTGTAGGATTGAGGAATAATGGTGACTGGATGAACGAGCCATTTCGAGCTGACAAACGCAAAAACGAATTTATTCGTTTCGGAAAAAGAGATGATTTCATGAAGTATGTTTTCCTGTCATATTGCATTTTTTTTTCTTGCAATTCAAATATGAGTTTGAATTATTTCCTCACAAATTAGTTTTTAACATAAGTAATTTTCACTAAAATACGAAATTTTTGTTTTTATAAAATTCGATAATTCAAGACTACGAAATTTTTATTTTTATAAAACTCAAAAATTAAAAAAATCAAAAAAAATTTTTTTTTCACTTGAATCAATAACAAACAAATTATTGCACATCCAAATATCCGTGTATTACGCCATGATTTACTCCAAATAAATAACTGAAACTTTTGATTTAACATAATTATGATTATTTTCAGTCAGGTGTAGCATAACAGCACATTTCACAATTTTAACAAAACAATTTTAAAATTATTAATTTTTGAAAAAAATTAATAATTTTAAATCGCATTTAAGTTTGTTTGCAGATTTAATAAACGAAAGAATGAATTCATCCGATTCGGTAAACGTTCCATCAACTGAAGATGTTTTTAAAATTTCGGTTCATTTCACGGATTTATGGTTTTTGTATTTGATAAATCGCATCATATCATTATGTTCAACATTAAATTTGTGGAAGTTGCATTTTAAACATTTAAATAGCATTTCTATTGGTTTCAAATAAAACATAAAATTTACATTTTCCTGAAATTCATTGTTATTCACTGCCTGAATCGTCTTTATTTTTCGTATTTATGAATAGCATACATACAGATATGCATGTTTACATTCACTTACAGTTTATGATGAATTGAACGAATGAAACTATCTATTTCACGTATAATTATATTTTAAAAATTAGCAAAAAATTTTCATCAAGTCAATGAATACTCTTCTCTTCTCATTTTCTCTTTTTTCTCTCGTCACATTCTTGAAACTATTTCTAACACTTTCAGGTAGAGTATAGAATTCTAATTTGACAATTAAAAAAGAAATTTAATTTTTGTTATTAAAATATTAATATTCATTTGTTTTTTTCTTCATGCATGTAGTTCAGTAATTCAAATAATGAAATATCACAGCAAAAGATTTGTCTTTTTATACGCTTTTTATTACTATTTTTTCTTTTCATTTCATAACTCTGTTAAATTAATTATTAAATTTTAATCCAAAAAAAGGATTTTTTTTTTCATATTTTCTGGCTATAATTCTATTTCTTTGCTGTAATTTTCATTTTAGAAATATTGTAAAATAGCTTCCTGTTATTTTGAGTTTATTTAAAAATTTATCACTGGCATTTTGATTACTATCGAAATTTTTTCTTTTTGCACTTAAGGTTTTATGATTTTTCTTTTTCCTTTTTTTCCTTAAAAAATTCAAGATTAAATTTGAAATTTTTAAACTATAATGTTTTTCTATTTTAATTTTTTTAAAAATTAAACAATTTTTGATTATAATTTTTGATTCTGAACAATTTTGTGGAAATATCTGAAATATAAATTAATATTAATAATAAATGTATATAACAATTAACAAAAATTGTTGGTGGGAAAATGATAAAGAAATTGATAACAAATCGAAATTATTTTAATAAATCAAAATATCTAGTAAAACTGATCAAAAAAATCGACAAAAAGTAAGTTACTTAACGTCAAAAATTTTTTTGCCCATGTCTGATATCAAGCAATATAACTCAAAAAAGCCTTTTGGTTTTGTTTTATATATTTTATTATTCAATAACTGAATTATTCGTTATTTTTTCCGTATCCAAACCTTTAAATATAATTTATAATAAGCACTAACTCGATTAAGTTTATCTAGCTGTACAATTAATTAAAAAAAAAAAAAAAAAAAAAAGGGAAAGAAAATGAAAACATTAACCTTTCATATTTCCAAGTAGCTATTTCCTTAATTTTAAAAAATTGATGGATTTGACAAAATAATCGAACAAAGCTATATAAATAAATAAGGTTTTTTTTTTCTCTTTTTATAGAAAAATTTAAAAAATTGCTTTGCTTTCTTGCTCAAATTCAAGAAAAGGAAAAAAAAAAAGGAAAAAAGAATTGTCAAAAAGAAAAAAAAGCGAAAGGAACGTCGCATAATGCAAGCAATCATCATCTTTAGCTAAAATGATATAATGCTTAATTAGTTTGATATAAATACGAAGAATAAGCATAATTAATATATATTATATTACTTTTTCTCTCATCAAATTTTCGTTAACTTCTTATGATATAAAATAAATAATTTGTTTTGAATTCAAAAAGAAAAAAATTATGTATTATACGATAATTATTTCCCATTTCTTTTTTCTTTTTTTCTTAAAAATTTATGAGAATTAGCAATTTTTATTAGTTAAAATATGAACTAATAATTTTTATTTCACTTAATAATCTAATATATTTATGTATTTTTATTTTCAATCAACACAAATTAGTACATGCTAAACAAAAAATGTTCTCAAAAAAAGTACTGGAAAATAAATGATTTTAAAAGCCTCATCACTTCACGCTGTGTTAATCATAAGTAAAAAATTATGGATGATTTTTATTATGGTTAAAATTATGGTTTTTAAAATGAGATTTCTAAAATATGCTTAATTTATGTTGCATTTAAATTTACATTTTGAAACAATTTTACAAATAAACATAATGATAAACAAACGGAAACAATATAAATTTACATTAAAAACTTCAATTTCTATTTTTCAATTAAATTTTTCATCAAATATTTTTACTGAAATCCTTATCAAATAATCAAATCATTTTATGAATTAAATAAAGTATTTTAATAACAAATTGATCTAAATTATGGTTGACTCTACTATTATTGGAAAATGCATAAAAATGAATGATTTATTTACAAGTAGCTAATGTAAAAAATATGAAAAACGAAAAACTAATCATTTACAATGTTTTTTTTTCACAAATTTTAGCTTTTAACTTATGCCTTTTAAGAAAAAAAATTAAAAAATTACTGCTCTAATTTTAAATCATTAAAAAATTTCTTTCCGTTTTTTCCATGTTTTGTTAACTATTTTTCATTAATGCAAGTACAGAGGAAAAAAATCCTATTTATGGCTAATTTTTTGCATTTTTTTTCTGATTTTAACAATCTATAGGAGAGTTTTTAGTCAATTACTTGAAAATGTACAGAAATAATAGACTTAAAAACCATAATTTCAAGAATTTCTATTACCGTAATTCGTTTTAGAAAAAATTTTCTTTTGAACAGAGTGGATGGCAAAGAGATCGAGCACAGAGCGCACTAATATGGTTATTAGCTAATTTATCAATTCATCTATTAATGTAATGTTTTCCTGATGCGTTATCTTATATTTCTTATAATATAGATCTTATTTCAAAATCACACCTGAAATGAAAATGAAAGAGATAAGGGTAAAGTGAAATAACGAGTTAGATAGCAATATCTTTTAAAGAAGATTAATTAAATATTTAAGAAAGTAACAATCCTACAAAAAATTTATTAGTTTTTAGAAATATGACTTTAAATAAATTGAACCAAATTAAAATTTAGTGATTTAACGCATAAATATGAATAAATATATCAATTTTATTTAAATACACATTTCAGATCAAATGTTAGGCCCGTAATTTTTTGCAAATAAATAATTACTAGAATTTATGTCCATAATTTGCAATCTCAGAACAATAAATTTCAGCAATTTCTGAAAACTATGATATTTATTTGATAAGAACAGAAAATTTTATCTTTGCACGGAGCTAAAAGTATTATTTTAAGTTAAATATTAAATTAATTAAAATGAATATGATTCCTCACCTATCAATTTTTGTTACTTAAGAAAAAGAAAAGAGAATTTTCGGCAAAAAAAATACTACGCATTTTGTTTTCTCCTCAATTTACAAAAATTTCGAATAAATTATATGTAGCTCAGAAAGTAAAATTTAAATACAGTTTTTTACTGCACGAATCTTCTGGTTATTTGCACTATTCACATTCTGTACTAAAATGATAATAAAATAACTAAATCAAATAAAATCACTATCTGAACAAGAAAAAGATGAATTCTTCAAAATTGAACTCTGAATAACCACTTAGTAATTTGTTTATTGCTTGATTTATTCCCTAAAAATAGAATGTCACGGATACAACACAAAATAATTAATTTACACAAGATTTAATTTACAAAAAAAAAAAAAAATCAGTCAGCTTAAAAAATTTTTCTATAACAAATTTAATTTTCACATAAACTTATTACTCCCATGATATCTAAAAAATTGTCTCGCAAACACCTTTTTTTTGTTTTTGTAAGAAACAGGGAGAGAAAAAAAATGCTATGGAATGAAATTATTAAATAAAAAATGTCCAAAATATTTACAGAAATCTTTTTTTCTAAAAAAAACAAAAAAAAACACGTAAAAATAGAAATCTGAATAGTAATGGTGGATGGTGAAAGAAATGGATTGATGATGCATTGAAATAAGTGCAATTATTTTCACAATTAAGAATAATTAGTTTCACTCATTAAAAAGCTTTCAAGATTCTTGCTGGACCATTTTATGGTTACTTGAGAGAAAAGAAAATTACATTGTAGTGCAATTACACGACATTACCAAAAAATGGAAAAAATGATTAACTTTGTTTAAATTCTTATTTTATGGCAGCAGTTTTTACCATTTATGCTTATTTTCAACGAAAAGATCAAAGATATAACCAAAATTTATTTGCATTTCATAAAACTTAGAAAATGTAACAGAAATTAAGCATTTTTTAAAAATATTATAATAATGGCAAATTTCTTCAGCAGTAATAGATTTAATTAATTAGGGATGCTTTAAAAAATATAAAATTATTTAGCTAAATTTATCCGATTTTTTTCACCATATTCATAACAATAATATCAACAATAGTTTCAACAATAATTAATAATAACAATAATATTATTATTAGTGATAATAATATTATTTTTAACATAATAATAAATAATAACAATAGAAAAACGAGGTCATACTATTATTAATAACAATATTAATAATAATATTATTATTAATATTAATAATGATAAGTAATAATAATATTCAAAATTGAACTAAACAATAGTTGAGGCTAATTTTTTCTTTTTTCTGCTTTTTTTTAATTATGTTTTAAGCAAGGTCGTCATTTGTTTTTTATTTTTGGGAGTGGGTGAAACATATTTTAGGGAATGAATTGAGAGCAGTTTAAAACCTCCGCCCATTTTACCCCTAAAACAATCCTTATATGCCAATTCAAACTTGTAGTCATACATTTCCTGCTAGCTTTTTCATGATGACCACGTTTATTTCTTTCATTATTTTTGTTTCGGCAGTTTTTTCTCAAAAAATTCGTAAGTTTTGTTTTCTTTTTTTTCAAGGCTAATTAAATTAGACGAAATTTAACAAATAGAATTGAAAGAAATAAAAATGAAAAAGAGAAAAACGATAGTTTTGATTAAACAAAGAAACAAAAATTAATCATTTTAATTGAATTAATCAATCAACGAAGCAAAGCAAAATGAATAAATATGACTAATATAAAAAAATTGATTTAAATATTTATTAAATGAAGTGTGAAACCAATACAATTGTTAATAATTAATTGAGATTTTCTAATAATTTATTTAATGAAAATGTAACTATAATTTTGATTATTATTGTTACCATTATTATTATTGTTACATAATAATAATTATTATTGTTATTCAAATGAAAGAAAAAAATTTTTATTCTAATTTTTTTAAGTATATAATTGCAGAAGGTAAACGAACACATGAATTGTTAGAACCCATAGCTTACAATAGAGGAAGTGATCGTGAACTTGTTGCAAAAGCAGAAGAACAACTGCTGAATACTTTATCGTTGCTTGAAGCTTTAGTCGACGGTAAATTTTTTTCTTCCTCTTTTGTTCATGTTTTTTGAAATATTATTTCGAAAAAAAAAATGGCATTTTATTATTTATACTAAAAATTAATGATTACTTCATTTTGATAAATTTCAACCTTCTAAAACAAAGATTTAAATAACTTCCAGTATTTTTAGGAGAAATAAATTTTGTTATCTCAATTATATCAGTATGAAATTTTCTTCTTTAGTTTGTGGATAGAGTGGTATAAAATATAAATTCTTAAAATTTTTGATGAAATAATTTCTAATTATTGAATGTGATCAAATGCAATATATATTTCCCAGTATATTATTTAAAACTTTTTTCATAATTTTCACGTTAGAATTGTCAATAATTAATTTTTTTCTGTTATTTGCTTCAGGAAAAAGTTATAAAGACGATTATAATTTTAGCACAAAAATTACAAATGTTTTATTTTGCAACAAATTATAATTTTATTATTCTCACTGCACATTATCATAATTTCTTATCACTTATATTTTCAATTATTATTTTAGCATTCATTCATTTATTATTGCTATTAATAGCATTACTTTGCACTTCTATTACATTATTTTAAAATCTAAAGTTATTTGGCATTAATTATAATTATACATTCAGTTTCCATAACCTTCAAATGAATGATGTAAAAGTTCGAATTCTTTAGTTTATAATTTGTTAAATTTTTTCTCGATCCAACATTATAAATTCCAAAAAATTCGATTCTATACTTTGTCCAACACTTTTTCTCCTCCTTCTCTTCTGAAATTTGAAACATTTTATAAAAATTTGTTCAAATTATATTAGCTGTGTGTGTTGCTCAAAGAACACGTGAATGTTCTTTCTGTTGTTTGAATTCTGTGGCAATGAGTAAACAAACAAACAAAAAAGACAACATCAATTAATTGATATTATTTTATTTACTATTACTTAATGTATTATTTATTATTGCTTAATATATTACCTAATAATATTTAATATAAAATTGTAAGTTTCAAATATTCTGAAAAAATATTATATTAATAAGAAAATACTGATTTAGTTAAAAGTGCAAACATTTTAATATAACAAAAAAATTTCATTTATTACTGTTTTAAAATGTCAAATAATAAGATATTGTAATTGCAATTATGATTTCATAAATAATTGGTAAATGAAAAAAATAGGGAAAAGAAGAAAGAAAATTACAATGTTTGTTAGTTATTTTAATGATCAAAAATAGAGAAGAAAAAAAGAAAGAAAAAGAAATGTTTAATTTATATAACTTGTCTGAATTTTTTTTTGTAGGATATAAGATAAAAATTTTTTGAAATTTTACAAAATAACATTTGCTGCACATTATTGAGGTAAAAAAGAGAAAGAAAATCAGAAAAAAGGAAAGAAAAGAAGTAAGGGATAAAAGAATAAGTTTAGTAAAAAAAAGCCAGTGATTTTTTTTTTTTTTTTTGTTTCACTTCAACAATTTGAAATGTATTTCATAAGTATTTTATCAAAAGATTTTGTTTTTTTTCGACATATTTAAGAATGACTGTTAGTTTGAATGGAAAGATGAAAATTGTCAAATTATAATTGATCATTGTATCAAATGTGCTTCGAATGTGCTTTAAGCTATGAAATATTTATTTTTATTTATCCTTAAATTCAAAAAAAGAACAATTGGATTTTTTTTCTATTTTTTCTTGTCTGTATAAATAAGAATTTTTGAAGTACTCTTAAGTGAATGTTTGTGTTAATGATGAAGTATGCATGCTTATCTTTCAATAAAGTGAAAGAAATTCGATTTTTGAAAAAGCTTTTTTTAGAAATAATACCATTTTATGATTGAATTTCACGAAAGGCTTAGGATAACTTGACATTTTTTTTTTAATATTTTAGTTTAACTAATTACCATCTATCAGGTTATTATGATATTAGTAGTTTGAGTTTATAGTCATCTACGGATTAAATATAGAAATGAAAAATCATATGGCTTAGAAACTGAAGCTAAGAATAAATTTATTCATTACTATGATGATTGCAAAATTCAAATCGAAAGAAACTTCAATTTCAGAAAATGATTAATTTTTCTTTTTTAGTAACAAAAAAAAACATCTTGTTTACTTTATTCATTAGAAAACACCAGTGCTACTTACATTATCTAATTTTTGTTTCACTGGTTTCAGATGTTTTGTTTAAAAATTTATATGATGCACTGCAAACGTAAAAAAAATCAGAAAATATTATAGAAATTTTAAAAGATATTGTTAGAGCGCCAAAAATTCTAAACGACGTTTTAATAACTTTTAAAAGTCTCAAAAGATATTCCAAACATTACAAAATCATATTTGTATAATAATATGAATACAAAAATGACAAATGAAATTAAACCTTTATCTTATCCAAAATAATCTTCGTATCATTTATAAGAATTATTAATCATTTTAAAATTTATTGATGTTTTATAATAGCTCTAGGAAATAGCGGTAGAAAATCTTATAATACTTACAAAATATATTTGGGCTAACTCATGCATATTATTGAATTTATCATGAATATTATGGTAGATAAACAGTAAAAACATAATTTCTGAAATACATTTTTCTTTTTGATAAACGATGCACAATTGTTGTAATTATCCACTTCTCTTTTTTCTCTTCTTCTCTCTCTTTCTCTTTTTTCCCTTTCTCTAACCTTTAAAAATGGTCAAATTTTATGGAAGAAATAAATTTACATAAAATTTCATTCTTATATCTGAAGAAATTATTTTAAAAACTTCGAAATTTGGCATTTATTGCTTTTTTCTTTAAAAAATAATTTTCTTCAAAAGAAATAATGATCATCCTAATTATATTGGAAAATTTAACTTCGTCAATTTAATAAATTTATCGTAAAATTAGCTTATTTTATTAACTATGACTTTAAAGATTTTTTATTATAACTTAAAGAATATTAGTCAATAAACTAAATATAGTAATAAATTACCCAATTCATTTCATTTTTCCAGCATTTATTACAATTAAGAATTAGTTTATGCAATGTCATTAGTTCTATGATTTTATCCACAAGATTGCACAATTTTGATCATTTCTTTTTCCAATTTCTTTTCCTATTCGTCATTCTAAATTTAACTTGTCAAGCACTTAAAATTACATTGATGGGCCTTGTTGCATGTTAAGTAAATGTCGTTATTTCACGATACATTTTAGGAATACAAATGATGACATTTTTTTGAGATAGTAACAATCTATCGCAATGATAGAAAAGAGAATTTTTTGAATTCTAGTTAATATGATAAATGATAGGAAAAAGGAAGAAAAAAGAAAAAAATAGAATCAAAATATATCATTTACATTTATATAATTTTTTCTTTTAAAGGCATTTTTTTTTTATTTTACATGAATATTTTATTTATGGTAAAGTTTCATTTTTAAGAATAAAAGTATCTTCTAATTTAGAAACTCGAAATATATTGACATATGTGAATTGCTTATAAATAATTATGAAAATAAGTGTTTAAATTTTATGAGTTTACTACTATTTTTTTATCGAAAGTTTAATGCAAATTGATTATACCATATTTTTAAAATTATGTTTAATTAAAACACTTTGTAGATTCGAATCAACTACAAATGGAGAAACGACGCAACAAATTTGAATTTATACGTTTTGGTCGTCGATAGTATCGTTTATGTCTTTTCGATATTTTTCACGTGATAAAACTGTATTGTGGAAGTTCAGTGGGCATAAAAATATTGATACTATGCATTACATTTGCGTAGACAACATTTCAATTAATGAAATTTTGGCGGTTCATTTATAAATATATCAATGACAATTTCATATACAATTAATATCATTTCCGAATATTCATTATGACTTATTATTATGGATAGCATTTTCTTTTTTTTTTGATACATGGAGCATTAGATTTCATACAGCTTATAGTAGTAAACCTTATAGTAGTAAACTTCCTGCAGTATCAGACTTCTTACAGTATCAGATAGCATCAGATTTCTTAAGAAATCAGACTGTTAAACTTGCAGTGTATCTATTAAAATGACAGTACCAAACTTATTTTATCAAATCTTGAAATATGTATTACAAAATTATTTGCATCCATACTATCAAACCATAATACTGAAATGAGTAGATGATAAAACAATAATTTGCCATACTATACTCGAAATAAAAGATTAAAAAAAAATAGAATCTTAAAGCATATGGTATAAATCAATTATATATATATATCGGATAAAAACGTGTAAAAATCTATAAATCATTTGATAACAGCAAAATTTATGGATTATTATATTGTTATGATTATAAATCCACTATTATATTGAAATTTCATCCATCATTGACTTTAGTATTTAATATAAAATCATCTTTTTTACTCCACATTCATTCATGATAATTGGAAGAATTGGAAGATATAAAGTTAGGTTTGGATAGGAAGAGATGAAATGGTAAGCATTATTATATTTTAATTAATCAAATTTCATACATTGTAATGAAAGTTCAAGAAATTTTATAAATAAATGGTGAAAACAAGCAGCGATTTAAAAAATTTCATTCAGAAATTTAAGACAACTGCAAATGTTCGGGAAGCTTTTTCTTCTTCAAAAAAAAAGCTAATAGTTAAAACTGTCATCAAAATTTCATCCCCAAATTTAGCCTACTGGAATGTTTAAATTTGTCACAGCACCATAAAAAAGCTACAAAAACGAGAAATAATCAATAAAGAGTAAACATGAAAGTTTTTTAAATTTACAGTCAAGATAAGTTCGCGCTATTTGAGTTTAATCATTTGACAGTAAACTCCTTTAAATTAGCAATGTTTCCTGATTTGATTGAATAATTTTTTCTCATCATTATCTTTTCTTCTTTAAAATTTTAATTTTTCAAATCAATTCAAAAACTAAGTGGAAATTAAAGGGTTTTTTGTTGCAAATGAAAAATGATTTTTCTTGACATCTAACTATTTTATGTAATATAAAAGTTGTTCAAAATTTTCTACTTCTATCCCGATTAATGACCAATTTCAAAATTATAATAATTAAAAATAATAAAATTAAACACCACTGTGATGAAAAAGGAAATGCTTAAAAAAATATAGAACAGTCTCATTTATTATATTTCTTAAGATATACATGTTCAATATTAATATCTAATCCTAATTTTTAGTTTAAAAAATTAAATGATATCTAAATCTAATATCTATCTAATATCTCAAAATTACCTTAAATAATTTACTTAGCTCAAAACAATATATATTTGGTATTAAAATATATAAAAATTAAAAAAATATCCATTTCAATTCAATATTATATCTATTCATTTACTATATAAAACGCATGATAGAATATAAACTGCCATGGAAACAAATCAAGCTGATACTGATCAGTTTAAACTACGTTGATTTTAAAATACATACATCATAACGAATTTCTTTTTTGCTTTTTTTTTTTAATTTGATGTTTTGCTTATTTTTTTCCTTTTTTTTTTTTTTTTTTTTTTTTTTTTTTTTTGGAATAAAATAAATCGAATGGAAAAAAAATGAAATATGATAAACATATGATAACTGATAAAATGTTTCATAGTAACACTAAATGCTTCCATAATGTCTTAAACATTCCTTAATTTTGCTGAATTTTAAAAATATTTTTAACTAAATATATCAATATATATATTATAATACTTGCGGTATGCCTATGCTGTTTGCATATGTACGTGTATGATAAGTAATGATTACTGATAAACAATTTTATCTGTACATCAAATTTGTTTGCAATTACTATGTTACGCATATAATGATGATGATGACGATAATGGTGATGATAGTTGGTAGTTATGATATGATAGTGATAACCGAATTAGATGATAGTGATATTGGCGACAAAAGTAAGATGTGAAAACACAGAAAACTTAAATACGAAGAGTTAGTATCATTCGTCGTCTTTTCCGTTAAGATAACAATCTTCAATGTTAGATTTTTTCTGTAGTTAATCAATATTTATTCATATTTGTGATAACATTACTATATTAGCATCCAATTTATTTGGCGCTGTTGTCCATTAAGCATTTCATATTTCATGATTGCTTATTGTTTGCATTTTACAGAGCTAAGAAGAAGCGTATATATGTGCTAGTGCTTATGCATATGTTTGGTATGTATATGTGTTTATGTCCATGATTTCCTTCAATAAACATTTTGAATTAAATTATTCCATACGATATATTTTCATTGCACAAATATTCTTTTCATTATTTATTGTTGTCGCTATCAATGAACAATTATTCAATCGTACATTTCAACAATTTTATCAAAGGTTTATTTTTTTTTTTTTATGTTTATTTTTATTAATTAAGTTTTTATTCATTAATAATTATTATTTGTAATACATTTATTAATAAAGCTATAATAATTATGAAGTTTAAAATTAAATTCATTGTAATTATTACTTTCATAATAATATAAATATACAAAAAGCAATCAAATGTAATGAATTTGTTTGAATTATAATTATTAATAATTGTTTTCTTTTTTCTTTGCTTATTTTTTCTTTCTTTCATCACATAAATTTAGATTTGATCATTTACAACAAGGAATACAAAAAAATTTTCAATATCAACAACACCTTATTTAGAACAAGATTTGAAAAAAATCAATCTAAAATTACCAAATAATCCCGGCGCAATTTTTAAAAACATTCCATTAAAGAATGTAAGTAGTTGAAAATTTTTATTTTCTTATATTACCACAACATTTCAGTCTTTTTGTATTACTATAAGATTAGAAATTTTCTGGAACTTTAATTACACAATTATTTTCTCTTTTTTTTGTTGTCATTTTAAAATGATACAAATTTAATAGTTTAATTTATATGAACCACGCTTAAATTTTTTTTTTCATTTTTTTAAACATTTTAATATGATGTTAAAAATTCTAATATTATAGACTTATTTAATTACAATTTTTGATTGGAGTTTTCAATACAAAAATTAATGCAAAAACTGTTATCTAAACACATGAAAATTTTTGCTTCATTTTCCTTTTTACGTAATAAAATTGATCATATCGTCTTCTTTTAAAAGGAAAAATTAATTTGTCTTTTCTCATTGTTTGTAAATTTAATCAATATTATCATCAACTTTCATAGAAGATACCTTCGATTGTTGTTATACAGGTAGATTAACAGTTACTTGATGGTAAACTTTATTTTAGAAAGTTTTTGAATTTTATTTTGTTATAAAATTATACTGTTTTGCATTGTTTTACATATATAAATTTTTTTCCTTTGTAATCAGTCAACAAATTTTATTGATTCAAAATAGTTTGGGACCAAACTATTTTGAATCTATTTTTAAAAAAATATCATAATGAACAAATAATTATGCTATAATTGAAAATTTTCTAATCAATCTATTAACTAAAATGATAATTTGTAGAAATTTGTTAATTTATTTAAAAGCATTTCATTTCCTAATTAATTTTACAAATTTTTAGCTTAATGGTACTACTGGTGCATTGGTAACAATTCAACTGCAACAATACAGTAATCCTAATCTTGCGTTACCAAAGGTTATACCTGTGCTTGTCCATCAGGTATACAATGTCCATATCTTCAAGAGGGTTCTATAACATGCTTCTTCTTATTTACAATCATTACATCAGCATCAAAGTTCGTTTATTTACTTTTTTCTTTCCTTTTTTTAACCTTTGTTTTTTTTTTTTTTTTTTTTTTTTTTTTTCAAATATAAAAAATTTATAATAGATAAAAATTAAAATTATTAATAAACAATTGAAATACTATTTTCATGCTTATAACCATTTATATTACACATTTTTTTTCCATATCGATGAGTTTGGGTATATAACATAACGGGAGAAAAAAAAAAAGAAAGGCTTGAATCATCTCGCATTAATATATTGACGCTTAGAATTTAAAGATGCGATGACAATTCAAAACATAATCCATCCATTCTTTTATCATTACTTGCTATTACTTTAAAATAAAATGCTGTATTTGCTTGTAGCATTGACACAATTTTGGTTGTAACATTAGTTACTTATAATTTATTTGTAAAAACACACAATACTTGAAAAAAATTTTTGACCTCTCATTTTTTTTTTAATTTTTAAATTCAAAAACACGCAATTGTTACTTTGAGAAATTAATATTTTTAATTATAATAATAATAACAGTGATAATAATGATGATAATAATATTAATTAATTAATTAAATTATGACAACATTAATTGTAAAATGTGACCACTGTTCCATTTTATTTTTGTTTTTCTTGCAGTTAATCAACACAAATAATTGGAAGTCCATTTGTAATGGTGTCAAAATCATCCATTAATTCTGGTATTTGAACAAATAATAACATTATAAATATGACAGTTAAGCCAGTAAGGTTTTATTTCTGATTAAAAATAAAAATTACTAAAATTTATTTATTAGTTTTGTTTTTATTTGTTGTTTTTTGTCTTTACACAATTTATAAGCAATAAATTTTAGAAGTAGATTAAAATGAACAAATGCTTTAAAATTTATAACATTTGTACATAAACATAAAATTTTTAATTGTATAATCTTCATTAAATTTTAAAATTATAAAAGGAAGAAGAAAAAAGAAAAAAATTGAAAATAATTTCAAAATATTATTGATATAACTGCTCATCATTTTGGTGTTGTAATCAATCAAGGAAATTTGGAATATTTTAATCATTTAATTTTCATTGATACATTTGCTATTTCATTAGATAATTGTCAATCAACATTTTATGGTACTACGCCAAATCTTATACAAAAAGCAATTTTTAGTCGAATTTTAGGGACAACGTTTGTTTCTGTTTTATTTATTTATTTTTGTGTTTTTTTTTTTCCTTTTTTTTTTCTTTTTGTATTTTTTCAAAAAAAGCTCATCTATTATTGTTACCTTTTTTTAATGAAAGAATATATCATTTTTTATTAGTTTTCTGCAATAAAAAATTTACGCTAATTATTTGCAACAAATTGGTAAATTGATTGGGATCAAGAAAAAAAAAAATATTTGTAAAAAAAAGAGAGTTGTCAGGATGAAAACAAAATTTCAGAGCGAAAGCATACATACACGTATATATATTGTATATACGTGTATGTACATACTGTTATATATGTTGAACAAATTATGATTTATACTAAATAAAACAAAGAAAAAACGATGTGGAATAAATCATGAATTTTAATAATATATCAAATAAATCGGAAAAATTTAATAAGTACATAAATTTTAGATTTCCTTTCAATTTTAAAATTATAATATTAGCGCAAAATTTTAGGTTGCAACTTATATGCAGTATTCAATGCATTGGTGGTAAATATGGTTTAAATTGTGATTTAAAATGTACACCAGCATCATTCAGTAATTTCCATATTATTACAGAAATGCATTATATCTGTAGATGTGCAAATGATCTCTTTTTATCATAATGATTTTTATCAAAAAAGATTTTAATTTTTTGACGAATCTTTTATCAATTATTATTATTATTAAATTTAGCTTTCATATTTTATTTCTAATTCCCTTTTATTATTTGCATCAATTTTTCTAAATTAAATTACCAACCAGCTAATAACATTAAAAAAAAAATTTTTCTCAAACTTAATTTCATAATATTTTAGATATTAGATTGCATATCATGCCCATATGGTTTAGCAATAAATCAAACGAAATGTAATACACCAATTACTGATAGAATTATTTATGTTAGCTAAATTTTTAATTAATTCATCAATTTTTATTTCTAATTTTTATCCATTTTTAGTTTCACAATAAATTACTTAATATAAATTATGAAAAAGTGAAAGAATCAAAAAAATTTGATTTTATAGATTAATTGAAGTAATACAAATTCAGTTTTTTTATCAGTATTTATTAGCTTAAAAATTAATTTATAAAATGCTTGCTTATTTTCTATTTTCTTAAAATTTTTTTTAAAGAGTTTTTTCTTTTAAATATTCTTTGAATTGTTTAATAATATCAAATTTTTGATAAATCTAGCAAAATCTTGTCTCATCAAAATATCGTATTTGGACTATTGTACTTTGTTGCTTTCTTGGCATTTCTGTGATCTTTATTATTCTACGTATTATCATATTTGTAATGTTAGTAACTGTTAACTTATCATTTTATCATAATTAATATTAAACAATCAGATAAAAATATCTGAAAATATTTCAGTAATTATATATTGTAATGTTTTTCTTTTTTTTTTTGGAAATTTGAAAAATTAGCATTTGAAATTTTACAAAAATTCTAAATTATTATGTTTATTATGATATTTTATTGTAATAAATCATCATTATTACTATCATTATCGTTATTATTGTTATTAAATAAAAAAATTGATTTAGCATAGAAAAACGTAATAAATCAATATTGCAAAATCCACGTCATATGAGAAATGTGCATAACACAACTTCTCGAACACATTCTAGGAAAATGCTACTAACTCGAGAACTAAGAGAATGGCAACGAAGCAAAATTACAGCGATGACAAGAAATAATGATGACAATTTTTTGCGTGCAACAACATTAGAAGAACGATTTGAGGTAAATTATGGTAATGGAATGAGAAAGTTTTATTTTTTCAGCAATGATTATAGTATCCGCAAAAAGTTTACAATATAGATTATATATAGATTATTAATTTGATCTTTTTTTTTTTTTTTATATATATATATATATAACGATGTTTTTTCTTTGGTTTCTGACATTCTTTGATTTTTTTCAAAATTCCAATAATTATTTTTTTAATTCAAATTATTTTTGATAATTTAAAGGATCAATATGTTCGCAGTAATACTGCACCAATAGGAAAGTGAAAAGCACATGTATGAGTTGAATTTACGATGGTATTTTTAGTTAATATTTTTTTTTTTTTTATTATGGATTTAACATTTAGGGTATATGAGAAGATGCAAAGCAAAAAAATTTTCCATTCCAATAAACCGTAAAATTTTGATGCTAAATTTTAATGCTTACATAGTACAAAAAATTGTTTGCGAAATTAATTTTTAAGTTGGATTGTTTTAAATTTAATAAATATTTGGAGCATTTTAATTTATACTACCTCTACCTTTTTTCTTAATTTAACTTTCGTTGCTTTTTGCTTTCTGTTTTTTCTCCTTTTTTTAAAAAAAAGTGGTGTTTACGAAATTTAACTTTATTTATTTTTTAACTACTGTTCTTTTTTTTTGAAAAACCAAATAAATAAATAAATAATTCGTTTCAAAATTTTCATCATTTATCGCCGCTTTTCTACTTTTTCCTCAAAATTTTACCGCGGTTATCAATAATAACATCCGTAGTTTGGGAGCAGCACCAATGATAAATTGGAAATTGTTTATGGTTTGTTTTCCAGTTTATTTTACGTTTAAAAAAATGATGGGTGGAAAAAGGGATTGAATAAAAACTCTTCTTGTACTTTTAAACTTAATTCTATTTAATTTGAAAGCTAGAAAAAAAGTTGGACTAAGAACTTTAAAATTCTCAAACTTTATGATTAAATTTCATTAATTCATTTATCTGTTCATTATGTAAAACTACTTTCTGCCTTTTTTTTTTGGAGATGCTTGTTTTATGTTAGTTATGATTATTTGAATTTGAACATTTCATTAGTCATTCGATGCACACATTTGACAATTAAACTTCCATTTCCGTTTTTGATCTTTCTCATCCTACTGATATTAAATGTAAAAATCCCTGCAAGCTAATAACTTCTTGCATATACGTCGCCGTTTTAAAATTACTTACTTCCATTGACGGTGATAGCATATTTTAATTTGTTGATTGTGATAATTCAATATGATGTTATCATTGACAAAGCAATAATTCAGAAATTTCATCTTCCAAAAACACCATTTACATATGCCATTTCCCTCTCTCCCCGCTCTCTATTTCAATGAGAGAGAGGGAGATGAACAGGCAGGAGCAGAGAGAGAGACAAGATGGAAAGAATAAAAATTAATGAATTGTTAAATAAACTAAATCATTTTGTGCTAATTGAAATTTAAAAGCTTCTTATGCTTAATGCAATTACGCATGCAAAAAAAAAAAGAAATGAATTACAATCACGATGAATCCATCACTTTTTTCTTCAATTTTCAATTTTACAGATTTTTCACAAAAATCATTTATATTTCAGTGAAATTTTAAAAGATTCAACAAATGACATTATTAAGGTTTCAAATAAATGATGGATAAAAGATATGATTTGCTACATTCTTGTTTAGCAAAATTATTAATTTCACCCTTCAAACTATCAATTAGTTTAACCTTTTCAGGTTTGTTAATATTATCACAAGTTGATTTTAATCTTGACCAAATTTCTTGCAATGGGGAAATGGAGATACATTAACGGTATAAAAGCAAAATTACTCTGATAAGGTTGATGCCATTCTATGCTTTTAAACAGTATTAGAAAAGAATGCTTCACCGAATACAATTGAGATTAGTTGAATATCATCAATAATTCAATTTCAAAACTTGGATATTCCATGAATAATTTCAATAAAATAGGACTAAATTTTATGTTTTCAACTCTCTAATCCTTATCTATTTGATTCATTAATTAACTGAACATTAGCACATGGTCAAGAAAATACAAAGCATTTTGTTGAAAGCAAGTGTGCAATGTTTGAATAACTAAAGTTTAGAAATGCTCTTACTGTTAAATACAATTACATTAGACATCATTTGTCAAATTTTAGTTTAAATCGATAATTAATGCACTGTACTTTTGGGAAAAATCCAATAAAAGAAAAAAAAACTTTATAATTAATTCAAAAAAAAAAAAAAAAAATACCAACTGTATGTATAAACGGTACACTGGACAAAAGTAGAAACAATAATAGGGAATGAAAATAAATACAGATGGAAATCAAACGACACATGCAGAAAATAATTACGGATAACATCTATTGCAAAACAAATGTAAGAGAAAGGAAAACAATCAAGATATTTCGATTCAGTTCATGGGAAAGTAAAAGATGATGATATATTAAAAAAAAAAAAAAAAAAAAAAAACTGTGCTTTAAACTTCGCTAATAAACCCGGCTCCATATTTTTTTCATTCATACAAAGCATATCTATGAATAGTTACCCTGTATACTTTAATCTCTTTTGATGGTAGAATTCTTAGGTATTTCAAAAGTACAATTTTTTCAATTATCCTGAAATAACCTAAAGCTTATTAATGTCGTTACATTTATAAGTACAAAAGGAAATATCCACAGAAATTTTTAGAAATAAATTATCAAACAGACAAAACACTGATAAGCGAAATAGATCGCACTAATCATTTTTTCCAATGAAACATCATAACGATTACATAAAGGATAACATATAACATTGCTTTACAAACACAGGAAAAAAGAATTTCTTATAGTCCAAAAATTTTAAATACCATTAACAAAATAGTTACAGAAGCAAACTCCTATGCATAAGTGGTGACAAATAGCTATGTGCAGACGGATATGGTACTAGGTACAACATTTTGCACCTTTGACGCTGATAATGACTTAGGCTCTTTCTTAAGCGACAGCAAAATACCACATAAACATTCAGCAACTGCTGGATCCACAACACTCTCATCCATACATAATGTTTCCGAGGAGTTTTCAGACAAACCGCTAGAATTTTTGTTGGTCAAAATTTCTGGCTTTGTTTCGCTGCTATTTAGCAATATTTCTTTTTCACTTACTGTTTCTCTGTTTTGTTCTTTTGTCGACAAGAGTGTGTTATCTAAGATGTTCTTTGTATCATCTGAATTTCCCAAAACTGAATCACAAGTAGCACCTGAGGAATCACTACGATGAGAGCTGTTCGAGCAATGACGCTTTCCAGAGCTTCCACGAGATGCTAAAAAAAATTCATTAAACAGATGTGCACAGTAAAAAAGTCCTGATTTATCTTTGACTGAAACAGTTATAACTAGAAAAACTTGACGAAACTAACATGAGGATCTCTTTATTGCTTTCTGAATCTCAAATGCCCACCATCCAGGAATACCCTTTGAAGGTTGCTGTTGAACGCTTGAACCTGATATACGGTTACGACAAGTACAATCTGTTAAACGTTCTCTTAGTTCCCAAATACGTACACTCCGTTTTGGATTAAGTACCGGATCACAGTTCCTATAACATTTCGGAATATTAAAACTACACGAAAAAATTCAAATATACAACAGTCACAATAAATAGTTCAAAATATATTCATAAGCATTTACCTGCAATAATGACTAATTGGAATTCCAAGAAGGTCTGCCAATTTTTCCATGACAACGTCGCACTTTGCATTAATTTTTAAACAGGATAACCTATCCTTTGGTGTCCATTGCAGATTTACAATAGCTATCTATAAAAGCATAATTTATCAGATACAAACTAGTAATGTCATGGACAAGATTATAAATAAACAAAGAAACAGAAATCAATAATATCATTGCTGTAACGAACCTGTGTACCATTCCTTGATTTCGGCCACAAAAAATGATATTCCTTAAGGACAGCTAAACTTGTTCCTATGCATAATATGAGATCACATCGATCAATTAAGGAAATAATTCCATTCCAGTTTAATGGCCATGGTACTTTACCAGCTTCACCAAAATGTACAATTGTGTCCGTTAATTCATTGTTGCATACCACACACATCCGACCAGTACCATGACGTCTAAAGTTATGAGAATATTCACAGTCAATCAGCAAAATTAATAATTCTGCACAAGCTTCTTATTCGTGTTGCATATTGCCTTTAGTTAAAGAAATTCATATATAAAAGCTTCTGTGGATTACAGAAACTTATGTTTGTTTTTAAGTGTAAAAATACATCAAAAAAAAAAAAAAAAAAAAGAATATAAAGCAAGAGTATAAGAAGAAATATGTAGTTCATGGCATGTTATAAAGCGTTCAGTATAATTTTAAACGAACAATTATGAGAAAAATATCGTTTACACAAAAAAATTTGTGAAGAAATTTAAGAAAAAATAAAGCTAACCTGAATTGACTTTTTTCGGTGACATCAAAAGGCCGAATGTACTGTCGTGGTGGTTCACAATGCTGGCATACTTCAATATGCATATTTCCGTGAATTTCAGAAAGCATTTTTTGTGGTAAACCAGAACGCAAATGAAGACCATCGCAATTCTGTGACAATATGTGACGCACTAATCCACTCCGACACATTTCTTTCAATATCATATGGCTTGCAGTTGGCCCTGATTCCACTGGATTTGCACATCTAAAACTTAAATTGTAAGTAGATTTAACATTAATAACGTGATAAGGACACAAAAATAATACACAATTAATAAACACAGTCGACATCTGACAAACTAAACAAATTATATAACCCATTTGTTACATCTACGCAACAAATTAGAGGATGATATTGTAGAGATACAAAATAATGATTTTACAACGCCAAGAATAACATTAAAAACAAACTTTAAAGATACGATCCCTCTTTCAGCTAGGGTCCAAACACCATTAGGACCACGATAATCTGGTATTGATGCTGCCTGGAATATTGTAAGAAACTTTGTCAAAAATTCTTTCTCCAGTAAATTCATGAGTAAACCTACCATCCGAAATCTACTTCATAAGCTATTAAAATTCACCTGCATCATTTGAAGTTATTTAACTTCGTACTTTTCATAATTTTCAATTCTGTAACTCAGAAAAAAGCTATTATGCAAAAAACGAGAAAACTCTGCTAAATCTTTTTTTTTTTTTAAGCGAAATTATACCGTGCTGATTCCGGCTCCGGTATATACAACAGTGCATTTCGATTTCTTCAATAAATCAGCCAAAATTTTGCATTTCTCAGCAACCACATCATCAGCCTCTTCGACCTTAATTCAACAATGTCAAAACTAGAAACACATATTAGATGTTTTGATGTAACAATAGATTGTATATTATCGTACTAGTGTCCTTGTGTCTTTCCGTTCTCTTTAAAAGTTCTGGAACACTGTGCCTGCCCATTTAGGCTAAATTAAAGCTAAGAATTTAAACACGAAAAAATGATTGGAACCAAATAATAAATTATGACAAGACAATTCTTCCTATAAGCGAAAAGTGGAATCTGACTAATGTTCGGAAAAAAAAAAAAATGCTCAGAAGCATGCATTCTTGCTTCCTCTTTATAAATTTGCACAAGAATTATTCAGGTTTCTACTAAACTTGTCTTAAACAACCCAATCCCTCAGTTTAAAGCAAATGATCATACGGATATAGGTGAGAAAATAATTATCGCTTTAAAAGTGGAAAATTATGATTAAAAAAAATTACAAGATTTAACAAAATAACCTCACGTAAACGATCCGCTCTCTTCATAGTACCAGTGTATAATCTGCCATGACCTGAAATTAAACTGTGCAAATTTCAGAAAATATGAAAGAAAAGTGCCTGCTGCACTCATTTTTCTCACGTTTGTTTGCATATCCAGAAATCACTACCAACCTTAACCAGGAATTGTTGTCACACTGAGCGAATCCCACAACATGATAAAATAAATATAACAACTGCACGAATTACATGCACACGTGCACCCAACGCACAACCAATACATGTAACCCACCGCTTAATGAGCACAGAACAGGTGCAGTTTGCTATTTCAGTATGCAATCGTTTGGGATGCTACGCGAACATATGTATACATACATACATAACCTACACACACATACATACACACACACATATACGCACATACACATACATGCACGACACACAGACACGTTGCAATGCATTGATTTTTGCTGTCAAATGACTGTTTACTGCAGAAAGGGTTAGCTGTGTGTGTCTTTTGTCGTATTATGCATTCAATTTATACGTATGATGTACTTATAGATGTGACGTGAATTAAAAAATTTAAGTATTGAATATAGATAAAATAACGTGTAGTTTATGCGTGAAAGCATAATATACTTATACGCAGAAAGATATTATATACATGTAGTCATAATTTATGATTTATAAAAGTAAAAACAAGATTGGAATTATTAAAAGCAAAAGATGAAATTATTTTATAATGAATTAAACTGTGAAATATTACATTATATAAACATGGATAAAATCGTGTAAATTTTGAAATGATGATATATGGAGTAATTTACTCGTACGTCACAAACACAAATTTTTACTAGCAATTAACTGTTTACTTGTCCTTTTTGAAGAGTTTAAATTAAGGAAAAAATAATTTCCTTTTTTTCCTAAATATATTTGCCACAAAAAAAAAAAGTTTTTTCTTCCAAGAAGTTTAATAAGTAATGAAAATTTCTCAGACTCTCTTCTTTTGTGGTCTTTTTTTCATCTTTTTACCTTCTTATACCTCTTTGTTCCCCTTCCCCCTCCCCACCCTCTTCCAATCTGCCTGAAAAAGAATAAAATAATTTCAAAAGAAGAGAAAAAACGATTAAATATTTACGATGAAAATAAATATTCATGCTTTTTGAAATGAATTTCAAAAATAAATTAATGCTCCTAAGAATTTCCTTTTGGTCCAATAAAAATTTTATATTTATAATTAAACCCGCTTAAATTACCGCCTTCATAGATACCGTTTCCATTGCTAATTTTTCTCGTAGAGCGCCACTTTTAATATGATTGGATTATCGTTGACTAAATTTGATTTCATAATTTGAACAAGTACTCATGTTTTCTAAAATGGACCTCGAGAATAAATTAGTACTCATTAGAATTTCTTTTTTTGAAAAGGAAATTTCAAATTTTGCGCATATATTTAAAAATTAATTTAGAAATGAATTTTTTAATGAAAATCATATAGTAATGCATAACTTATCATTCATGTTTTGCATTGCAAAAATTAGCATAAATTTCGATTTTATCATCATTCCTGTTTATTAAATATTATCCGATAAATTTTTGGTACTTTTAAAAATGGTTTATTGATATTTAACTGTTTCAACTTTTGGTCCTTAGAATTAATTATTATGATATGAAATGAAATAAAATTAGTTAAATGTATAAACCCGTTAATTTAAAATTCATAGCTTATCATGGCTTAAATTTATGTTTTAATGTATGGACAATTTCGTTGCACTTCGAGGCCGTTTCATAATTCGACGTTGCTGATCATCAATTGGGCGTGGACTGTTTTGAAGTGATGTGTAGGCAGGGTAGGGCATAGTTTGATAACTTTACTGAGGTGTGCTAGTTGTTTTGGGGTCAAAAGCTGTGGGAAATAGGCTGGAATATTCAGCTTGTTTGTGTTGCTGATAAGAGATTAGGAAAGTAATCAATTCTACCGTCTTTGGTATTTAACTTTCAGTTATCTCTTAATCTCTATGAAATACTTCAACAAACAAATCCAGGATTCCACAGTGAATTCCTGACTTATAATTTTTCGAATTTTCGACAAAAAAAGCAAGTGCGGCCTATTCATGTCGATTCACATTCATATTCTTCTTTTACTGCACAATTTGTCAAAATTATAAATTTTGGTCCTTTTATTAAAGATCCTTGTATTGCTTTTGCTACCTTTCTTTGATTTTAATCCGTTAATAAAACTGGTTCTCGTTTTCAATTTTTCAGATTTCAGGAAAATTTGCTCAGTATATGTGTCCCACCTTTGTTGAATATAGCAGCGAGGTGGAAAAGAAGGTAAGGGGTAAGAGAAAAGCTGGTTTTACGGTTTCCGGGTTGTACTTTTGTATGTTTATACAAATTTATGCTCCATTTCTTCTGAAATCTTTTCCCTTTTCGTCCACCCACCTTTAACACTCATTATCATTATCCAACATGAAGGTAGTTGGTTGTCGTTTCTTATCCTGGCGCGATATGGTATATTTCCGTTCGGCCGAATTACACTTACCAAGTAGTGGTATTTTGGCATCCTTTTTCCTTTTTTCTGCTTCGAAGTTTAATTTATGGGGCAGATCACCTTTGCCATTGTTTTGCTGGTAAGAAAGATTGGTTTCTAACTAGGAAGCAGTTAACTTCTGAGGAGAGATTTCTTGTTGATTTAGATTCAAAAGTTCTTAGAAAATTTAGTTTTGGAAACAAAGACCAATTCAGATATGTGAGTGCAGGATAAGTGGAATATGATGGATCCATGAGGAGTAAAAATAAATGAAAGAAAAAAATATTTTACTTTTTACCGCCTTTCTCTTTTTCTTCAAATCAATTTATGATGTTAAATTTTGCAACTCTTGTCGTACATTCCGAATTAACATTTTTCAATAACTTTTATTCAAACTATACATCGAGATTGAGATTTCAGTGAGGATGACACGTGATTGTCATCGGTCTTTAGGCGTTCTGGACAAGCAGCTTTGTTGATTGTTTCGCTGTTCTGTGGTGTTTCAGAAAATTTTCTTCCAGACATGAAAGGACCAGAAAGCAGCCAGTACTGTGCTGATAACATCTTGTTGAATCCTTATTCCGGTGTTCAGTTTGCATTTGACAAACGACGTCGAAACCTGGAGAAGCGTAAGGTATATACTATCAGTAATTGAGTGTTGAAATTGTGCACATTTATAGTCGAAAAGATTTTGCTTTCATCATGAAAATTTTCATTTTTTTTGGAATCTCGTATCCCCTTGACTCATTTCTTTGAAACATTCAATTTCAATCATCTCAAAAATTTTTACTACTGATCTCCGTTACGCGACATTTCAGAGCCGTTTGTTACAATACGAGGCGGATTTGAGAGACGGTAAGAAACTTAGCGAGCAACAAATTGAAGCTCGATATTGTATTGGAGAAGTTGATACACAGCTAGATTTCCTGAAAGATATCAGCAGGATCGTGCAATCATTACAAAAGGAATACCTTCGCGGAGTGAAACAGCGGGATGATGGGATGAAGAAAGATGTAAGTTGAATCGGATGATTTTAATTTTTGCAGATTTATATTAGGATATCACGTCTGAGTTATATACGAGATCCTTTGGATTAAAGTCTGGTGCAGATGTTGTTTCAGTTACAAAACAAAACAAAATTCGTTGGAAGTGAACATTGCTTACTATCTGAACATGGGCTAGATATTCCATTTTGTTGGGTTGTAAGCATGCAAAAAAAGATAATCACTTAATTGGTAACTAATGTTTTCGAAATTTCTAATGCAAATAATTATGAGATAAATTGGGACTGTGTGAGTGCGGTATGTCTATATTTGACATACGATCGTTTTTATTAGGATTTTGAGCATAGTACTGAATCTGCTTGAGATTTTACTAATCGTTTCAAAATTTGTGTTTTTGAAGGCAAAACTACCAAAGGTATGAGTAGAAGTTTCGAAAAGGAGTTTGTAATTCAATTTTCTGGTTTGGAACTTTAAAAGTAAGTTGGGAATAATATGTTTTATGCTTTTTTTTTTCTGCAAATCTTCAGTTTACTGAACAGGAGCAGAAACGTTTGGAGGACTTCATCTACTTTCAAAATGTTATCGAGCGTTTCAGCAAAGTGGAAATCAAAGAAATCTTAAGTGGGATGGATAATGAAGAAGTAAATTTGAATACTTCCATATTTCTTGTGCTTTCATCTACTTAAATAGTCTCAGAATTCTACTAGATGCAGGCAATAGTATTTTTTAATCCCACTACATGTCATGGTGCTTTGAAATGTGACGACGATATGCAAATTTTCATTCAATAAATTCTCATTCCACCAATGCTTTATTTTCAGATTACCGAGCAGGAGTACAAACTGCTTGAGGATTTGTCTGAACCGTTCGGTTTGAAATGCGGTGAATCCGATAGCTTTATGGATTTCAAGAAGAAATGCGCTACTAGCTCAATGTTAGCATATAGGATTCTTGTAGGGAGCAAAGAAAAAGTTGTGAATGATTTCTCAGGTAATTTCTTCATTACTGCCCTAAATGTGAAAGGAGGATTTTGATCCATGTTGTTACCTGCGTGTGGAACTGATCTCCAGTCACGTCTCTTTATTATTTGTATTTTTAGGAATTCAAATTAGGGAACTATTAGAGAAAATTGCAAATTCCGAACATATGCGTCATGATGCTAAAGTGGAAGATGAATATGTTAAGTCTGACGAGTCTACCGTAGAATCTGGAGTTGTTCAACCGAAGAAAGATCCAAAGGTAAAACCTGTAATCTAAAATCGTTGTTGTAGGACAAGGTATCATATTACCAGTAATATAGTTGAGCATTGTATATAATTCAATGGTTTGATACTTTGCAGACTTTTTTATTTGAGGAGAACTAATTTTATTTGGAACTACTAATTTTCTTAGGTGGTTTTTGTACATGTTTCTAATGGGTCAGTGGAGAACTATGCAGAAGGCGATATAAATCAAGCAGGGGATACGGAGTTTGGTTTTGAGAATGGAATTGATCCAAAAGCGCTTGTGCGTGACCCACCACCACCAATTCCTTTTCCAGTTACGGCTGTTCCAGAAGATCCTACAAATACTACCAGTGGTCCTAATCACAGTGATGTGTGGCGTACAGGTTAGATTTGCTCATTAATTTTTTGAATGTTTCTTAGATTTTTATAGGAAATCTCCCCACTTTTTTTCGTTTTAAACGATTGTTATTAGATGAAAAGAAAAAGTTTTTCTTTTTGTTCTCTGATTTACTTTAGCTCTATGATGAAGCTGTATAAATATGAGGGAAGATAAATGATTTCATAATAGTTTTCCATAGACGAAAAGAGTGTGTTTGCTTGAATGGAGGGGCAGTGGCTTTTAATCTTTGGATCAATGACTCATAGGAGAATTAGTAAACAAAAGCATGGGTAACTAGTTTTTAGTATTATTTTGAAGGATGAATTAGTTTGTTTCGTGATATAATCTATATTCACACAATTTCTACTTAACGTTTAATGCTTAATAGTATGGTCTCGAGAATGTTAGGCCTTAATTATTTTATGTGAATAGAGATACTTAAGCAAATTAGTAATGTTTCCAATCAACTCAGATTCCTTTATCCGATTTTATATTTTGATATTGGACTCCTTAAGACAACGGTAACAGTTCTTATTTTCAGAAGCGAAAGCAGAGGTGTCATCGAAGCGGCGTGCGGATGGAGCTCAAGATAGTTTTATTAATGACAGAGAACAAATTAATGGATTTGAAGCTCGTGATGATCAACATCGTCAGATGCGTGTCGCTAAAGGAAGTGGCGATGCAAAAGGAGGCGATTTCAGAAAAGGTCAAGATAATGAACGTGGTCGCAGTGGTGGTGTTGGCATTCGACGTCAGGAACGTGGTGATAACTTCGATGGTCCACGAAACTCTCGTGGTGCACCTCGCAACGGCGGTAAAGGTTTCGGTAATTTAGGTGGTCGAGGTGGTGCTTCCAACTTTATGTCGCGTGGTTTTCGAAATGCCAGTAGTGGTAACAATAATCGGATGAATGGCGATTTGAAAGGTAGTGGTAATGGCGGAGGAAGCCTTGGTGGATGTGGATATAATGGACCATCGCTGCCATTACGCCGCCAGTTAGGATTCAATTTTGCTTCAGATGCATTCTGAATATAGCTATATGGCAACGATATGATCATTTTTCATTTGAAGTCGTATTATGAGGAAAATATGAATTCAATGGCGCCGTTAACGCTTTATTTTGATCTTTAAAAAGTTTTTCTCCCACAGATTTTTTCTTCTTTGTTTTTTGATCTAACCAAATTTTTGATTCGTTTTCACCTCGCCATTGTTTTCTCTTTGGAGCGCGGCTCTTTCAATATGTATGTTTATTATTTTAAGTATCTTTATGTTATTCATCTCTAAATTCTTTCTTTTCAATACTGTGAATTGCAATTGTAAAAGTTTGTGTTTTTTTTCCCTAGTGAAGTTTCTTCGATTTTAGCCTAGCAAATTCCCCTCAGGAATCACATCTTTATTGCAATTTCATGTGGAAGCATCTCTTGGTAAAGTTCTCCTGAACTTTTGATGAGTCTTGGAATGAAATATCTTTCTAAATATCCATTTGCGAAAACAAAAAAGCTTGAAATAATTCTCTCGCTAGATTTTTTTCACCTTCCTTTCATGTAACCATCCGGAGCTCATCTTTCAATATATTTTTTTTCCGAAATTCATTTCCAGTGAGACCTTTTTGGGATCACTCTCCAACGACTGCCGTGGATTTCGCTCACCGTTTATCTTGAATAATATTCTAATACAGTTGGTCATAGTGATTTATATGTGGTAGGTCTGCTTGTCCGTGTGCATGTGTATGTATGCATGTACATATGTGTGCATGTACATTCATGCCTGCCGATACAAGAAATTCGTTTCGCGTGGCCCGACCATGTCATCCATGTTATAATTGCTATTGATTGTTCATCATTCTCTCCTATTCGTTCCAAAAAAGTTTTAGCATCAAAGTTAAAATTGCTCCAACGCGTTTTAAATGTATTTGTTTACTGCATGAGATGGAACATATTTCTGAACTGCATCAAAAATGGTATCACTTTGGCTATGAGTATATTTATAGGTTTGTTTAAATCAGATGAACATACTGTTGACAGTTTTCTATCCGAAAATTCTTGTAGATTTCGTCCAAAATATGAAAAGGAACACTTGATTAATATCGCTTTAAATGATGATAAGAGGTTAAAATTTTGCAGAGTGGTATTAGTGTAAATTGTTGATGCCAAACGGTTGTATACAGCTAAACAAATGGGTAAATTTATAAATGTTAAAATATTACTGAAGAGATATGTGATCAAAAATTGGCTATGTGAATGAGTGATGCTATGTTCAGTCAATTAAAATTTATCAACTATTAATGCTGATAACAATGAAATAAAGAAAATACGTTCCAATATGTATTATGTATGGAATAAAGTTCTGTTTTAAGAAATGAAATATTTGATAAGATTTAATGAACAAATGTCCAGCAACAACTCAGGTTGGGATCATTTTTCAATCATATCTTAAATTCTCATTTGGTCGTTTTGTTTCAAATATTCAAAATCCCTCTATGGCGGTAGTGCGACGATATTATCATTTTCCGATTTCCTTTTTTTTCATTCATGACTTATCGTGTAATACCTTTACCGTTATTAATGATAAGAATCGAAGAAAATCCACTTAAATGAAATAGAACTATATTACAATACAAATTAAAGAAGCAATCTAGAAGTGGAGTTTTGATTATCATTGTAATCATTATCACTATTATCATTATCTGTAATACTATCCTCAGACTTGTAAATTGTTAATACACTTGAATAGTGTAACAGTATACCACTAACATCATTAAGTTATCAAGATTTTAATTTAAAAAGAAGAGAAAACAAGCATATCTATTTTCGTTTTTATCAATATACCACTTAAATATTAATAAAAAATAAGTTCGAAAATATTTTATAGGCTTAATTGTTGTTTTTGTTATTTCTTTTCTTTCCTTGCATTCTCTTCCTCTTTCCTTCTCTCTCTCTTTTTCTCTTTTCTCTATTCTTTCTTTTTTTCTTTTTACGAAAATGGGAAATTTTTGAAAATTGTGGCGAAAGATTGATTAATGATAAAAGACAATCGACAAGAATGATAGTAATTACATACACATTTAACAACAAATTGTTTCACCTTTCACTTCAATACGTAAAAATTTATTTATTTTCAAAATGAGAAATTCCATTTTCATTTCTTTATAAAATAAATGAAAATATTGTACATTGTCTTTCATTTCTATTGCTATTTTCATTTTCATTTCATGTTTCTTTTCTTTGTTTTTTGAAAAAAAAAAATCATTTGTTTTTTTAGTGCTATTTTTAAGATTAAAATATTTTGGTGAAATGATTTTATTTTTTCTTAAAAAGAGAGAAGTTTTCATTTTGATTTTAATATAACAATATTCCTTAGAATTTTGCAATTATTTAAATTCCATGAAGATTATCTGTTAAAACAAATATACAACAATAAATATGCTTAAGTATGTGTGCGTGCATGTATGTATGTTTGGTTTTGCGTATGCGCATGTGTATGTATGTATGTATGTATATGTATGTATGCATGTATTGGTAAATACGGCTAAAATTATTGAGGAAATTGTTGCCGAAACGAACAATTAAAATGAATAACTTATCCTCTGTTGAGAGTTACTGTAGTCGAAAGTAGATACATATGTACTGTAATTTGGAATTTAATACTTATAATATTTATATGAATATTTCAATCATTATGTATGATAGTAATAATTTCATGTTTTTTCCCTTTTTGTTGTTTAACAAAATATGTGAATAGTATAATATTGCATAAAAAAATAAAAACTAAATGAAAATTTTTATTAGAACTTTTTTTCAATGTAGAATTTGAACCTCGAATTTAAATTAAGTAATAATTTTCATCATTTTTTTTCCTTCAATAAAATGATAAATGAAATACTGGAAGAAGCTGCTAATGTTTTTTTTTTTTTTTGCTCTTTTATGTCATCATCAATTATACATGCTTGTCATCCTTTTAACTGATTGAATTATTGCTAAGAATTGTCAATTACAATCAATTTGTCATTTATCTTTTAAATATAAAGTGGAAATTTTTTATCTGAAATTTAATGGATGAAGGAAGAAGAAACCAATTATGTTATTGATTATAAAATTCCAATTTTTAACAATTATGTGCTACAGATATAACCTTTATCATTCATTATTATTACTAAATTTAATAATTATTAATTCGTAATGAAATTTATTTCAAACATTTCCAATTAAAAATGTTTTATTTTAGCCAATTTTAATGATGGATGAAAAAAAATTTTTTTTTGGTAATTTCTTTTAGTGCTAGATTTTTTGATAAATTGTTAAATGAAGATATTTTATTGCTGTGGAGAAAAAATAAAACATAAACTGAATTGGAAAATTGAGAAGTGGTACTTATAAATAGATACAATATTTATGACTTATAAAAATTCATTACTTGATTCAATTTAAAATTTAAACTAATTAAATCTTCAAATAGACATATGTATGTTACACAATAGCTTCATTTTTTTTTCTATTTTTTTGTTCAGAATAAATATATGCTTTGCAGTCTAATAATACCATTTTCATATCCAAATCTATTTGCTTAGTGATTACTATTTATCCTTTTTCATTCTTTTTCCCATATAATTTTTACCATTTTGTAAACAAAATAAATTATGCTTTCGATATTTTTTTGTTTTTTTTTTTTTTTTTAATTTTTCTATTTACTATTTGTTTTTATTTTTTTATTTTAAAAAAGCGAATTTTTTTGTTTTATTTTTTGATTACAATTTACTTTCTCTCTCTCTCCTAATCTTTATGTAAGTTTGTAAAAGTTTTTGAAAATATTCAAATATTATTGAAATGATAGCATATGAAATGTTCAAATGCCAATTAACATTCGTATTTTGATGCAAATTTTCAGCCATTTCAGTACGATATATTATTTGAAAAATGATGAAAAAGGAATGAATATTTTTTTGTAAATGAGAAACTGTGGGAGTAAGGATAACAAAAAATAAATTTAAAAAAAGAAAAAAAAACTGATTATATAAACAAGCAAAAATCAAAAAATAAGAATTCACAGTTTTATGGATGTGTGTGTATGTTAGATATAATTTATTCATTTAATTGTAAATGTAATATCAAATTTGTAAATGGAAAAGTCAAATTTTTGCAAATAAAAAAATGGAATTATCAATTTTTGGCTTATCAAAAATCTTAAATTTTTTGGAACAAATAGATTGATTTGAAAGTATTTTCCAGACATAAAAATCTTTAATTAAAAATTTCGGTATATTTGCGTGTATGTAACTTGTATTACTACTATTTATTATTATTACTATTATCATTGTCATTATCATCATATTATTTTTGTTACTGTATGTATAACTATTACTACTAGTGATTATTAATTAATAACCATTAAAAGGAATTTAGGAAGAAAAATAGATTTGTAAATTATAATACACTTTAGATTACATAATATTGGATGTGCTTCGACTAATTTAGCTAAATGATTAAATTATCGTTCAGATAGTTGTAAATTTAGTTAAAAGAAAATAATAGTAAGAGAAAAAAAAAGAGGAAAAAATTATTTCAAGTTTGAATGGCTATTACGGTCAATTTTATTACATTATCATTGAATAAACAAACATTTTAAACAAACAATTTTGACCATTCCTATATAAGCTTAAAAAATGTAATTATAACAAATATAAAGTAAAACCATTTTTTATACTAACAAACTTTTTATGTATTATAAAATAATAATATTGCTAATTATATACATATATGTGTATATAATTTACAACTTATTTTAACCCAATAAAATCTTTATAACTTTTAAATATTTGTGTTTGTGTATTAATAATTAATTGGTCATTAATAATAATTAGTATTAACAATAATAATAATAATAATAATAATAATGCAAATTATGCAGGTGTAATGTAAAATACAAAAAAAAAATAATAATAATTGTAAGAAAAGAGGAGGAGGAGAAGGGGAAAAATGATGAACGAATGAAGAATTGATTGGAAAGAAAAGGTAAGTAATGCGATGCGATCT